ATTACAAACACCAGATTCAAAAATTGCTTATATCCATACACTGAACCCCATATTTGTATTCCTTTAAAATGAGACATGACAAGAATGTAATGCAGAACTAAGAGCTGTTTTCTCTAACTTTATTTTTTCTTTTATTGGCATTACAAAACAAACGCAATCTAAGAATCATTAAAAAAATCTGCTCTGAACTTATTTATTGTGCGATAACCTTGACAGTTGAGGGCACCATGACGACCCCTGGTGGGAGCTGTAATCTTAAATTACACGATCATCTTTGTGTCTGATTTTAAAAAGCCTGATTTCAATAAATTGCACTGATTTTGCATTTGAATTACTTTTATGTCACAGTATAACAGTCTGTTTAAAATGTATTTTGTATTTAACTATTTTTCATTCAAAAAATGAAGTCGGTTTAATTTTGTAAGGATAATTTAGTTTATTTCACTCACCGAATCCATAAGAAATGTTTATTTAAATGAAAAATGTAGGAGGTTTTTTTTTTTTTTTACGTATTTCATTATGTGTGTGAGCGTAGTTTAATCAAACACAGATTGTTTTTTTATTTCACCATTTTCCTGTTCTCACTAGCCTATCCATGTCAGGTAGCTGTGGGTGGTCTTACAGCCTGAAAATTTAACCACCACTGTGAACATTTCCCTTTTGATCATTTTCATCCTGTAGTTTCTGAATGGTCAAAGACAGATTTCAAAAAATGCTTCGAAAGAGAGACCCTATTCACAATATGAGGGAGGATAACTGGGCTACTGTCCACCCCAACACCTTAATGTGGTTTAACAGGATACATTAGCTTTTAATGGCACTTAATTGTGCAAAAAGGAAATCCATAACCACATAAGGAGAAAAGTCAAGTATTTCCAAGCTCTTTATAAGAACAATTTAGAGCAGACAAGTGCTTTTCAAACCTTGGATTGGAATCAGTCCGACGGCCTGGCCATGAGAAGGCGCCTTTTCATTTCTAATGCTACAGTGCCACCATCTGGTCAAAACGAGGTCCTCATTTCACTGCCAGGCACTTGCTATTGGCAATTTGAGAACAGTATGAAGAAGAATCAATTATAACAGTTCATATTCTGGAAATCCCATTTTGAAATAAACGATCTCATTCAAAAATGATGTCACAGTTGGTACCGTAATTGTCTAATTTAAAACTGAACTATCTTTGAGAAAGCAATGTGGGTCTCTACAGCTGACTATAAAGTTGAATTGCCTCAGCCTATGGTATATCATTTCAGAGAAAAAGCTGGACCCAGAATACCTCCAGGTGCAGGATTAGAGAGAGAGGAGAAAACATCCAGCTCCATTGTTATTGTTGATAGATTATTGTAGGTCCATGCCATCTTAGATAATGAGCAATAACCTGCACTTCAAGAACAGAGGAGGTTTGCCAAGAAGGAATGGTGATTACAATCAATTAAGACTGGTGACAAAGCACCAACAATAACCCAGTGTATGTGTGTATGTGTGTGTGTATGTGAGCTTGTGTTTTATTCACACATCCTCCCAAACTACCCTGTTTTGTGTAATCAACATCTGTTGTGACAGGCAACCTCCTCCTTTCTTAGAATGGCCCACTTCAGATAATGAGTGTCATACCAAACTGCCGGGCAAAGGCTGATTTTACTCCTCTTTTTAATCTTCCTCTGTGGCCTCAGCTCTTACTAGCCTCTGTTCTCTCTCCTATCATTCAAGACATCCATTGTGGAGAACCTTGAAAAAGAGAGACAGATTCTCTCAACATTGTCAGCGCTCAGTTTGTGGGGGTGGAAGATGAAATAAAATGCAGTCTCGTCTTCTTTATTGGGAGTGCAGGATCCTTCAAAGACGACTCCCAAACACTTGTCAATGACACTGTGAATGCCTTTATTTAACTTTAGAATAGAGTAATTCAAGTAATTCAAACAAAACTACAAAACATATCTTTTGTAAGGTGTTTTGATTCATTTTCTGTGGATGAAGTTTCGCATGCTATTGCCGTATGAGTTATTTTCACAAACATAGTTTTGTATTCTGACATTTGCAGACCACATGTTGAGATTATACATACATAAATATATATATATAGCAATTGTTTCAACCCATTGTGTGTGTGAATGTGTGTGGGTGGGTGTGAGTGTGTGAAAATCAATCTTGATGATATTTGCTGCCAGTATTGGTATGCCATTGCTTCAGATCACAAATGGTTCAGGCGCCATCTTCTGGTGAATTTCGTCATTTCTGAGTAGTACGCTGAAACATTGCAACCGAAGTTTGGCATGGGTTTTAATATTTCTTTCTATGAACCATAAATGCTGTGTGGTTTTTGGTTATCATTTATGGCTATGTGGCAGAACAGGTAGTGTCAGCCTTGTAACCACTAACGGGCTGGGATTAAAGAAGCCAAGGGTCTGTTGAATCTAGCAGTGGCTGTGTAGCAGGCCAAGTACCATCTAAAATGATACTCCATAAGTATTGAGATAAAGGCGTTGTCAGGTTTCATGGGTTATAACATGACTTCACTCTTTCACCTCTTTTTTTTTTTCTCACAAGGACTCTCTGCATTAGTGGTAACTTAAAACTTAATGTATTCAGAAAACTAATACACTAACTGTGTGTGTGTGTGTGTGTGTGTGTGTGGGTGGGTGACATAAAATATATATGTAATAGTGTGAGTGCTGTTTTACTCTTTATCAGCACTCATAGAGTGCCGTAAATTCAACTGGATTTAAAACTGTTGTATTTATTTCTTTATGGGTGAGTGGGCTTCAGCTAACAGTAAGTCTAAAATGATTGCTCTGTTCTGAACTTGAACTTCATTTGACTCTACACTCTGAGCTCTTTCTTCAATCAGATGTGTCCAAAATGTGTGTATATAAATAATTTCCCCAGCTTAGCCTGAAAATTAATTGCCTGCACAGTGAGACGGATAGATTCAGACAATCGAAAGATTGCTCAGAAAGCCAGTATTTTGGACCTGTTTAAAGGATGCATCCAATTTCTTCAAACTTAAGAGTCATCCCAGATGAACATTAACACTTTTTTCATGTACAAAATGGAATTTGCTGTCTGCACAACCATGTGGAACAAATTATTTCAAAAATCCATTAAAGCCATGAGCACACTGAACTCTGTTCAATCTAGCATAACCCTAAGTTTACTCTTACTGCTGGAGAGCTTTTCTATTTGAAAAATGTCTTTATATTCTTATATTCATTCATCACAGACTCAAGTTTAAAGGTTCAAGTGGCAGCAGCTTGAATGAGTTATGAGGCTCTTCTACCTCTGTTCTCTTTGTGTCACTGAAGTAAGGTGTGAATATCAAAAAACACAAAATTCCCTCATTTGTGAGTTAGGTTCCCTGGTTCATCATGACTGTGGTAATAATTTGGGGAATAAAGAAATAAAAATAAGAAGGGAGACTGGCAGTATTTATATGAAGGCGTTGACTATAATTACAAGGTTTGGGCACTGGAGAAACTGTTACATGTTATATGATAAAGAAATAGGCTGTGGATTTTTTGGATGACACTCACACTTACATATTTTTCTACACAAATTACAGTACAACCTTTTAAAACTTGTCTCAGGAAAAGCACAAGTGTGATCTACAACATGGAGATTACTCTGTGATTAATAAGTGTACCATTTATTCATACTAAAACTTAAAAACGTTAATAACTCATGCTTTTTAATCACACTTACGATGATTAATGACAGATCTAAATGCAAATCCACATATAAACTTCTTAAAATGGTATCATTAACACAACCACTTTTGAAAGTTCTATTTTTGGTTCATAAATGAAGCTTTCATACACACCAGAGCTCAAGAATAATTTTGAGAAAAGCTGAAATGGAATGCAGCCATCATGAATGCTTTTCTTTGGCTTGCTTGTCTGCTATAAACACAGTACCTGGTCAAATTTTTAGCATTAAATGGGAGATGTACAATAAATTTAAACTTTCAATTTGTCACTGTAATGGTACAACATGCTAATAATGTGGTTATTGCTTCCAGTATTATCCATAAATACACACTGCATTATACTGTACATGTACTTTATTATGTTACTCTACTGTTGAAGCTGCAGTGGGAATCTACAGTGTGTCTAATACTTAGTAACATTTTGCCCCCCCTTATTAGGTCCAAGAGACCCTTCACAATAAGTGTGGTTGATTTGCAGTTACCTTTTTGAAGCCCTTGTATGATTGGTTGGTCTAGACTGGTACACTGGCAGAAAATAAATTGTCTGCAATAAAAAGGAAGTTGCAAAATAAAATTCATCAGAGACAAAACTGTGGGTATTTGTTAATCAAGAGACTTCTATGAAATTAAACTAAGGGGTGACTGGGTTTTTGATTGATTGATTGTTTCCTGGTGGAGGGTAGTGTCTGCCACATCCCTCCGCTGGCCCTGTGTCGGTGTCCTGTGGCTGCGGGTGGCTCTGATGGCGGTTTCTCAACTGGTTCATCTGTACTCAGCTTCATGTCGATTATCTTAGTGTGTGTGTGTGTGTGTGTGTGTGTGTGTGTGTGTGGGTGGGTAGGTGGGTGGGTGATTTGGGATAGTTTTTTTTTTTTTAAACTGACTGTAAAGCACTTTGTGTTACATACTTTTGTATGAAAGCACTTTATTTAAAAAGTGCTTTTGAAAACAAATATAAATAAACTTTAAATATATAAACTTATAAAGTTTATAAAGATATAAAATTTATTTATAGTTTGATTTGATTTGATGATGTTTGATTATTTGATTGATTGATTTTTCACCGTTAGACTGACAATACCACCATTTTATTACAATTTATTTTTTTAAATTATTATCTTTAGATAAATCCTCAACATAAATGTTCTGACCCAGAGAATTCTGACCCATGTAGCGTTGAACTATGTCAAACACTAGAGGGCGCTTGGGAGCTATTGGACATCTAGACCCCATCATCCAGTTACAAAAACATGTATTTTATGAAAGTTTGTGATCGGTGTGACTGACTGTGGGCATCAGTCACTTCAGCCATAGGTTTACTGCAGCACATTGCACTTAATCTTGCCTTACACAGGACAAAAAATACGGAATTTGTGTGAGATTTAACAATCCTCTTTGCAAATAGTAATTGCTTTGGAAAGAAAAGAAGATGTGCGTATTGGAGGGTTATATGATTTATAAAAATACACTACAGAAAAACATTTGAGGAGCAAGGTGGAACAATTAATTAAGCAAGGAGGCGTATCATGTCATTCAACCACTCCTCTCTGTCAGGCTTTGCTTCCGTGTTTACACACCCACAAAAAACAGGACACCAGCGGCCGTCGGATGAATGTTTACCGAGCAGGCATAGAGTGGTGGTGAGGGAAGTGACAGTCACACTGGAGGCTCGGTATATGGTGAAACGCAGGTGATTTCAGCTTCCACGGTTGCATTTTACAGCGGAATGTTCACTCGAAGGGGGCATGGGGACGTCAAGAAATCTACACAGAAAGTTTTGGACCCAAAGAAGGATGTTCTTACCCGACTCAAACACCTCCGGTCACTGTTAGGTGAGTGAAATGTCACCGGGCTTTGATGCTGCAGGCTCGCTGAGGCTCGGCTAGTTGGGCTAAGCTAGCTGGTATCAGCCGACAGCTAACGTCAAACAAGGCGTCAGGTTAGCTGGCTGGCAGGCATTGTGTTGACCAATGCAAGCTAGCGGACAGGTAACATTTATTCACACAATGAAAAATGTCACATCCAGAGAAATGTGAACTTTTCAGTGCTCAACGCGAGTTCATTTATATCGTTTTAGTATTCGTAAAAAGACAAGTGATACTGGAAATGCATGGATGCTAGCAAATATGAGCTAGCTCCCCTGGCGGCCAGCATGCTAGCAAATGCTAACTGATGCTGCCTTGACTGAATATGAAGAGCAGGTTGAAGCAAAGCATTGATCTGTCATTCAGACACATGTCAGCAAGGATCTTCTGAAATGAGGAGTGCATCCAACTTTCTAGCTCAAGAAAAAAACACACAAGCAGCTGTTTGGAAAGCATCAATAACAATTTATTTACTTTGAGTTAATGTAAGAATGGACCTTGCATCCAGGGGGGTAGCCTGGCTCAGAAGCAATGAAGCTACTGGTAGTTAGCCCTAAAATAAATGATTTTAAAGCCACTAAACTGTAATCTGTCATACTAATGTGGCCCTGTATTTCAAAATAAAAAAATCTAGCATGACAAGGAAGTGCAGTGTTTAGGGCAGTCATAAACCTGATATGTAGCTATTGTTTTACTCCTCTCTTCCTCAACGTCCATAATAGAGATATGAAATTGATCTGATGTAATCTGACTTTTGCTGCACTTTACAGATTAGTATTACACCAAGTGGAACTGGTTTCTAATCCATTATCTCTCTCTCTCTCTTTCCATCTATATATGTAAAGAATCCATGTTGAAGGTTTCTTTGCCACCACTCTTCAGCATAACATCTGCAGTTAATCATATATGCATTATTCAGTCATTGCATATCACCTGGGTTGGCTCATTTTATCACAACCTAAGTGACCCTTATATATTATATATATATATATATTTAGACCTGGAGCTCTGAGACCTTGTTTCTTCAGTGGTCAGTGATTATTGTGTGGAGTAGAAGAAGTTTATTATGAGGAATTATTAAGGTATAAAAGAACTGCAAAGGGCTAAAAAAAAAAGTGCATCGACTGTGTAATGTACAGTTCTCCAGTGTTTAGGTTAAAGTAGGTCACTTTATGTTGTTTTGTCAGTTTGTCCACAGTAGGGATGCACACCCACACATATTGAGTTCTTGCATGTGTTTTCTAATCAATATATCCTATTTTGTGCTGTTTAGATAACTCACTGCTGATGAAATTCTCCCTTTTTATAGTCAAATGTAAAGATTTATCACAACAGACCCGAGTTGTCATTTATCAAAATACACCAGACCAGACTTACCATAAAAAAAGTTTTTTATATAAAGCAGTCTAATTATATTAACAGTTTATTTCAACATAACTTGATCTCACTTAAAAAGAGTTGTACCTGAGGACAAAGTGCCTTTGACATGCTTAGTGTTGAGCCATTAGTTTCTGCCCACTGGCGCCCTTTTCATATTGGTGTGTTAGCTGTTTTATTGATTTCTGACTCAGTGGTACAACTACAGCAGTCAGTATCAGCTTAATAGTTACAGTGGCTTGGGCAAAACTGGTTAATATGGTAACATCTTTTTTCCACCCTAAAAGCGGGCCTTCAGTGTCAAGGGTAGTTCAGCCCAAGTGGAGGTCAATCCACAGCTGTACGTGTCCTATCTGTTTTTCTTTCCCTCATGTGCAGTTAGAGATAAGGCTGGTCTGTTTGTCCCGCAGCTGATAGTCAGACTTACATGTTGATGTCCCCCAACCACCCTAATTTCAGCATGCTTTCAGCTGAGGAAGGATTTCCTCCTGGCTCTGCTGGTTCCTGTGTGGACAGGAAGCAGTGGTGAAAGATGGGGTGTTGTGGCAGACAGGACAGGGGCTCAAGAGAGTACTGTTGGCCCCCCTTCCACTACAGTCAGTATCTTGTATTTTTGTTAATCATCCTAGTCATGATACTTGTAAGACTAAAATGTATTTTTGATGAAAGAGAAGCGGTCCAGCCCAATCATCAAATAACAGCACTAATGATGTATCTGTCAAGTAGTATTAAATAAGACTGTTGACAAACCACAATAACTCACGACAGAAAAAGTGGGCGCAGCAATATTAAATGGCAAGTCAGCCAGCACAGTAATTTCCATTAGCTTTCTTGCACTCCCCTTGCCTTCTCACTGTCACACCTGTAAGGATGGGCATGGCCTAAAGTCATGCTACCTACTGACTAGAGATGCACCGCTCCAATTCGATACCGATACCTGGGCTGAGCGTATTGGCCGTTATCTGATAAGATCTCAGGCTTGACTTTAGCCTAACTAAAAAAAAGTAACAAATTAACACAGGTATACATTTTATTTAATATTATTTATTAACAAATAACAAATTGCACATTAGCACACAGCAAAAATAAGTAAGACTTCCATGTAAACATTTAGTGCAAGAGGATAGACAGACATAGAATATAGAGCAAACAGAATCGCTGTGTTGCTGTGTATGATATTTATTAAAAGACAAAAAAAAAAAGACTGGATCGGAACGCTGAATCTGCGTCATTCATTAGACATCCGATCCAGTTCATTTGTCAGTATCAGAGCCAATATCCGATCCAAATATCAGATCGGTGCATCCCCACTATTGACCTTTCTTGTTACTGTAGTTCAAAAAGGCTCACTGTATAATAATTCATTACATATAATGTATTTAATTCATTACATACAATATATTTTTGGACCCTACACACACACACACACACACACACACACACACACACACAATTTAGGCACAGGATTTTTTGGGGCTTTAACCTGTGAGAATTGCAGTTAAAAGTATTCTTTAATATTTGACCTAACCTTTGTCAAAGACCCTTGTTCACGAAGATTCTACATAAATATTTTGTAGACTTTGTTTAACAGTCTCTCTTGGTTTGTAGTACCAAAACCAGAATTGTGTTTGGCCAGCTTGTTGAATCTATTCATGGCATGTGTTGTATTGGAATTGAAAGTACAATCTGTGGTCTGGGCTATTTTCAGAGTGGCCCTGTATTGGTTTTCTGCTCACTGAGCAGATCTGTGGGATAGAGTGTGAAAGCTGCTGCATGTTAATTTGCTGGTCATGCCTGGCTGGATTTGGCTGAGGTTGTTAATTACAGGAGCCCAGCAAATCACCTGATCACTTTACTCTTACTGGAGGGAGGAACAAACAGGGATTCCTCACTCTGAGACCACTCTGCTTCCTGTTGCATATTACTGACATTATTCCCTCCAAAATAAGACTGAAAATGAGATCAAAAGGCCAGTAACACTGACAGGTATTGACAGGTATATACTTCCTCTTTTGGGGCCATAACTGTTAATTCTCTAAGGGAAGACTTCTTACTTGTTCCTGCCATTTAAAGGACAGAGTGCTAAACTGCTTTAGATTCAGTCGGCCCTGCTGATGTAAGGAGTGATTTGGTCTGGAAGGTGTGTTTGCTCCCTTTTGTTCCCTACAACTGATAAAAACAAGCTCATTCTGAATCTGTGGTGAGCTGTATGGGGACAACAGGTAATGTTTGTTCGCGTTTGTAGTGACAACAGTCAGGTGTGTGTTTGTAGCAGCAGGGGAGGGAGTTTTCACTGCTGCCAAACGCAGTACTTTTTAAGGGAGCTCAGAACTCTCATCCTCAGGAAAAAAGAAATATAGTGTCATTACAGTTACTTTCTCTGTCTGAGTGCTCCAAGTGTTGCTGGAGTCAGGGTCGACTGAAAGAGCTGCTGTTATGAGAGGAAATCACAAGGTGAAGCACCAAAGGAAACAATGGGCTCCACACTGAAAGGGCTCTCGAGAAGGTCTTCTGTGTGGCTAAAGTAAAGGCTGAGATTACTCGACTTCTGATTCTCCTCTTTAGTGAAACACTTAGACTTGTGAATAACTTCAGGCTCTTATCATCTTTTATCCCACACTATGTGGGAATGATATCTACACTCAAGAGTAGTACTGTGTAGCCTGCCATAAATAGATTTTTATTAACTTTCAGGATCTTAAGGCTTTTTGTCTTCTGTTTCTTTTTACAGGCTGTCACACACTGAATTTGATTGATGTTGTGATGTAGTCTTTGTGAGGAAGTATAAAAACCACAAGGCACTTGACTTCCACAGTTGTGAATTGTTTTTATTCCAGATAACTTAGCAGTGTTGTGTATCACAATAACAGTTCTAACCTTTATAAGACAGTGGATGAAAAAGAAGAAGAACTTTATTGATTCATGAAGGGAGATTCAATGAATAAAGCATTTAGACACTGATTGGACAAAACAAATCTGTACAAATTGACTTGAACTTCATACCTGTACAGAATAAAAGAAAACTCTGCTCATAGGTTGAAGCATCTTAAGCAGTAAGTAGTTTGTTGAAGGTATGTCAGGGACACTTTAATTGCTGTTTGAGGCTTGCTTTTGATTTTTTGTTTGAGGCTTGCTGATACTTCTGTCAGGTTTTGCGCTGGCATAGCCGATTATGATAACAGCCTCTACCGTTGAGTTGGAGTTTTATGTTTCAGTGCTAGCTCTTGGCGTGTGGGGCAGCTTGAGTAAGAGATTGGACAAGAAATTAGGAACATCAATGCAGTATCACAACATCTACAGGATATATATTTCTTGAGCCAATACCAATAATGGATAGTAGTTTTCTCCTGATGGCTGATATCTGTAAGATTATAGATTTACATTTACAGGTGCATCTTAATGAAATAGAATATCATCAAAAAAGTTGATTTATTTCAGCAATTTAGTTAAAAAAGTGAAACTAAGATGTTATATAGATTCATCACACATATACTGATATATTTCAAGTGTTTTTTTTTTCTTTTCATTTTGATAATTGTTACTTATAGCTGATGGAAACCCCCAACTGTTTCTCAGAAAATTTTAGTATTACTTAAAACCAATTAAAAAAAGGACTTTTAACACAGAAATGATGGACTGTTAAAAAGTACTTGGTTGGGGCTCCCTTTACATGAATTACTGCAGCGATGTGGTGTGACATGGAGGTGATCAGTCTGTGGTACTAATGAGGTGTTCTAGGACCCTCATTCATAGGGAATTGAGGTAGTACATTTGTAATAATGATAATAATAATTTATAGCACTTGCTGAACATAGAGCCTAAAGGGCTTTCAAAATAAAATGCAATGTTTAAATTCTATTAAAACGAGAATTTAAAAATAAATGATTATAAATACAACAATTAGAAAAGATGGTAGTAACAGGAGTGACATTAAAACACAAAGGTTTTGTCTCAAAGTTTTTGTTGTGATGTCTAAAATTATTGTACATCTTGTTGCAGGAGTGAGTGACAGAATGGTAGGGAGAAGGTCTAAGTTCAAGGATCTTTAGATGTTGGAAATCTGGGCTTCTCAGCAATCAAGAGTCATGCATGAGGGCAAGGCCATGTCCAAGTTACTAGACAATAAAGCAAGGAGAGAGGAATCACACATTTCATGAGTGTGACACCTTCAAAAGACACAGGAGAGGGAAGTAGTTGTCGATCAAACCACAAGCCACAAATAATTACTGCAAGTGACAGTCAAGGAAGCACAGCATGACAAGGTTCCAGTATAAGTGAACAGGGAAAAAGCTCAGGAAAGCCAGGCAACTCAGCATAGATTCACTGGGTAATCAAGATGGTCTTGTCACACTTCTCATTCAGCTTCAGCTCGGATATGTCAGAAAATTTTGGTCAGATGTTCTCAGACAGTGAATTTGCCAAACGGTTTTCATGCGGTGCAACAAAATCGGCTTACCTTGTATGCTTTGGCCTGTGTCCATATTTGGAAGAGCAGCTGATCAAAGTTGTAAGAAAAGCACAGTGCTGTGTTGTGTCTTTTGATAAATGCCTAAATAAAGTGACACAGAAAGAACAAATGAATGGTGTTGTGTGGTACTGGAGTGACTGTGAAGAGAAGGTAGCTGTGCATTATTTTGGTTCAGAGTTTTTGGGACACACTCAAGTGGAGAAGCATTTTCAAAATGATCCTGTCTCCACTTGATCCTAAAAAGCTCTTGCAGATCTCAATGGATGGCCCTGTGGTCAACTAGAAGTTCCCTAGAATATTACAAGAGGACAAGAGCAAAGTAGACCCAAGTTGTGGTCTGCATGTCATGCATAGAAGCTTTCAATGCGGGGAGAAAGAAACAGGTAGGAAGGTGGGAGATGTCCTGAGAGCTCTTTGGTAGTTGTTCCATGAATCACCAGCAAGGCGAGATGACTTCATTCAGGTGACCAAAACAATGTTTCCTCGATGGCTGGAAGATCTAGCAGTTGCCGAGCGGGCGATAGAAGTGTGGTAGGCAGTCCAGGAGTACATTAGCAGCCACAAGAAACTTCCAAAAAGTAAAGTGCCATCATCTGCATCCTACTGTTGAGTAGAAAAGGACAGTGATGGCCTACTTTTTGAGTCTTTTGCATGTGTTGCTCGACAGTGAAAGCCTTTTCTGGAGACATTCCAAACAGATTGCCTCAATGGTGCCGTTTTTAGGAGCTCCAGTTCATCCTGATAGGCTTGCTGGCTCGCTTCATCAAACGGGAAGAGCTGGAGAAGATAAAATCACCTGTCCAGGTGCAGAAACTGGATCAAAAGACAAAACAATACATGTGTCGCTCAAACAGCTGGACACAGGATTTGCCACAAAGAAAACTTTGGAGGAGGCATGCAATAAACTCCAGAATAATCCAAATAATATACTGGCGTTCAAGAAAGAATGTGTCTCCTTCCTTGTCGTGACCTGCATGAAAATCATGGAGAAGGGTCCTTTTATGTATCCGGCAGTGCGGCGCATGGGCTCCCTTGACCCTGTTGTAAAAGAACCTGAAATTGCAATAGCAGTGTTTGAGAAACTTCTTCTGGTTCTCCTCAATGCAGGATGGTACACTGCTGCCCACTGTGACAAAGTTCTTGCTCAGTATAAAGCATTTTCATTGCATGTCAGTGCAAACCATAAAACAGAGTTCCAAGATTTGGTTTACAGCTGCAGGCTTGATGAATTTCTTAGAAGAAATGTCAGCGGCAGAGCAGAGTATGCAGCACTGTGGGACCTAATGAAATCTCTCCTCTCACTGTCTCATGGACAAGCTGTAATAGAAAGGGGATACTCTGGGAACAAGGACATGCTTGTAGAAAACCTGAAGGAGAGGACTCTAGTAGCATTGCGTCTGGTCCAGAATGCAATGGCTGGACATGCCATAGACAAAGCACTACCAAAAGAACTCATTCAACACTGCAAAGCAGCAAGAATGAGGTATGTGCAGTACCTGGATGATGATGAAAAGAAGAAAAATACCAAACTGCTAATGAGAAGAAAAGAAAGGACCTCCACCAAAAAATGTCAGATGTCAAAGTAAATATAAAAGCAGGGAATAATGCAAAGCATTGAGACGATGCAGAAAGAGGCAGACGAAATGGCAGTCAGGGCAGAGATAAAACAGACTTCGCATTACTGTCGAAATCAAATGCCTTTTGCAAATGTGTAGCAGAGAAAAGGAAAGAGCTGGAGGTTAGAGTAGAGTTCTACTGAGGTCAATTTATGCACTTTAATTTCACTTATCCTCTAATTGTTATTTATTTATTTCAGTAAGACAGCTTCCAGATTCCTTTGCTGGTTCTTTTGTTTTTTACTTATTTAATTATATATTTTTTGAGCAAAGAGAAAGCTGAGATGTTAGTTGTCCATTGGTTGCACAAATGAAGTAAGGTGCTGTACATCTGTGGTTACATTATTCTCTACTCCATTTGCCATAATTTTTTAAGCATGTAAGAGATGATTTCATAGATAGCCATAGACTGCAAAGTAGGCTTCCACTGAGAGGAACATAATGGACTATTTAGGAACTAAATTTAGACTTCCATACCAGCTTAACCATCACTGAAGATGTCCTGGAAAATGATCTCTGGAAAAGAGTGGGAACCCTGAAATAAAAAAGTTATTTAAATCGACATGTTGCTCCCTTATGTGATCGTATCATGATCAGTTCCTTTAAACTTACTAATTGGTGATAGGCCACAAAAATCCTGATCATGCAAAACCTAGGGAACTGGTACCTTCCCTCAATAATTTATGATGCCACTGGAGAACAAGTTAGTAAAGTTGCGAGTGTACAGAATACAGGAGCAGTACCCCACCAAAAATATAAATTCATGTCTGTTAGGGATTGACTTTGCAAAGTCAGCAGAAACCGTTTATATACGTCTCCTGCGGATCTAAACGATTTCTGCCGACTTTGCAAAGTCAACTGCAGAATTAACGGCGTTCTGAATGAACGGCGCTTTGAAAAGTCCCGCAGCATGTGTTAGACGTCACCATCTACACATGGACCAATCAGGGGCTGCCTTTCCCTGTTGTTCGGGGAACAGTGGAAACACAGTCACTGATTGGCCCGGTTATTTTCTGATCGCTAATACATGCTCCCAATGGGCCGAAGTCCAGACTGTTGTGGGAAGGAACGGCAAGTGATTCACGCAAGAGGACGGCCCAGCCAGGCTATCAAAAACATGGATTGGAATGAAAATATTTTTTATCGTTAACGCCAGAATAGCAAAACGTATTGTGATAAATTTTGCCAGTCCCTTATGGCAGTCCTTATTTCTACAGTTTAGCGATATTTGAGCCTTTCTATAAATTGGTAGCAATACTTTGAATGTAAATGAAGTCCCCTTAGTCCCACACTGTACAAATACTTTTGTTAGAGTTTTGCTGTGCGCACATTAATTAAACAGAAAGGAATAAAAGATTACTAGTTATATAGTTTGTTTTATGACTTGATGTACAGTTCAAATATACAGCTTTATAGAATTAACCTTGTTTTTTTCTATCTTGAGTTTGTTTTAATTTTGTCTTGTGTTTCAGAGCTTCCTTAATTTGGAGCACTGTATGATATAAATCACATGGTGTGGAATGAAAGGCTTTTTCTTTGCTGACCTGATAGAGAGCCAGAGATAGGAAAACACTAGTGCTCTGTGTTCTGCTCTGGATGATATCTGTGGGATTTAACACAGCACGTCAAAGAACCAGTTTGTCCAGTTACACTGTGTACCTGTCCTGCTTTTGTAATAGTCTAACCAAGCCCAAGACTTGCAGTTGACAGTTGCATCATTACTTTTTATATTTATCAAGAATTGATCTGAAAGTGGACTTTAATTTAATGTGTCCTTTCTGAGTGCCGAAGCTCAAGCTAATCTGCTGTGGATTTTCAGGTTTAAAGCCTTAGGAAAATAAACACTTGGCTCTGGCTTGAAGTATTAGCAAACTTGTTAAAGAGCATGCTGGCAACAATTTTGTGCAAGGGGACACTTAAGGAAAACTTCTTTATTGGAAACAAAGACTGCAAAGAATGTTGTTCAGATAAACGGATTTTTTAAAATCCAGCAAAAGTTGTATGTATTTTAGGATGTATTTACTCCATGATCAGATGTTGCTTTCATGGAAATTCACCATTTCACTCCATTTACCTTTAGATATACATTGATGTTAACAGACCATTGCTAAATATATGTCAGCAAAAGATAATAAGGGCTTAGTTTTAGGGTTGAAAACATTTGCCAGAGTCACAACTTCAGTGCAAAAGCAAAAAAATAAATCACAGTTGGATTATTCACTTCAACTTTTTGGCTTTTGAGAGTCTGCATACAAAAATCCTAATAAATCTCAACTACTGCAGAAATGGCTAGAAAGAACCAACTGAGTAAAGAAACAAAAGTATAGATCCGTACATTGAGGAAAGAAGGATACACAGAAAGAGGAATTGCAAAACGCCTAATGGTGTTTAACAAAGGAGTCCACTACACTCTGAAGAAACTAGAGGAACCTGGAATTTATGATGATAGAAAAAGGCCTGGACAAAAGAAAGATACTACAAAAGCAGAGGATAAACATATTGTCACTAGTAAGAGAGATCGGCAAAAGACAGCAACAAAAATAAGGGAGGAAATCAACATGACAAGGTCGAAACCCATATCTCTGACAACTGGGACCCACAGTTACTATACTTGGCAAATAAAGGCAAGTATATGTCATTCAAATAAATATACTTCTTCCAAAATGTCCTCTTTAATCCATTATTTTATTAATACAAAGTGTTGTTATATTTGACATTAAACCACAAAATCTGCTTTATTCAGCTCTTTGGATATGGCCTGCTTTGTAAAGGAAGGTTTCCCTGAAGTCCACATATATGTATAATTTTTTGAGATAATGAATATTATGTGGAGGCAAAGATAAGGATTTTCAGGCCTCCAGGAGAGGGAGAGTGAAAGTTGCCAGTTTAACAGCTCTACAGTGCTAAGCTGATGAGATAAGCCATCCTCTCATGTGTGAGCTCAGACTGGGTTAAGGTCAAATCTGCCAGTTCTGCCATGGCTCTTTCACACTGTGCTCTTCATAGACCCATGGGCCCCAATCTGTTGCACAGCTAGACATTGACTGCAAGTTGAGAGGTGTTACGCAGCACTTGGCACAGTAGCATCCTAATAAAATTATATGCACCAGTGGGGTTATGATAGCATGAAAGCCCTTTTCGTAATGGTCAGATGTGTCGGATTTGTTTGAGTGCTGCTGAAATTATTAAAATGCATCAATGATCATAAGACTTAAGATGACTCTGCTTTATAATTTACTGAGTTTCTCATTTCTCATTCAGAGTTTTTCCAGAAGCCTTGCTTGTTAGACTGCTTTACCAGTTTTTAATAGCAGCTCATGCTGTCTGTTCTGTCAGCTCAGAAAGCGCTCCAGTGCTCTGTTGCTTTGGCCTGGCAGCATGTCAATCATTCTCTGTAAACACATTGCTCAGAGGATGAAATATTGCAGGGCTAAGTCAGTTATTCATGCTTTTCCTGATCAAAATTCAGCTACTGTAGACCTGTATGGATATTGGTCTGCAATGTAGCAGTATATAGTGAGCTTTATAAGTCAAAGCAGTCCATAGAAAATCAAGCAGTATTCAGACAACTGGGGGAAAGGGCTCCAGTTGACTCCTGATAAGAACATCAATGTACTTTAGTGAGTGTTCAATTATAAATGACTTCTTCAGACCTCAATTAAAGTCTGGAGTTTCACAAATGGGTCACCCAACCTGCTACCTACTGCCTGGTAAAACAATTGACTGCACATGTGACAGACCTGACCTCCTCAGCTGATTTCCCTATATTTATGATTAACTTCTGCTATGACTGTGGTCAGATACCACTCTCCTCACCCACATGACACAGTCTTTTAGTTGATTTGTTCCTATTACACCTTTTTGTTTTGCGTTTGTGTTTTAATAAAGTACATTTAAATAAAGAGTGGCTTTATCTGGAAACTGCAGTGATTTTAGTATATTTTTACACAATTAAACAGATCATTGTTTTGCACTTAAGTCAGGCATTGTTTAACACAGCAGTCAATATTAAAGCATAAATCAAGAAATTAAAATTAGAAATTAAAGCAATGCATCTGTCAATGAGTCTTTGGGGTCTCTAGACCATATTATTTCTGAAAGGTTGCATATAGTGATCCCTTTCTTTGTCTTTAAAGCAATTGCTTCCATGGATTTTCTAAGAGTAGCATCATATGCGGTGTATCCAGCAGCTTCTACATAAGCTACTACCCCCCCTGTCTCTTCCAGTAAGTGTCAGTGCCCTCCAGGCATCCCTCTGCTGGGGCCCTTAAAGAGTCCTCTGTGTCTGATCTAAGCATAGTGCCAGAGAAACATATCAGTCTTTTCTCTCCACTCATCTCCTTCCTGGCAAGAATCTAGTGCACCTGCAGTGTTAGCCAGCACAGCCTAATGCAAATGAGTGTGTGTCCGATCAAAGGCCTGATTAGACTGCTTTTAGAGTATGAGATGGCATGTTAATGACTCTGCCTCAGGCAATATAAACCCACGCATTGTATGTTTCCTAAAAGCTAAATATGGTTTAACACGGCCTTTGAACATTGAATGTGAGTTCTCACGGTGCGTGCGTTGTGTGCTGATTAAGTTTAAACAAGGAGTTGTGTGCAGAATAACCTGAAGTTTAGTTTGAATGTGTCAATATACTATAGGCTTCCACTGACTTGTTGACCTTCACCCATTTGCCAACAAGTTGTATGCGCACACCGCTGTGTGCACTTTCTTTATGCTTGCAAGTCAAACCCAGTCTATCATCAGTTCATTAAAATAGCAAGCAACAGAGGAAATTCAAATTAATCAGATTAAGGTCACAGTTATTCTGCTTCTTTTATCAGTGGAAGGTTCCACTTTATTACCATAGTTATTATACACCAAAAGCATGTTATAGAATCACATCATACAGTGTAGGAGTTCAGTTTATCTGACTTTAACTAATGGCCCCGAATGACATAGCAAGTTAGCAACCTTCAGTCATATCATGAAGTATCAGAATTTTGTCCATTAAGTCAGAGGGTGAGTAATTAATGGCTGGTCTTTTTCCATTGAGTTCTTGTGGAAATTGAAGTGAGTTGTTAATATCTATTGCTTTTTTGGCCCATAGCTCCAGGTGCATGTTATTGTTTTCCGGTAGGACCTCTCGCTTGGGGTTTGAACATCTGCGGTTAACAGGAACTATATCACAATTGAGAATATTATTATCCACTGTAGTTTTAAACCACAATGGAGAATAGGGCTGGTATTTTTGGCATGTTTCTAATTCCCCAAGGTAAGATTGTAGATCTGTGCCTCATTTGGTTATCACTTTCAACAGTTTTTTAGTCTGTTAAAAACAAAGATGACTTAATGACCCCTATTTGAGAAAGTCTGCTTACTGTAGTTTAGTCAGCTTATGGGCAAAAGCTGTGTATTTAGCTCCAATCATTAAGAGGTAAAATTACTAGGATTGCAATTTTGGAAACGATTGACCCTTGGTTGGTTTGGTTACTGAACTGTGCTTGGTTTTCATGAGTCCCTCCATCTCTTCTAACTTGCCTTTCATTAGTTTTGTGTAAAACATTGCCACACATTTTCAATAGGAGACAGGTCTGGACTGCAGGAAGGCCAGTCTAGTACCCACACTCTTTTACTTTGATAGCCATGCTGTTGTAACACCTGCAGAATGTGTTTCAGTACTGTCTTGCTGAAATAAGCAGGGACATCCCTGAAAAAGACTAGGCTTGGATGGCAGCTTATGTTGCTCCTAAACCTGTATTTACCTTTCAGCTTTAATGGAGTATTCACATATGTGACAGTTAGCCATGCCATGGATACTAACACACCTCTATACCATCACATCTAAATGCTGGCTTTTGAATTTTGGGCTGATAACTTTGCGTCAGCCCATCTCAGATGAGCTCAGGTCCAGAGAGGCCAGTAGTGTTTCTGGGTGTTGTTGATATATGGCTTTGGCTTTCCATGGTGGAGTTTGAACTTGCACTTGTAGATGTAGTTAATCAGTTTGAACATCAAATATATTTTTTAAGTGTATATTCACATGGTTAATATAGGTCGAAAAAGGATTTGCAGATAACTGTACTCTGTTTTTATTCGTGTTTTACACATCATCCCAACTTTACTGGAATTGGGGTTTATATGACATTAGAGTCTTGCAGAGGGAGGGGTGTCAGTTGAAGGCTACAGTTATCTTGTTAGGCTCAGAGGATACAGTGTCATCCCTGAATCCTCAGGACCTGAAGAACAGGTTTTGTCTCTGTTATGCTGTCACCTGAGATGCAAGAATTGGCCGTTGGGGAAGGGTCTTGCTGGATATTGCACTCTACAATGTTGTCAAATACTTAACTTCAGTCACTTGACGAAATATTAACACACAGATGGTCCCAAACAAGATAGGAAGGGAAAAAGCGGAGCTAGGCTGGCCCACTACAAGAACCGGGAATATTTAATGTACTCATTTCTTAGTTGTGTAAACATCCATTTAAATTCTGACTAACAAGTCTAACTGTAAGAAACAACACTGATAAAACAAGAGAATTTTCCAGGTTGGGATCAATAAAGTATATCTATCTATCTGTCTATCTATCTAAAACAACCAAAAGAAAGCATGATTACTTATCGCACAATCTGTAGGTTCATGTCAAATAAGTTAGCAGAATATGGCTAACATGAGCCTTCAGTCCTTGCAGGCTAATGTTCTTTAGCCTGTGCTGCGATGCGTTGTTCTGGTTGAGTTTAATAGTTCAAAATACTCCCACAACACGGTTCGCTACCGTCAGTCATCTGTGCTTGTTTACGTCAGGGGAGTAAAGCATTTGTAGCATTATAGTGGCAGTCAGCCCCCATCTACTAACAGGCATTTACCACAATGTTGCACACCACACACTATGGGAACTATTCAATTTGTCATCATTTGTCGTCGTGTGGGTGCTCTGACGTTGTCTAAGTTTGAGAAGATTTACGAACTCTTTTGGTGTTTGCCAGGCTTTAGATAAGCCTTTGATTGCTTGCTTTGGTCCACCATAATCCTATTCTCACAACTTTGTTTACTTACTGTGTCACAAGTGAATTAGGGTTATGCTGACACAGTGGGTCCTGGCATAAAAATAAAACTTTACATGACCAGCAAGATTCTCTTGTCAGGTTTAATCCTGAAAAATAGATGTTGTTGATAGGAAGTAAAAAGTGAAACCAACATTTAGGTGATTTATTGTAACCACAAATCTGAAAAATGTATGCCCCTTAGGTAAAACCCAGTTTTGTAGATACTTCCTAGTTTAAAAGTATTTAACATGTACTACTGGGAGGCTTCTGGCTGCCGTATTATGTTTTTTTATTTATTTATTTTTTTTTATAAGAGGGTTATTGCTCTCCTGAGACTCTTTCACCCTGTCAGAGAACCTCTGATCTTTTTTCTTAGACCTTTCTTTCTATCTGTCACGCTTGAGTGGTTGGTTTGGAGTTTTTGAGCAGATAGGGAACAGTGAGTCTGAGGGCTGGAATGCATAAAGATGATAGTCCTGTGATCAGAGAATGCAGCATGACTATAACTGACCCACTTTTCATCAGGTCCTCACACACCAACAGGATTCAAAATTAGAGTTGCATGATGATTGTGTTTACTCCTCTGTATTTTTCAAATGTTAACAGGTGTATCATCTGCCCATGTCAGACCTGTTTGACATACATGAATAATATAATAAATCATTATCAATAAATTAACATTCTGATCCTTACAACTAGACTTACCACCATATTGATAATGACTGAATTGAAATGAACCAGGCAGGGACAATTAAGCTAATATATTAGCCTTAACTGTGGTGTTAGTGGACAACATCTACATCCCCTAGTGTTTGTGTGCTGTTGCAGCCTGTGCAATATGATGGAAATGCAGTATTAATTTTTTATGCATTGTGAGATCAAGTCACTGATTGGACAATACATACTTCATAGTTTAGTTTTGTTCCACAGTGAAGTGGTTTGTTAGAGTTTGTGGAACACTGAATTTAGCAGATGTGATTAGCTCAATGCTAGCAGCAAGGATAAGATAGTTGATTGAATTTAAAGACACTTTAAAACCCTGCTGAAAAATGCCAGATTTGAATCACAAAATGAAACGTTAACAGAAATGTGTCTCTTGCTACTTGTGTGTCGATTTGTGACTATTTGCGATGTACCTAGCATTCAGTTTTAAGCAACAAAATCTGTTTTATTCCTACACCAAGGCTAGAAACTCAACACATTTTTGCCTTCTGTCTGACAATCTCATTATGCATCCTAATTGTACTTCCTTTAATCTCATGGCAAAACAAGTCATCGAAGTATTTGTCACACACTACATCATTCCAACACTCCCCATGAGCTGGACTGCTTTTGGGAGTCTTCCAATTTGCCATGTGGTGGAGTAAAAAATTCCCAGCAGAAGGTGAACCTTAATTGCTCACACTGTGCCAGGACTCTTCTTGGCCTATATTTGATTATTCAGACCAGGCCAATCTCATAACCTCAGAACTAGAAGACTATCCAATAACAGGAAATCATTATACAAGGAATTCAGCACATTGTAAGTCCCATGCTGGTTGCATCTGTACATGTACCACTGATTTCTCTCATTAATTACTGCTGCAGCATCTTATGTTGCCATCAAGATATCTCAGCATGACCTCAGTCCAGACCACCATTTATCTTTTTTAAATAACAAATACAAGCTGTGAACAGTATTTAAAATCAGAGTTGAAAATCAATATAAACACCAAATAGTCATAATACCATGAACATGTGACCAATCTTATGCAACCCAGTTCAACATGTCGTCATGCTTTTTCACATTTACAACAAAAACTGCAAAGTTACAAAGTTTGGTGTCCATACAAGATGTATGCAAAGTTTCAAATCACAAGGTAGAGATATGTGGTCATAATCTTAGACAAACACGTGAAAATGTGAGACCATGGTTTAGGTGCAAGATTTAGTAAAATTCTGACAGAAGAATTCTAGACTCTTCTCACTGGTTCCTCTGAGCGTCCAGCAAAGCAGAACGTCCTGCCTCTGACAGCGTGTGAGGTGACACACACGGCAGAGTGGGGTAACCATAGACATAATATAAATATACATTGTATATCTATATACATAATGTCTATGGGGGTATTGCTGCTCTGCTACTGACAATAGAGGAAGCTGGTCGCAAACAACCAGCTCTGTCCTCAACCAGCTTCCTAAAAGCCTCCAGAGAGGTGGCCAATCAGCAAAAAGTGGGCTTGGGGAAGGAAAGCCTTACAGAAGCGTTTTAGATGGAAGCTGAAATATTGATATTTTAATACACCACTGTGAGGAACAGAAGGCTTTTTTTGATCTGAAAATCATGTAGCTCTATTAAAGAGGTATCACAAAGAAAATATAGAGTCTTGAAAAAATGCATGGCACTGCAGTTTGGTTCAACTTTCTGTGCACTGACAAAACTGGCATGTCGTGGCTCCTGAGGGACACCGACTAAATTTAACAACTTACATAAAACCAAATTCTTGAACGGAGAGAATCATCTTTGTATGGCAGTATAGTCTAAGGCTGAAGACAATAAAATGCATTTATACCAGACAAACCACAAAAAACTTCCATAACTTGCACATAAGAAGATAAATTCATAAATGGAATTTTTATTTCATTCAATTTAAGTTGATGTCATTGAGAAATGTTCTCTGTGTTTACCTCCACAGATTTCATCGACAAGAGTGAACTGAAGGCATTCTTTGAAAGCAACTGTTCTCAGATTTATTTTATCTTCTATGAAAGTTTCATCACACTGGAAAGCAACTTTAAACAAAAAGGTAGGTACCCCCCACCCGATCCTTTTTTTTTTTTTTTAAACCGCTATTTGAGACCCGCACACGAAGCCACTATAACCAGTGTTTGTTCAATAATTAACCCCCTGCTCTCTGTGTGGAAAGTGTAACTTTTGTGGCTTGAATTACTGTCTTCCCTGTTGTGTAGCAAGCATTAACCCACAATGAAGCAATTTCAGTATATGTTTAGTATCACTTTGTGTTCAGCCCAAGTCCAACTGTATTCAGGGGCAGGGGAGTAATTCCCACTGGGATTATGCTCCTGCAGTAACACTTATTCCTTTGTATAAGTGTTCGCCAAATGGCCTACATTAATGTTACATTATTGATGAGCCTGCTGCAGTATAGCTTCCAATTATATGTTTAAAAACAGAAGTACTTTCTCTGTCTTTCAGGGAATAAATCTCAGAGGGAGGAGCTGGACTCTATCCTCTTTATTTTTGAAGTAAGTCATCTGTGTTTTTATGTGTTGCTCTTCTCGTATTTGATTTCACAGACAGTGAACTCTGGGGTGGGCTCATTGTTTCTATGGCACCATGCTACACCTCTAACAACTTCCACTTCCTGGTTATTTGATCGAATCATCCAGAGATTGTGCAGATAAACAAAACAGTGTTTGATCAGTTGGCGAATTGTGCCAAGTTGTTAGTCATTTCCTTGGTGTGTATGCAAATCAGAGGGTGTGCTTTGACTTTGTGTGTACAAGGTGTTGTTAGGTTTTTGGCCCCTCCCCCCTGTTTTCCTCAACACTTCTAATGTTGCATGTACAGGTTAAAGTCCCTTCCCTTGTTTTCCCACCTGACTGCATAGTCAGCTCCAGTTTCCAATACAAACAGTCTGCTCTCCAGTTACATTTGCTCAGGGCAGGGCTGAAAGGATGGCAGAAGACCAAGAAAATGGAGGGCAGTCTGTTGGTCCTCCCTCCTGCAGTATGTCTCATCCTAGTTTTCTTGTTTTTGTTTTTGTTTTGCTTTTTTATATCACCTAACAGCACTACATGGAAATGTCCCTGACATCAACTAAAACAGAGTAAATCATTGTCAGGGCTTTTAAATTCCCCCTGGTCACAAAGACCTGACTCAATGTAGAATCTGTTCTTATGTTTTCAGAATGCATCTTTACGTCTAATGTTCTATTGATGCATTTTAGTGCATGAATTATGGCGTTTGTATCTGTTGAGTCTCAGGCTAGTCTGTGTAGAGTTAAAATTCAAGTTGTTCAGGTTAAAACTTATGCCCATAGTTGCTTTTTTATCTCAATAATCAAGTGGAATAATGATTTTGGCTCTTCTTGTTATTTAAAATAAAATAAAAAAAACTAACCCACTAGATTTCCTTCACTTGTCCATATTTTTACATCCAGTCATGTCACCTGTGACTAGAGCCTGGATTTATATCTCCTACATATTTATGGAGTCATCTTTTCAAAAAGAACTAACATTGAAAGCAGCTTAACCCTCATTTGTCCCCTTTTAGCCCCTGTCTGTGGCGTTGTGTGCTCTTACCAGTGCACTGAGTAGATAAGCTGACTTTGAATACTCTATACAGGACAGATACAGGGTCCCTTTGATCCCCAGCACTGCTACATTTTTCTCTATGCAATATTAGATCAGGCTTGTTGGATCACATGTGGTCGTGAGTATCATATCAAAGAATACATTATACTTACCAACATGCGCTGCAGACATTTACCATGGTGTCCATGAGGTCATGTTATGTAACAAAAGGAAAGGACATATACAGTAAAAGATTAACCCATACATCTGCTGAGGTATGTGGATTGTGTCCATTCCTTTTCCTCTCATAAACAGACATAGATAGCACGTGTTGATTGTGAAATTTGCCGCACTTTTTCATGAATTTTCTCACAGCGGGATAGCGCTTTATCTTTTCTTGTAGTCACAGAAGGCAATCAACCTTGACACAAACCCTATAGAAGTCGTGTGCAAAGTAGACTATGGATGAAATGAAACCCAGACAAAAGGTGCTCGTGTCTTGCAACCAGCTGTAATGCTGTATGTTTGGTTGAAAAACCCTCATGATGCTACATTGCTGCCCCTATGTGGAATATTTACCCTGAAAGCCATATCTTTTCTTATCCCTGAAGGGAAAACTAGTCCCTATCACTGTCCATCACTTGACTCTTTCCTTGCATTCAAATCTGGTTGACCACGTCTGCGGTTTGCTTTAAGTGTGTTACGCAAGGATTACTCCTCTGTCTTGATAAGGTACGTGACCCCTTTTTCCTGATTTGCTGTGGGGGAGCATGAGCCCTGATGCTTAGCCTGTTTGAGTAATAGATATCCAGAGGGGGTAATCTTTTGTCCCTCCTCCTAAACACCCCACCCCCACCGCCACCCGCAGCCATCTCCGTCCCCTTCCAAGATCTCTTTGTGTCTGCTGCCATGAAAGCATTCACCGTGGCAGCATGTGATTGTGTATCTGAACTAGCAGAAAGAGGGACCTTATCTCTTTAAAAGGTTCATATTTCTTGTTACTTTTATTCACTTTTTACCTGGTAGTATCATCAAAGAAAATGATTTTTTTTATTCTAGGTGTAGTCCTTTTGATTGGAAATTGAATACGTGGAATTAAGGAACAGTTTAACGGCAAAACCACCCATAATATGACACACCTACATCCTTGGTGGCACTAATTGTTTTTAGAAGTTGAATAACAGGTCTAATAAAGACCTGAGGGTAATCCAGGTGTGGTAATCCAAGTGGCTCTTAGTTTATTACAGGTTTATATAAAACAAAAAGTGGCAAATTCCTGCAGAGAGCTAGCCAGAGAGGCAGTACAAGAGTATGAAACTGATTTTAAGCTGCTACGTATCCTAAGACTATGTGCAGGTCTGTCACATGAAGTGGAAAAGGTGACCATGACATTAACAACTCAGCTTTTAATGAAAACTGAGCAAAATCTTGTTTTAATATTGTTGTATGGATACTGATGCATGCAGTTGTTCTGTATTATTTGTATTGGAACTTTACCTTGTCATGCAGGTTAATAAGGAGTTTTGTGAGACAAAGTTTTTGCCAGTTGGAAAATGTCTGCCATTCTTACTCTGTACCTGAGTTAAGAGGTGTTGAATCTGACCTGTTTTATCATATCAAGCTGTTGTACATACAAATAGCAAGCAAGTGTGGGTACACACCAAAAGAAATGTTCTTAAAAGCTAGACCCTCATAACTGAGGTTGAAGTGTGCTGAAATGAAACCATATGACAACACTCATGTTTTTGTTTGTGTCATATGACCAGATTGAGCTTCTCAGGCCTTATGTGACCTCGGCTTGTTGATGCTTCTCCATGACTTTAAATTATGTTTAGTGTCTGTGAGCAGTTCAGTCCTGGTGCCAATGAGGTTGTGGGACAGGTTATGGGAAGCTAAACCACACAGGAAAAGTCTGTGCAAAGCTACTTTCTCTCCAGGATATGACCTCATGATGACCTTTCATCTCTCATTTGGACCCGAATCAGCATTTTGAGTTTCCCTTGGCATCCTGTTTGTAAAATAAACTTTCTTTAGCTCTGAGACTTTGCCCTGTCAGTTTCCCTACATGAGTAAGCCTTGAGTAAGTAACTATTTAATCAAATTTTTATGGATAGTTTTAACTAAACCTCTTTTGAGGCTGTTGTCTTTTACAAAACTGGAGGAAATGAGAAGCCCTCATCGATTACTTTCTTTTATTGGGATGGTGATTTTAGCAAAAAATATAAAAGCCATTTTTGTTGGCTAAAATGGCACAGTTTCTAGATTTAGGAAACACAATAGAATCAACGGCACAAAAAACTATAATTTTAGTATAAATCCAATACAGAGTGAAAGCGCTGACTGCAGTTTTCCAACAACTATATATTCTGATGGTTGTTCTTTCCCAGCTAAGCCAGAAATTTAGCATTCATCCCAAGGACCAATTGAGGGTGAACGTGTCATGTTATTTTCTGCATTAGCTTATGGCAAACTAAAAATGGGTTGTTCACTCATTTGAATGCCCCTATGAAATGCATCGCAATAGCAGGGTGCAAGTAAAAGTCAGTAATTTTGGTGGTTATTAATAATAGTCTTGCTTTGTATTCTGTAAGGGCATCATACTAGTCATGATGCGTATTTGAGGTGTGCCTGAAAACATTCTGTACTTGTTTGCTAATATCATGTAGGAAAAATTAACATTTAGCTAAGTAATTTCTTTCCCCTGTTTCCTCTTTCTGCTGTGCTTGTTATGATTCATAGGTCATCAACAGGGGACTATTGGTAACTGCATAAATGCAAGTGTCAGGGTTGAATTCTAGTGTTATACGATTAACTTCCACTTATATTTGGCCTTTTAAGACGAACTCCTAAAAAAATTCAGACACATACTGCAAAGAAAGCTTAATTTTCAGTACGTCAGAAATGTAATTTGTTGTCTTATCAATTAATTCATATGTTTTATGTTAGTTGACTTGCAGTTTACCATAAGATGTCAAGTTGTCATGCCTCATATAGTACATGGAATGGGAAACTGTTCCAGAATGGTCAGTGAGGCTTTGGCTGAGAACATACATAAAACTTGATGGTCAAGGAGAGTGGCACTTGGACACATGGAAGTTTTCTTATGTTCTACTACTGCCACCTTCTGGCTATAGAGGAGAATGACAGTGTCTTGGATGTAGTTTTTTTATTTATTTATTTTTTATAAATAAATACAATTTAAAAAAAAGAGTCAAAAATGGTATTAATTTTAAACATTGCCACTTCTAGTATATTGCAACCCTAAATAGATTGAGGCCTTTAATAACATATCATGAAGTCAAGCCAAGGACTTTGGTTAGCATGTAAATAAGCACACAGGCTCGCTTTGTTTAGACTTACCTTCCCATGCAGGATAAACAAAGCAGGTGTGCAGTCATGTCTTCTCTCAGACAGTGTGCATACAAGTGACTCATAGTTCTGGTTCAGTTTACTCTGTCAGAAGGTCAGGGTAAGGGTTATTATCGGATACTGTGGTGTCTGCATAGATAATGATGATGGAATTATTGCACTTTATTCCTTATGGACAGTGTTCCAGGGAACTGCCCTAGTTTTGGTAAAGGCCTATATGTGCATCTGGTGTTATTTAGCTTGTAGTTAATGTATATTAAAAGATAAGTTTTTTGTCTCGTATGTCATTGTGTCTCTTTAGAGGTTTCATTGTCCTTAAATGGTGCAGTCACCTTAGAGTTCTATCAAAAACCTAAACCAAATGCAAAGAGTTTTTTTCTCTGTGAGTATTGCGTTTCTGTTGCAAACATCAAAAGCCCTTGCAGACCACCTTTTGGAGAAGCGTATTCTGTGGCATGATCAGCCCCTACGACTGGAAACCTAAGTGCGGATCATGTAAATGTATTAAGGCTGAAGTTGTACCACAGTAATACCCCCATCTTTATGCTGGTGTATGGCTGCAGATTAGAGTAACTCCACCAACCCTCAGTCCATTTATTCACTTCATATCAGCCAGTAAATTCCTCATTGTTGCAACTGCCATTCCAACACCACAGGGAGTCTTTCTGAGCTACCCTCTCCATCTCATTCCCACTCTTCCATCTTGGTGCTCTGTAAGGAGAGAGAAAGACAGTGTTATTGTGTCTATTCACACACAAACTCATGCACACATACACACACACAGGGTAAGGCTTAAGCAAGCCACCCTGCTGTGTTACTGCCTGCCATAATGTGTCTGCTGCCCCAAGGAGACTGAGTGAAAGAGGCCATTATAGAGCCTGCACAGAGATGTTGTAATCCCATGCGGATCAATAGCAAGGTGCAGTCAATGCTTGTTCACGCAAATCATCACGTCTGTGGATCAGAGAGGAATTGAACAGCACTGATAGTCATTCAGTGCCCCCTTAAAAGTGATGTATGTCTTTCTGTATCTCTGCTGTCACTGAGAATGACAGGGATTTACCTTCAGAGGACAAAAATGGAAAGTTGAAGATTGAGGATGACAAGAGAAGAACAAAGTTGTTGACAAACTCAAACGTTCAAGACATGAGATGACTTCTTGGCTCTCAGTATCGTGTGGAATCATTGAGAGTAAAACTGAGTTATAAAAACAAATTTTCAGACCATTTCTGTTGAGGTAGTAAGGAAAATATCCTGCATAGCAATTTATTGCTTGTATACAACAATTGAGACAATCATGTGAAAACTTGTTTTTCTTGAAAAATTGTAGGAAAATGAAAGGTAAAAAATGTTGTTTCATACTTGTATTGACTGTATTAATTATCAAATTCAGTTCCACTGTTTGCACTTACCTATATACTTTTATTTCTTTTCTTCCCAATCAATGTCCAAAAATCCTTGAGAGTATGAAACATCTTGTTTTTTTTTCATGCCACACAATGACTCTCTCAAGTCTTTGAAGTTTTCTGCCATACTCATTTCAGAAGGACTCAGTCTTTGTGCTTCAACAAGCACATTTTTTAATGCTCTGTATCTTTGTCCAGTCTGTTTATGAGCTTTTTATCTTGCCGGCCAGAGGTGTTACCTGGTTGTGTGGGTCAACGCTGCATGCTGAAAGCAGTAAAGGGCGGAATTGACCCCCACATTACAATCACCAAGTCTTACTGGGTTAGTGATTAGGATTTGATGATAAGTGAGCTTTTGGAGCTTCGGTTGCTCACAGTGCGCTGACTAACCAACAGTATGTGCACGTACACACGCCCACACATCCACCTACCCCAGCCTTTTTTCCACATCTCTGTTAACCTGTCCCTGCATTCACAAATAATGATAGGCTGCTGAAAGGTTAGGGCTTTCTAATTGAGTTGTAAAGTGATTGTTGGGGAGGTGATGACATTTCTCTGTGGAGTCCTCTGTCAAAGGGATGTGCAGACATGCAAGGCCAAATGGAGGGAGATGTACAGTATATATATTTGTTTTTTTCACTCGCCAAACAAAGACAGTTGTTGGTTCCACCTTTTTTCAGTTTAGGTTCAAATAGAGACAGAAGATCTTTATCGGTTAGGTCAAGCACTACCTAGTTTAAAGAGAATCTTCTTGAAAATCAGTTATCGTTTGGTATCTGTGAAACCGCACAAAGTTCTGAGTATCTGCTATGTGGAAAACAAGGGCTACATGGATGCTCTTATAGGTGAAGAATTACAGAAACAAATGCATTTAAAAATCTGAATTAGAGTCAGCTTTTTGCATGAAAGTCTGAATAACTATTATGAATTATGTATATGATTATGTTTTTTTTGCTCTTTTCTTTTCAAGCTAGCAATGTGAACACTGAAAGAAAAAAGATCCCTTGTGTATCTTGATGCAAACACTCTAATTTTCATTTCTGAAAAGTTCCCAATTATCATAGCTGGATTCTGTTCAAGGTTTCTGCCTGTTAAAAGAAGTTTTTCCCCTCCATTGTAACCTGCTAAATGCTGCAAAGTCTTTCAGTCTTTGTCAAGCATCTTTAGATAACAGTTGTAAATTGGTGCTATATAAATGAAGATCAATGGATTTATTGATTGATTTACTATCAATTTATTTATTCTTTGCTGTTTTTCCTCCTCAGAAAATTTTGCAACATCTGCCAGAGAAAATCTACAGCCGATGGCAGTTTCACAGTATAGGTATGTTTTGCAGTTTCTTCAATGCTGAGGTTCGTCTCTCTGTTACACCAGAATCTTAGCTATGTCCTGTGTATGCGTCTTTCTTCCTTCATATGCATCTGTAACCTCTAAGATACACTTCAGGACAAAAAAAATGGCACCACAACCATGGTTAAGCCTTCCATAATGAAGAGAAAATAATTAGTCCTAGAAGGGAATGTAAATGGGAAATGCAAATGAGCACTTCATTTGAAATTCAAATAAGTAATTGAATTATGCTGGCATGATTTCAGTCTCACACGAAAAGGAAAACCCTTGCAAGAAGTGATAACCTCAATTAAAAGTGTTGTTTGTCAGCCATTGGCAGCAGCCATTCAGGTCTAGATGATTGTAGTAGATGGGCCATCTTCTTAGCCTTGTCATTTCAAATATCAGAATTTGGGTGGGACTGAAAATCAAAACAGCAGCGTATTTATTGTCTCACCTACTCATGCTATACAGTCATTACATTACTATATGTTTATAATATAAACATTATCTAGCACTCTTAACAGATTTCTAATCCAGGTGGTTACTGTTTTACTAACCCATGATTCCTCATAGTAAGGCCACTAACAATACAATCTGCACTTCAACTTTCAGGGGCATTATGTGTCAGTCTGTTAATCTGATAGTGTGTTATCATAATGAGATAGGTTTACAGTTAATTTATTATCACAAAAAGTCTGTGTCATTCTAGTATCGCTCTTATTACATATGGTATCACATTAGAGTCACCCTGCGTCTCCCAACACTTATCAAAACTCCTCTTGAGATTCATTCATTAATATGTTTGTTTTTGGACCTGAGTTCAGAGTCACAAAGCCGCCTCGTTGGCCTTCTGCTGAACTCAATTCTGCGGAAATCAATCAGCAATCAGTGTGCACGTAGCTTTATAAATGGTAATGCCATCACCATGCGTGTCTTCCTGTTGGAGTTTGGGGGCAGGTTGATAGTTCTAAGTAGAATTCATATGAGAGATTTTTTCTTTTGCCTTCAGGCAAATTCATTAAGGATATTAGTGACTAGCTAAAATTTCATCTGGTTAATCAGGTCAGGGATGACATTAATGTGGTGTTCTTCTAGCTAAGTATGCAAGGTGACAGACATTTGACACCAGTCAGTAAAAGCTGTGGAAAAAACTTGGATCTTTTATCATCCCTGTCTGCTCACATCTTCCTTTTTTCCTGAAGCTGAAGTCAAATGAAAAGATTTCATTACACCCTAATGTTTCAAAGGTAAAAATAGAATTGATTTAATCTGCTGAGATGAAAATAATAAAAGCATCACAAAATTCCACTTATAAGCTCAAGCACTCACATCAATTGTGTCTGCTTTTCTAATCCCTGAACTTATCCCCATAAATCCCCATAAATACTAACCTAGTTTTCCTCACAGCCCACAAGGACCTCATTAGAACAGTTTTGTCCCCAGGCTGTCAAAGTATGTCCTAATTCACACACAGGCAGACCTCTTCCGCCCAAGGTATTTAGCAATCAGAGCAATGCCTCATTTGATTACAGTGGAACCATGTTGCCCTCATGAGTGCACATCACAGCCAACCAATGCTAATTTTAAACAGGCGTATGTGAAGCCTTACAACTTACTGCACTGGTTTGTTAGAACCTCCAACCAAGGTCAATTTTCTATGGTGTAGATGACAAGCAGGTCTTTTCCTCATTGTGTAGCAGTCCCCTGATGAATCCATGATATTTTCAATCCTGTCTTCCAGGTTCTGTTCTAAAAAAGCTTCTACACACTGGAAATTCATTCAAAGTAAGTGCTGCCTTTAATGACACAAGATAGATCACAATCTATGATGCCCTGTAACTCTAATTCAAATAAACAATCTCTCGCCTAGATCCGCTGTGAGGGGATCCGTCTCTTCCTGCTGTGGCTCCAGGCCTTGAGGGACAACTGTGCTGAGGAGCAGTTCCTTATCTTTGCCTGCTTAGTTCCAGGGTTCCCTGCAGTACCCTCCTCTAGGGGGCCATGCACCCTTGACACCATCATCTACAACCCTTTCTCCAACCCTCCTGATGGTGACTACAGTCTCTCGTCTTTAAAATGGCATTCAGGGACCTTTGTTTTAATGGGGGTTGTCATATAGATTATCTTCAAAGAACTTCTCACACTGGATTGTGTAGGTTCCCTTTTTGGTGGATTTTTATTTCCCTACATGTAACTGACATCTTTGCATCTCTTGATGTGAACAGCAAAGGTGGTGCCTGAGGAGATTACTCCGCTTGTTCCAGCTGTGGTCGGAGAAAAGGTTACGGATGACCAGACCTGTTACATCCTTGAAATCCTCCTTAAATACATGGTCATCCAGGTAAGGAACAATCATACCAGAGACAATACATGCATTTGCCACACAACACTCCACAGGTGTTATCACAAGTGAAATTCATTAGTGTAAAGGTGTAAATACTGCACTCACACTGGTTACAATAAAATGTAATGGAATACAGCAAAGAGATATGATAGATGTTTTTTGGTCACCTGTTAAGTTGTAAAGGATCATTAGATCTTCATGACCTTGATTTGTTATTGCTTTTATTGCTTCAAATCGCTTTTTTAACTTCTTGTTTTACAATGATGTCAGAATTACTGTATTAACTATAGACTGTATATACAACGGACACCGTCTGCCTCCTTGCTCTGGTGATGAGCTGCAGTATAGGTCATAACTCCGCCTCCTCCAGCAATCCTTATGAAGCTGTGGACAAACTTTAAAAATTTATTACACAGAAAATCTCCCCCCTGTTTCTGATGTTGACATGTAGCTACTGTAAGACTGGTTTGTGCTCAAGTCCTTTTCTTTTCTGTGCAGCTCTGTTTTTTAAAGTTATAAGCGGGTTCATGTTTCCTATGATTGACACCTGATACAGCCTATGGGCGTATGAAGATTACGTAGCTCACCACAGGGGGATACGCTGTTTGAGCCAAGCGTCATTACAGCGATTCTCTGCGACTCTTTCGCCAAATGTGTACAATGCTACTGCGCAATGTTGGTTTCAGGAAGTGGAGAAAAGACACGGAAATACAGAGAAGCTCTTTAGCTTTAAATCCTTATACTGGCGGAAGGCGGAACCAAGTTGTCCATAGTATATACAGTCTATGGTACTCACCGAGCAGATGTAAAAGCACACACATTAAAGTGCTTAAGAACAAACTTGACAGACACCGAAATTATGGGAAGAGCACATCACCTACAAAGTTAAAGCACCGCTCCTTTTGTGTGTTTTGGTTACACGGTGAGCTTTACACACTTGGGTTGTTTATCATTTTCTTGTACAACACGAAGATCAAAACTTAACACTCTTACATTTGATAAGTACTTTGGTCTGTTAATCTTCTGCATAGCTCTCTTTGTACTCTTTGTTTGTGCAACCTTGAGCAACTGTTATACTGCCAGTGATACGCTGCCGCTGTCAAAGTGATGCTAACCGTTTCCTCTGCCTGTCTCCTGACCTTGACTGCTTTTGTGCTTTGTCTGCCAGGCGTCCAGTTTAGAATGGAGGAACAAAGAGAACCAGGACACAGGCTTCAGGTTTCTCTTCAGTCTTTTCAAGAAGTACTACCTTCCACATCTTTTCCCCTCCTTCACCAAGCATACAAATCTCTACAAGCCTTTACTCGGTAAGCTGGCATTCACTGTATGAGTATATATTTGCCTTTCTGCTGAAGCCTTTTCAAACTCAGATTTCTCTTATTGGCTCTTTCTATTAAGGTACACTCACTGTACTCAAACTCGAGAGCTGCTACTTGTGCGGTGAAAGCGCTTTATATTTACACCATCTAAAGAAAACAAAACTGTATCTGTTATCTGAGATTTGACACTGTTACAGCTTTGAAAGTGAGCAGGATAAAAACATCACACTTGCCAAATCGTGCAAATAACGCTTGATATTCTGAACATACCGACACAGAAATAAATCACCTTTTTATTTTGGCGCTTTTCTCACTTTGTAATGTTCATGTTGAATACCCTGACAGCAAGAACTTGTGTTGAGTGAAGTCTTTTTAGGTAGTTAAACAGACTACAGTTAAAGTCAGGTTGTACAGATGCATTGGAAACAAAAACATCTTTTAGAAACAAATTTTATAAAATTAGTTGAAGTATAAGTTTTAACACCTCATTACTAAAACCTTCAATATTCAAATCTCATCTCTTACCCTTACTCCTATTCTTATGTTCTCATACTATCCTCTCACCATTTTTTCACTCTTCCTCTCATTGTTTTGGCTTTAGACTTACCCCACCACAGACCAAAACCCTTGTATGTGCCAGTGACACGGAACAACGAAAGCACCTTCTGTACCAGGGACCAGTACCTGGCACCCCGTGTGGCCTTCATCACCTGGCTGGTCACGTTCTTCCTGGAGAAGAAGTATGTCAGTAGTGCGGCACAGGGCGCGAAGAACGGCACTGAGGTCATTCCCAAACTCATCCAGGTGGGCATGTATCATCGTATTGATTTCTTTGCTTTTCATTGAGAGTTTTGGAAGTGGGGCTGTTTTGAAGAAGTAGTCACCTGTTAGTTTTTCAAGTATAAAGTTCAAGTCGGAATTAGTTATTACCTTACCCTCAGAGATCGCCATATCCTGGGGTGACCATATGTCCTCTTTTACCCGGACATGTCCTCTTTTTGGAGGGGCTGTTCAGCCTTGTCTGGGGAAGTTTATAAAATCCTTCAAATGTCCAGGGTTTTGTATGGAAGTTTAAAGTTTATGTCTCCTGGAATTACTGAGTTTGAAGCACATAAAAAACACTTGACCTCACCCAGAATACTCTCAAAATGTCCTACGCACGACTTTGTGACTCCGCCCCACATAGTAGTGTCCTCTTTTTGGGGATTCAGAATATGGTCACCCTACATATGCACATTTAACAGATATAAAAAAAATTGTCAGTGAGGTTTGCAATGAATTAGATTACAGTGAGGTGGCAGCTGTATAGCATACCAAGTCACTACCACCTCTCACTTTATCTCCTTGGTGTTCCAGACTGTCACTGCAGGCAGTAGCAGCCAGGAAAAGGAAAAGACATCAGATGGGGATCCCAATGGGCCAGCGGGGGAGCCTGAGAAGAACCACTCCAACAGCAGCACACTGTCCGACCGACGGCCAAGTGATTCCAGTTTGTGTAGCATTGAGGAAGAGCACCGCTATGTCTATGACATGGTGCATGCCATCCTGCTTTCCACCAGGGACAATGTGAATTTTGTCAACGAGGTCTTCCACCAGGTACACCAGGATCACAAAGCATTTTTGTCTCAGTCAATAGTTGCACTGCAGTTGTATTACAATGCCTGCCTCTGGATCATAATGAGGAAACTGACTCAATGCCAGCGCAGGCATTACATGTGCTATGTCGTTGCCCTCTGCTGGTCATTTGTTAGCATAACTTTGAAATTCTTTTGACTACCAGGATGTCTTCTCTGCTGTCAACAGTGCTGCAATGGTTCAGGTTTTAAGTTCATAATCTGCCCTTTTAGGCCTTCCTGCTGCCATCCTGTGAGGCATCAGCAACCAGGAAGGTGATCAAAGTGTACAGAAAGTGGATCCTGCAAGAGAAACCCAGCTTCATGACTGAGCCTGACAAGAATACTCAGATGGATGAAGTGGATGACAGCTCTGGAAAAATACTTAGCCTCGAGACGAACAGCATGCATGCACAGGTAAAACGTGAGATACAGACAAACAAAATGTAGATGCTGATCTTAGATTTAATTGAAAAAGAGACGTGTTAAGATTTTAATAAGAAAATAAATGTATTACCGTTTTGTTAAAATTTGTGATTGACATTTAAATTTGACAGCGATATAATAAATTACATTAACAATCTATGATTCTGACTCTATCGAGGGTCTCAAAACAGTATCAGTATCTATGTTAAGTGCATAACGTGGGAATCCCTCATAAAGAAAAAAAATAAACTTAGGACCCTTCCCATTTGAGGTGTAGTGTCTCTTAGTTTTCAGTAGCTGAGTTTACATGATCGGTCCTCTGGTGGATCAATTAAGTGACCTGCCCTTTTCTCTATCAGACAATAGAGAGTCATGGCCACAAGCGATCCTCCAGCTGGGGGAGGACTTACTCGTTCAGCAGTGCCATCAGTCGAGGCTTTCTCACAGAGGAGGAAAACAGGGATGTCAAGGCTGGTATCCAGCCAACACTACAGGTCTGTTGCAGTATTGAAACAGCACTTATATGTTACAGTTTTACTGTATACTCAGCACTGACATGTCTGTAGCAGCCTTCGTCTTCAGTACTTTTTCTTTAAATCCGTGCGGGCCATCAGTTTTCCTCTAACTGCACTTGCAGGTGTTCCTGACCAATTCATCCAATGTGTTTCTACTGGAGCCGTGCCAGGATGTTCCTAAACTCCTGGATAACCAGGTTGAGGTGTGCAAGGGAGTTCTCAGCATCTACAGGCACATGATCATGGAGCACACTATGAACACACAGACATGGTCAGTGAGATATGCAAATGTACACCGAAAACTCTCAAGATCCCTTCATGCATCTTACATACACTGCCTAGCATTAGTCAGTACACCCTCTATTAAAAGTAATGTATTACTCAATATCCAGATGAGCAAAAGTACAATTTCCAAAGTTTTGACAAAGCTGAGTTTATCATAACATTTTATTTACCATAAGATGAGAACAAGGGCGATATGGTCACAAAAATTTAGCTTTGCTTCCAGAATTTTGATCGGGGTGTACTCATTTTTGCATCCTGATTTTAAATTGAAAAAAAAGTTGTATGCAACTTAAAAAATCTTGTTTGCAATCAATGGCCTACATTTGGGGGAGTATTTTGTTGTATAGTCTGACATAGAAAATGTTGATTTTAAAAGAAAAATATAGGTTTTCTGACAACTCTGAAGGGGTGTACTCATTTATGCTGAGCACTGTAGATCTAGTTTATTTATTTATTTTTTTAATCATTCTCATTCACTCCTTTTTTGTCTTAACTAATGCTGTTAATTTTCTTTCTGTGTTCTACAGGGAGCAGATGCTGCAGGTATTGCTTAGGATTACAGAGGCAGTTATGAAGAGGCCACAGGAAAACCAAAGAAAAGACAGCTATGCTGAAAGTTTAGCCTCTATACTCTTTAGGGTATGTTGTTTTTAACACAAGTGATCTATGGGGAGGGTGTGGATATAGAATTTTCACCATAGAAAACAGCTGTGGTCTTTTAGGGTATACTGTGATTACATAAAATGACTGTAGATAACTCTTGATACTTTACTGCCACAATTTGTTGCTTAGGCACTGGAATGAGAAGGTCTCTGTGTGTGTATGTACCTGTGTCTAAAATGTGTAATGCTAACACAAAGGCACTACACAAACGAGATACATCAGCGTGAGAAATGTGCTGTCACATCTTATCAGGAGCTGGTATTCATAGCAGCAACACTGTCTGTCAAAGCTAATTCCTCTCTCCTTTTCTCATCTCGCATGCAGACCATCATTGTGGCGTGGGTGCGGGCCAACCTGTGCGTATTTATCTCCCGGGAGCTATGGGACGAGCTGCTGGCAGTGCTGTCCTCTCTTACCTGCTGGGAGGAGCTGGTGACAGAGTGGGCCAGCATCATGGACTCGCTGACAGCTGTGCTGGCACGCTCCGTCTATGGCCTGGACATGGCCAACTTGCCTCTGGACAAACTGAGCGAGCAAAAGGAGAAGAGGCAGAGAGGACGTGGTGAGAAAAGGGAGAAAATATCAAGATGTTTAAAATCTTGTCCAAAAAAAAAACCAAAATTTTAAACGGACTTCTTAAAATAATGGCGTAATGGACCAGTTGAACTGTTAAGTTATTTATTGGTTTTTAAATGCTCAATAGGGTTTTAGAAAGATGTAAAAGATGCAAAGGGGAAAAATAGAGGGGAAGGTGTTGCAAGATAGATATTGCAAATCATTGAAAGTCTTTATTTAATTAAAAATAGTGCAGAGACAACAGATAAGATGTTGAAACTGATAGGTGTTATGATAAGTGAAAAAATTTGCCAGTTTGATGTCAACATGTTTAAAAAAAAAAACTCAAAATAAAGGCTTTAAGTGATTTTCAAACCATCAAATTCTGCTTTTACTGACATTTTACACAATTCAACTCTGATGGAATTAAGAGTTGTTATTCATACATATTGACCTCTTCCCTGTATGGATGTAACTGCATGGTGCTGACTTTAAATTTATTTCGATGACAAATCAGACCTTAGACAACTTTCTAATGAATACAGTCTATTTTCAGATCCATCAAGCTTGAGAAAGGGAAAAATACTGTGTGTGCATTGTGAAAATTACTATTTTCGACTGGTTTTGACTGCCAGCTAATCGAAAATCCTGCGACTTGTCAACGTCACAAATTTCATTTCCCTCTGTCTGCCAGAATGACTTTTACAATACGACAACTGGTGGTCATAAAAAGTTAAAGAATTTTAAGATCCTACAGATCTTAAAAACATTTTTTAATGAGTTCATGCTAGGCTAGATGATATCTCAATGCAAAAATTAATGCTTGCAAATTTTTAAAATGAGGTGGTTAGTCCTTAAAATGGGATAAGTGGTACTGTAATGATATCCTTGAAGAGTCCTTGGTGTTGCTCAAGGCTATGCCCAAATCTTGGTGATCAGAAAATGTTTCCTGCTTCTAGGAGTGATCCAGGACTCTCAGAAAGCAGCAGCCGTTGCACGTTCTTTCTCACTGAGTTGGAGAAACCAAGGGGAGCAGGGTGGGCCAGGAGTCCAGGAGCCCATGAGGATTCGCTCAGCCACTACGTCAGGAGCTCCTGGTGTAGAAAAAGCCCGCAACAATGTCCGACAGAAGGCCTCTGGTAAATACTCGTAATATTATTCATATCAGTATTGTTGCTGTATGTCCCCATACCAGGAATAAAACACAAAGGATGGCTTTTATAAGACAGTCTGTATATACGTGCTAATCTATGTCCATGCTGTGTTAATCTTCAGACTTACTGTAAGCCAACATCACAGGGTTGATAAGCCTTAGGAGCACAAAGTTTATCAGATGTATTGACAATGTGTGTAAGCCTTCAGACAGGTCCATGTGTACCCAAGCCCAGGTGTCACTGAAAGGCCCAATCCAAAAGACAAAGAGGCCAGCAGATGGCCCTCATTGTTCCCTTGGCATGTCACTGGCCAATGTCAACATGTTTCTATGTCAGCTTGATTGCAGGCATACAGGACAATCTCCCCGTGATGACATGTCAGAGGCCAGCTTTGGACACTCATTGTCATTAGCTCAATTCAGACACTGCAAACCCTTCTTATCTGATGAGAATGTGGCAGGCTAATTATAAGTTTAGCTGAAAGGCAGTCGAGAAGAAAGTCGCTGCAGTGCCTGTCTTCCCCGTCTTAATTTTGTCTAGACAGAATCTTAATGTGGAGGATAAAAGACACAGATGAACTCGTAGCGATTCCTGCCCTTTCGCCACTCCAATTACCACCAACATACTAAAATGATGAGCTTGTTGAGCTAGGAGCAGATGAATTTGTGCCTGAGGATAAAGTCTGAGAAGAGGTTTGTGTGCGTTTGTGTGTGCGCGGACATCTCTATTGTGTGTCTCGTGTGCATGTTAATTCACCTATTCCCTTAGTCTGTTTATTTGTATCTGTGTGCAAGCAAAGATGGACATTAAACACTACCGCTTCAAATTCCCTTCCCTTTCTTTGGCCTAATTGGATTCCTCCCTCATTGATCTTCAAAGGCCCAACAGCCCTCCTCCCAACTCCTCAAGAAAAGCCCACGCATCAATTGTACCCCAGTTTTTGATAGTTTCATTTAGAGTGTAATTAATGCTCATTAATATGCATAAATAGGGCGCAGTGGCAGGCTGCAGCAGAAACCATGTATCTCTCCCTCTCTCTGAAAAGCATAATTAAAGTGTGCTGAAAACAGAGAATAGAGCTGTCCTCTTTCATTGCTCTCTTTGAGATTAAGTCTGAAGTGCCAGCTAGATACAATGGCAATGCTTCAGCATGGAGAACTGTCAAAGTTTGGCTGCTGTTGTGCATGCAAATACAAACTAATATTGTTGTGAACTCTTGTTCAAAGAAATCAACAGAGTAATTCATTGTTGTACTGTTTAATGTTCTCCAACCACAGAGTCAGTTGAACCTGCTGTCACTTTGCCATAGAGGTGTGGTTATTAGGCTTTCCTGTATGCAGTTAGTTCTTGTGTATTGGTACACTGTTTGATTATAGGTTTGTATTTGAAAGACAACATTAGAGTAGATACTATTTACACACACAGTGTCTGTATGTAATATTCCTATATCATATTTCAACTATTTCCACGTACCATTCAGACAGATCAACCCCAACAAAACAAAGATACATGCCAGATACGTCTTAAAGCTTTTAGCAAGGGGGCACAGAGCATTAAGTTAAATTTTATTCTCAAAGCTGTAAAGTGCTCAGATTTCATGATATTTAAATGTCCCCCAGGAAAGTATATCTCGCTAACCTGCTAGCTAACCATTTTCAGCCCTAGTTTATTTTCTCAACATGTGGCAGAGATGATGCCTACCTCACCAGAAGTATCGCAATGCTTTTAAAAAGAAAGCAATGAGTCTATTAGTCCTTTACTTGAAGAAAACACAGTTCTCTCTCTAAAGCCTGTATCACTGAAAATGTCTATAAATATTTCTGTTTCAAAATTTAATTCCATTTAACACAAAGGCCAGAGTGTGGATTCATCTGGTTTAAGAGAAGTCATTAAGATAAGTTTGCTGAAAATTTAAAGTATGAGTTTGGAAGTTTGGTATTCCTAAATTTCCCTTTGAGTGTCAAGTGCCTTATTTTACATAATCTGGAGAGTTGTTATGAACTGTTTTTATTTTTGTGAAGAGAAACTTGTCCAGTTCAATGACAGTTGTCTGATACTTTCAGCATCTAAAATTCTAAGAGCCAAGGTACAATGATGCTTATGAGAGACAGAAAGACAAGTTTATTCATTTGTACTCCTGCCCAAGAGAGCCATAAAATATAGAGACTTAGACTAAACTTTATTCATCCCTTGTGATGACTCCTGCAGGAAATTTGGGTTACCAGCAGCTTTTACAGGTAAAAAGGTAAAAAAAAAAAAGGTGCAAAGTGCAACATGCAAAACGTAGTTACAACATAAAATAAGATAAAATATAAAAAATAAAGAAATAAAAATACAAGTTACACAATCTACAAAAACTCTGTAGAGTCTTGCACATTGAAAAAAGGTACATATGTTATTACAAATATTTTGATATCATAACAGTATGAGGATTGACTTTTTTATATATTCTTTGCACAATTAGAAAATATGTAATTTAGTCCACTTTCAAAATGCCCCCTTTTCAATACCATCTCCAGGCCTGGATGACAGTTTTTAAAATGTCAAGCTTATTACATGTATGACTGCTGACTGTGTATCTATGAACTCTTACCTTTTTGTCTCTTTCTACTTCATTTCAGGCAATAATGAGTTTTAATACTTGTTATTTATGGCTACATAAGCTTATAATCATTATATTTTCATATACAATACCTTTGCATTTCTAAACTCTTTATAATTGTGTATTGAGGGAGGATGCTAAATATTGAATTAATAACTAAACATGATTATCGAGACTTTTTGTCAGATTTAAACTCTGACAATCAAAGTAAAAATTCAATAAAAGAAGGTGGAGGGTATGAACAAATACCTAAAAGTATTGTACTTTGATAGTGGCCCAGAGAAAGACAGGAATAGGCTGAGAGCATTTACACATGGATATATCTGGAGTCCCTTTCTCAAATGAATAATTTATATTCCTATTAAATATGTGCAGCCAGAGATTTATGTATTTAACTTTGAGAGAAAATTCAGTTAGGATTTTTTTTCTTTTTCTTGGGCAGCTATAGCAGTTGATAAGTCTGCTTCAATTTTAAATAACTTGGCAACCATTAGAATAAAGTAGTCATGAAACCCCCTCTGGTTTGTAGTGATCTTTGTTTTAAAAAGAGCCAGTTTGAGGATGAATCCTCTACAGAAAGACAGTGTCAGCACATGAACTTTTTATCCTCACTTTTGTGAATTTGCCATTTTAGTGACTGAGATAAGAGTTTTAATCATTGTAATCACCTTTTCCTCTGTTTTGGTTGTTTTTCCTGCATTTTTTCTGTCTGTCATAGTCAAATTGTAATAAACACTGAGTTGACCCAATTAAAGTCGAAGTCTGCTTCTGCTCTGCTGTGCTCTATTCTCTGCCTTTATTGAATACTGTCTTCTTCCCTCTGCCTTTTTTTCTCTTTCCACTTCTTTCCCTTCTCTTTTGTCTTTTTCCCCGATGGAAGCTAAACGAAGCCAATCAATCAGCAACTGTGTTCATCTATACGAGGCTTTGCCCACTACTAAAAGCGTTCCTATGCTGCTCCACACTGTGAGCTCTTTCTTGCCTGGTATCTCTTCTGGTAACTCTGCTTGCTCTCACAGACTCTCAGGTAAAGTGTTTTTCTGAGAGCTGCATGTGTGTTTGTGATCTTTGTCCTTCTTTTCTATCCACCCATCACTATCTGTAATTCTCAACCAGCTTCTGTGTCTGTTGTGATGGATTTAAGGCAGAAAGGTTGATGTTTGACTGGAAATTTCTTGTGCTCATCCATTGAGTAACATACGGTAAATCTTTAAAACATCCCTGTATTGGATAGTAAGTGTGCATGTCATAATTAGTTTTAACAAATATTTCAGTGCTTACATTTCCCTTTTACAGTGTTTTCAAATCACTAAATCAAATCATAGTTGGTTGTGTTTGTATTTGTCTTGTCACTGTTTTTTTTTTTTTTTGGTGAGTTTGTTTTGTTGTCTTTGAACTCCTTGACTGTGTGTCTTTTTTCCTCCTGTCTCTCAGATGTGGAAGAGTGCCAGCTGTCAGAATGTGGAGGCGAAGAGGAACTTGCCGGAGAAAGTCCTCTGCCACGTAGCAGCAGTACCTCAGACATCACCCAGCAAGTGTCTGACACTTTACCAGGTAGAATCTGAGGCACTTCTATTGACATCTTTCATATTTGTAAAAATTAATAATTGACACAGGCCCGCACACCCTTTTTTTTTGTGGCTCTAAACACTTTGATTTATTCTTTTACTCATATAAAGAGGGAATCAGGCATTGGAGGAATCTAAGAATTATGAAGCAAGTCTTGTAATTTCCTAAATCGGTTGTATTAGCATATTAGACAGAGATCCTGATTAATAGGGAAAAAAAAACCAGAATGATCTCAAATACCCATGGAGCATTCATTTTCATTTATCATCTTGGTATCAGCCTAAACAGCTACTCCTAAATGCTGCTTGCTAACCCAATAACCTCAAACACAGAAAATAAGCTGTGAAGATATAAAAACATTTGCTCAACAACAAGCAAATTTTCTTTTGTAATGAGTTTTTTGGTTCCTGTTTGCAAGAGAAATCCCCCTTGTGTCATGAATTCCCTCATAATAAGTATTAGTTGCTGTAGATAACTTTATAACAACTGCAGTGCCTTTTTTAAAATATCCCCTGTTGCACCTCAGCCCAGAAAAGAGAGTACTCCCCCTCCTCGTGCGGCTCCGAAAGCAGGACATCTGAAGGGAGAAGAGAAAGTAGTGAGCCACCCGTGGTAGGAAGACTCATCTTGTGCTAGAATATAACCTAAAACTAACATTGCTAAGTTTTCATATTGGTGTTTATTTACTTAATTTTGTGTCTGCATCCTCAGATCCTCATTCGTCAGAGTAGTAGTCCAGCTGATACAGAGTGTAATTCAGAGGGACACACAAACTATGCTAGACCCAAACTCAGAGAGAAAAGTAAGTCTGTTTTTTTTATTATAATCACTGTGATATTCACAAAGCTCTATTTAATATGTATGTTCTACTGGAAAGCCTACCGCCTAAATGTAACGCCAAATCCAAAGTGTAAAAAATGACTTTTTGCATGGAGAAATAATTTTCTATACACAACCATCTAACTCCTTCCGATAATTCTCTTTTACTTTTTATGTCATTTATAACATTCCCTCAACTTTTGAAGGTGAGAGTATAAGCAGTGAGACATCCAACGGCTACCTGAATGAAGCGGAGGTGACCTGGCAGGCCTTTGATGAGGAAGCTGATACTCAGTCCACACAGTCGGCTCACATGGACGTTACGGCTGACCCTCAGAGCCAGGGGAGTTTGCTTCTCAGCCATAACGAGGCCCTTGCAGGTATTGCAGAACTATTAAGCCTCTCCATGAGGAATCGAGCACAGTTGGACTATTTTGACCCTCTGTTCCTCCAGATTATTCTGGCATCTATTGCTTTTAACAACAATCTGAACAAAAACTAGTAGTAATACTAGCTCTGCCACTGAAAATACATATGATTGTTAAAGTTAGATAAGTCCATTGATACTGGCCATAATTTTAAAATTGATCCACATTTTTATAGCTTAACCTGCAATAATTTTGTGTAAGACTTTTAAAGTCAAGCCCTGTTAGCTGTAGAGGAGGTCAAAGTAGGTTACGTCTTTTTCTCTCATTTTTTGATTTTTGGTTATTTTCAGAAAAAAAAGTGGGGATTTTTTTTATTCTAATTTTGTATTATCATTAAAAAATTTATTACAACTGTGCTCTGAAAAAAACATCAATAAAAGAAGGGATGCACCAATCCACTTTTTTCACCTCTGATACCAATACAGATATGTACAGTTTAGTATCGGCCAATACCGGTCCAGTTCCGATACAGAAAAGTCACGCTGAATTACCTTTAGTTGTAACCTGAAGTTTTATCACTGCCCCTTGGATTGTTTACTGCGCAGGTGTTGCAAGTGGCCGCCAGGCTTGTAGGCTGATGTATTGTGATAAAGTTCAAGATAGCAGACCTCTTTGCTCGCTCCATTTTGAAAACAACGTGGGCATCCACTCAGCGTGTTAGTTGTGGATTCCACTGACAGCGCAAAGCATAGAGCTAGACTGAAAAGATCGGCCCCTATGCATCAGGCCCATTGTCACGATACCCGATCTAAAATTTTCTTCAGTATCAGGACCGATACCAATATCAAACATCGGATTAGTGCATCCCTAATTAAGAGTTGAGCTTTATCTGGTATGTTTCTGGAATCTTAAGTGTCTTCCATAACCTACCACTTGATGGATTCGTCACATGGGTATACTGTTCCTGCAAAGGACTTTGGCCTGCTTGTCAGTATCCTCTACAGTACATTCTTGCTATTTAACAATTTAATCATTCAACACTGCAAATAGGTTGTGTGTACAGTAGCTGATGTCTTCTAGCTGAGTATTCTACTTTGTCATTTTCAAATGATCAAAAATGTTATTTCGGATAAGATATTGTTTCTTCAAACCTTTCAGTTTTCAGTTCTTCTCTCACATCACAAAACCATTCCCAGCCTTCTATGTGAACTTTGTGTGTAGACCACATTGTGTAGATCATGAAGTTCTCACTCCTCTCCATGCTCCCGTCCTCAAACCCAGAGTTATCCCTTTCCCCTTGTTGTTCTTTTAGGTCCTGAGTGTTCCCATCCTCCCCACTCTGCACCCCCGTCCTACCACCACCACAACCACTACCACTACCCCCAGAACCCACCCGCCTCACCAGCCCTTCTTGTGCACACAGAGTGCCCGCGGGACTGCCCCTTGGATGACAACATGCATCAGTCTGTCTTACACATGCCACACCACTTGGGTACTGCTCCCCAGCTGCTACTCATCATATAGACCATAGTTCTCATTTACCATCAACTCTCCATGCTCTGTGGTGTTTTGCTTGCATGTTTCTTGATGTTTTTTGTCTTTTTAGTACATTTTCCCCGAAAACTGTTTACTTACTGCTGAATACAGGAATTTGACTTTTCTGGTTTACTTGGATTAAACATGCATTCCTGCTTATTCTGTTTTTCATTGTGCTTAACATTTTGCTCAAGAACTCCAGATTCATCTCTAATGTGCTACAGATGCAAAGTATTTCTTTGGTTTGAGCTCCTTTTACCCCCTCCTCCTCCGTCTTCTTCCTTTTCCGCTTCTTCTTCTTCTTCTTCTGCTGTCCACTAGGTGGCAGCATCCTCTCACATATCAACATGAATTGGCTGATGCATGTGACTTGTGCCTGATTCCAAAAGTGTACCTGTGTTTTGATAATTTTTATGAGAGGAATCTCTTACTTGGACACATTTGGAAAAAATGCACATGAAGTCAAGAAAATTGGTCAACAACTGCTCATACAGTGACAAGACTTTCATGTACCACAAACAAACCTGATGATTTAAAACCTTTACCGAAGTTACTGTGCAGTTTTTGACCAGTTCCCATAAGCTCTACGAAACCCAGTGTAGAGCATTTGCAGTTGATACAAACACATTTTAAATGTATGCTAGTGATTTGCTTTCTAACCCACAAACTTCTGAAATTCTGTGCCTAACCTTGCAGACAGTAGTGAGTGTCTCACTGATGATGTCAGCATCATTGCGGGTGGGACCCTGACTGGTTGGCATGCTGACTCTGCTTTTGTCCTGTGGAGGAGGATTTTGGGTATCCTTGGAGATGTGAACAGCATCCGCTGCCCCAGAATTCATGCCAAGGTCTTTTACTGTCTGTATGAGCTCTGGCACAAGCTGGCAAAGGTGAGTACAATCAGTTTAAAAAGTTTTATGTAAGATGAGAATGAAAAAAAAAATGACACCCATTTTGCCATTGAGATATTACTGTAAAATCATGAGATACATTACATACCACAAAAAAAAGTTTTAATGATGTAAGTGACTAATTATTTTAGCCAACAGTATTTATCTTTATGTTTATGTTTTTATTGAAAGGGTATTTCAAACCAAGATTTTCCCCAATATTTTTCTCCTGCCCTATGTTAAATTCATGCTTATAGGAATCCTGCATGTTGGTCGTTTAATTAACTCAGTGAACATTTACTTATAGATTCGGGACAATCTCGGGATCAGTGTAGACAACCAGTCATCTCCCCCGCAGCCAGCCTTCATCCCTCCTCTTCGAATGCTGGCTTCCTGGCTTTTCAGGGTATGTACAACAGAGACACAGACCACAACAATTACAATACTTGAATACTAGAGGCACAGCATTGATAATATGCAAAATACAATAACCGAAGTACTGTTGGATAGATTGAAATGTGGTATCTGGTTCCAGTTTTCCAAATTGAAAAGGTTCATGAGGAATCAGTTCCATTATGTCCTTAAGACCCCAAATCGTTTCCATGACCTGTAGCTATTTCACTATAACCGAGTTTATCAATATGTTTGTTGTACACAATATCCGGTAGGTGTTTCCTGGGGAAAGCCTCTTTGCTTGAGAAGGAATTGGATTAGAAGTAATTAAATAGAAGTGGCTGGTATGGAAAGAGGCTGTGAGCCAATCAAACAGCAGCTTACTGAACCATTTTAGAGATGAAAATAAAAGCATACATTTTACAGCTCTCTTGTTGATGGAGAACAGCCTCTCTGTTTATGATAGATTTTTAGTATCTGTAGCTTCATTCAGGAGTGACAAGTTTCAGCCAAACAAAAAAAAATACTTTTTCAGTGTCCTTCTTACATAATGTCCAGATGTCAAAGTTACAACTTCCTTATTACAGTAGTGAACTTAGCATTTGTGTTCCCTCTTCAGGCCACCATGCTGCCCGCTGAGTACAAGGCTGGTAAACTGCAGGCCTACAAACTAATATGTGAGATGATGACCAGGCACCAGGATGTGCTCCCGAACAGTGATTTCTTGGTACACCTCTACCACATCATGCACAAGGGCATCACCAGTGATGACCAGGTACAGTCAGAAGGGGGCACCTTCAGAATAGCTCCTCGCTCTTCCTTTTTTTCACCACTAGATGGTACACCAGACACATTCTGGTGGAAAACTAGTTGAAATTTTTACAATTTCCTTTGCAGCCTGAGATGACAGAGTGATTCCCAGTCAACTGTTAGTTCTTGATGTAGACAGACTTGAATCAACACCTAAATGGATCAGTGCCAGTTTTTTTTTTTTTTATTTGAAGATAATTGGAGTCACTATGAGGACTGGGACTGACAGGTGGAAGAATGGGGTTCATATTAGGTTCTCTGGGATGTAATTGTGTCGAGTCCCTGATTAAGTAAATGGTTTTGAATCTGTTTGCCAACCAGTGGTGATGAAGAAGGCCTGTGTGTTTTGGCATTTTCCACCTCCTTCGGCCACACCCTAACTTGTATTTAATCTTGGCCAGGCTCCATTTCTCCCAGTCCAAGCTGAGTAAAGATGAATGGAGTCCCCCCAAAACAAAGGAAAGGGATAAAAGTGTGTGTGGTTGGGGGTGTATTGGATGCATGTGTGTGTATATATGCCCTCCTGGCTTGGTTTCTATTGCACATTGGCAGCGCGACAAGCTTATTAGAATGTTTTCCATGTCGTTAAATAATGTTTTGAGCCCCTGCCGCGTATACGTGATTAATTAAGGATTGACGTCTGTCGCGCTCCGTTAGACTGACACGTCGGCCAGGGGCCCAGAGTAGGCTGGACTGCCTGCCTGCCTGCCTGCCTGCCTGCCTGCTTGTCTGTGTGTGTGTGTGTGTGTGTGTGTGTGTGTGTGTGTGTGTGTGTGTGTGTGTGTGTGTGTGTGTGTGTGTGTGTGTGTATGCAAGTGTGTGAAGGAGCGGGAGGGGAGACTGGGGAACGTGGTGTAGAGTAGAGCAATGAGGGGGGCACATTGAGGGACGAGGCAACATTCTCCAGCTTTTGTTGTGGCTCTGTATAATGCGTCGGGGGGCCAGAGCCAGGCTGGCCACTGAAGCATGCTCAAATTGGCCGGAGAAAAGAGTCCTCACGCCACACAATAGAGGACAGCCGCACGCCTGCTTAACATAAGAAAGTGGCTCTTACGTCCCCCCCTCCTCCTTCCTCTCTTCACCCAAAACCCCCAACCTTGCAAAAAAAAAAAAAAACAACCTCTCTGAATCCATCATACAAATACATAAAAACATGTTTTATGAGGTTTACTTTTTTCATTTATTGATATGTCACTATCTTTAAAAGATGGACAAGAACAATCCAGGGAGGTCTGTACATACTCTTTATGATTGTCTTTATGCAAAGAATTAAAAGGGTAAGGTCACGATTGAATTCAGACTTTAACCACATGCTTTTATTTTATCTAAAAGTACTCAGGTTTACGCGTTGAGCATTTTTTAACTACCTGTTTCAGAGGTCACAAAACCTGCCTTAACCTACTGGGTTTTATGGACAGCAAGGAGAGTCCCTGTGTAAACCCTATTCACTAAATTCGACTTAGCTTTGAGAAAATGACAGTTCCCTCCGAGAGATTCTCCTTCCAACTGACGGGGTGCCAAGGTCATGGCTATTGTCCTGATTGTTCATGGTCACTGGTCTCACAAAAGCATGGCCATAACACAATAGCAGTAATCTATCTAATAGGTCTACCATCTGAGCTGCAGTTGTTAACAGCATATTTTGTAAAGTGTAGCAAAACGCAGACAAGCAAAGCATTTTTTCCTTTTTTTTTGAGAGAGAGGGAGGCAGAAGAAAACAAAAAACAACCCTATCATTGTATATTCTTTTCCACTCTTGTGTTAAACTAAAACATGCTGTGTACAAGGATTTGCCATGTCTGTCCCTGCAGAAGAGGTACCTTGTGTAATTAATTCACTGTCAGATTAAATTCTGCCTGTTGACCACAAGTCACAAAGGTGGCTGTTGATTAAACCTCCCACTTCATAGTTATGCAGGTGGATTATGTTCTACAAGGGAAAACCCCAGATACTCTGTGTAATAAGGGGGGTGTTGAATTGCAACAGAAATCTTTCCCGTACTAAACTGGAAACAACCATTAGTAAATAAGACAAAAAAACGTGGAATGTTGTGTAGACTAGTGCTGCCATACTGGACTGAACACTGTCACCCCAGAGACAAGCAGGTGGACAGTGTGTGCTTTCCTGGAGACGAGGCCAAATGAAAAGGCCTCTATTCACAGTTACGTTAATGCACCTTTTGTTGATGTAGGGGCCATTCCTACCGCCAACACAGAGCCACACGCGGGGTTCAATTCCCATCTCTATACACACACCTCAAATCAGGTTCCCTCTACTTACACATACAATGGAAAACACTTTGTGTTCAACATTTGTGGCTTCCTCTAAAATGCTCATTTGAGGCAATCAAGCAACAGTTTGTTGCATGCTAATTACCTCTGACTGCACTGCACATTATGTTTCAGAGGTCAATTACTAACAAAATGAGGGTAAAATTGGCCCTCAATCCTAAAGCCCTTCCCTGCAATTTTCCGCATGTAGTGCATCATGTTGACTTCTTGCTCATCGCCCTCTGCTTGTTTATTTTATCCCTCTGGAGTTCACATGTATGCCACGTTTACTAGAGCTTTGGTTTATTCATGTTAAAGAGATGTAGATAAATAAATACTTATATATATAAGGATACTATATGGGACTGTGTGTGTAAAAGAGAGAGAGCATGAGAGAGATCATTTGTGCCTGTGTTTGCCAGGGTGCTGTTTTGGTTCAGCTAAAAAGAAAGCTAATGTTTGAACTGTGCGATTTACACAAGTTTATGGCCAAGAAGGCAGGTGTTTCCATCTTGGACCTTGCCTTTGTACACAAACGTACATGCACATGTCTCCGATAAGAGAGGGGCACTCTATCTGTTTCACTGAGTTGCTGTATCCATATGCCAATATTTGACCAGTATAGATTTTCAAAACATTTAAAGTTCAGTTGAATTTAGTATAAATGTTTTGTTGAACTTTTTGTCTAACAAAGTTATCTCTAAAAAGTAAAGAAATTTAGCCCCTTTGCTGCAGCTGAATGTTGCATGGAAAGCCTTTTAGCAGCTTTTCATGCTCTTGTCTTGCATGGTATTACACTGTACATACTTGAGCAGTTTGTGCAGAGCCCTCTGCAGTACAGCATATGTCAGTGTTGAAAGAGCCCCCATCTGCCACTGAGCCGCCTGTACCTCAGCAAAACAATACCTTGTCTCTGGCTTTAATTACAGGTTTGCTTGTGTGTATAAACACGTGACTTTCAAAAGTTGGGGTCTTTTGTTCTGCCTCTGTGAACAATCCATCTGCTGCCCCTTCCTCTCTCTCTTTCGCTCATTCTCCTTTTTTCCCCCTTTTTTCTCTACTCCTTTATCTTTCTTTATCCACTCATTTTTCCTGTGTTTTGACAAAAACATACTGTGGTGTTAAAAGCCTTGCTCCACAGAAGAGGATTAGAGGCACAAGAAAAAAAATCATAATAAGGTCCAATGATATATATTTTATTTTGATTCTAATATTTAAAAAAAGGTTAGAATTTTGACTTTTTCTTAGAATTCCAACTTTTTTTCAGAGTTCTTACTTTTTTTTCGCAGAATAATAATAATATATATATATATATATACATACTAGGGGAGGGAATCACTAGTGGCTCCACAATACAATTTTATCACGATACTTGGGCCACAATACAATATTATCGCGATTTTTAACATTTTGCAATACAGTGAGTATTGCGATACAATATATTGCAATTTATACAATTTTTTTACTGTTAAGCTACTTTAGCTTTTGGTTTTCCTTTATGTTTGTCTTATTTACTCTGTGTTTTATTTCATGTACCACATCTTGCAAATTTTATTTATATATTTGTTGAACTAACTTTCCCCTGCTCTATGATGTCACCTCTGCCAACTTCACTGGACAATCAGTTGATTTCATTTTTCCATGATCATAGATTTGACTTCATATTAGCGATTAATTTGAAAGATGGATACTTAGTAAATGAGACGATACGATATATCACCAGACAAAATATTGAGATACTATGCTGTATCGATTTTTTTTCCCACCCCTATACATACTATTTCTCCTATTTCTTTTTCCCCAGTTGCTAATCCTCTTCCATATTACTCTCCTCAACTCATAGAAAGTGCTTAGCCTACCTGTTGGAGAAAAGCCTATTTCCTGCCATGTCCCTGATATGTGATTGACAAAACACTGACCCCACTGGACATGATCCTCTGCTGTTATTATGCACCAAATTATATCATAACAAAGGACATACTACAGCAGTAATGAGACATTTTCAGTGTTTGAAGCAATGATAGCCGTTAATTCTTTCATTTATGCATCAAGTTACACCACTTACTGATGCCTAACAACATTATTATTAAAAAGTAAACCACTGTGCCTATTGATAAGTGTGCGTGTGTGTGTGTTTGTGTGTGTGCGCGTGTGTGTGTGCACTTGCATATATTTTTGTCATCAGGATGTTTTGAACACTATGATCCGCTCCTGCTCTCCTCGTTTCTTCTTCCTCGGCCTGCCGGGTTTCACCATGCTTGTCGGAGATTTCATAACTGCTACTGCCTGTGTTCTCAGCTCAGGCTCCCCAGAGGTAAATGCCCACTTTAAAAAGTTAGATTTTAACCAGAACCTGACACTTATTTCAAAAACAAAGATGTTGCTCGTAAATTCAATCAGTTCAGACACATATGTAATGGTTCTGCATCTTGTGTTGAAATAAAAAACTCAGGATGCTGCAATCTAATTTCTTTTCTGATATAATATGACCTTCAGTTTTTGCCACATTTATTCATCCACTCATGAGTTGTAGTTCTATGACTAATAATGCATCCTTTTAACTTCTTGCATTCTGAAGCAACACTTAGCTGCACTGATTTCTGGTAATAATTAAAGAGACTTTCGTGCACAAATAAGCATGAAACCTGAAACATGTTCTTTGTGTAGTTGAGAAGGTAACTGGGATAAATTACAGTCCATCTGTCAATGCCAATTCAGGACTGTGCAAGGATGACTAAAATTAAAATTAACAACACTGAGACGTCTTCTTTTACAGTCTTGTCTTTGGGAACCAAATGAGCTACTTGCATATAACATATTCCACTTCCACATTGTGCTGTACTGATAAGATTTAAACTCATATCGTTATAACTAAAATGTGGTTTAACTGTAAATAAAGTATTTGATACTCAAAGTACAGTTTATTTAGATAAAACAGGTGGATGTGATTGGTAAGTTTTGTTAGATACAGTCCACCTTGGTTTAGGGATTTTGGACCAATTTTAGTAAATTGTTTTAAATTATTGTCGTCCCAAAATAGAGTATGTCAACTTGTTTAGTTTGCAGGTTGGTTTTTTTTTTATTTTGTGCTCTTGCACATTAACATGAACATTGACTAATGTTAAAAGATGCAACATGATTGGCTGGCTTTGAAGCATTGAAGCATTGAAGTAGAGCACATTTTGGCAAGCTCCTCTCCAGGGTAAGAAGACTTAAATTAATACAAGGGCAAGTTCTATTTACTGTGGTTTTGTTGAATTCTGAGTGATCCAACCATTGAGAAATCAAACCATAGTGGCAAAACCAACATCCTGTTTCCAGGATATTGGTTTTGTTAAAATGGCATGAGGTTATTAATGATAGCATGTGGGCTTTTTTCTCCTCTCATCTCTGCCAGGCTCCAAGGATGGAAGCTCAGACCATTCTGGGCTCTCTTGTGTGTTTTCCAAACCTTTACCTCAAGATTCCTATATTGCAGCGAGTGCCTGGCTCTGATGACATCATTGTGGGTAACGAGGATATCAAGGTAGACGGTCAACATGTGTCAAACTGGGCATGTACAGTGCCCAGCATAAGTCAGTACACCCCTATTAAAAGTAAAGTAATACTCAATATCTAGATGAGAAAAAGTGCAATTTCCAAAGTTTTGACAAAGCTGAGTTTAACATGACATTTTATTTACCATCAGATTAAAATAAGGGTGATATGGTAATTAAAATGTAGCTTTGCTCCCAGAACTTTGATTGGGGTGTACTCATTTTTGCATACTGATTTTAAATAATTAAAAAAAAAACTTTTTTTGCATGCAGCTTAGAAAAATCTTGTTTCCAATCAATGGCCTACATTTGTGGGAGTATTTTGTTGTATAGTCTGACATAGAAAATGTTGATTTTGAAAGGAAACTAAAGGTTTTCTGGCAACTTTGAAGGGGTGTACTCATTTATGCTGAGCACTGTAAATTGCAGTCTTGTAACCTACAGTGCACTTGTAGATTACATGTATATTGACTGTTATGACAAAAGTCATTGATACTTAATTTCAAGCATGTAAATGTTATTGTAAGAAATCATTATCCTATGATAGAAATAACCAGTTTTCAATGATATTTTAGTGTTAAAGACTCCATACTTTCATTTAAAAACATTTTGAAATCATAAAATGTTTTTTTTTTTTGCTGTCTAGGATTATCTGGTCAACATCTTGCTGGAGACTGCAACAAAGGAACACTGTGAAGGGGCCAGGTACGATTGTAGTGTTGATGTTGGGTGATTTTTTCGTTTTCTTCTCTGAGATTCCACTGTCATTTTCTGTGAGGTGTTCTTCTGGAATGTTGTCATTGGTTGTTTAAATCGATTGAAAAGTTCACATCTTGTAAACAAGTGAGCACGACACAATTTACAAAAGATCTGGAGCACATCCGTTTCTTTTTGATGTGAATGTCTGGTAACATACAGTTAGGGATGGGCAATAAATTATTGTTTACGATATATTGTCAGAAAAATCCTCCATGATTAAAATTTTCCATCTCATGACAAATACGATAAATGCAAGTTGATGTTGAGGGGCAAGCGGCGAACTCACAGCCATAGCCCACACAGAGCAGAATAACAAACAAACATGGCTGAAGGTAATGAAGAAGACGTTTCTGAGCAGCTTATTACTGAGCGAGGCTCCACATGAGGGATTCCCTTCAAGATTGGGGCTTAGATGAGTGCAATCAGATATGCCTGACATCAGACAGTGGATCTGCTCACTCTGGTCACTCTGTGCAATAAGAGTTTTGAATAAATATTGAAAATCTTTTCACATTTGAGACTAGTTTGATGTCATGAGTTTTCTCCATCACCTACCACTCAAACTTGTGGTGAAGTATCTTATTTGACTATTCCAACTTGTGTTCTTAAGACAAAATGAGTCAAAAATATAGATTGGAATTATAGATTCTTTTATCTGGACTTTTGTTGTTATTGACAGAATGGCAAATCTTATCATGATTAATTTATTAGCCCATATCGCACATCCCTACGTACAGTATTTGCAGTCATACCATGAAAACCACATGGGTCTCTCCCTGTTCTCAGGAAGTTTGGTCTGTTTTTTTTTTTTTTTTACACACCCTGTAACTTTTGTCTTCCAGGTGCATTGCTGTTTGCAGTCTGGGTCTGTGGGTTTGTGAGGAGCTGATGCAAAAAAACTTCCACCACCAGGTTAAAGATGCCATCAATGTTCTTGGAGTAACACTAAAGGTCAGTGGCACTGTGAAGCAAAACAGCCAACATTGCACCAGGCATACTTGTGTGGTTTGTTATCTGCTAAGTAAAGTGTACACCCTCTAAAAACCAATGAATGAAGGCCTGTGTTGAGTGTTTTAGTACATCATTATAAGCCATAATGTTTGAAGACTAACTGTTAAAGGTATGATTGGACTGAATCTGGGTTTATGTGGTTTTACCTGGAAGGACGTACAGTGTTTAGCTCTTACAAAAATGATTGCTGATCACATATGAGCACTGCAGAACAATTTCAACATCGTGAGCAGTGAAGTGTGACTGTGAGAGTAAAACACGTCTAGTGATGTGACTCATGGGTATATTGCGAAAGAGCCCACTTTTTCTCCGTGAGTGAAGAGATGCAGAGAGTCAGAGAAGGTGGATTTTTTTCTTTTTTTCATGGAAAAGGGTTTTTGGGGCGGTCTCGTAATTTCCAGGCTACTCGCTCGCAGTAGATGTGGGCCAATTTAAGCAGCTACATCTCCCAGCTTCCTGCTCGAGTAACCCCCTCCACCCACCCCCCTACTCTCTAATGGAGCAGTAATCACTCCCCTGTACAACTTGACACACAGACTCAGCCAGCCCCAAAAATAGAGGGTATAGGCTGGGTGGGGGATCTGGGGGGAGAGTGGCACTGAGAGTCTCTTTTCTAAAAGCAGGTGCTGAACTCTCAGGGCCCCTTTTTGTGTTTGGCCATTTCTGCACTCCCCACATTGTCTGCCCTTGTTACATGTTGAGAGGCATTCAAGCTGGAAGAAATGGGAAATTCTATTTCTCCACAAAGAATTTCAAATCACTGAAGAAATCCACATTTGAAAGAAAATTGTCAACAGCTCAAATCTCTCCTCTGATGAGTCTGGAGAAAATGAGCCATGGGTTGAAGTGGAAAGGAAATTATGCTGATTATGTGCACATTAAGTAAAATTACCCAGAATTCTCTCATAGTCAGTTTGTGCCTAAACTTTTTCTTTCCATGTTTTCAACCAGCATTGTCCCTCTTGCCGTTCCAGAGTGTGTGTATTTAAAAAACACAAATTCAATGAGGAAGAGTGCATAAATACTAACACGCAACAAAGAATCTCTTGCTAAAAAATCTGAATACAGTAAGTGAAGTCCTGAAGATCAGAAAAAAACTGTTTTGGGGACACATCGCCGTCAGTTCTTGATTTCTGTATATTTAGAGTACATACAAAAGGTACTATTAGTGTACTATTAGTGTATGTTGTGTGTTCTTTAGATTGAAAAGTGTGGCTAAGTAGCTCCTGTTTAGTTGCATCAAAATAAACCCAAACAGAGATTGATTCTATGTGATGAATTTCTACAGGCCTTTATTTCCTCCTTTGCTGCTGTCAGTCAAGAAAATATCTTTATTGACATACAAACAAGAAAATCCCACAAGTGACTTTATAAACTTGACCCAGGGATACAAAAGAGAAATAGGGCCACAAGAAGAAAAAAAACATAATAACAGGAGGGAGATTTTTTAAATTTCCATTTCGGGATTAAAGCCGAAATTTCAAGATTAAAGTCGAAAATTTAGAAACTTGAAATTTAGAGATTAAAGTCGAAATTTCGAGATTACATTTTTAAAAAGTAAAAATAAAAAAAGTTGAAATTTTGAGATTTAAGGTGAAATTTCTGGATTAATAATGTCGATAACTATGTCGAAATTTTGACTTTAATCTCGAAATTTCAACTTTTTTAAAATTTGACTTTAATCTCGAAATTTAGACTTTTGTCTCAAAATGGAAATTAAAAAAATTTCCCTCCTGTTATTTTTTTTTTCTCTTGTGGCCCTAACCCTCTTTCGTACAGGGATGATTACAATCACCCTAGACTATGAAAAAAACGCTTCCCCCTGGTCTAAAGATGTAAATCTACAGAAACAAAAATGAAATGATTGAGTTGCCAACCAAAATCTCCTGACCTTTATGTTACCTAATGTAAAAAACTTCATGTTTGCTTTATGGTGCAGTTTGGAAACAAAGCAGTGGCTCAGATAGCCTGTGACGTGTTTCAACTCCTCATCTCTCACTGGGAACATCTCCAGAGGTTGGAATCGACCCTTCCCAAGAAAATCATTGAGGTAATAAACACACCCACACACCTATACACATACACTTGAATTGTCAGTTCCTGTTAGTAAGTTGTGAAACAAACTTCAGAAAAAAGGATGTTCCCGTCATGTCAATCATGCTTTTAAAACTGAGATTTTCATGAACTATTACTCATTGGTTTACATTTACCCTACATCCTGTAGCATTTCGTCCATTTGGCACACAGCCCTGACTCAGCTGATAAATAGGAGTGTGTCATCCAATTATCTTCCCTCTTGTTTTGTCCCAACACAGATCTTTGTGGCCACAATAGCGTTTTTGTTGCCAAGCTCAGAGCACTCAACAGTGGAAGCAGACAAAAAGGTACATTTTTGAAAGGAGGGGACATGAAATACCTGACATCTAAAGGCCCTTGATCTATCATGCTGGAATGGTGCATTTGCAGAGGAATGTTTCTCTTAATGTGTTTTTCTCTTGTCCTTTTTGTCATTGCTTATATTTTATCTGTGCAGCTCTCATTTATTACTGTTGTTTATCTCAAACTACCTTGTCTTTTTTAAATTAATTATATATATATATTTTATTTTACTTGTTGTTACTGAATAAGAAACTCCTCTATTCTCACCCCTTGTTAGCTGATGGTGTCCTTGCTGCTCTGCCTTCTGGACTGGTGCATGGCAGTTCCTCTGAGTTTGCTCCTCGAACCCATTACCATGCCTTTGATGGAGGACACCGCATCTCACAAAGCCCCTTTGCTGGACTACATCTACAGAGTGAGTGGCCTCACGTCCAGCTCAGCAGGGGGGGAATAGATGAAAGTTTCTGTTGCAGCATTTAATAGACCTGATGGATGGCCTCTTACCAAAATCTTCTAAAACACTAGATCTCTCTTTGCCTGCAGGCACAATAACTTCTGCCTCGACATCTTCACCCCTACCCCCAATCTCATCAAATGGGCTTGTCACTTTAATTAGACTCACCTTCATCATGACCTCATGAATATGGTTATACTGGCACAACAGCATAGCAGCAGCTGACGTGTTCTGTTGGCATTTCATCAAATGTAGAAAGTCTTAAAGTTGTCTTCGCAGTAGTTCTGTTTAATTCAAGCGAGATGTTCCGAATTCAAGCCATTTCTCTGTATTTGTGTCTGAGCCTTTATTTTATGGTCTGACCCTGAGGATGAGGGGCAAGCTTCAGGCACAAATGAATGAGGTATTATTCATTCCCTCCTGTCTGGGCAGATGCGGTCAACGGCAGATCTTTGTAAGGATGTCACCCCTGATAAGAAATGGTCCAATTATTCAAACAGAACCCTTTGTCCACTTGATAAGCTTCGGCTATAAATGCTTGTCCTGAAGATTTGAATGGAATATGTCTTAATATGAGAGCAACTGCAGCTGCTATAAAAGCAAAGACAATTAGACATGATTGGTTGTCTATCAGCACACAAAAGCCATGGCCCCTCTGGGTTTTATTGAAAATAATATATTAAGCAAGGCATAACAAGATGAGAGAAAACAAATGAGCACCAAGTCAAAAATCTATACATTTGATGCAAATTATATTCTTAACGGCTCTAACGGAAACCATCCCCTTATTATTTTTCACATGTCACTTATATTTAATTACAGTTTTATATTTTATTAACTCAGTCAATCCCAAGCCACCAAACACAAGCACAAAACATGTCCTCAGCTACTAAAGGACGCTGAAAGTATTGTGCAATCCTGAGAAGACCAAAAAAGCATTAAAAGCTGTTTTGATGTCCAACAGCATTGCAGATTGTGTAAAGAGCAATGTTACAGTAGACTTCATTGGTTCAGTGGTGTTCTGTTCAAGCCTCTCCATCTGCTCTCCCCGCCTGCCGTAACAACCAGCTGCACCACCCTTGTGTGTTTATTTGTGTGAGAGTGCGCAGTGGAGGGATTGTGCGTGTTTCTGTGCAAAAGAAGCAGAGAGGTTGGGTACATGTATGATTATGTGCCTTTTTATTATTATTTGTTTTCTGTGTGTTCAAAGTTTGTCCCATATATCCTAATAACCTGCGCTGGTTTAAGTACAATATGCCAGTTTCACCATGTGTCACCTTCCAGGAACTGTTGCTATGCAAAGTGCAGTCACTTAGTTGTCAAGCTCAGCTGTGGGCCCCCTCCCTCTTCTTTGGTCTCTCCACCTCTTCATGGAGAAACCTCTTTGGTGCTTTTGCTCGCAGCTGTTTGTTTCAGGTCTTTTTAGTATTGAGCCTCAATCCCCCCCCCATGCACCCAGAGGGCCGTCGAATCATCCACATACTGTCTACATTGCCTCACACACAATACTGTTTCGCATGGCAGGGCCAGCATGCCGAAGAGCGTCTCTTAGCCAAGTATGAGCGTATGTGAGCACTGAATGGGATTAGCCTTTGCATGGCTTTACCCAAGTTGCTTTACTCTGAATGAGAGGCCCCCTTATTTGCATGCATGAAGGATGGCATAAGGCATGTTTTTTTTCTCACTCAGATACAGCGGCCTAACCTTCTGTCAGATCATACAGTATACAGGTGGGTTTGTGTGTTTTTTCAGTGTGGATGTTTGTGGTTGGAGCTGTGCACAAGGATAAAGTCTTAATTAAATCAAACAGTGTAAACCTGTCCGATGGATGTAATCAACTGCCCCAGTGCGTCTTATCTAGCCCTGCCAACGGATGCTCTGCCATCTGTTATGTAGATCGATACACTCACACATCACAGGAGAAATGGATTAGTGGCAATAAAGACCCTCTTTTCTTTCCCTCTCTCACCCCCTTCTTCTACCGCCTTATGATGTAAATAGACCATATATTTCCCTTTCATGTGCTCCTGGATCATGTCAATCGAGAAGCAGGCCTGCAGGGGTGTCACTGTTCATTGTTACACCAGACACCACCATATCTAACAGGATGATGTCATTGTACATAATATTTCATGTTCTGTCATCAAAGAGCGTTTTTGTTTTCATATTGTAAAAGGCCTACTCATGAACCTTATAGTCACTTAGTCATACCTCTTTTCTACTTTCCCCTAGGTGCTGCACTGCTGTGTGGCCGGCTCTAACCTGCACACCCAACAGAGCCACTACCTCCTCACCCTCTCGGACTTGTCAACTGACTATGACGTCATGTTGGGTCAAGTTAAGAGCTTCGAGCCACCACCCTCCCAGACAACCAGCACTGAATATGGCAACCTACTCACTGTAGCTGAGGGTAAGAGCAAAAACTCATTTTCATGTTTGCCTAAAATCCCGGCTGTTACATCAAATCTTATCCCAAATGAGTTAATCTAATCACAGTTTGACACACAACTTTATTTAGGCTCAAGGTTCCTACACAGTTGGAATTTCCATAGTTTTCCATACCCTTCTTTTAAGAATTACTTTTGGAAATACCTACTTTTCTATTTTCTAACAGTATTTAAGAACTGTGGTAATAGTCTGGAAATGTAAATATTTTTCCATACTTTTTAAGACCTGGAAATTGATCAAATTTATTTCCATACTTTGCCTTACTTTCCATACTTGCCTAGGAACCCTGTAGGTTTCATACTACACCTATGAGCGACCACAGAGACATATAGTGCAAATTTATTAAAAAATAAATAAATAAATTCAAAAATTGAAGGAAAAGCAGACCCAAAGTGGCCCATCCATTTGGGGACTCTCCATTAAATGTCAATATCTTATTAAAAGTCTGAAAGGGAAATCAACCACCACAGAGAAAGAAATGTTCGCATTGGTACTCAGCCCTAGAGAGAAGACCCATTACGGGGTTTGATAAAATGTGATTTTTTTTTTCTTCTTTTTTAGTGACCTTGTGATTCCATTAGGCAATGTATTCTTCTCTCCTCTGTGTCCTTAACTTCTAAAAAGTCCTCATAATTCAAATATACAGAGCACATGTGTACCTAAAACAATGTTAAAAAATGTGAACAGCAGCTTTTCCCCAGAACATTTCACCACTCTTGTGCTTTTTTTTGTGCACAGCTGCACAGAGTCTTAGTGGAAATAACAAAACACTATCAAAAGGGCAAACCAAAGAGTGCCGGCCTAGTTATATTCATGCTCCCACCTCATATTGATCAAGTCACTTCAAAGGGCCAGCACATCTCTAATGCAGCTTGGCCTGCTTTCTAAAGAGCTTTCTCCACTTTGATGGGGGATGATGGTATTGATAGCACTGTCACAATGCAAGAGTGCATCTTCTTGTTTTTCCCACATCACTGCAGAATAAAGCAAAGCATGCCTCTCACTTGCTTGTAAAAACCTGTGCATTTACATAAATGCAATTGGTTTTGCAGAGTTCTATTAAGCAGCCTGTAAAGATGATGGTTCTCATTAGCACTCAGCCAGTCCTGATGCTCGTGCATTGTAAGAAGACTCAATGAGCTTTTCAAAGTTCTCCCTTATGATCAGAGGCTACCATCCAGGAAGTGTGCCTGCCAAGCTATTGTGAGAAATGAATAAAGTTCCCCTATTAGTGATCATAAATGAGATTGGCTTTGTGTAAAGAGCTAACGGAGATGATAGCGTGTCAACAAACAAATGTGAGCCTTTAGAAATCTGGTTAGAAAGTCTGCCTTGGACGTATTATAAAAGATAGCCAATGTGCAGCTTCTTCTTCCAAACCCATCAGTTACTTTTATGATTAAGCGCTGTACATTTTTCACATCTATTTACCACAGTCCTTATTTCTGCTCTCATTAACTTACTCTCTCATCAGAAAAGCGTCGGAGGAACATGGAGCTTATTCCTTTGACTGCGCGTATGGTCATGACACATCTGGTGAATCATCTGGGCCATCATCCACTGAGCGGTGGCCCCGCACTTCTCCATAGTCTAGTGAGCGAAAATCATGACAACCCATATGTGGAGACAACGGAGCTGTCCTCTGATGTCTTCAAAAGTCCCAACCTGCAGCTCTTTGTCTTCAATGATAGCACACTGGTGTCCTACCTTCAGATTCCTTCAGAGACCCCCACTGTTGGAAAGCCCCCCCAGCCTTCCTCACAAGTGCGCGTCATTGTCCGAGATATCTCTGGCAAATACTCATGGGATGGCTCAATCCTTTACTGCACCACCCAGGATGACTCCTTAGACAGGGGAGCTTTTAATATATTTGATCACCCTCTGTCTACCACAACTGGAACTCACTGCAGGAACCAGCCTTCCTCTCCAACAAAGGGGCCCAACAAAAGTAAATGCTCAGACTCCCTCTCAGAATGCTATGAGGAGGAAGAGGAAGATGTCCTAGATAAGCTTTTGGAGGACCTGGGCCAAAGCAGCCCTGAATGCCTGCCTCAGCCTCAGCTCAGGCTTAACCAGCCTGCACCCTCACCCCATGGGATGAACTTGGAGCAAGAGAGTGCCATCCTAGAGGCTATTCTGCGCCAGACTCAGCAGGAGGAGGAGCAAGTGAAGAGGTGGGATGCTGATGTAAGCTTTCGGGCTGCATGCCAGAGGGAACCCTCTCCACAGGAACCCAAGGCTCCTTTCTACTTCTGCCGGCTGCTTCTTAATGACCTTGGCATGAACTCTTGGGATCGCAGGTACTCTACCATCTGGAATTGCATACAACCTTTGGCTCAGTTCACACTATACAAGAGAAAGATAGAGATTAATACCGAAAGGGTAGTTTGTAAGAAGTCACACAGGTTTTTTTTTTTTTTGCATGTGTCTCTTAGTGTGTTTCTGAATCATTTTGAAAAAAAAAGGCTTCTGAAATGAACACAAAATTCAGGAAAGGAGAGTCAGAAAATGCTTTTATAACCTCAAAAGTTTATTTTTGAACCCGGGTTACTTTCTTCTCCACCAAACGTCGCAGCTGTTTTCTTGTTACTCAAAAAAGAAAGAGTGAAGCTAAAAGCACACTGAAGTCTGCAGTATCTTAATCTCCTCTCCACAGGGTAAAAGTGCCCAGCTGTTTTCACTAAGGTCTGCTTTGCAGAGCCACATCTTTGCAGTGCTTCCCTGTAAATTAAAAGCTTACACCTCTTAATGGTGATGGTGTGACATGCACACAGCTAGTAGGAGATTGCTTTTTGCACCTGTGCCCATTTTGCTTTTGTTAGTCTTGACTCCAAAACAAAAATAGTTTGCTTGTAGATTATTCTACTGTTTCAAATGGCTGGTTATTGTTATTGTTGCCATCATAGCAGTTTTCTGAATACTGTTCAATGTCCAGATTCGACAGCATCTTATCTAAAAAAAAAAACCCTCTCTTTAACAGGAAAAGTTTCCATTTGCTGAAGAAAAACTCAAAACTCTTAAGGGAACTGAAGAACTTGGATTCCAGACAATGGTAATTCTTCTATGTTCTATTTTATGTCCTCATTCATCTCTACATGAGCAAAATTTACACATTAGTAATCATAAAGTGGGCCACAGCAACTAGAGCTGTAATCAACCAGAGAAATTGTTGGTCAACTTAAACCCTGACATTTTCGACCAAAAATTGACTGTGAGGGACAAAGCAGCTCGGCGGGATGAAAATATACTGATATCAGAACAAGAAGGCGATTAACACAAATATTATATTCAGAAAACCACTGGACGTTGATTAACGTGGACTCTTTTCAATCGAGTGTCTCCAGTGGGTTGGGCGAATCCAAAATGGTAAAAACAAGGAGGGTGTTCTGAAACCTGTGCTCTGAATAAAACCCTATTAGCACTTGGTACATTCCTCCTGATGAAATTCACCATAGACTGTAAAATATCGAGCAACACGTCTCGACCTATAAGTCGATTAGTTGACTAGGACTTTACAACCCTAAAAGCAACACCATACATCACTATCTGCCAATTCAACCCCCTTGTTTGTTTTTTGAGCCTTACCTATTCACTTCTGGGGCTCAACACCAGCAGCTGCCTATAAAGTAGCTTTATCTGTATTCTGAAATTTCCCTCAACATCAATCAAGAATCTGTCTGTCCTGCTGATAACCCTAACCCTAGCCCATTTACCATCTTTTTCTGCTTCTATTTAAGTCCAATCAATAAGTTCTTGACAAATTGCTGATGACAGAAGCTTATCAGAAATCCTCTTTGAACTGGATCTCATTCTCCCAAATAACTGAACTTGCATGGACTATTACAAAGCTGCGGGCAAGCATGGAAAGTGCCCTCAATTTACCCTAGTATGTTTTACTGCCATGGTAACAGGGGAAGCAGGAGAGACTACTTTTCTTTAAATTATGTTGACGCTAGAGAAAAATTTAGTTGTATTTGTCACATTGTGCTCCTGATTGTACTCAACAACTCAGTTTCACTCGCACACACACACACAGGTGCCTTGGTTAGTAAGGTGAAGGGTTTTAATTCATGGCATTCACATTAAAAAAAGGAATTAATTAAGTGTCTGAGAAGAAATATGCTTTTCAAATTCTGTTTCATTTCTAAAACTGTCCAGTGTTTTCTTTTTAATAATTCTAATACTTCACATTTTGTACTTTAGTCGGGAAACACACAAGATCGCAGTCTTCTACATCGGGGAGGGCCAAGAAGACAAGTGCTCGATCTTATCTAACAGCACGGGCAGCCAGGCTTATGAAGACTTTGTGTCTGGACTTGGATGGGAGGTGAAGACAACCACACCTTCACAGACAAGCACACTGCGTCCACACAGACAACATGAATATGCTCACACAGATGTAAAAAGCACTCTTAGCCCTTAGCTGAGTTGTTCATGTGTTCCTCAGGTGGACCTTGCCACACACTGTGGCTTTATGGGTGGCTTACAGAGGAATGGCAGCACAGGTCTGACAGCTCCTTATTATGCTACCTCCACCATGGAAGCGATCTTCCATGTCTCCACTCGTATGCCGTCTGATTCAGATGACTGCCTCACCAAAAAGGTAAGAATTTGGGTTTGGTTTTACAACCTTTTCAACCTTTGAAATGACACATTTTTAGATGACTCACGACATGAGGTCTTTTCCCCATACATTCAGAGAATATTGCAGTAAAAGAGACATTACTTGTGAAGAATTGCCCATTTGATGCAGTGAAATGGCAACACAGCCCTGCCTGACCATAGCAGTATGTTGTTGTAGCCTTCAGTTTTGTGTTAAGCTGTGATCAGGAGGTGTGACTCCAGAGTGCGGGCATTGATTAGTGACCCCAGCCAGGCAGGCCTGAGGAGTAGAGAGTCGCAGGCGCGTGAGTGAAGAGAGGGCATGTGCCGTGGTGGTAATGACTGTGATTCTGCTAGCCCATGCACCCCTCCCTGTGTGCTGTGACCAAGGCCTGGATTCAGCCATTAGCTCTCCCTGCTAGGGCAGGCGCCGGCCGGATGCCGGCAGGATCCTTTTATCCAATTCCTGCTGCCGCCACAGGAGCAATCGATTGGGTTCTGCAGTGGGATTCTGGGCTGTAGTCCACCAGTAGTAGTTAGCACAAAGAAATGAGCCGCAAGGCCCCTGCCCGTGCTGCCAATCTTCTCATACAGCACCCCGCTGAGAAGGGAAATTCATCAGGCTCTCATCATATCCAGCCCCTCCTCTAATACTCCACACAATCCCCCCCTTTTCCATCTCACAAATAACCCCCTACTTCCTCCAAACCTGTCTTGAACCTCTGCTTAGAGGCTGTAAAAATTAGTTGAACTGAGTGAAGACTTTGGCTGTCCAGAGTGAGGCGCTGGAGGGGCCGCCATGCCTAGAGAGAAGTGTGCTACAGCCCAAGTTCCATTCATTTTCACCGAGAATTTCTGTAATTTCAGATGCTCACCTTGCACAGATCTACACACCAGCCACAGGCTGCAAAAGATACTGGCAGGCTGACTGACTGACTGCATGCAAGGATGCTTAAGAAAAAGACTTGAGGACAAGAGAGGAGAGAAAGTTGTATGAAGAATTGGAATGTGAAGCTGCATTTGTCTGTGGGATGTTTCCCTGTCAATTTAAAAATAACACTTTAAAGTCCAGCGGTCACCCACTTTGCGGCCTGTAACCACAGAGGCATGCTGTGACAGAGCAATAGATGGGACAATTCTCGCTGGGCAGCTTGCCTGTTGGTCGACAATGGAAGGGGGGGACAGCTAAACCAAAAAGAAAAGATGCAAAACCATGAATTCCTCAATCCAATTGTGGGTTTTAGGGCAGTGCAGGCTGCAGCAGTAGCAGCTGGCTTCAGTAATTCAGTTACAGAAGTGACCTGCTGGGTTGGGGTCAGGCTGTGTTGACTGTGTTCATGTGCATGTGTGTGTGTGCGAAAGAGAGAGAGAGAGAGATAGACAAGTGCTTTGGCGAACACGTACAACCTCGTCATTGATTCTCAACTGGGCTGTTGCTGTTTTTTCTTGTATCTATGGGTCCTCTGGTCTGCCTTCTCCATTTGCCGGGTGGAAAGTCAAAGAGGACTAATTGGACTAGAGCCTTTGACAAGTCATTGTATTAAAGAAGTCTCAAACATTTGGACGTGATTAACAGAGGAGTAAATAGATTGGAGCAGGAAACGATTGACTTCAGCAAAAGCATCCTCATTAAACTTTGATTAAGATCCTCCAAATGCTAATATCTTAACCCAGATTAACATCTCGTGTTGATTGTCTAAAGCGAATACATATTCAACATTTTCTTTGAAATTGTCCCAGTGACTGACCTGGTTGGTACCTGCTGATCCTTGGACAGACAGACTGAACCGGCAGGCTTCAGTAATCAGCGTTCCGTGGATTTGTTTAAGATTATCATATTACCATAATTAAAGGCTTATAATAGAATGTGCTAATTGCATTTTTGGTGGCGAGGGTATGCTTCTTAATGGCTCATTAGACCCACAGTACATTGGCAGATGTTTTCTTCTGAGTAGAGGCTCACTTTTCAGTGTCCATGATACCCCAGAAAACATCATAAGACTACAAGCTAATAAGTCATCTTCACAGGTAATATAATGTAACTGTGTCCTTCCATTTTTGCTTCGGAAAGGGGGGAAAGCTGTTAACCTATTTTAAACTGGCAACAGGCAATTTCCTGTCACTTAAGTGTACCTTCATGCCCTGCCCAGTTCATTTGTGTTTGTGAATAGGGTGGAAATTGGAAGCAATTTAATCTCTGATGGGTCAAGTTAATTGGATGTGAATTATTTGTTTTTGAAATACTCAGTTTTGCACATTTTGGTTCCCAGACCCATATTTACGACATTGTTCTCAACAGGGTTTGTCATTTTGATTGAAATTAAAATAATCTCTTGCTTTATACCTTCTGCATTGCATGTACAGCTGAAAACAGTTATGGTGCTTTATTGTTCAACTACAACTTATCAGTCAGTGTTATTGTCCAGTTCCTTTTTTATACCCTGTTAAACATCGTTTCACTCTGGAGAAGTTACTGAGTGGATAAGACACTCTCCAGTCTCATTAAATTTGTGTTATGCCATGTTGTGCCATGCACCTGATGAGGCTGATTTTCTTTGTTTGGCAGCTACGACATCTTGGAAATGATGAAGTGCACATAGTGTGGTCAGAGCACACCAGAGATTACCGACGGGGCATCATCCCAACTGACTTTGGAGATGTGCTGATTGTCATCTACCCAATGAAGAACCACATGTTTTTCATCCAGATCATGAAGAAACCGCAGGTAAACTACAACAGGTGGTAGTTTTTTGGTGAGACCAGCGCCAGGTTTTTCTCCACTTTAGCCCAGCATTTTTGCCTACACTTACCCTTTTTCCACCAAGCCAGTTTAAGGGCTAGTTTGTGGCCAGGACCTTTAATTTAGAACCAGTTCTTTGAGTTTCAACTGTCATTCATAGAAGTGGCTTTCAGCCAGGAAAACAAGTTTCTTAGTATAACCAGTCCCTTGCTTTGTTACAAGGAAGAACTTCTCATGTAAGGGGAAGGAGGTGGGGTTATTCTGGCCAGAAATAAACCTCACTAGGATAAGATCTTAAAAAACAGGTAGTTAAATGAATGTCGTTATTTAAAGGATCATGTGCTGTAAACTGTGTCTCCACCAAGAAGAGTTTTGTTTTCAATGTTTGTTTTGTTTTTAGAGGGCATGTTATTCCATAAAATATCCTGTAAGTGACCCAGAAAAAAACTTTATTTTCAGCGCTTTTCAACTATAATTCCCATCTTTAAGCCAGCACAAGCAGCAAAGCCCTCCCTATACTGACTGATTCAGTTTGGTGTAAATTGAGCCAGACTTCATCCTGATCAAGATTCACTCTCACATACTGACGGTTATTCCTCCTCGCCCTGCCAGAAGGCAAAAGAGGAGTGAGAGCCCAAAAGACAAAATATTGCCCATAACCTTGTATTGTTTAATAATTAACACACCAGCAGCCAACATGATTGACAACCCTTTTTACAGGGAAAGTTCACCTTAAGCCTGAATAAAGAGTGGTGTGTGTTACTTCTTTCACCAAATTACTCTTCCAGACACAACTTTAGAATAATTGAGAGAAAACAATGGGGGTGCGAACAGCAATCCACGAGTAAAAGTTGTGTCAATTTCAATACTTTTAATATAAATATAGCTGATACAGAAAAAACAGTGAGATTCACTGGTAATCTGTTAACATTTACACCAAAAATGAATCTGTCTAGAGGTCTCCATGTAGCCAATATGCCTCCTGCATAAACCACCAGGGTAGGTTACAGTCTGCTGTGGAAAGAGAGGCAAGATCAGGGTTTACTGTCCTGATCTAAAACAACCCTTTGGTGGAAACACACTTATAGTTAGGCACATTTAGTCAGCTCTTGACTATCTTCAGTTGAGCTCCAGCACATGATTATTTTCTGAGAGATCATTGCAGGGTTTCTATGCAAGTATGGAAAGTATGGAAAAGTAAGAAAGTATTTTGATCAATTTCAAGGTCCTAAAAGGTATGGAAAATGAAAAATGTAGGATGGAAAAATATTTATGCTTCTGAACTACTACCACAGTTCAAAAATACTTTTTTTTTTTTTTAATAGAAAAGTAGGTATTTTCAGAAGTAATTCTAAAAAATAGGTACCCTGTCACTGTGCTATACAGTGGTTAAACACATTAAGTTTAGCTTCATCAGCATGGATTAGTTAAACTTGGATTTTTTAAACCCAATAATATATTTTTTAATCTAATTACAGCATATTTTACATGACATGTATAATTTAGATAACAAAATGGTAAGACAGTGTGTTTTATATTTGATTCAGTGTTTGCAGAAAGCTCCCTATTCCTGTTTTCAAAAGTCTGCTTCTCTCACTTGTTGAAACCCCAAAATCTTCTAAAAGTATTTCATTTCTTTGCATTATAACTTTTTTTACATAGTGTACCGAATGTTACTGGTTTGTGGAGTTTATTATGTCTGGTTATGATCCATTGGTTGAAAACTGTGTCTAGTTATTATTCATGCTGAGCTACCAAGTTAAAAACAGCCGGACCTTTTGGAGAGACTTTGACATTCACGTCAACTTCCAGGTCAACGACCATTGAGCTTTAGTGATTAAAGGCCCCTTCCCAATATGCATGAACAGACACATGTAGCCACACACACTCACAGGCTGCTGCTAAAATGCATATTGTCCCTTTGTATATGTTCCATAGCTCAATATAAAAGCATTGTTAAGTATTGATTGCCTTTTTAATTTTATTTACCTCGCATTGATTTGCATTAGGAGCTGTGTGGTTGTCATGCAAAGTTAAGTAATAATCCAATTGGATTTTGAACCCTTCCCCCAAACAGATGGAAAAACGTCTAAAACTTAAATGGACAAAGAGAACTTCTGTGAACAGCAAAAGGACCTTTCCCAAATGTAATAATAATGATAATAACAATGATAATGATGTATTTTTTCCCATGTTTTCTCTGCTGTTTCCTTGCTTTTTTACCAGGTTCCTTTCTTCGGGCCTCTGTTTAATGGCGCCATCATCACTGGAACGCTGCTGCCAAGCTTGGTACGGGCTACGTGTATCAATGCCAGCAGAGCCGTCAAATCTCGGCTGACACTCTATCAGAGCTTGTATCCTTTGCTGCTTGATTTAACATTTGCTATCATGACAGGGATGGCTCTAAAAGATGCACCAGTTTTTGAAGATCAACCATTAGCTACACAAACAGCTGCAACCACTGGGCTTTGAGTGTATATGTAGCACTTTATAAGATGGGTACAATTGAGTGTTTATTACAACTCATCTTTAATCTTCAGCACCACCAGTGGATCATTTGGGTAAATTCGTGGAGACATGTGGTGTGGTTGTCACGTCAGCCAACATACACAGCTGAGTGCTGACACTGATCTTTATGGGCTGGCTGATTTACATACAGCTATTAGGCTTGGGCTGTTTCACAGCCTGGAGCATCATGGGAGGTTATGCGGGACTGTTTGAGCAGGAGCACTGATAATGTGTCATCATCTATCACTCCTGTTTTATGGAGCACAAGGACAGCTAAAATAAGAGTACCCTCAACAAATACAAGTGCATACAAACACGAGCGCACGCACACATCTCTCCACCCATCAATCCAACAGTGTGCCGTTGAGGGCCTGACTCCAGCTGTAGTTGTCAGTTGGTTTAAAGGGAGTGTAATCACCAATGGAGATGAATTAGCATGTGAAAGCCAGCAGCACAGAGTTGGGGGGTAAAAGGGGGTGGGCAGAGTCAGGATGGTCCCTGGAGGGGGAAACTTGATCTCTCAACGCCCTGCTCCTCCTTGGACAGCATGTACAGCACCGCCTCACCAGAACCACGCTGCCCCTCTGGCGGTTGCCATAGAAACCTCCCCAAGGAGGTTTCATTTGATTGGAAGACTAAAATCTATTGTATAATTTAAAAATACATTTTAAAAATAGTTGTATTAAAACTGTCCTCCAATCATTGTAGCAGAGTCTCTTGATAAAAGACTTTTAGCCTTTAAATGTACTATGATACAGGCTGTGTGTAGTGTTGTTTACAGTTGTGTGTGTCAGTATGTATCTGCTTGTGTGCATTTCACAGTGCATCACACTCCCTCGCTCCCCACCACGATCAGGCCTTGTCTGTGTATCCCCAGGGGCATCCTGAGTGACAGATGTCTGTTACTCAACGCCAAGTGAATTAGCCCACTGTGGCTCTTGGTGCCAGAGGGGGAGCAGCCACAGGCCTGCCTGCCTCTTTGAGCCCCAGGGGGTAGGGGGTAGTTTGGACAGTACTGGGCCTGTGGTGGACCACAAAAGCCTTACCTGGCATTCCTTAGCAGAGTAGCAGACAGCACAAAGGCATGATCTATGAGAGGAGATAAGCACTGCCTCTGGAGTTCTGGCACTGAAAGGCAGCCAGGAGAAGATGAATGCATGAGCCAGGCAAACCTCTCTGCCAGCATTAGTATTTGCATGGCTGCTTTTTCAGCTGTTTGTCTGCTTAAATAGAGATGCTGTAAGGAAAGGGGAAATGTATAATGTGCATCATAGCTAAATATTCAGTTTGATGTGGACACAAAACTGAGGAAAACTGGAATCAAAGAATTTCTTTCCTCGCTCAAAGTCTAGCAGAGGGCAGGAGGCCAAAACAGAGGAGAGCCCATCGTGGCAGGTGTAGTAGTTGCTGTTTTGGTATGCTCCCATCATTGGACTTACTCTAGTTTTATACCTTTCTTCTTCTTCATTTATACTGCCCAGCTGTCATTCTTCCATCTTCCTGGGTAATGCAGCTATCAGTCAAAGATTGGAATAATGACCAAACCTTTTTCGTGGTAGGATTTTTTTTTGTGCTTGATGAAAATCCTCATCCTTAGTTTACCCCTCCTCAATGCCTTAGCAATCCACAGTCTGCTCTCTGCCTGTGAGGCCACTCTCCAAGGTAATTAGTTGAATATTTCTTCAAAGAGAAGCTATATGACCCCTGTGTGTCCAGATAAAAGGCCAGTATGGTGCTGTGGCTCCCTCTCCAGCTCTGTCACAGGCTCGAGAGGACTCCAGCAGTCTGCCGCAACGCTCGTAGGATCTCTCAGGCTAATAGGATTTGATATTGAAAAATGACCACCAAGAACATTTTCAGAAAATACATGCACAGATAGGCTTCATGAGTGTTTTTCAAATGGATACCCCCCACCTTTGTCGATTTTTCTTTTCACATACTCTGTCCCTCTCTCTCTGTTTCCCTCCATCTCGGATTTTGGAAAACTGGTTGGTTGAAATTTTTTTTTTGCACAATCTCCGTCGTTCATTGTCAGCTAGAATTTGTGTCAACCGCTTTGGTCGAGAAGTCACTATGGCCTCGTGGACATCATATTACAAGCCTTTCACAGACAACTCATAATGTATCATCTATTATTTATGTGCCTGATGGAAAATGCAGCTGGTCTGGCTTTGTGTGTCTAAGTGTGTTTGTCTGCAACTCGTCCACTCTTCACTGCTGCATTTTAAATTTTAATTTAAGAATTCTCATTTTAAAATGAAGATTTTTATCCAGTAACCTTCTCATTATTGATACCGTAGCTACAAAGTAATTATTGAACAGTCGTTTTTCCGTAAATGCAACTTCACTGTATGAACACAAAGGTCTAAAACGAATTGGCTGGAAGGAGAAAAGTAATTTTGTTGGTGTCGCATGAACCCAGCCTGTAACTGGATGTCTTTACTGGCCGCCTGAACTCTTAAAACTGTCTCTATTTCGTAATCTTTTCATCCAGATGCGAAAAAAATGGTCTAGGTCTTCAAAAACACTTGAATCTGATGTAGTGTCCATCACTGTGTGGTGGGGATAACGTTCAGGAGGAAAACTCTGTGAATGTGTGTGTGTGTGTGTGTGTGTGTTTTGGAGAGATGGCAAGTTTGTAATAGGTGAGATAGTGCAGAGCTGACCTTGATTCAGAGACACAGCCTCCCTACTGGATGAAATCAATAGTTTTTGCACACTGCCCTTAGTCCCCATCCTCTGTACTGACACACATAAACAGACACACACACAGATCCATCTCCAGGCAACGATCAATAACCATAATCTGTTTCTGCCCATCGCCAGTCATGCGAGTCAGGCTTTTAGGTGTGTGTGTGTGTGTGTGTGTGTGTGTGTGTGTGTGTGTGTGTGTGTGTGTGTGTGTGTGTGTGTGTGTGTGTGTGTGTGTTCAAAAAAAAAAAGGGAGGCAGCCTTGATCCTTTAAGGGAACCCAGGAAGCTGCTGAGGTCCGTCATGTCCCCCCCACAGGCTTATATGTACATCTCTACAGTCTCCCCCATTTGCCAAAGCAAGATTGTACATTATTTCATTATTTCAATGGCTGTCAGCTTAAAAAAAACAAACAAACAAACATCTTATATTGCAAATGATAGATTACATGTACTCCTTTGTGTGTCGGAGCTGACCCCCTCGCACCAGCCCATCAGACGCTGTTATAATTAATACAGTCCCTGCATCGACAATGACACATTCCCACACCCCTTCTGAGCAACTTATTGTCCCGCTCTCACTGTGTCTTTGTCCGACAGCAGTGCGTTTCTTTTGTATACTGTAAGATTCCTCACCTAGCAGAGATGAAAGTGCGCCTGTATGCATGATGGGATGTCATGAATACGATCTGCCATGTTAGTGTTGTCTCACATGAATTATTTAGCATTGCTGATAGGTCTAATTTGCCAGCTGTTGTGCCATAACTGTCGGCAGTCTCATAGATAATGCTCAGCAGTCTATATCACTGTGGAGCACAGTGCTTGACTGGGCACAGTGAGATGCCAAGCTTGTCATTATGTGCTGGATTCATGTCATGGTCTGAGCTAGTATGAGTGAAACTGGCCAACTTCCTGTTTATGAAAAACATGGGGTCAAGTATAAAAAGTGTGAAGGGACAAAATAAATCACCTAGACTTGTTGCTGCAAGTGTATTTATATGACTAATGAAGCCTTTTAAAGATGGAGTGTATTGGGTGTTAGTGGGGTAAGTGGTTTGGGTTTAGTTCAGGGATCAATTCTGAGTCTCTGCTTGGAGTTGGCCAGAATGGTTTGGGCAGGGGTTTGCTTTGGCGTTGCAAGTTTACGCAGTATTTGAGGGGCTTCACATAGAGGAGGGGTCTCTCCCCCACTGAATGTTTTAACCTAATCCCATTATCAGTGTAGCGCACTGCCTCTCGTCCTTTCCCCCCTCCTTATCCCGACCCCCTCCCACCCTCCTCTCCAGCTGACCAGCTGTTCATGCGGGGATTCACGACAATGTCCGATGTGTTCAGATCACTGAGTACCCCCCCCCCCTCTCCCTCAAACACACATAGGAATACACTGAGCAATTGCCTTTCCCATATCTGGAAGCTAGGGGAGGCCTAGAGGGAGGAGGACGTTAGTTATGGAAGGAGGGGGTAGCTTTGGGGGTGAGAAGGGGGCAAGCACAGGCCTGTCAAACCAAGAGCCCTGACTCAGGAGGCAGCCCAGCTCGGATGGCATATGGCGTCTAGCTTCATACAACATGCAAAAGTATTCTCTCTCTTTGCCCCCCTCATCCTCCTCCCAACTCCCTGTCTCCCTCCCCTGCTGCTCATGCAGAATGACTCATAGCATTACTCCCTTTTTTCCCCTCTGTTCCCCACCCCCCCATCATCAATTCCTCCTCCTACTTGCCACCCAGCCTGCAACAAAAGGCATTCGCTGCATTGCACCCACACCCTTAAAGCCCTGGGGGCCCAGCCCATCCCAGCCTGCACTCTGAGGTATGGACTTCATGGTGACCGCCCCTTTTAAATACAGGTAGAGCAGGCGTGTAACCAGACGGCCAACAGCAGGAACCCAAAGCCCTGCCTGGGGTAGTGTGCACACACACTGCTGGTGTCAAACTGTTGTGCCTTTGCCTACATGTGTATGGAAGCTACCACCATTGTTGTGTGTCTGCTTGTTCAGAACAGGTTGTGTTTTTGTCTGTATTTAAGCATCACAACTCCTGTGTGTGCCCTTCTTTAATCATTTAATGATCAGTCAATATTTGTAATGGACTCATCGACCAAAAGATAGATGTGTGACTTTCACTTATTACTTGTGATTCTCTTCTTTTATTTTTACCTTTCAGTTTTTTTTTTGTTTTTGTGATATTTTATTGATTTTATTATTAGATTTGTATGTTGACTGAATCATTTTTAAAATAAATCTAGTATAATGCAGACTGCAAAATAAATCATCTGAAAAATGTAGCATAGCTTTAACAGCATAGCCAACCCAGAGCGTCTTGTTGTCTTCTGTGCCCCCCCCCATCTATTATGCGTGTCTGACATCTGTGTATGCTAGCATTAGCAGCAAAGTGAAAGCAAGACTGCCAGTTTATTTAGTTTATTTTTTTAAGAGACCGTTCAAAACCCATCCTGAATGAAGTAAGATCACAACTGTCCACCTATATCAACCTAACAACATTACAGTCTTTTCTCTTCTTTAATTAAAAACAGATGCCAATTTGAGACAATCTCACCACGCTCCCCGTTTAAAACACAGTTGGGTAGATTCCTATACACCAAACAGGCAAAGAGTCCCATTTTTCACTTGAACAAATATGGATGAGAGATTTTCCACATTTAGCTGCATTTGTGTGTGTTGATCGTTGAGGTTGATGATTAGATCTCAGTTTTTGTCAAAATCAGAACTTTTCAAAGGCGGTTTCAAGTTTTTAGCAAGATATGAAAATGCCTAAGTGTCTTTTTTGATCATAGGTTATTGGTTTCTGTCCATCAGCCAGAACTCTTTGACCTCAGTGTCACCACTGGACAAGTACCAACTACACTGGCGTTGAGAAGACATGTTTGGTGAGATTGATGTGTGGTGGTACTGCTTCTAAAAACCTGTCCGTCCGCTTGAAGTGATAAGCATCCAGCTAGCCATTCCATCTGTTCCCCCTAGTCCTGTTTAATTAATGAACTGTCTTTCTCCACCCCTTAGCCAACCAGCGCAACACTAAATAAAAGCTGTTAGCCCTCTCAGGTTTTCCAAATGGATGCCCCCCACCCCCCCTTATGGGTGCGTTCTCATTGATTAGTTATGTTTTGTTTTCCCATCTTTTGTCTCTGGGTTTTTGAAGGGAGAGTTAATGAGCTTTCCTGGCAGTCTGAAGCACTAGGAATCCTGGAATAGATGGGAATAGTTTTTTTGGTTATTTTGCTCCGCTTTTTTTTTTTTTTTTTTTTTTTTTTATTGTGATGGATTTGGCAGAGATGTGATGCCTCGTGCCACCGTGTGTGTTTGCGTGTATGGGTGCGTACATCATTGATGATGTGTGCTTTTTTAGATGTGTTTGAATGGCTTTGTGGTGGAGTATAATGCATTTTATTCCTGCTGGTCCATTATTCCTTTTCAGATGAAGGGAATCTGGTACACTCTTTGACAGCCTGTGTCACCATCCCTCCTTTAGCTATCTCAGCAAAACTTGTGTACTGTCCACCTTTAACCATGAAGTGCTCTCTCTTTTCCTTTATATGTTCCCTCTTCCTTCCTTGTCTCTTGTAACAAGGCAGTGGACAGGCCTTTGTCCAGCTGGGGCTGCCCTCTTTTGTTTGTCCAGCCTTTTTTATCCTTGTGCTAATCGCCATGGTCGTGTGCCTGAGTGAGACCCCATATTTCACGCTCAGCTCTCCTTTGTTTGACACACCGCCCCTGATAAGAATCCCAATTCTAGGGCCCCTCTGATATTGAAATCCAACAGCGGCGTAGAGAGAGCCTTCAATCATCCATTATCTGTGCTCCAGTGATTACCATTCAATCTCCCAGGGTCCATGCGCCTCATCACCGGCCCCAGAGCTGAGGCTGTCCCCTGAAAGAACCTGCATCCCTTAACGCCAGTGTCACATACACGCATATCCACAGATATTTCAACCACCTTTTTGAGACAGCCAGGCATTGAATGCTACAGGGAAATGTCAGTGAAATGTCACTCATCATTCTCCACTGGAATCTTTTGGTCTTTGATGTGGCCCTGGGTTTTTCTGGACTCTTGTGAGAACATCTTTTGACATTATTGGGTTTCTTTGTCCCTAAATGGCTATTAAATTTCGATTCTCCTTTTTCAGCCAAAGAAAAGAAAAGATTGCTCTTTTACTTTTAACATAAGACTGTCTCACGTATAATGTCACACACGTAATTCGCTGTTAGAAGGTATTAGTTGATTATTTATAAGTTGCACATTAATGCCTCTTTAAATGGTTCAAAGGCTGTGTCTGCTCCTCTGCTGGCCTATGTCCATTATTATCTTTTAAAGGATGTCCTTGTGCCTGCAGCATTTGCATTTTTGCACTAAATGGAATTTTTTGCATCAAGAACACCATGAGGCAAGCTAAACCCTCACAAAACAAAACATTGAAGTATGCACCTCTGTGCATTGTCTGCCTCTTCGTGCGGTGAGCAGCCTTTGATGTGTTAATAGAAGGAGTCTCTGTTTTTTTGTCAAGTGGTTGTCGTAGCTTGAAGAGATGCACCAAGAAATACTGACCAAATCTACCCATGCCCTCCTCGGTTACAGGCTGTGATCATGTTGTTTGGCAGTGGCACACACAAGTGCATCATATTTTTGTATTTAGATCTTACCTCAAAAACTAAGTGCATGTATAGTACACATTAAATCAAGAGGTAATGCAACATGTGATTATAATTTATGTGCATTTTGCATTCATTCAGCTCATTTCTATTGTGGGTTCAGTGTATGAAAGCTTTGTTCTGCAGACATCTACTTATCCCACACTCTGTTTAGATAAACAATAGCCCTCAGTACCTTTGTTTAATCTAGTGTACACATCTTCATTTGTTATGTATAGCTTCTAATTACTATTGATGAGAGGCTGGCTGATTTGGGTACAAATCTATAGCTTTTGTCATTCTAATGAGTGTTATTTATCCTCAGATCTTCAAGCCAGGGGTTCGAAATAGAGCTTTGTGCAGCCAGATATGGCCAGGCCACACTTGTTTTTGCATGTTGCCGACTTTGACAAAATCCAGTTTGCCTCCCCCATCACCACCAGCCTGCATGGATGTATAAAACACTTCCCGCTCCTCCATCTGTTTTTGTCCACCCATGAAAAGGTCCATTATAATCTGCAGGATGCACAGTTGATGTGCCACTGGCCCTGTTTGAGCCAATCAGGGCCGTCCACTGAACTTGAACTACAATTTTAAGAGGCCCTAACCCCTCCCCCAGCCATTTTTCATTATCTGACTTCTTGTCTGAGATCTTGTGTTGAACAAGATTTTATAACAACATTTTCTCTGTCATTTCTTTTCCACTATAAAAGCTTCCAGTCTGAATGGAGCTCTATGCATGCCCAAAGGATGATGGCAGGCTCCTGATTAACCCTGGAGTAACTAGCTAATGTCAATGAAGGAGGGCCACCTGGCTGTGAGATTGTACAGTCAGCTGCCACTGAAGGGCCAGAATAGGAGATGACCAGGTGTTGGGCTCCAGCCCCCCTTAATTGTTGCCATGTAATAGCCTGCTTGACTGCACAGTATAGCCCAGGGGCCAGGATTAGGAAAAAGCTGTTGCCAACACAGAAGACAATTTCTTTTTTTGCAAGGTTTTGGTGCGTGTGTTACTCTTAGTGTGCATGTTAATCCTATGTGTATCCCTATATGTACTCACATGTGGTGTGTGTAGATAGATAGATAGATAGATACATACATACATGCATACATACATACATACATACATACATGGTATAGATATACACATAGATCGATATATGGTAGATCTAGATAGATAGATAGATAGATAGATAGATAGATAGATAGATAGATAGATAGATAGATAGATAGATAGATAGATAGATATAGTCATAGATTGGTGTATGGTATAGATAAAGACAGATGGTAGATTTAGATAGATGGGTATAGATATAGACATAGATCAATATCGATAGATAGAGAGAGAGATAGATAGATAGATAGAGAGATAGATAGATAGAGAAATAGAGAGATAGATAGAGAGAGAGATGGATATAGTCATAGACTGATATATTGTATAGGTGTGCACATAGATATTTGGGTGGACTGACGGATGGAGGGACATTATACCAGAAAATATCCCTCTTGACCTTAGAGTAACTAACCCTTTTTTCCTTTTTATTCATCCCGGCTGTGATTCTATGTAACTCACTGCTAATCATTATCATTCCCACTAAATGCCTGGCATTTTGCATAAGGCCAAGCAGCCTAATTGGCCCAATGAACCTTTCATAGTGGGGGCAATAGAGGAACACAAGATTACATATTCAGCATGTCTCAAAGGAGAAGCAGACTTAGATGCTTGGCGTTAAGGCATCACAGTTATTTTGTAGCACATGCCACAAACATCATTAAAATTGCAGAGGCCTCGCTTCGTTTTGTTTTAATATTTCATTGGCGCTTGTCTGAACAGTGTTTAACATATGGTTAAAATTAGAGCCGTTTTGCTTGGCCCAGGGTTTGACTGCAACTTGCTCAAATGAAGTTGTCAGACTGTGTTTTTAGGTTTGTGAAACAGATAAAACATCAAGTTACTGTGTGTTTTTATGCTGTTTTGAGGTGCGAGCAGGTGAGCTTAAACAGAGTCTGTAGCCTGACAACAATTATTACAGGACAAATTTCATCATGAAAGTTTGAAGAAAGAAAAGGTGAAATACCTCACAAGAAATCAGATGGATTTCAATCAAAGTCTAGGTCCTGTGTACCCTTTCCTGTTTCATCTTTGACTTTTTATTAAAAGTTCAAATTTAGATCAGATAGATGCTGTTGTTCCCTGTCTCGATTCTGAACAATTCAAATATCAGGAACTGAAGGAACAATATGATGCGTATTCACCTCAGATAGCTCATAAGATGCACACCTTTGTCCTGACCTAATAATGTTTCCAGAAGGCTGAGGCATTCATGTCACCCCGGCCATCATCACCGACAAAGGGGAACCTTCAGAGATCTCTCACCCAGTGACAGAACTGTATCTGTTAATCTTCTTCCCTATGAGCCTTTTTGCTCATCTTATTATGACTTTCTGTTAATGCATGGTGAAGGCCTGTGTGACTGTCTGGCTGTAATGGGCCTGTGTTTGATTAATCATGTCGATCCATTGTGTTTCACATCTAAGGCTGCCGTGTTAGGACTCATCAATGGAGACCAGAGTCCTTTGAAAAAGAGATTGGTTACAGACTCAGCTCATCTGAATACACAAGCCCAGCAGGCTTTGATGGTTGTGTTGTGTTGAACAAACCATGCACCAAGAAATTATGATGTCACCGGATGGCTTGTGGAGGTAACTTGTTGCTTTATCGTTTATGAAGCCCCAACGATCGGTAGGTCCGGACAAAGTTTAGAGGTCAACATTGACTTTGTTGTCGGTGCTTGTCTTATGATTTGTTGTGGAGCAGGAATCGATTTGAAGCGTCCCCCAGAGGATCAGTGGGCTGCCAGAGACTTAAGCAAATGGGTGACTACTTCCTCCAGTCAGCTCATAAATAACCTGCTCATGCCAGCCGGTAGACATCAGATGTCTGCAGCTGTGGCAAACCTGTATGAAATCACTGATGGGCAGTGATGATGTCACAAGTTAGGAGTGATGTCACGGCCATAATTTCCCATGCTGCTGTCTGAATGCCAGATGGAGGGTAGATAGGTGTTGGAGGTTGGAGCTGGGAAAGCTCTTGCTGTAGGAAACCCACCCCTCAGGAGGTGTCATTAACCTGGGCTTACTGTTTGACCTAGCTCCTTTGGGGCTTCTGAGCTCCAGTTTCCTGGACCGGCTCCTAATTAGGCTACTTGTTAAGACTCTCTGAAAGCAGCCATTTCCCTAGAGCATGTGATGTTGTGTATGTCTATGCACACCTAGAAAATGGACACACAAACACCTCCACTCATCATAATGCATCTGTGACACATTCAGACGTTTTCTCTTCTGCTGCTGTGTCTGAAGCAAAAAGCTGTTTAATGAGACACCAAGGTTTGAGTAGCTGCTGCATAAAATGGGAATGGGACACACACACCAACACAGCGCAATCACCCTACTGGCAGGTTTCTGTAATACACACTCTCACTTTATCTGTGTCTATCTGTTGTTCTTTCCCACACTGCCATTATTCCAGCAGCCAGCTTTATTGCCATATTCACTCTTTCTGTCCGTATCCTTCTTTCTCAGTGTCTCTCCATCTAAATGTCCCGGTCTTTCTGCCCATTTTCCCATAATCACCTCACACCTCTAAGGGCCTCTGCTGAGACGAGCTTCACACCTCAGCCCTCACTGTGACAACAGGTACCGCTGGCACTCACCGCCTGGCCTCTCTCCAATCAACACCTGCTCAGCTTTATCCCTCTTTCTTCCCGTCCCCTTTTCCATCTCCCCCCTCCCTCTTTTTCATCTCCACCCTCTTTCTCCATCATGCTGTTGCTTGTTTGGTGTTTTTGATACTGGTGCATTCGCCAACCTTTTAATTCCATTTTGCATCACCTTTTTGCCTTTACAGCGGTAAACAATAGTTCATCCATATTTAGTCCAATTCATTTTTCTAAACAGACCCCCCCCTGGGAATGATGGTATGAAGCCTCTGATCTATTCCAACACCAAGTATCTTCTTTGCAACATAAACTGTATCATATATTCGCCAACCAGTGAGTGAGTGCATGATCAGCCCCCTCCGGTGATGATGGGAAACAGTGACACTTCCTCGTTCATTTTGTTTTGGTTGTCACTGAAGAAAGCTAGTCAGTCGATAGTTTGTTGGAAATAGTTGCAATGTTTTTAGTCTTTGTAAGTTGGCTCAGGATACTCTGCTAGGATTTCTGCAGAATTTAAGTTTTCTAAAACCCATTTTAAGCTGCAATAAAGCTGCGTTCTGAGTGGGACTTGTAGTATTGCTCACTAAACGCAGGTATCCTTTTCATGGACATGCTAGGCTTTTTTGTGTTTCACCATTGATACTTTTCTCCCTCTCAAAGAAGCTCTCCACAAGTTTTGATTTACTCGTTTTAGTAAACTTGATTTTTCCTGCATCATAGCTTTGACAGTGACATAAATGTGTTGGGAGGCAAGACGGGCAGTTTTCTAAACAAAAGACACCACAGGTCAAAAAAGGTTAATGAGATAAAGTATATGATTGATGCTTTTCAGCCAGGTACATTATCACCTTTATTAATATTGATATCTGATCTCAGTAAAAAAATGAATATCAGATTTTATCAGCCTGCATCTAAAATCTCCGATAGCAGCGCTTGGATACAAGCAGTCCATTCCAGACTCTACTCCAGCACCTCTATCTATGCAGAGCCTACTCGATCACAGTAACAGTGTGTACTAAGGTACTAACAAAGTAGCAAAGAGTAAAGAGTAATGTCGGCATGTGGCAGTATTTTTTGTTTCAGTCCGAAAAAGACATTGCTGCTGAGTGAAAAACTCGTCGTGCAGGTATCCTTTTCATATTAATATCGGATCAAGATCGGTATCGGACAATACTGAAGGCTACAATATCGGTATCGGAAGTAAAAAAAATTGTATTGGGACACCCCTGTTTCTTATGATTGCATGTAGCAACCTGCATACAAGAGGTTAGCCTGGCCAATATTTGCTTCTTTTCATTTTTCACTGATATCACTCCTTTCAGTTTACCACTGATGCAGGACACCGGAACCCCAAATATAATTTGAAATGGATTGACATCATTTTTATAGTATATAGCATCATGCTACAAGTGCATCAATGGTATGCAACCATAAATTATTAAAAAATTAGGAATGCACTTTTCATCTGCTTACTTGAGCAACCAAGCACCCAACCATGCCGTCCTCTTAGCAGGCCAATTATGTGACTGCTCAGAGTCAATGGTGCTCCTGAGCGCTTCTCTTCATCAAGGTCAAGCTGATTGGCCCAGGTTAATGGGCAGATGGGGGGCTAAGAGAGGAGGGGGTCAAGCACCGAGAGGTACCCTCTACCTCATCTCTAAACTGTCCCTCTTCACTACAAGAGCTCCTTTCACCAGCAGTGCTTCTACAAACAGGATTAACCTTGGCTGAGGCTGGGGTAGCCCCCAATAGCACAGAGGTTGTTCCTCCACTTGCAAAATGACAATCTTCTTCAAGATCCGTGTTTAGATTTGTATTTTCTAGTGACGTTTACATTTATGTTCCTTGAAGTCTCCTCAAAACAACTTTTCCCACCATCGCACACATGAAAGACTGTGAAGAGTATTTGGAAAGGTTTGTGTGTTTGGTGTGTGTGGGTATATAAATGCATCCGTGTGTACTCAGTAAAGCTTTAAAAATACTGAGATATGGTGATGTTTTCTCTCGGGATTATGCAGATTTATAGTATAAACTAAGATTAAGCAAAAGTGTGATTTTTGATGATGGTGCAAATTGTGAAGTTGATGAGGGCTCATCTCACCATTCCAACCTGATCTACCCTCATTTTCTATGCTATCCCACATTTCTGCCTCCAAGAATACAGGGCTCCTCTTTTTGGAGTTTTTCCTTTTTTTGCCCCTTTCTTTATATTAACCTCCCGACAGCCCTGCTCTGTTGTAGCCTTGTTTTTGGATGTTCAAAGCTTTGGATATGCTTGTCATCTTGATTTCACATTCCTCATTTTCATAACACTTTCCTCTGAAGACGTGACATATATGATCTTGTATATTGCATCAGTTCCTATCATGTACAAGGGATACCCTCTGTGAGAGTGCTCTATGGATTTCTGACAAATTATTTACAGATGGCAATCTTGGGCTTCACAAATTAATTTTGCCTCCTTTTCTAGCATCCTCACTGGGGTGAAAATAATAAAAAGAAGTCAAAATAATAAAAGCATTAATGTCACTATGGGTCTTTTTAGGACCCCTGCGAATGTAGACTTTCACACTGTGCCCGAACGAATCAACAAATCAAGCATATTCTGTACGTGTGAGTGTTTGTCTATTTTGTCCCCTTCATTTATGCAATTACAACACAAGGTAAAAAACACATCTTAATTAAATGTCCTTCTTTTGACCGGTTGCCCTGTCCCCGTTGCCACAAAACAACCCATACTGTGTAATAGTGCAAGAAATACAAACCACTGTTAAGGGTTTATTGAGTTCGTTGTAGTGTTGACTCCAGACCGAGAGTCATAGTCTCAAATCTGTCATATCAGAGTCTGATTCCTGTGTCAAGTCTCGTCCAAGGCGAATTCCCCTTGAGTCAAGTCCCGATAATTAATAGTTTAATTTGCTATAAACAAGGTGTCTTTTTCACCTCAAATTATTGATTGTTTGAACTTTACAGTGGGGGAACTTCAAATTAGTAAAAAACAATCCTTTCTAGTAATATCAGATTCTAACAAATCCAGTTAAGATTTAAATTATCAGTGCGGTGTCGGGGCTGTGTCTTTGTGTATATGAATATAATTTATCATCTTCTGAGGGCAGCTTGTCTTTTTAATTTTTACTAACATTTTAGGAAAGTGTAGAGGAATTTTGGATCCTGAACTGATCAGAAATTTGACCAAGAAAACATCTTGCACCCAGTGGTTGAGTCTCTTAAGAGGCTAATGTTGTTAATTTGGATTTCATATTTTGGTGACTTCTCTTTGAACTGTTGGACGTTGAATTGAGAGGTAAGAGGAAATTCATATGAAGTCTGATTTCATTATCTCAGCTAAAGACGGACTCAGAAAGGTTTTTTTTTTATTTTCATTTCTCTTCAGTCCCGCAGTTTTCTTATTTTTTCTTGTTTCTCAAGAATAAGAAGCACATATATGACGACATTTTTGAAGTGTCAAGATTTCTTGGTGATTGTTCCATGCTTTTCGTTTGATTGACAGTTAGTTATAGCTGTTCTTTAATACATTTTTGAAAGTTCACAGACAATATGAGGGAAACTCTTGGCACCTGTTCAGCTGACTTATTTTGAAACTAAATACTTTTGCTGAGTGAGAAAGGACATTGACTTGTTTTTGCCTGTGGTGAGAAGAAATGAAAAAGAAACCCATAAGCGTCTCTTAGTAAAGGAGTATTGACTGAGGCCATGATTGTCCCATTTGGCAGTGTGTGTGTTAGAGAGATGCTGAGTGTGTGCCAGAGGCCACTGGTGGCGTGAGGCCTTTTGTCCGCGGGAGGATTGAGGAGCACAAAGATAGAGGCCGGATGGTATGGATGCTGCTCTCCAGAGAGTTACAGTTCAGAGGTCAGTTTAGGCTCTTTTGAGGAACTGTGTGCCTGTGGGTAGAGGGTGTTGGTGTGTGTTATGGGTGTGTGTGTTGTATCTATTTATGCACAAACGCCTGTGTGTAAGCATGCTACGTGTCTAGATTGTGGGTGGGGTTCCGCAAGGCTCAAAATGGATCCCAGTGGACTGGCGTTTTCAGGACAGGTCCCTGTGGATGGTGAAGAAGGGAGGGAGATGATGATGATGAGGGTTGGTGGCGGTTGGCGGATTGGGTCCAGCAGGGATGGGGCAGCCTGCTAATGAAGAGCCATCTGAGGCCTCCATTCACCTTGAACATGGGCCACTGCAGCTGCCCTGACCTTGGCTTTGATCCATAAAGATGCTTGACCCCCACCATTCCCCAAGAGTTACCCCTCCTGCCATCTGGCCAGCAGGCATGCATATGTATACATATGTGCACACACACATACACACACACACACACACAAATACATATGCATGTACACACAGGCTGACCCATATGCACATGCACATATGCTGTTTAATTCAGTTCCATGCTATGTTTGTTTAGCCACAAGCAGCATATATTTTAGGGCAAGTTAGCTGCATTTTGTATGTTAGTGCATTATTGACCTGTATGTCGATGATGCATGTGTTTTTATGTAATTAGAAAAAAAACACCGCATACATACCCTTCGACAGACTGTTATTCATGAAAATATATTCCTACAAATTTAGAAATATTGAAGTTATTACCTGTACCCTCTCTTACCACAGACTCCATGTTTCCAGCTACCTAAAGTTATTTTTACATCAGCTTGGACCTAGATTTATTTTCTAACCACAATTCCAGTGTTTGCCACGCTCCATAGACATTACATTGCTTTGACTCCCTTCTCTCTAATAAGAATGCAGCAGCTTGGAACATGGGGGGTTCCATGGAAATTCCCAAAGTGGCGCAACACACTCGCCCCTCACACTGGCTTGTCTTGCTTGTCCGCCCAGTTTAGCTGTAAATGACAGTTATGTCACGGGTGACTTAAGTTCCTGTCCATCTGTGGAAATGCAGACCTGGCTACATTTTTCTTTCCAGTTTCCACTCGCTGGCTCTGTGACTATTTTTTTTTTTAGCCTTAAAATAAAGTGATGTTTTATGCAGTACAATGAGGGGGTTTATCAGAAAGGTTTTGTAGCCTATCACATTTTGGATTTTGTCCATAAAAGTAAAAGCTTGACTCAAAACTCAAAGCTTTGCCAGACAGTCATCATCGGCAGAAGCCACAGCTTATTTATCCCCAAAAGTAGGTCAGAGTCGGCAGGTTTGGTGTCCATGACACGGACATGGTCTTTGCGTCACTGATGTGGACGTGTCCCTTGATTAAGTTACTGCATGGAGGCAGCAGCATCTGTGCATATGCAGGGGAACAAGCTGTGCCCATGGCTTAGTAATTAGAGACAAGCAGAAAGATGAGGGAGTGTGTGAGAGGGAGAGAATACAAGATTACCCCTCACTGTGCATCAGGTCTGATCTCTGCAGCAATTTTTTTACCCACAGATAACATCGTACATTTACTTAAGTGAGCTGATTATGGCTCTTGCTTTCACTCATCTCCAAAATACCTTATATTAGTCCGCCTCCCACGCTGCCTGTCTTTCTCCCTTGCAGGCTGTCATATAGTTTTTGCTTCCTCTCAGTAATCCCACACTATCTGCCTTTATTTCATTTTTTGAAAAGAAAAAAAAAATCACCCACTTTAATCCATTTGTCTTACTTGGATAGAGGGCAGTGGAAGAAAGTAGTGAAGGAGAGGCGTGTGTCAGAGTCAGAGAGAGCGTCTGCTCCAGCTGGAGTCAATATTTGCTTTAGGAATCTCAATAACAGGCCTCCAGTCATCTGCATCTCTGATAATGGACAGCCATATGGCTCTGTTGACCCACGCTGTGCCGAGGTTCTCTTTCTCTCTCCTTCTCCTTCTTTGTCTTTCATTTGCCAGCTTCCTTTAGACTTCTTTCATTTACTTTCATTAAGTCCTCCCTTCTACTGTACTTTGTCTTCCACCTATTACCTATTTGGGCACATTTTGTTCTTTTGCAAACATCTCTCATCATTGTCTGTCAACCATAAAAGCCTGGATATGACCCACCACACAGAGCTGTGACCCAAGTTACCATGGCAGCAGAGACTAGGATGCCCACTCTTTGTCCAATACTGTTTCCAGCAAGTGACAGAAATAGTGACGTTGCATGTCTGGTTATGATGGAGGACAGATGAAGATATGTGAAGCTGAAGAGAGAAGTGCTGATACTTGCCCTAAGTCTTGCTGTTGTATGTCATATAAATATACGTTTTTACTCTATAGTGACAGTTTTTTAACTCACAGGTAGTCAGATCTGCGATTTCTATTTTCCAGCTCAAGATAGCAGGCCTGTTCTGGCCGTGGCTAAATAATAATGCCTTTTTTTTTTTTTGCTATTTTGAACAACATTCAATAGTTTGCTTAGTCTGACCTGTAGTGAAAAGAAATTTGCCACCATTACAGAAGTAACACTCCTGCTTCCTTTGTCTTATTATGCCCTTTGTCCATCTCTGACCATCCCTGTGAGCAGCTTGGCCATGGTACCCCCTGGAGCTTCCCGGCTCAGGTGCCCGTCACCCCAGCTTTGCCACGGTTCCCTCATAGCCATTGGTCATGGCTGCCTTGGCCCCCACTGTGGCGGCATGTGCCCACAGCAGGCCCCCTGCCCAGTCACTGTCTTGTCCTATCTATCTAACCCAGACCGGAGCCTCCCAGTCCAGTCCACCCTATCTCAGCTCATCCTGGTTCAGCCTTGGCATCAGCAACAGACCAGTGCCACTCCACCCTGGCAGTCATAATGAGACGAGGGGGAGGGAGGGGCTCTGTGCTGAGAGACCAGAGTTGTCTGTGTGGGAGCGACAATACTTGTTTGTTAAGCAATTTGTTGGGTGTTGTCTATGAGGGAAAACAACGGATGGTGATTTGAAAAATTAGCCTCATTGTCAAACATACACATGTGTTGAATATCAAAGGAACTTTCCACCATTATGCCTCCACATGGACCTTTTTACTCCACCAGTGTCCTGCATCACATTTCCTCCAGCACTTGTCTCCATTCCATAGCATGCTCTGCACAATATACTTCTGATAATGTTATGATAATAGCCATCAGAATGTTTTCCACCATCAGCACCCAACAGCCATTCTGCAGATTGATTTATTTATTTATTAACATGAGCTGTCCCATTTCAAATCCAGCTATCCATCCTGCATGCTGGCTGCCCAGGCTCCAGTTGCTGCTTGTCACTCTGAATTTCAAATGGCTCCAATTTTCCCCCTGATGGCACGGAGAAGTGGCAGGCAGCACATCGGGGAGGGTGGTCCTAGACATGCTGCCTGCAGCAGGGGTTCTATTAGAGAGAAGAGAGGGCTGAGAGGGGGGACAGGAGAGGTTTGGAGCATCACGCCAGTAGTCATGTATTCTTTCTTTCTTTTTTATGATTATTTTGGAGACTGCTTTCTCATTTGGGGATGTGTGGCATGGCTGATTGTTCCATCTCTGCCTTTGGCTGGGCTGCTGATGGTTGAACTGCCTTGCCTGCCAGAGCTGTCTCCCACTCTCAGCTCACTCTCACCATACGTTGTACAGCTCTGGAAAAATGTGATTTTTAACTGTTGCTTCCATTTGGTCCCTTGCTGACTAAGCGTACCATCTTGTGATCGAATCACTCGTGGAAGCTTACCAATTGTGAAATCTTTCCTCTTCTATGCCATGTTTTGTTCCTTAATGAGAGCTTTCCAGCTATGAAGAGCGAGCTCTCTACTTGGAGGCCATTGTTCAAAACCACAGAGAGGTCATGACCTTTGAAGACTTCGCCTCACAGGTCTTCTCCCCTTCTCCTGGCTATTCAATGAGTGGAGCAGGTGAGAAATGAATCAAACTGCAGCTCTGTCCTCCTGCCTTCCTTCCTTCCATCATATCTCTTTTTCCCCATTTCTTTCCCTCAAACCTCTGTTGCTTCATCATAAAAGATCCTCCTTTCCCTCTTTGTCATTTCTTCTCACACCTGTTTGCCTTGTCTCCCCCTCATCCTGTCCACTCTTCCTCCACGCCTACGTTCACTGATGAATATCAAACGATGGGCCCGGCTCTTCTCCCAACGACTTCAAACACACTGTTTTCTCCACTTCCTCAAGCCCCACTCACCTTACTTTGTTCATCTCTTCTTGTTTCAAACTGCATCTTTCCATGCAATTACTCCTCCATGAATATAAGCAGCCTTGTTAAATGGTGGTTGCAGAGTGCATTTACGTCCATGTTTGTGCACATGCGCTTGGCTCTATGAGCTCATTCACAAACACTTAAAAGACCCAACCAACAAACAGCAGTACACAGATGTCAGCACAGCACTCTTATCAGCCCGTGATGAATAGAATGGAAAACGTGTCTTATCTTGTTCTTCCTACTTGTAGTAGCTCTGATCGATCTGCAACAGCACTGAAATCAATACAGAATTGCACTTTTCCACTCTATTGGATCTCGACAGACATTCTGTTTTGACAAGGGAAGCACTCCACAAAATCACACCATCCTGTGATTTTCAAATCTGTCAGTGCGTTTATATTTTAAGGGGCCTTTACAGCGTATCTAATATTTTCATCCGGTATGATGGCATGTGCAAATTAAATGTCTGAATTTCCTCGACTGTGTGTTTGTGTGTGCGTAGACTGCCAGACAGCAGGAGAGATAAGCGATTAAAGGCAGGCAAGAGATAGTCGGACACATTACCATCTCTTCAGTTGGCCCATCTCTTCTGCACAGGTGTAAAATCTCCCCAGACCGATATCTAGTCACCTCCTCTTATCCTCAGCACCAAACCTGCCTAAAGACAACCACTGAGGAAAGAAATAGACGGAGGAGCAGGTGGAATGAAGAAGAAGAAGAAAACTTAGCCCATTTTGTCAGCCATGATTTGAACAGGCTTGAGGATTGTGATTCACATGATCAGACGTGTGCTGTTGCTAATATGACATCTGTAAGGCTGTTCTGTCACCCACACCTCTGCAGAAACTTGTCTTGATGCCTGCAAATCAATCAGCTGATTAATATAAGCTTGTGTATCTATTTGTTTGTGTATCTTAAAAAGGGGGGACATTTCATAGCTCACTGAAACAATCTCTGTAAAATATTCAAACCAAGGGCAAAATCCTATTTCCATGTTTTAGAGCTGTACAGTTGTGCTCTTTGTTGCAACTGGTTTTAGAAAATCATGATATTTATGTTATATTGTGGTGCTTTTGGAGCTCAGAGGTTAAATTGTGCAGCTCAATCAGAGAGGCTAAGGTTCTTGGAGTGTCCTCCCCGGTTCAAAGCCCAAATCAATCATAAAAACATATTGTTGTGCAGATGGAATTTTGGGTTTGACTTTTTCTTATCCAGTACAATCCTTCCAAACCTTGCAGCACCAACAAAAATATACAGTTCAAGTATTCTGTACGTGTGTGAATCTTGTGCTTTTTAAACTACAAGCATGGTATATTTGCAGCACAAGGGCGCATATTCAATGTGCCTTTTAGACTCTGTTTACACATGACCAGCTATTTTCATAAACGGACATTTCACCCTCTTCATTTACAAAAATAACTGCGTGCGCTTTACTACATTTTTAGAAAAGTTTGCGTTAACACAAACCCGTGGATGAAACAGGGAAATCCACGCCCCCAACCCATTTGATTGGTTCCTGCAGCATCTCTTCTTCGCTCGCCTGTTGTTTTTCATCCTCTGATATGATAAGGGGAGAGTTATAAGCTAAAGTAGGGGTTAGGGTGAGGTTAGTAAAGGTTAGGGTTGGGTTAAGGGTTAGTGGCGGCGATGTGACTGCAGTGAAATTTAAAAACAGGAGGGGGGCGCATATGAGGTAGAAGTGAGAGACTGTGTAGGAGCCAATCAAATGGGTTGGGGGTGTGAATTTCCCTCCCTTGCTGTCAAGAGCATATCAAACATGTGGGTGGCAGTGTAGCGAAAAGCCCAAGCCTACGTTAGCCAATCAGAATCCTGCAGAGCAATAACAACAACTGCCATCAACCTCCCAAATCTCCATTTTTCTCTGTTATCATTCAAACGTGCAAACAGAGTTTTCCAAAATCTCCATTTTGGCCAGAGTTTTTAAAAAGCTTTATTTTCAGTGACAAATTCTCTGTTTGCGTCTAAACAAAGAGTGCAAATGATGGATAGTGTCTCAGTTCTTAAAAATAAACAGGGCCTTAAAATGCATCTTTGTATAATATGTCTGTCATCCGTTTTCTTCTGTGATCCGTTAAGTACAAACAGTAGTCTGAGAGCAGTGATCACTAGCTAACACTGCTCCTCATTCCCACTTTTCTGCAATGTGCTCCTTCACTTTCATGCCGTACATGCGTGTGAGTGTGTGCTTGCGTAAGGTAAGTGGGGTTGTTTTAGGGGTGGGAGGTTGTATGTGAGATCATCCATCCACACGTCTGCCCTTTTCATCCTGCTCTGGCCCCCATTGCTGCCACTAACATGTCATTCATGCTTCATGACAGCGTGCAGGCGTTGGCCAGGGATGGTTTGGGACATGGAGTACCCCTGGGCCAAACTGGACTGTAAGACTCTGCCTGCTTCCTCCACACTAGGCATGATGCCCCGCCACAGGCCACTAACATTTCCATTTATTTGTTAAAAAAGCTCTGGGTTACACCTCATGTAGACATTTCATCTATTCATAGTAGATGTTTAATTTAAAAACACATTCTGCATGCAGTTATTTTCAATGTAGTGCTCAATGTAGAGTAAGGTACCGGACCTTAAACTCTACACCTTTAAACTTTTCAGTTTTATCCACAACCTTTTACTCTGTGATCCTGAATGAAATCTCATCCAGTCCAGTCGGTCTTATGCCTGCCTTCATGAGCTCGTCCATCTGTCATACCTCCTCCATCCACAATGCTCTGCCATGTCTGTTCCACCTACACTCCTTTTTTTCCTTATCTTGTGTTCATCTTCCAAACTTTTCAAAATGAGTTACTGGACACATGAAAGCAACACTTCTCTCTCAGGATAAAACAACCAAAAAGCTCCCATGACCCTCTCCACTCTAACCTTAACCCTCTTTTCCAGTAACACCGGTGGTAAATGTTACTCAGCCTGCTGTTGCTATGTGAACTGCCCACCTCACACACTTTTGGGTTTCGAAAGAGTCTTACTTTTGAGATCTGTGAAATGGGCAGATTTCATCTTCAGAAAAGGTTCGACTTGATGATTAACTCACCCCCCAAATCAGTTAACTTTGTCTGATTTTGAAACCCTCCAGTCACAACTAACCTGGATACCACACAAGCTGTTTGAAAATCTCTCCGACCCTCAATTCACAGACTTTTCATCAGCCTTGTGTTGTGTTTTGCTGCAGTGAGTGTGGTATAGTGTGTGCTACTCTCTTAAATGATGCTCTATTGTGTTTCCCTTTTAGATTAAAAATTTCTTAAAGGTCCAAATACTGTTTGTGGTGAAGGTAAGCCCCGAGTCAGACCAGAAGCTTGTTTCCGTCCAGCGGACTGCCTACCCTTCACTCATTCACTCATCCTGGCTGTTTTCCCCCACCTCTCCTTTTTCATACAGCACTAACCTTGCTTTATTTACTGAGTGCTCTGACAAAGAGAAGGGGACAGAGAAGCCAGGCTGTTTATTTGGGGGTGTCCTACTGTTGAAGCCAGGATGGTAATTGAAAGTGATGCACTGTGGGGACAATTAGCACCTGACTAAGTAGCAGCATGAACAATACGGCTACACTTCTGGCCCTCGCTTCTGCATGTGGTGCGCCTTTATCTTTTCCCTCAGCAAGCACTTTTCTCCTTCCTTTCTTTGCTTTTTTCCCCCCAAATCCCTCTACCCCTCTCATTTCCTCCTGTTGGAGTGTGCCTGTTTGCCTGGGGCAGACTCTGAGACTAACACCTGCCGCACTGGAAGACGTCTTTGTCATCCTAAGCCTTGTTTGAACTGCTGCGGAGGGGGCCAATGGAATGGCAGGGCCATTTAAAGAGTCTTTGTTTTCTTTCTCTCAGTCTCTACCTTCCACCTTCCATCTTAAATTAACCTCAGCACACAGTGGTGTGGGCTGAGTAAGGAAATGCATTGGAATATTGATGATCACAACAACACATTGGCTTCCTCATATTTTCAGAGTATGACTCACAATAAAAAATGTTTGTATGAAGCCATAGAGGGGAAAACATTATAAACCAATGCAACCGCAGACATTAGAGCTGCAGTGCTGACTGTTGAGTGCAGCATGTTTTAATGGCTGATAAACAAAAAGTGAAGCCTGTTGAGTTAGTGGGGAATCATATTACACGATTGACACTATTTGTTTTTGGAGCACACGCAGCTTGAGTGTATCAAACAAAGAATTAAGAAGACAACAGCTCTACTGTAGGAATGAGGAATAAGGGAATGTGGATTTCTTCCATCTTTAAGGCCAGCCTGTATTTCAGCGTAGCCCTTCCCTTGTCTATATTCACATGCAGATTTGAGCAAGCATGTTCAGACCCTCCCTCCCCTTCCCCTCATACCCTCCACAATGCACGCACCCAATGTGTCATGTACAGCCCAGCCCTCCTCTCCCAGTGAGCTGCGACCCTGGATGCTGCCTGTGTCCACTGTGCTGCTGAGTGTCTGTTACTCCAGCCATCTGCCATTCCTTTTAGCCGCTGCAACTTGAGATGCTTCAGAAAAAAATGGCAGGAAATAAAAGGATAGGAAAGAAAATAGGCAACCAGATGCCACCTCGACAAAGCAGAAAAGTTGTTTAAACTCAGGGCATTGGGTGGGGGGATTCGGGGGTGGAGGGGCATCAGTGGCAAACTGAGGAAGTCAGAGCCAGTTTCACAATACTTCATTGTCCTCGCCAGCATTTGATGCCCACCCCCAGCTTATTACTATTTGCCATCCCGCAATCATGGATGTGAAGTTTTTTCTGAGAAAGCACGATGTTTGAAAATGGGAACACTCCACATGTTCACAACAAGAGCATAATGTGTAATTTTATTTTCATTCAAAGCATTCTGCTGTCATACAGCGAACCGAATACTTTTTTTCTGCCCTTCGTTACAAAGGTTACCTCTCATTTTTACGTCCTATAAGCATCTGGAAAACTGTGGAGAGGGGAAGGGGTTTCTCCTTTAACAAGCTCTGCTTTTCTGCAGCATGTGAATAAGGCATGTCAGAAACATATGGGATGCTGTCTCACGTTTTTATTCTGGTTACTTGAGTAGAACAAATGCAGATACTAACACTTTTTTTACAGTTTGCATTTGTGAATTTGTGAATGATGGTGAAATTCCCTTGAACTGGGCAATCTTGATTTTGGGAAACGCATATGCATGACAAAGCATGATGGGATAAAGCGGCAATCAGATCAAGACCAATGTGCCCCAATCACATCTGACCGGCTCTGTCCCTCTTTGTGTTTTTTTTCTTTGAGTTTCAATCTACAGACTCTCTCTCTCTCCATTTCTTTCCTAGGCTCTTTCACTGGCAGTGTGGGCACCGAAGCTGGAAACTCCGCAGGAACGACAGACTCTGTTGACCAAGTGTCTCCCACAATGCCCCGGGCCACAAAGAACAGAGTTTCAGGAAAACTCCGTCGCTCAGCCAGCGCTATAAGCAAATCCTCCAACTGAGCTTTTGAACCCGTACCCCCTTTTCCCCCAAAATGCAGCCTTTAATCTTTTTCTTGAAGAACCTCACACACCCAGCCGTGACTGCAATAGTTCTTTTTCTTTGTCTCTTTGTTTGTTTGCCGTGTCTCGTTTGTCTTTGTTTGATTTTGTGTCATATTAACATAACTGGAGCATATTGCAATTTTTAATTGAAGTGGCAATCGTTGATTTTGTTGATACATTTCCATTTGTTGTGCTTGACTACTTAACCAAGATGAGCACGTGACTAAGCTATTTATGTTCATCTTGATGGTTTCAGCTTAAGAATCAGCAGCATAGGAAGATTTGACTTGGGAGTCTAAAAGCAAATGTCAGTTTTCTGCTCATTTGTAGTGCAGACTTGATACACTAGAGAGGGATGTTCTAATTAAAGTGAGGGAAGGGGACTCTGCTTGACCCTATTTCTATATTGCATCTGTCTCAACACTTAATATGAGGAAGCACTGAATGACACCTCTGTGAATGGCATCATGCAAAAGCTGCACATGAGATTGGTAACCATTATAAATGTGTCTGCCTTTTTACCTCTCTCTGCACCGGCCACAACCTTTCCGTGTCAAAGATACCACTCAGTCTGCAACAGGATGATGAAGTCCTGCTCAGTAGCACCCAGTCGGGACCATGTTTGTGGACCATCTGCCTTCAGTGAAGAGGAGATGAAACAAATGCATGGGGAATACCTCCCCAGAATGATTTTACTTACTGCACTACCACACAGACTTCCTGTGTATCGAGTCCCTGTAGTACGTGCAGCCAGAGTCTTTTAATTGTTTTGAACCGAGAGTGGACAATCAATGATGTCTATCTGACTTTTCTTTTTTTTTATTTCTAGTTTTTCTTTTTAAATGAATTCCGATAGATTGTGTCATGACTTGATTTATGCAACCCTGCTGGAATGAGAAAAAACTGCGTTTGTAATTGTTTGCTGATGTCGTTAACGTGGGCTCATGTCCGGTAATTGAATAAGTTTCTTCTGTCTCTTTCCTCTGCGATCAGTTTACCTGTCCTGTAGAGCTAATGCATCGACATTCCAACGTTTCTGACCGACGGTTTTGCACTCACTGTCATTGATTAACTTTACATTGAATGTTTCTCTTTTTTTTCTTGGTTGTAAACTGCTTTAAGTTTTATTTGACCGATTTATTTTGATGTATGTAGAAAGGACTATTTCATGAACTATTTCCGCTGTTTTATTGTTTTATGTATACATGTGCTATTTAGAGGAAAAATACCGCCAGAGCCTCAGGTGAATCTTAACTTCATGCACTGGTGTGTATGAGTGTGTGTATGTGTGTGCGTGCGTGCGTGCGTGCGTGAGTGTGCTTGTATGTGTGAGTTCCCTATGGAGTGTCTCTCTCACAGTGCCTGTGTAATGTCTGTCCTTTTGAGATGCTGTCCTACACCACCTCTGCGCCTCATAATCCGATTTAAGTTTATCTGTATTGTCTCAGAATAACCATGGCCACTCTACATCACATCTTTAGAGATCCAGAACAGAGGGTTTGACTCCTCTGCGTCTCTGAAGGTCTGTCTTGTGTTTCTCAAAACAAAAAAACAACCACAGATGGATTCACCAACCATTCAGTCTTTATTGGAGGTGATGTGATGCCCTGTATTTATCTGTGAATGAAATCAATTGGCACCAACTCCTCCCTTTTCCAGTGATCTCTCTTTTCCCATGTTGGCTCCTGAGGCCTGGAGAAGTGTTGGTGGGTTGGATCGTGGAGGCAAAGAGATGAACACTATCCCAGCAACAACCTTCTCCAGCCTGCCTGTGCAGGTTGTCATGGTGGCCAGGTGTTCCTCACACACTTAAACACACCCTCTGAGGGCTCCACCCAAGCTGCAACACTATCCCCATCTGTTGCACTACTATGCCTTACTTTCCTCATGCTCTCCTGACACCTCAGCTCTCATCTCGCCTTTTTTTTTTCTTCTTCTGCCCCCGAGAGAAAAGAGGGAATCCAAACGGTGGGAGGATTGACAGATCCCTTTTTTGTTCTGCTTTTTGTATATTTGAAGAATGTATAGATGTAGTATGAACCTTGATCACATCTCAGTTTTTTTTATTTTCCCCAAAGCCACTTGAAGGAACCTCCCAGGATGCTGATCTAAAGATTGTAGGACATAGATGATGTCTGTCAAGGGGTCTGCCGTGCTCCCCCTTTTGTGGCTCAGTCGCTGAAGATGTTAGTTTGGACCAAGATAAAGATTTTGCGTCTTATTCATGTGAAGAAAAATGAGCTGGTGTTAGTTCTAGTGTGTTTTTTCTCCTCTCATTTTAGAAATCCTTGTACATTGTGTCAAATTTGAGGGCTTCAGCACCCTCTGAATATAAATATATTAAATAACGCCTGTAATATAATCTTTGTATAAGAGGAAGAGGAAAAAAAGCTTGAAGATTTCATCCTTACTTGTCAACATATCAAATTGTTTTTAATGACCGAAGTCCTACTATCTTTATTAGAAATGTGAAAATTTGAACATTTCATTAAATCAATTTGAAATTCTATGTATCGTTGCCTTTATTCCCCCTCTCCGTCCTCTAGAGTACTAATGTGTAACCTCTGAGTTTGTGGAGTAGTGGGTGTGGGCTTTGTGTGTGAGTGAACAGGATGGTGCTGTTACCAGAGGCTTCCTGACCCTGGCCTGGCAGTGCTAACAGCAGCAGGGGTAACCTGACCCAACTCCCATCTGTCTCCCCTGCTGTTTGGCCCTGCTTTGAGAAGGCCAGCATAATGGAACCTTAACAGGAGGCACAGGTGCAATGGTTGCAGCACCTTCAGGTGACCTGTCTGGCATGGGTCACATAAAGGCACAAGAAAAGCACTTGACCGTAATTGGAGCCTTTCTAAAAACTGTGTGTGTGAGAGATAGGAGCTTAATGTTGCCTCATTTTCAGGTAAGTGTACAGAAGAGCAGGCTGGAGCTGGGTGTTCCAGACATTTTCTGTTCTTGCCACCTGATTGTATTATTTCATGAGTTATACTTTAAGGGTGTGTCAATCGTCACAGAAAATTTGTCTAATGCATCCCCACTGATGCCTACCTGGTGAGGGGGGCACATTAAAAAAGTTTACACTATACTTTTTTTCCTTAAACAAATATTAATGAGCAGGAACAACTCTCAATAGAACAGAAATTCGGGAGTCGGTATCTTTAGAAGAATAAAGCTTATTTTATTGATTAGGTTCTGGATTAGCTCCATCTGACGGTGGGCCTTTAGGTCTGAGGTGGCACAGGTAGGAGCTGCCCCTTAAATTACAGCAGACTTCATGTTTTACGGGTTATGGAGGTCAGATGTGAAGGCAACTGAGCCCTGATGTATCCTAAATCAGTGGAAAACCAACAAAATCGATTTGCATGAGTCTTGCAAAGCAGACAGATGTTTTACAGCTCCAAAGGTGAGCTCTGATCCAGCACCTCTTTGTCCTGTCCTGTCCTGACGCGGTATTAAGAAGGGGATTTATGATTAGGCTCTAAGTGCCTGTCTATGGCAGCTAAAGGCGTCTATGAGCCACTGTAGGAGAGATTTATTACCAATCAATTTGACAAACGAGGACTCGAAGGCAAAGGTTTGGGTAAGGGGGGGGGGCATTACTTTTTTATTTGAGTTGCTAGACTCAGTGAATTGAACTTGTAGAAAGCGGTGCAGAAAAGGGGAAGGCTTTTGTGTACAGACATTGTCACAACTTAAAATTATTGTGCTGTTTTTTTGTGTACAGACATTGTCATAACTTGAATTGTGCTGTTTTGAAATTGGCGACCTCGAAAACTCGAGGCCCTCATCTGCACTTTAAACCAGCTCGGCTATAATTCACGAACAAAACTCTCAAAAAAACTAAAAATATATATATATATTCTCTTATTAATAAGGTTGTGAACGCAACATTATTGAAATCCGTTTTTAAAAAGTCAATGATGGAGTAAAGAGAAAAACCTATCTTAAGGTTGGCAGGCTGACTTTTTAAGGGGGGGTGATGGTAGGAAGTAGCCCTTTGTCATTATTTTGAGCTTTATTATAGAGAGTTAATCATGAGACTAGTATAATGGACGTGATTTACTTTCAATCAAGAAAATCTCTAAAAAGAAACAATTACATGGAGACAGATGAAGGATCCACGGGCTCTGTGGCTTAACTCTGTCAGTGGTTAAAAAAAAAGCTTTGCTCTGTAGATGAAAACTTTCCCTTTGACTAAAAAAGAAGTCTTAAGCTTATTTGCTTTTGAGACAGAAAATCTACTTTGAGATGTGTCATTTTGAAAATATTTTATTTCAATAGACAACAACGATATACACATACAATCAAAGCGCTATAAAAGCCAACATTTAAGAAAATAACTTGTCCTTTAAAAGATTGCATCTAAGGTAAGAGCTTTACGTTTTTTTTCTTTTACAAGAGCTGTGTAGATTGATAATTAAAACCCGATCCACGACATTTATCACAACTCATACTGTAAATTTGACTCCCCGAAAAACAACAACAAAAAAACAAAGCAAACAAACATTTTGGCTGTACGACATGTAAACTGCCAGAACGATTCACAGGAGAAAAAAAATCACGTCAAACACAACAATAAGTTACATAAAATAATTAGAATAAATAAATAAATAAACATATGATGAAAAATATTGCAACAATCTTCAATAACAATAATAGAATATGTGCCAGCATTCAAACTTAAAAACAGTCTATGACTTCTTTTAAGGCAGTTATACAGCAGAATTTCGATGTGTATGTAGGCTATGTCGGACTAAGCTTATTGTATACTAAAGGCATTTGTGGTTCTGCTAAACAGGGAATGCTTCACTCACTCTTTTCATCCCACCAGTACAATGTTGGTAAGTTGTATATCACTCACTAACTAGCGTAAAGCTACAGTGATCAAGCAATCACGGTCGGTGAATTGAAAAGGCTTTGATAGGGAAAGGGATTTCTGAGAATTTAAAGACATTTCTTAGGTCTAGAAGCTATCATCGAACACATGTGCTGTCCTAGAAAAATACCCTTTAACAGTCAAACTAACGCTTTGTACTCTTTTTTTTTTCCTTGATAAACTAATTTGAGAAAGAAAATCTCAAAATAGGCCTATATGTAATTCAAATATAGAGAGAAGCATTCAACAATCACTGATTGGCATGGAAAAGACACCTCATTGAACACCACTTAAACATTAACCGCCCTGCCTTCATTGGCCTGGAGTTATGGCAGTGCACATCGCAAACTGTGGATATTTTTTTAAAACCCAAAGCCACTTTTTTGTTTCTCTATTTTTTTTTCTCTTTTTCCCCCATTAAAGGCACGTGTTGAGTGTTGTTTCAGCAGGCGGGGCGCACCGGCATTTGGAGCAGGATCACCTGCCGGTTCTCTGAGGGGTGGCACTTGTTTATGTGCCTGGTGAGCCCCGGCGAGCTGTAGAGGGTGGCAGGGCAGTACTTGCACGGGTAGATCTGGGAGGAGTGCATGAGACGCAGGTGTCTCTCCTGGCCAGCCCTGCTGGTGAAACTCTCCCCGCACACCGGGCACAGCAGGCAGTCCACCGGGCTCAGATTGAGAGGGCTTTGGTTCGGAGCTTCCTCTGAGGATGATGATGTTGAGGAGGAGGAGGAGGAGGAGGAGGAGGAGAAGGAGGATGAGGCTCGGGACTGCTCTGCTACCCGGTCGCTCGTTTGAAACCCGTGCTCCTCCAGCACTTTCTTTTGCAGGGCCTGGTGTCCCATGATGTGTTTTCTTAGGTATGCCTGTCGCTTAAACCTCTTCCCGCAAAACTGGCAATCATAGGAGCCATCTTCAGAGCCCGACTCGGACAGACCTGGACTCGGGGTGTCTCTGTCACTCATGTCTTTGGCTTCGTCGGAGACTGATTTGACACTCAGGGCTGGCATTTTGGCCATCTCAGGTTTGACGCCCTGTGCGGGGGACGTCGCCGGTGCGCCGGTGGTCCGGGGTTTGTGCCAGCGGCGGTGAGACGCGAGGTTTGCCGGGCAGCTGAACATCTTGTCACACTCGGGACACCGGTATTCGACCCTGACGATGCGAGAGCACTTGTGTTGTGCCAAAGAAAAGGGATCGGCGTACGCCTCTTTACACAGCTGACACACAAACTCCCCTAAGGGCTTGTTTTCCCCAGACGACTGCGCCCTTGGCTTCATTTCCACTGGTCCCTCTTTGATTTTGAGACCTAGCACGGGAGAAGTAGTCACCTCGTCTTCAAAGTTGAGTTTTCGGATGGCTTTGGGCTTCTTGGGTGCGGGTTTCGACTTACGCTCTGTGCCGTCAGGTGCGGGTCTTTTAGTGATGACCCGGTTGCTGGGTGCTGGGAGGCTGCTGGTGGTCCCGCTGCGGCTGCTGTTGCTGGTGCCGATTTTCAGGTCGACCGGTGCGTAAAGGAGGTGGTCCAGGCCGGAGAGGGAGGCAGGTGTGGGGAATGACTCGGCAGAAATGGGCGAGCCTAGATTGAAACTTCGCTCAAAATATCCCCTGTCGTGCTCCTTGCTAATGGGCCGGGTGGGGCTGTAAAGGGCTTGGAACGCCGTCTCTGGGTTGCCGAATTGCGCCGGCTTCTCCAGCCTTGGCACCGGCGCCTCGGCTGCAGCGAAATTTGGTGATGCTGCAGCGCGGTCCGGACTGGATGCCACGGACATCGGTGGGGAGGGGTCCGTGTGACACGGCAAGGCAGCTGGGGTGGGATGCTCCTGGGGGTCATCTTCGTCTAACCGAGTCCTGTAGGAAACATGCGCAGATTTCTTGTTTCTTTTTACCAGGAATCCTTTGGGCATCTTGGCGAGTTACAGCGAAAAGGCACTTTAGGGTGGATGAAGTCTCGAGTATCCAGGTTTGTTAAAAATATGGCAACACTAGAAGCATATGGGACTTTATCTCCCCAGTATATCGATCCTTCTGTTGCTGAAATGTTTTCGTCTCTAAGGCATAGCTCCACTCTTTTTATGCCGGAATGATGCTATTGTTCTCGCCCCCCTCCGTTGCAACATCCCGGACCAATCAGATGAAACCAAATCCCAGTGGATTTGATTGTGGGAGGGCTTAGAGTCTGTGTTTGGTGGATTTCGTTGGAGGATGTGCGGATAGCTTAGCAGATGTACTGGCGGTTTATTACATTAATGTGTGCGCTCAGCCCCTCCCTGACAGAGGCACACGCCGGGACCCTCCTCTTTTTACGGTCTGATGGGCCCCTATACAACTGCACACGTGCCACGGCTTTGTGGCTCTCCTCTGGGGGCCCCGACACTGCCAAAAGGAAATGTCCGTCACTGCCACAATCATCACAATTTAGAATTAAGACGGGACTGGACAAGTTTGTGAAATAAAATCAAAATACCAGCAACATTCAAGTTGTGCTGAGATTTTGTTGAAAGGTGTAACTCACCGGAGACAGACGACATCAGGACGAGGTACATAGTGTTTTAAAAATGTTCCTCCACGGGTTACAGTTTTATACACTTTCTATCCACAGAATAGCACACTACCTTTGTGTCCACTAAACGGGCCTTTCACTAAACCAAATAAGGCGGTTTTTTATAGACCTTTATTTTATTATGTCTTAAATAAACACTGTAGCTGGAGAGTTGTCTTTATTTTAAGGCACGTGTCTGTCTCGGTAGTTTAACTCGACATATAAATCAGACATCTCGCTGCATACATAAGTAATAAGAAGGCCCTCTGGTCTCTGTTCACAATAGCCACGTCTGCCCGTGCTTGGATATCCCTGTCTCTTTTTTATTCGTTTGAAAGGCAAATTGACCTCTTAACTGTGAAACGGGACTCACGGCCAATCTGGCCCACAGCTAGACGCGTGCTGGGCGGAATCAGAGCTCTAAACAAAGAGGGCCGCGGTCGAAGCCTGGGTTGTAAAATTTCTGCAAATATAACCACAGCTGAAAGGAAGCGACTCATGTTGCCGGCTGCAGTCTAGTGCTGTTCTAGTGTACAAATGTCTGCTTCTTTGGGATGTTCATTGATTTTTGGTAGAACTTAGATACGCTAAAGATTTAAGACAAGGGTTGATCTGATTTCAATGAAAAAATTAACAGTTTGAAAAAGTGTTGAGTTGTATTGCAACCTTCGGTCTCCCGGACAAGGCAACTTTTTCCAACTAAAATGTGGTCTATTTTCTCTACCAGCCCCCTATGGTTTCTTTGCATACTTCATTTATCGTGTTTTTGTCCTTTTTTTTTTCGTTTTAATGGCTAAATGTAGGCTGCGGTGCGCCACTTGGCAGAGACCGCATTCTTCCTCCTTTCAGTCGGCAGACCAGGGAGGAATTAATCTCCATCGTCGTACATTGTTCCCCTCATTTGCATAAAGCTGCAGTATGACCAAGTCAAATAATTACACAATCGGAGCTGAGCCGCAGGCCTGCGCCCTCCTTTCAATGGGCGTCTGTGCCTCGTGCCTTCTCACCTGCCTGAATGCACACCGTTATTTTGGTGAGATAGGATTCAGTGACAGATATGCTTGAGCAAAAATGACTTAAAATGCTCTTTGGAAAAAAAATATTAAACTAGATTAAAACTTCTCAGTATTTAATGAAGTGTCAAAGTTAGAGTGTTTAGGTTGTCTGATAGTGGACTGCTCGGTGAGAATAATGTTTTACTCTTGTTTTTTTGGTTTCCCATGTAGACAATAGTTCGCAAGATGTTGTCACGATTTTTAAAGACAAAGTTCAAATGTTTTCACTGCCCTCCTTGACTTTCTCACTCTAGTTCGCGTTACTCCAAAATTATCCTCTAAAAATGACTGGACTAGCGTTAAAAATCTAATTTGTTTGCCTCATCCACTCGCTCGTTTTGTTGTCGTCTCTGTTTGCATCTATTAGTCGTGGTTTGTTTGGGCAACAATCTTTGATGGCATTTTAACGAGTTCCTCTTTCCCCTGTGATAATTTCTGTGGAGCGCGTGGGCCGGGGTTGCTGGTGTTGGCTCTCAGGACGCATGCGCGTGTTTGATCAGTGGCGCGTGCTGCTCTGGAGAACGGGAAGCATAGGCGCCTTATTAGCATACAGCTGCAGCCGCTTTAAGGCAGTCTCAAATACATCCTCCTAAACCTTATCGCATGCTTTTGGATTTTAGATGCCCCTCTCATTTTCGTCCCCAGGCAATGCTTTTAATTCGATAACTGATATTATACAACCAAGTAAAAATAATAATAATAGGCTAAAATAAAAGAATGAGTAGCCAAAATCTAAAAACATGTCATAGTGTGACCGAGAAGCATGGCTCTCTTCTGTAAACCGAAATGTAAAGAGGTTTCTACACATGGTCCTGTTGAAATTGTGCTTTATCTGCTTTCTAACAGAAAGTTGATGGCTCAACCTAAATAAAATAAAATAGTCTGAGTTGAAGACGTTTATCTGGCCCCACAGTCCAGGTCTTACATCATTGCACCACCTACAGGATGAATTAATCCTGAGGACAGACAGAACCAGTCTAAATTCACCTCCAAAGCATTGTATGACATGTCTTTGAGTGCATTTCTCCAGGCTGTTTCTGTCAAACATTTTTGAGCTACTAACAGGTCTGTTGAGCAGTTTTACCCACCTCACCTTAAAAGTAGAGAAAACTCAAGCATTTGCCCAAGAATGATTGGCACCATGTGTTTTTCCATCTAAAGCTAATTTGAAAAGCAATAGGGCATGGCTATAATCACTACATGGCCACCTTCAATGCATTGTCAATCAATTATTGTAATGGATTAGCTGAGGTCCTATTCTAGCTGGGTGTAATCTGATAGAGAGCTCTTTCAGCACCATGGAGAGAGCTAGCGAGGGATCCAGATTTAATCAGACTGGCTGTGGACACAGCACAGCCTTGGCTTTAGCCTTTGTCCCTGGAACTGAGAGTGGGCAGGCACCAACAGGAGAACAATGACACAGTAGAACAAAAGTGCCAGGGTTTAATGAAGTGATTAGTTTTTAAATATAGTTGTGTATGGATGGGTTTAAAGCAACAGTTATTCAAAAGTAGAACAGCTCAGGCCTTCTCTATTCTCCTATTCTTTTAAAGTGTGTGAAAGAATTTACATGTACTTACAATCGAGTCCTTTGTTGTAGTATAAAAACAATGAGGTTTCAAATTGTATATTTCTTCTGTTATTTTGAGGCAATTTAAGGCCTGAGAGAAAGCAACAGTTAGTTGTGGAGGACCTGGAAACTATTAATTGTCAATCTTCAATACTGGAAAAGAAATCAGACTGTAGTTTCCAGAGGATCAATGGGAAACCTGCTTGTTTGGCCATGAGAGTAAGGTAGAGGTCACAGTCTAGACTTTAAAGTGTACTTTATAAAGATGCCCATGAAAGCAGGTTACTTTGAAAAGCTCTGTAAAGTGGTATGGCTCTGAGATTAAGCCTAATGGACTCTAGTGTTGACTGAGAATGACCCTGATGTCATCTGTACTTTTGACAATGATGCTGATGAGCTTGTGCAGATGAGGGCAGATGTTTCTGAAAAGATTCTGTAGAAACGGCAAATTAAATAGTACTTTTGCTAAATATAGGTCCAGAGATGTATTGCTCTGTACATCAGATGTATCTTTGGAGTAGAACCATGATTACATGTACGGGATAATGTGTATGCAATGCCATTCCAAGAACCATAGATGCTTTGATAGTTTCTAATACTGTGCATTCAGAGGAATATGAACAAAGGCTTCAATGGAACAACACCAGATTTCCTTTTTCTTTTAAAGAGCCACTTATTAAAAAGAGGGCTTCCTGCATATCAGGCATATCAATTGCTGAAGTCCCAGGGGCATGTTTAGCTCTAATTTACTCATCAAAATATCAGAGTGTCTCTCAATAATCTCCACAGTCCATTGGTTGTTTGGGGTAGAGTCTCCTGCCAGAAAGCATGCCCTGGAATGTTAAACACTAATTCACCTCTGAGCTGTGGAGGTGGATAAAGTGATTGTTCTATCTGGGAACTGATTAAAAAGGCTCTGGCCTGTTTCTCCCCTCTGTGTTCACCTCTGACGTCCACCACATTCATTTCTGTATTCATGAGCGGATGAAAAAACGCAGACAGAGCCGCTGCCGTATTACAGATAATAAGGCCAGCGGGCACCACATTCGCTGCCACAGGTTTCCCCCTGCCCCGGCTCATTCAATTACTTCACAAGAGTCCTCTGAGGCACAGCTGCACTATGGGGGTGAAGAGGAGTAAATTGAGGTACATTCATGTAGACACACACACACAAGCACACATCTCACAGACACAAAGAAGTGAAGGAGGCACACATGCTGGAGTAAAAGAAGCCGGCATATAAAGGATTTCACTGATAGGCATTTGGGTTAGTAGTCAATACATTTCTGATACAAATAGACAACAGAATAGGTTCATCTTCTGTTACCCACTGGCTCCCTGAAGACTGTAATGATACTGATGATGACTCCATGTAAGAAAAAAAAAAAAGGAATCAGGGCCATTGCTAATGGACTCCATATACGAGGTCACCATTATCTTGATGAACATGCAGACAGCTGCTGTTTCATTGCAGACCATGAAGGATGGACTCTGGCAGACCTAATGGACCATATCCTTAATCTATTGACATATGGAGCTACACATTATTCATTCTTCTCATTGGCCTCAACTATTAGTCAGCTTATCTCGCTTCTTCATTGGTTCAAGAAAAGTAAGAATCTCTGTTGAATACAAAATTATCTGATTGATTAGATTGGCATTTATGAACAGAAATATACAAAAGTTTTTAACATGGAGGTTCTATGCAAGTTTGTCCTGTAATTGTTGCCGTTTTGGCTGCTGTCCATGGTACTGAAACTCTGCCTTTGAAACTCTGAAGATTCACCTGCCTCCTCTTTAGAGCAATCAGACTCTAAAAAGCACACAGGGCAAGGAGGAAATCAAAACTGTGGCTTGTAGTGAATGAGAGTTTAGAGCTGACATGAAGTACATTTCAAATTGTTTGTCACTCTTGCTCTCAGATCAGCAATTTTATGACATGGTGATGAGGCTTTTATTTAATTTCGTTTGATCATTAATGAAAATAATGGTATTTAATCATGAATTTAAGTTCATTCCTTCTCTCTTTCAAACTAATTATCGTATTTCTAAGAAGCAGCCACCTTGCTTGGCATAGAGCAGTGCATAAAACAGTGCATGCCTCTGCCTGAAGATAGAAACAGACGCCTACCAGCATCTCCTAAGTTATCAAGTTAACAGTACACATCTTGTCCTTCCAAAAATAGTCCTACAAAAACCAAAGGCTGGAAAATGTTACAAATGGTTTTTAAAGGCAAAAACCCTTGGAAATGACTATATCAAGATATAACTCTCCACATAAACTTTAGTGAGAAAACTTTGAGGTTTTTTTTCACAATAAAATTGTGCATTATGCTTTTAATAGGTTTTAAAGCAGCAAATAGGCAAACTTGTTTCTTTCAAAAGAACCAGGCCTCTCTCTGACTCTACTTTGTCAAAGTTAACCAGCTGCAGGCCCTAGTTATATACTTGCTGCACAGACATACAAGTCATATTGTTTTCAGTGAACAAAGATATTCTCAAAAATTTCAGATAATAAAATAAATTTCAAGAGTTAACATAAGAGACATACTTGCCTGTGGCATATTTAATTTAGGCCCAGTCGATACATGTCCCAACAATGGCCATCTACCATCGAGCTTTACAAAGCTCAGACAGATTGGGGAAAAATTCAAGGCTCAAGTATTAAAGAACATCATTGATGTATGTTACATTAAAAGTAGAACCTTTGACTTAGGAATGCTAAATTTTCCAAACCAAGAATTTCCAGAACTGGCACTCTCTTTATTAGATGGCATAATTTGCATTCTCTTATAATTGTGCTGCTTCCTTGATTATTAAATGATCACCCTAATTAGGGAGAATAATAGGGTTAATCAGACTCTGCTCATCACACTTATTATTATTCTCGCAAAAAAAATGAAGGAAAAGATACAGTACTTGATTAATTATATCAGCCTTTTCATCAGCTGGGCTACCATTCCCCCCTCTGAAATTAATATCATGTTGTAAATGGAAGGAAGGAGCTGGCCGGACACAGACAGATGAAAGATTTCACTCAAATTAATTAAGCACTAATTATGCGGTGGGAGTTGGGAGCAGTTTGCATAATGAGCTCTATCAAAAGAGATCAGTCATGGTGAGGGGCTGTAGAGTTTCTATACAGCCTTCAGATGATACACAGACACCACTGTAAGGGATGAAGAGGCCTACCAGAGAAGAGGGAAGAGGGGTTTAAGTACTTCGAGGACTGAGTCGTGAGGTTGAGAAGTGTTTTGTTGGGTTTGTCAACACGCTGTAAACTTACTGCTTCCTTGTATGGTATAATTGTTGCAACTTACATGTATCCTACTACATCTGCTCCAGGGCTATATGTGTCTTTGTTTTCCTCCTTCAGTATAACCATCAGATAAAGAAATCTCTCCTCCAGTAAGACACAATGAGGACAGACTGTCCTTTTAAACTCAGCCTCATCACAAACAGCCAGCATGCACTCTCAAGGGAGCTTTGAAAACCCGAATCACCTCTCTCCTCAAGTCTATCAGTGTTTTGTCATTGTTGATCAGGGACTATACTGTAGCTATCTCACTCAGACAATGGCCAGGGGGATTAAATGGACAGAAAGTCTACGTCTTAATCGTCTGTTTAATCACAGCAACAGTGCAGTGTATGGAGTTGAGTTACTTGAACTGATTTGTGCCACAGTAGCAGCAATCATGCATAGGCTAATCAGGGTGCACAGCCCGGCACTGCCCTTCAAGGTCTCCAAGTGGAATTACAAAGACTATGATTAGTTAATCAAATGGAGAACCCAATGTCCTTCCTTTATTTGTGTATACACCTTATCTAAATGGAAATTGTATAGCTAAGGCACTTCCACAAGGACACATCTACATGTGAATGATCCTCCTTGAGCTCTTGGCAGTGAATACAGAATAAGATCTTTTATACTAAATCATCGTGTTATGGCATCATGAAGACTTCTACATGTCTGGATGATGTTTGTTGTCAATGCTCATGTGAATGATGCAATCAGTCAGCCTGTTGTAGAGTAAATCAGAAAGCACTAGACAGCATCTCTTCAAATGCACATGATAATGTGAGGCAGAATGTCAAGACTGTTATTTTGAGAGTGGGGAAAAAGAGAAAGCAGGCAGACCAGGAAATAATACTTCCTGTCGATAGAACATACAGAATGCTGGAAAGTGCATGTAAGTGTGTGTGTGTGTGTGTGTGTGTGTGTGTGTGTGTGTGTGTGTGTGTGCGTGCGTGCGTGCGTGTGTGCGTGCGTGTGTGTGTGTGTGTGTGTCACTATGTGTCTGTGTGCTGTGTTATGCTACATACTTCATTGCACCATATGACAGCCCACAAGGGTTCATTATATTACTGTGTTTAATTTGTTGTTTCTAAGGAGCATTTTAAGAAAAAAAAAAAATATATATATATATATATAATAATAATAATAATAATAATAATAATAAACTCAAGACCATAACTTTCCTAAGCAACGAATCCCATAATTTGCATAGAAAATCTATTCAGAATGTAGTTTGCTGTACGCAGTGTGTTGTCATATCTTGAAAATAAAAATAAACTTCCATGTTCCTTGGTGAGGACTTTTGGTGGAGGAGTGTCTTTCAAATTCATGGACACCAAAAATATAGATATAAAAATATAGACTTAAGAATACAATATAAATATATCTACTTTTGATGACCATAGAAAAGAGGTGTTTACTCCGTTGAATTGACAAAAGAAAATTAGATAGTCGAGTTCATGCAGGACTTTTGACAACAACAATTACATAACAGGAAACAGTAATGAAGATATGTACCACTTAAGACTGGGATGTAGTAATATGTGGAGCCCTGAATGCTTTGTTGTCTAGTTTTGTAATTTGCCAAGCATGATTTAGTCTAATGCCTTTCTTATGCAGACAACACAGAAATATGTTACTTAAAAATGTAAGTAATAATGAATACAATAAATAAAATAAAATAACAGGACACTTACACATTTCAGCTTCAAGGACATCTTGACTGAGATCAGTAATTAGGTAATTTTACAATTGGTTTAAAATGACAAAAATCTTTGGTGATACCTCATCTTGTAAAGTGATCTCTGCCTGAAGTCCTCAAATGTTGAAATGTACATAAGGAACAAAGTAAGAGGGAGTTCAGGGAGGTGGAAAAAAATCCCTGGTCTAAAAGAGATGTCACATGCAAAGAGGTAGAGGAAACTACAATCATACTAATTTCAGAGTCAGTCCAGGTATGAAAATGACTTCATGGTGCTCACCAAAACTGGTCACTGAGTAAATAATGTTACATGTCATCCAGAATAAAAGCTAAAGTTGGGATTTAGTAGGGAACTTAAAATAGTTCTCAGTGTGTCTCCAAAAAGAGAAAAAGTTCTTTATCCTTGGTGTTGAAAAAGTAGTCCACTTTCAGCTGACTCTTTGAAAAATTCTTGTCGAGTTATCAAATATGATTATAAAGCCAATTTGTGATTATTTTTCTTGCAATTTCAAGTTTGTGTATTTGTGAGGCATTTAAGTATATGAAGTGTTAACCATAGTTAACCTCAATTGCCAGCTTAAGGTTAGCTTGTCAGAAAGACTTGATTGACACTTTGGTTCAAACATTGATCGTAGTGATTTGTGTGTATTACGTTCACATTGAAAGAAAACAAAACAGTGTGGATTATTGAATGAGTGCACAAAGTGGGGATTGCAGTCATCCTTGGTTGGCCAGATTGGATGATGATACACTGTTTGTTGGCACTGCATTGTAACTCTCCTCTCTATATATGCTTTTTTTGTTAGAATATATCTCAGCATTTAACCCTTACACAGGAAAAGTTTGAGTCCTTGAGAATAGCACATACGTTCCATCGGACTGTGCAAATTTCACTTTGTATGAATGTGTTGAAAAGCATGCACTCATTAACATTAATAAGGATTTAAAAATAAATATTCAGTCATATTTTGCATCAAAGCAAACCCTTCCTTTGCGCTGAACCTTCTGTCAGACATGCTGTTTGACATTGTGATTGTTGTTCCTAAAGAGAAAAGAATTTCCCTCCATTGCTTTGCGGTGACTTCCTTCCAGGGGCTCAGACTTGACCCGCTAACTCCTCCTAGAATCACTTCTATTATTTGTCAGTGACAGCAGCCCTTTGGAGGATAGGGGGCCACGCTGAAAGTTACAGGGTCGTGGACGTCCCAATCCATCTCTGTCTGCACCGCGATTGATTGTGATTTAGTGCGTGGGGTGAGAGATACTGGGGCTCCATTCTGATGAGCGATAGGTGGGAACCCTTTGACTCCCAGCACATGGCAAGCAGAGGCAGGCTGTGATGAGGGGTCAAAGGCAGCTGGTAGGGGTAACTGGGTGGATCTGGAGGTTGGATGGAGGAAATTGAAGGATTGCATGGATCACAAGATAGAAGGTGTCAGAGATCCAGGACAAAGCCACCCAACCAACTGCCTGAGTCTATCACTTAGCCCATCCATCACCCATTGACTTTGTGGTAAGCACAACAGTCCCTTGCTAATTGCTCCATAACCAGAGATTTTAAAAAGTGACAGCGAACACAGTTTTGCAGCGAAAGGAACCAAATGAAAGGGTTTCAAAACAGCTTGATGAAATGAACAGGGAGCTCCAGTTAACGGCAATAAGAATCACGTCGAAATCTCACATTGAGCCTTTCATCAAAGGTTTACTTCTTGGAGGCACAGGCAAGATGACATTTTTCTGAACATCAATTCATGGTATCTGAGAATGATGGAGCTTGCTAGATGCTTTGAAATGTTCAACTGGTTTGAAATAAAGAATAAAACTAGATTAAACTCTGAAGTCTTAACTCTTCTCCCCACATGGTGCTCTGAGAAACTCAAAGGAGTTATACATCCTGATTAAAAGAATAAAAACTTGTCTAGTGTGAAGAAGATATGCTTGATAGCCAGTCAGCTGCTCTATGATATGAAATTGATATGAAATTATATTCAAATCTTAATACTCAAGGGCAAAGTTTGGAAAGTTTTCCTCACATTTTTTTCTCCTGTCTCCCAATTCAAGTGCATGCTGTGGAAGATACAAGCTGTCCTAGGAAGGATGTTACACCCAGATTTAGCCTTGCTTCAGTAGGCCGCTCTGGCAGCTTAACTTCATAATCAACCCTGGAGGCCTCTTTAGGGCCGGAACTTGAAATTAGCAGACAGATGTTAAGTTTCTGGGAACATGGATAGTTGTACTTGAGTTTATAAATTTACCGTTTTTCTATTTATTTTCACTTATACTTAAAGCCTATACTAAAGGCACTTTCCTCATTCTTCAAGCAACATGGTTATTGTGAGGACAGCAGTGAACAAAGGCAGGTGCATTGTCAATCACAGGAAGTTGTGCCAGCCAGGTGAATGTGAAGCCAGTAACCTGATCTGCTGTTGACAGAACAGGGACAGGTGCTGCAGCCAACTAATCCATACATGCATGCTAGACGTAGGTCATCCATTAAAGCGTATTGATTCAATGCTTGAAATGACTGCTCCTCAACAATCCCAGGCCTGGCCTTACCTGTGCGGTTGCCATGATAATTGCGGTAATGCGAGATGGTTTGCTTTAGAAACAGGAAGGAATGTTCTCTGTTTATTCAGCTAATGCTGGAAACATTTTGTCACACAAGAGACCAGGGACATCTCTGGAAATGATTCATGAGGAGAAGATTAAATGGTGGGGTGGTTTGTAATCAGAAGTATTGGATACACAGAAATGTACTTTAGCCAAACTTAACTCTTAAAGGCAGTAGTTGTAGAGTGGATTCATATGGGTTTTTATTTTCATAACATGCATGGCTGTTTCGAGTTATATAGTATATAAACCAGAATTCCCTTTGATTCAGTGATTTTATCAAACTCACTCCCACAAGGCTTTAAATGCCAAGTGAAGGTTTACAGGCAGGGGCCAGACATCTGCTCCTCTGTGATTGGTTGACAAGCCAGCCATAGTCTTACCTGTTATCCACAACCCAGAGCATGGTAAACACCCTTATTCAGAACTGTGGGAAGAAGGAGCCCATCTGGTCAGCAGAATTAACAACCAGCTCTTTAACAATGGCTTCCAGGAAAAGGAGAAGGGCACAACAGGCCATATCTGCCAATAAAAACAGGCAAGGCATGACATTTAGCGCCTGATGCGGGGCTTAGCAGCCTACAGGTTACCTACTAACTGCACCAGCTCCTGGCAATAAAACAAAAGGCAATCTCACAGAGCGGGGGGGAGCAGTGTGTGTAAAGCTGCCCATTTCAGCCCATCGTCTCATAATTTGTGTGTAAAGATGCAGACAGAGGATATGAATAAAAGGCATGAAGGGTGTTATTTCACGGCGCTTGCACATAAACAATAAATAAATACACAGGTCAGTTTTTCACACTTTAACTCAAAGCTGTACCCATCCCTGTGTGAAAGAGTCATTAAGCTGCAGAAAAGTGATTGGGATAGATTATTATAACTGTGAGCAACTACAACTTTTTGGTCTTGCATAAATTTAAAAAAAAAAAAAAGAAAGAAAGAAAGAAAGAGAAAGAAAGATAGATAGATAGATAGATAGATAGATAGATAGATAGATAGATAGATAGATAGATAGATAGATAGATAGATAGATAGATAGATAGATAGAAAGAAAGAAAGAAAGAAAGAAAGAAAGAAAGAAAGAAAGATTGGGATGAAAAAGTAAAGCATTGCCACTTGAAGAAAATTAAAGTGCTTATATGACCAAACAGCGCCACCCTGTGTCCAAAGTGTTCAAATCAAAACCTCAGAGCTTCAAACTGCACATTAAAACAGTTGTTGAGTGAATGAATTGGCCTTTAATATTGGAATCTTTCTCTGATATTTGTCTTATTCTGCACATTATTCAGAGCTCCAGCACAGTATTTTAAAAATCGGTCTTGTAGAAAATACAGATCAGTACCATGCACTCAGAAAACTAATCTCCCAGCCCACAAAACAGAGGTAACTCTGGCGTATTGGATATAGATGTTGCTCTATTTTTGTAACTGCCTCCTGGCAAACAAAGATGGAGACAAAAGTCTCTAAATGAGATCTTGGGTATACAAAGAGAAAAGGGAAGACAGAAAGGTTTGGGATGGAGTCTGAACAGCAAGCAATGGGCTCTCTACAGCTGCTGGCACTAATGAGGATAATTACCCGAGTAATAACATTAGCCTATCTGAGGGAATGGAGGGGAAGGACAAGTGGTTGTGTTTGTGTGTGTGGGAGGGTATGTAAGCGTGTGTGCATGCATGTTGTTGCCTCTTGTGTATGTGCATGCATAGCAAAGCGCGTGCCTTTCCTCCTATCTCACTTGCAGTCTCTCCCTCATTCCCTGAATCTCAATATCTCTTTGTTAGCCCACAATAATTGTATTTGGGCCTCATATCCGCCATATCAGATTTGAGTTTGTACAAGGTAATTAGCAGGGGAAGGGAAGCCTCCACACCAGGAGGACAAATGCCCCCATGACATCATTCTGGCTCCACTCTGGAGGGGAGGCTTTTTTTCCCCTCCCTCTTCCTCCACTTCATCTTTCTTGTCATTCAGCTGTCAAGAAGAGCACTGAATGGGGGCAAAAATACAGTGGCAGGCAAAAGTTGATGACATTGAAACGAAGGAGTTGGGATTAAGAAGGTAAAGAAATGAAGAGATAGAGGAGAGATAAAGGCGAGAAAGGGTGGAAAGTGATTTGAGATGAGATGGAGGGCTGTGTTTTCACCGCAGGCCTGTAATCTCCAATCAGCTTTGACTAACAGACGGCAGGGGAAAGTTCCTTACCATTAATGCAGCTTTCCGTTCAGAAGGATCCAGTGCATCCAGCTGGGAGTCGAGGGATGAGGGGAGGATTAACTGGCACTCAGGTGGAGAGAGATGAAGAGAATCAGATGGAGACCCTGTGGATGGTCACACCCTCTCTCTCTCCCTCTATTAGGTTTTTTCTCCCTTTAAAGAACAGATGTACTCTGGTTTTCTTTTTTTTCCTTTCAAGGATCGTGCCAGCGATGAAGTTTTTTTATTATCATCCTGTTTGATTATTTTTCACACAGTATACTGTACATTCTTTTCAGCTAATAGGAGTTGTTATTAATTTGTATGCAGTTGCAGAGTAGGAGAGTAAATAAAGACATCTGTGATGTTTAACAACAAAGAGGTCAAAAGAAAGGCTTCAAAATAACAAGAAGAGTCAGTCAGTATGCAGTGAAACAGCGACTGAAGCAGCTTAAACCTTTACTCTATTATTAGGCTATATAAAATGTCTCAAATGAATCAAGCATGGTTTTCTGTTGCCACTTGTCCATCACCACTGTCTTCTTTCACATTATCAAAGTGCTCCGAATTGTCCCCAACATGGTCGTTCATAATCTCCACCACTGCAGAACACACAAACACAGAGTTTAAGACAGAATACTGCTGTCTTTGAAATAAGTCAATCAATAAATATATAATTCAGTTTTTCATTCTTCAGAGCTTTACTGACACAAAAATCAAGTGTATGGTCTGCAGTATGGGGATCAGAGACTCACCCTCCTTCAACACTGTGAGCTTTGCTGATGCAGACTTTTCTCCCAAGGCATTGTGGGAGATACAAGAGTAGATCCCTCCATCAGAGACATGGAGACCCAGTATCTGAAGCCAGGTGGAGACTGTGTAGCGCTGAGGCCCCCCTCGAGTCTGACAAAACACATTAATCTCAGCATATTCAATCACATTCAGTCAAAGGTAAGAAAAATATATACTGGACCTCAGACAAATGAAACTTAAGTAACCATAATTGAATTTTCCCTCAGGGATCAATAAAGTTCCTCTCCTCCTTCTTCTTCTTCTGCTTCTTCTTCATTAAGGATTAATATATAATACATTGAACTCATACAAATAATATCTCTGTCTTGTTTATACTCTAGCACCACTACTGCATGCTCTAATAATCACCGTTTAGCAGGTGTACGGATTAGATTATGGAACTGCTTTGTTTTTTTTTTTGTTGTTTTTTTTTGCAGATGAGCATCAAGTCAGAGCACAATTCTTTAAAAGTGACTGATTAACCAAGAATATTTTCCTGTGTGGGGGTTTTAAAAAGTACGCTCATGTTGTTACCACTGTCGCTGTCTCAGCTGTGATAAAAGTCCCGTTAGTACTGTTAGAACAAGCCCTTTGTTGGGTAGTGTTTTATCATATGTTTGTGGCTACCTGGCATTATTATACCAATGTAATTAGTGCCAATTTATTGCATTAAAAATATAAATACCACCTAGGAATATAGGACAACATACGTCATGTACTTCCAGTTTGGAAGAAACACTGTCACTTTTACACAGCTGGAGGTCTCAAGGGTTTAAAACAGTAAATACTTTGTCACTGGGTTTTCTAAAAACTCTTTATCAAGTTTATTAAATCTGTTAAGTGTTTTTTTCACAATCCTGACAGAAAATGTAAGAGCAGCAAAAATACAACTTCCTTGATGGTAGTCATCAGCTGCAGGTCATGTATAAAGTCAGTGAATCACTTTAATAATACCTTAATCCATTATAAATAAGAACAAAAGCCTTCTTACATTGAAAAAATACAGACCAAAATGACACTTTTCATTTAATGCATATACTTTAAATGGGACTTGGACTGATGTGCAGTATATTAAGGAGGTTCTTGTCAAACCTGGACAGAGACGTGAGGATCGTCTCCTGGCAAGTAGTTTTCATGTCCTTTCTTCTTCCAGCTTAAGTTTGGAAGAGGGTAAGCTGAAACCTCACACCTGAACACAGCATCACTCCCTGTGTAGTTTGAAAGGTCTCTGGGGCCCTGGAGGATGTGGGGAGCTGTGGAATAAGAAAAGGGATACCCCAAAGCTTTATTCTTCTTAATTCCAATCCAAACAGCTTCACACATGCAGTAAAATCTTCAAAATACTGACTGCAATTGAAAGAGCATTGCAACCTGAGAGGCAGGGTCCTCTTCCCACAAGTTTTAGGGTCATGTTAAGACGGTTGGTGGTCTCTTTCATCTGACAAACATTTGAGTAAGTCCATCCGTCTGAACCACATACAGGGCCCTTTTCCTTACATACACAGGTAGGCTCTGGCTCATCCAGGTGTGCCGTCCTTATCGTTCTCTTCTGACAGACCAGGCCGTCTCCACAGCTGCCATAGAACATCTGAGCTCCATCTGGGTCACACTGCTGCCCCTCTACGTTAGCGCACTGTTCACAGCATCCACAGGCATCTGGCACCAGACCGGCAAGGCAGACATCCGAGACCAAGGGACAGAGATGCTTGTTACACTCCCCACAACCATCACCTTCCTTCCACAGCTGCAGCCACCCGCGGTGCTGTGGAGGCAATCCAAGGGAAAAGGAGAGGCAAACACTCATCCATGCACAGAAACGCAGGCCAAGCTGATCTAAGTTCTTATACTGCATCCTTGTCCACAAAGTTTAAAACAACAGATATAAAAACTTGAAGGTACAGGGTTGACTGTACATTTGTTATAAACTGAATCTTTTTACGAGAAAGACAGCAGTCCTGCTTGTCTGCTGTTGCCTGACAGTCAAACAAACAGTCACATGTTGTTCCTCCTATGAGTTTTAAGTGTTTCCTTCTGTCTCTGCCCTCTTCTGAGTCCTGTTGTTCTTATTATGACCATGTAGTCCTTCGATTTCATTTTCCTCCGTGAGATTTCTTCATCAGCTCCATCTCTGTTCCAACAAAAAGACAGAACTTGCAGTCAAGAGAACACAGAAGACTCATCTCTTAGGTATCTGCTACATCCCATTCCCCCCTCATCCCATTCCTCTCTCTTTTGTCCTGTGCCAGTGTTTCTGGGCAGGGCTGGACTCTCAAATGGGCTTCAGAAATAACACATATGAAAGAATCCAGCTGCATAATCGAAATAAACATCCCTCTATAAAGATTTAGTTAACAGCCGCTACAAATCACATGAAAAACTGCAATTAGTTCAATTACGCTTAATATTAAAAGCACTCTGTCAAGTGGTGAGCACAGAGGGGAGTCCAATTATCATTAGAAAAGCTTGAAATATTATGTTTATGCCGGAGTGACTCCTTTTGTTCCTGCAGTCTATTCTTCTTAAGCTATATTTGCTCTGAACAGAATCTGTCACCAAAACCTGTGGATCTACTTTTGATTTTGTTATTCAGGAATCGGTGGTCTGTAATTAAGCATCAAAGTCCATCGGGACACTTTGGACACTTGGTTTACAGCAGCATCACAGATTAAGGGAGTAATATTAGAAAAATAGTACTCCTTATTGTGATTTATTTGTTTGTGTCTGTATATACTGTATGCTGTGTGTGCTTTAGGCTTTAGTCTTTATTTTCATTCATTTATCTTTTTTTCCACCTGTGTAATAATACTTGCATCAAAATATAGATGTCATGTTTAGGGCCTAAATGAACAGGACAGACATTGGAAATGTGCCATTCAAGATAAGGTTTGAATTAATAACAAACATGAACTATGATTCGGAGAAATTTCTTGATTTAACCCAAGTTAGTCTATCTATCTATCTATCTATCTATCTATCTATCTATCTAGATCTATCTAGATAGATAGTATCTATATCTATCTATCTATCTATCTATCTATCTATCTATCTATCTATCTATCTATCTATGGTAACAGTGGTTGAAATAGCAGTAGGTGTCTGTACTATTTATTGGGCCCTATGTTGCATAAATTGCTGTATGAAGCTGTATAAAGCTGTAAAAATGCTCCTCAATTGCTCTTTTCTCAGTAACGTGGCACTTCTACTCGTCACAGTACGTCAAACCTTTTGCGGGTGGGAATGGGAATTGCTCAGGACAATTGCCTCCTTGTGTAAATGGTTAGAGGCGGGGCTTCATCGGAGGAGTGTCTGACGTCGTGGCGTGTGAGGCTCTGACGCACAAAGTCGAGGAACTTAGAGGAAAGTTAAGGTAGCAAAATTAATCGTGTAAAGCGGATATTCACTTAAGAATAAATTAATTTAAACTGAATTCTGTTCAAAGAAATACGAATTTTAACAAGCCAGTGTCGTTTTTCGTTATAAAAAATATTTTCTCACTTTACGATTGAGACTACATACGAATTTGAACTGGTTTCATTGACTTGGGTTGCGAATTTTAAGACCTTTTGGTTTTATTTTGAAATAACACATACAGGAAGTTGTGCGCTAACATTGTACTTCACTTTTACTCCACGTTTAACAGGAAGTCGAGTATGTCTATAGGAAGAGAAATGAAACTTCAGAGAGTGAAGTGACAGGTAAACCTTTATTTCGTCTTCTCGTGTGACCAGATTCTCCGACGGGAAGAAACATTTACAGCGTGTCTGAGAAAGTAAGTAAGTAAAAGCCTGGTTTCACTGATATTCTTTATCAAAACGATATGTTTTTATTTGGAGACTTTCTCGTGTTGCAGCCTACTTTGCCCACCGGCCTTTTATGTGTTGCTGACATCGGCTTTGAATCAAACTCTGATAAAGACGCAGTGACAATTGGTATTCATCCATTTACACCCTGTAGTCTGACTTTAAAAGTCCAAAAAGAGTAGACTGTCAAACAATGTGACGGGGAAACGGAGTGTCAAAGATATTTCCAGGGCTGAGTCTTTTGCCAAGTAATAAGTACCAATGAAAAAAAGCAAGTTGTGCAACATAGTGTGGGCAGTAGCCTAGTTTTTTTTTTTTTTTTTTAAGGAAATCATGCTCTATTTCTTGTGCGATGAGTACAGTTATTTTAAAATCAATCAGGATTATTATAAGCTCTCTTAAAGTCTAATTATAGCACACAAAAAGAGCTGCTGTCCTCCCTGTTTTAAGTGGTTTGACAGGTTAAGGCTTTAACCTGCTGACGTGTATGGGACAATATGGGTGGGTCACCCATCCGTAAAGTCAGTTAATCAATTGTGCTTCAGGAAATCAGACAGTAGGATATCCTGTTTCTCCAGATCAGGTCTTGATTACTGCTTCAGATCATTTTATCTCTTCTTTATCATGAACCATGTAAAATGCATGTACTAACAACTTATTTTGTGCTCGACAGGTCTAAGAATGGCAGAGAAGGTGTTGGTTACAGGTGGAGGTGGCTATATTGGGAGTCACTGTGTGGTTGAGCTAATAGAGGCAGGTTACCTTCCAGTAGTGGTGGATAACTTCAGTAATGCTGTAAGAGGTAAGTGCAGCAACTGGAAACACAGGCTTATGATATATCCAAGTACATTGTCATACAGTTGGCTGCTATTTTATTAATATTATTATTTATTTATTTGTTAAATGCATCGATACTCATGTCTTGTATGATTCTGTTTGTGTGTGTGTGTGTGTGTGTGTGTGTGTGTGTGTGTGTGTGTGTGTGTGTGTGTGTGTGTGTGTGTGTGTACGCTGTGTATTTCTGTGACTGGAGGAGAAGGTGATGTGCCGGAGAGTATACGAAGGATAGAGAAGCTCCTGGACACCAGCATCGAGTTTCATGAACTAGATCTTTTGGACCAACCTGGCTTGGAAAAACTCTTCAAAAAGGTCAGAAAGTTACATCAGCTTTTCGATAAATCAAACCAGAACTGGAACAATCACACAGTCAACTGCTTTGTCAAAAACCAAAAGTAGATTTTTTTTTGTCACTCATTAAGTTTGTAAATAGTTTTTTTTTTTTTTTTAAACAAAATTATTATTATTATTATTATTATTATTATTGTTTTATTTATTTATTTATTTGAAACATACAGTATCCCTACTGGCCACCACACATTCTCATACAACCTCAAAAATATGAAACTTTAAGTCGTGAAACTGCGCATATTCGTACAGAAAGATGTTCTTCATTGGTGAAAATGTTGACTGTGTATCTCTCTGTGTTGCAGCATTCCTTTAGTGCAGTGATGCACTTTGCTGGACTGAAGGCTGTTGGAGAATCAGTGGAGCAACCATTACGCTATTACAGAGTCAATCTCACTGCCTCCATGAATCTGCTTGAGGTCAGTATTAGCTTTTATGACTTGCCCTGAAACCCCCTGTGTTCTGCACTGCCCTCATTATTACAGCCACCCCTCTGATCCTAATGTGCACTTTTTTTTTTAACTTTGTTTGCTTGAGAGTGTTTAGCAATACTAGTTTTGATAACTAACACTGCACTCATAATAACTCTGGATGTCTGAAGCCCACCATGTCTATCAAACTCAAAGGTTATGCTAATCCCTAAGATGTTTGTGTGTGTGCACTTTGGACTGCTTCCTCACTGGCTGCTGACTGTTTGTGTGTGCTGAGTTTGTGTGCATCTGCATGTGTCCCAGGTGATGCAGGCTCACAAGGTGCACAATCTGGTCTTCAGCAGCTCAGCCACAGTGTATGGAGACCCTCAACACCTTCCCATTGATGAGCAGCATCCTGTGGGTGGCTGCACAAACCCCTACGGCAAGACCAAGTACTTTATTGAAGAGATGATCAAGGACCACTGCAAAGCTGAGAAGGTAATTGAGAGGGTGAAAGATGGGCAAACACACAAGTAGTACATGTGTACATGTTGTCTAAGATTTGCCTCTTTCTGACTAGGACTGGAATGCAGTGCTGTTGCGGTATTTCAACCCGATTGGAGCCCATTCATCTGGCCAGATAGGAGAAGACCCTCAGGGTATCCCCAATAACCTGCTGCCATATGTTGCCCAGGTGTGCTAACTCTCTGCCAAATTTGAGCTTTGTCAGAGCATGAAACATGCATCCCAGGGTGTGTTTGTAGCTGGAGCTGCCTGATGATTTTACATTGTTTACATTGTTTAATTGACTAATCTTAAGGTTGCCATTGGGAGAAGACAGTGCCTCAGTGTATTTGGGAATGACTATGACACACCCGATGGGACAGGTAATCAAGAAGACCTACACCTGAAGGAAAATAGATGACAGATTGATTGTGGATTGAAATCTTCTTGTGGGCAAGATTCAGAAACAGGTTTTCTCATTTTTTTAGGTGTGAGAGATTATATCCATGTTGTAGATCTGGCAAAGGGGCACATAGCAGCTCTGAAGAAACTGAAGGACAACTCTGGGTGCAAGGTACGTTCAAGATAATAAAAAGAAAGAGGGGCCCTTTAAACACATTTTCTTATTCAATGCACTGACACAGTTATAGTTTGCTAGCATATGAGCATTTCTGTATCTGCAGGTTTACAACCTGGGAACAGGAAGAGGATACTCAGTGCTCCAGATGGTGAAAGCCATGGAGAAGGCATCAGGAAGAGAGGTGAGTGACAGTAGAATCCCATTACTCATGAGGTCAATTGTTTGAATGGTAGGAGATTATAAAGTGCTACCTGAAAATAACTTGGATTTGTGACAGTATTTCCTGTGTTTTACTGAGTGTTTGAAATTGACCGAGCTGGCCTGTAATCTTCAGAAGTTCCTGCTTTCTGGTTTGACCACCCTTCTCTTTATAAGTAATACATTTGTTTGAATGTGTCCCATCACAGATCCCATACAAAGTTGCCCCACGAAGAGGAGGAGACATAGCATCCTGCTATGCTGACCCATGTCTAGCCGAGAAGGAGCTAGGCTGGAAGGCCAGCTTTGACCTAGAAAGAATGTGTAAGGACATGCTCACAGATCTGGTTGTTAACAGCGCCTGTTTGTTTGTTAAAGAGTTTGTGGTGTGTCTATGTGTGTGTATCATGAATATAACTATATGACTAATTAAATATACATATTTTTGAAACTGTGAAGGTGAGGATCTATGGCGTTGGCAGTCCATGAACCCAACTGGATTTTCAAAGGGGACAGCATCTTGATGAAGCTCCAGCCTTGTGTTGTAATCAAACCTCCTGACAAATCACCGGGCCAAAGGGAACCATAAACTTCCTCATTTTGCATACTGCACATTTTAACAGCAAATCTGAAGGGAAGCCAAATGCTTTATGTTATACTTAATTTTCTATTTGTTATCTATTCTCAAATTCATGTTACTGTACAAATGTCTGTCTGTCTTTGTTCTTATTTCAGATTAACAATTTTGTTTCCAATTTATGTTTTGTTTGATGTATTGATTTGCAAGCCATAACAGTAAATCTAAATAAATTAATTTTCTTACTGGAGTATTTGAAGCCTGCATTTTCACTTCATTATGAAGTAGAGCTGTTTTGAAATGTGCAAGATGGGAATTTTTACAGTACTGATTTGACTGAGCATTAAGTTGTGATGTTACTTTTAGACAAACCAACAACAGGATTTTTAGGAATATGCTAGAAAAATAAACAGTCATATATTCATATTTTCAAAAGCATTTATACACAGTTTAAATACGTGAGAAACTTGAGTGCTTTGGGGAACATTAGAGTGATAGCTTGACGTAAAGAAAAATCTCATGCGTCTGATCACTTAAGGGTTTGAATGTGAGAAGTCCAACAAATTTACTTATTTGAGAATGTTGGTTTTCTCCAGGCTCTAGACTTTGGCGCTCTGCATTGCCCAAAATCCTGCCTTCACAGTGCATGTAAACGGTGCACTAGGGCTTTAAATGGCTCCTTGAACCCTCGGGCACCCAGTTAATAAACACCCACGTCAGCAGTGCCTCGGTTGCTCTAACCGGGTTTCGGTCTTTAGGGCTGAACAGGAAGTGCCTGACTGTGGACCCTGGACGAGAAAAAAAGAGCAAAGAGAAAACGCAAAACAAACTCAAAATGGATATGGTGGTGGACTTGGGGGCGAGTAGGCTGTATCGGGCGCCGGGTGAATCGAGTCACCAGTGAGTATCGATGGATTTTGTCAGGGATATCATGGCATGGGGCGTAAGCGGGTCTTGCTGACACTTACGCCTGAGATAGAGTCGCTGGGTTTGGGCAGCAGGCAAATCCTCCCCGCTGCTCACTGCGCTCCGGACCTCCGGCGAGAGGAGGGGGCGGTCGGGAGCGTGAAGACGGGCGTATTACCACGTCTTGCCCCGAGAGAAATACTATATTCATCCAAGTAAAAGTAAAAAGGCTTAATTGCAACGGGTTTGTGTCTGTTTTTCTATTGTGTGCTGGCTGAAGCCTGAAGTGGGCGTCGCTCCAGGACAGACTGGGCTGCTCCTGTGCGCCGCTGCCCGCTTTTTTTCTCGCAGGACTGCAGCACTCTAGTGTCGTTTTTATGCCGCTTAATGTCTGAATAAGGAGATAATTGCTTGGTTAATAAATACGGGTTGATTTCATGTGACATGAAGAGCACTAGTGACATGAAGGCGGGCGTTACATCGCGTGGGTTATCGGGCGCTGCGGAGCCTGTCAGAAAGCTTCAGATAATTCAAAAATGAATGCGTTTACTCCAGACTGTACATGAAAATGGCTAAATAGGTTACTGTAGATGATGGACTAATACCCTGCAAATGAGGATGCTGCATATATGTGTTCGTCGGTTGACATGTCCGTCTACAACAGTTGTTTCCTATTCCAATCAGCCTCGTGTGTTTGTGACATCAGAAATTTCACGCGCGCCACGGCCTCCCTCAAGGGATGATTACGGGGTTCTGTCACCCGATGCTCTCTGACTGGAGCCGGGTGTAGCCCATTAGAAGAAGATTTTGACTGAAGGGTCGTCCAGCCAATCTTAATGCAGAATGTAGTCTTGGGGGCGGGCTGTATAGGGCTGGAGCTGGGCCAGTGTAGAAACAAAGACAGTAGATAATTCATGACAGGGGGTTGCTATTCTGTTTTTTTTCTCTCGTGACTGTTATGTTATGACTTGGGGTATGTATAGAAATCATTCATCAAAGTAGGCTTACCTCTTGTAAGATTGGATGTCCCATGATTTCCCTCCAGTGTGAACATGGGAACTCATTTATAGCCTTGTCAAAATGAATGTGTCTTAGTTTGTACCACTGATCTCAAGAAGTTCTGCAAAACATCTGATTAGTCTTCTTTTGCACAAGTTACTCTCTACTGAAGGTTCAGCAAGTGTGACTTTTGTTCCTGCTGTCCCTTGCAGGCAGCCACAGAGGTGGTTCAACACTGCTGACATCACAGTGGCTCACCAAAGCAACCTGCTGAAGCAGCTAAACCAACAGCGCCGCCAAGAGCTTTTCTGTGACTGCAATGTGCTGGTGGAGGGCCAGCTCTTCAGGGCCCACCGCAACGTCTTGTTTGCCAGCAGCGGCTACTTCCGCATGCTGCTGTCCCAAGGGCCTGATGGACTGTCGGACTCTGTCAATGCCACCTTCGATGTCTTCAGCCCTGAAACTTTCACTGTCATTTTGGATTTTATCTATTCTGGGCAGCTTGACCTCTCCAGTCACAATGTGATTGAGGTGATGTCTGCAGCCAGCTATCTACAGATGAACAATGTCATTAACTACTGCAAAAACTTCATCAAATCCTCATTGGACATCAGTGTGAAAGATGAAGATAGTGAACGCTGCCTCGGTTTGTCTGAGACCTGCAGTTTCACCAGTGGAACTGGAGAAGAGACCTCAGAGCAGCAGCAGCAGGGCCCCTGCTCTGTCAGCCCCCCACCAGCACTCTGGACCCGGGACAACTCCAGATCTCAGTCTGGTTTTATGGGAAAAGAGTCAGACCAAGAAGCAATGGTCTCAGCCCCAAACACTAACTCAAGTAGCCCTGCAGGTGACCTTACTACAGAGGTAGATGACCTGCAGGACCCTCAGGACCCGTTGTACACTTTGCCTGGGCCAGAGCGCCGGCGAAGCAAAGGAGGAACAAAGAGGAGAGCACCAAACAGCACTCGCTCCAACCAACATGAAGACTTAGCCATTCAGGAGGCAAGGACACAAAAAGCTGAAAAAGCAGAGGAGCTTTACGCTACTCTACCATCTATTGTTGGCGTAATTGGACACTTTAATAAAGGTGAGTTAGACTTCGCTAGAAATATGAGATTTAATGGAGCCTATCCCAAGCAAAGGAATAAAAATATTTATCCTTGCAGGCTGTTAATTTCAAACAAAGCCAGAAATGATGATATACAGGGAAAGACTGAAAAGTCACAGCTTAAAATGTCTTCCTATTTCTTCCATTTTTCAGACACCAACCCTATTATGCGCTTTAAATGCCCCTTCTGCACACACACTGTGAAGAGAAAGGCAGACCTGAAGCGGCACTTACGCTGTCACACTGGAGAGAGGCCATACCCCTGTCAGGCCTGCAACAAGCGCTTTACTCGCCTAGAGCATCTTCGTAGCCATTTTGAAACAGTAGGTTATCAAAGAAGATATCAAGTCTTGTATCGAGTTCCAGTTGTCCTTTTTTTCCATTAGCTTCTTGTTTAGACATAACTTTTACTTGTTTTTGACAATATTTGTACATGTAGGTAGAAACATTCAAATAATCATAAATCTTACAATCCACACTCAGCCATAGTGTTGAACAAAAAGGGTTTTTATGTGTCACTGTTGTCATCACAAGGTCAGTCATACTTTGTGTATTTTCCTAATACTATGTCAATATGTCTCGCTTGTTCATAGATCCATCAAGCCAGAAAGCTGGTGTGCAGGAAGTGTAAGTGTCAAGTGACAGAGGAGACGGGTCATGTGGTGTGTGAGGGCACACGACGCTATCGCATGTGCACCACATGCATCCAGGAAGTGGGTTGTGATGAGATGCCCATGGACAGTCTAGAGGGAACAAATGAAGAGCCAGCCCTACTGCTGGGGGTGGATGGTGAGGAGGAGGGGGACACCAAGGGTAGCTGGATGGTAACCGATGATGATGACCTGGCTGAAGACTCAGGGGCTGACCTCATCATCCAACAAGTGGACGACAGTGATGAAGAGCTGGAGTGAAATGAAACCAAAGTGTGTGCTGAAGCAGGCAGGAATATTAAGTGTGTGCTCACTGAAGCCATCCAAGAGAATTTATGCATAAAATACTGTATGTGAGCCACTATTGTAAATACTGAAGTTTATGTTATTATTGTCCATCATAAAGAAGTGTTCATTTTTACCATCAAAAAGAGTGATGACCTCTGTGATAAACTGAGCGCTTTCTATCAAGCTTCATAAAAATATGCAGTATCCAAAGCATGAGTATTCAGTGTTTCCCGTGCTTACATTATAACTTTATTCTAACTATTTCAAGGAGATTTTTTTAATGTGCATGGAAGAATGCTTTAGCTGCTTTTTAAGGTATTTTTTGATACTTGCTATCATTCGAGCAAAATGAAGAGAACAGAGAACTCATTTTTTATTTTCCTTTATCTCCCTTAAGGAAAAGTCTAGAGCAGACAATGTGTTACGGTTGCTGCACTCTTCATATTTTCTTTTTGATCCAATATGTACTCTGATTAAAAAGCCAATTTTTATTTATTTGTTCGTTTGTTTTTTACTGTTTGGCATATTAAATATATTTTTTATATGTTTATTGCCTTGTGTGTTCATCAATCTTTCCAGAAAAATGAAAAGCACAATCAAATCTAAAAAAGGAATTCAACATACAAGCATCAAAAGAAAAGAACAATAAAAGTACACAGTACAATTAGGGCAGAATTGTATTTTTGAGCTAGCAACTAGTTATGTACATATTTCTGAAGTGTCTAGAGGAGCTTTTTATCAACCAAATACATTTTTTAAAACTAATAAATAACAATAAAATTAAAAACTGAAAAAAACTTGGTTGTGCTCCCTTTAAAATTCAAACGATGGGTTTTAATAGAGTTTATATTTCACTTAAAAATATTTGAATCAGACTGTTCGGCTGGATAGTCAAATAGAAAGTAAATTATGTTAGAGATGACCTCCATTCCAACACAGGGGGTCACATCTTTTAGTTTTATCATATATACAGAATTCACATGAGTACAATTAACCCATACTTTCTCAATATAAATTCATAAAACCCCATTTTTAAGCTGTTCTAGTTTGTTGTTGATTTTTACCACCCATAGATGGCGCCTTCTCGGTGTTTTCAAACTCATCTCTTTTCCTTCACTGACGTCCTCGGGGAAACAGTGACGTCAGTTTGGAGGCTGGTCCATCATGGCGGCCGTCATGAGGCTGGTCAACAGAAGTACTTTAAGTTCATCAATGGGTCAACACTATTTGGCGCTGAGCTCCGCAGCAAAGGTACAAGTCGTAAGCTTTTTTATGCTTCTATCCTCCATATAGTTTATTTTACTTTGAAGTAGCAGGCTTTGTAGCGGGGCTTTTCATACACCTGAAAGCGTCCCCCAATGGTTCCCTGAAGCAGGTTCACTGGCTACTTAGTTGCAAATAATGACGCAAAATAATGACTTTTATCGGGTTCATTTTTGTGTTCATAGGCTCGCGCGAGAGCAGGTCAAGCTCTACCTGAAAAGGTGAAGATAGTGGAGGTGGGACCCCGAGATGGTCTACAGAATGAAAAGGTAACACGAGCAAAATAAATAACTTTATTCAACTGCGCAAAACTGTTAGACACAGTTAATGCCCCAGTTATTGTATTCACTTAAGCATGACGGTTGTAGATAATCATCAAGAGGTAAAACTGAAACAGAAAAGGTGCAATATTCATGACTTATGTAACCAGGTGAGGATCAATGTCGGTCATGTATATATGTCAGTGTATCTTAAAGCGAATTAATGCTTTTCTGTTTATCTCAGACCATCGTGCCAACAGAGACAAAAATCAATTTAATTGACATGCTGTCAATGTCCGGTTTGCCAGTCATTGAGGCCACCAGCTTTGTATCTCCAAAATGGGTTCCTCAGGTGAGATAATTCTATTCTGATTGGTATGTGCTGACACACCCACAGAGAGTAAGACAGAAACTGTGGTTTGTAATAATGTAAGTAGATTCTTTGCTCCACCATCAGTTGGTTTCTGTCTCCTTTGTTTTAATGTCAGATGGCAGACCAAGTTGAGGTGATGAAGGGGATCTGTAGGAAACCTGGGGTGTCTTATCCAGTCCTTACTCCAAACCTCAAGGGCTTCCAGGCAGCTGTAAGTCTAAAACATCATAATCCAGCACACTTCCCTGACAAACACTTGCTCTTGCCAAAAGTTCCTAGAAAAATGCCATGTCCTTCCTGCTCTTACATTCTACAGGTAAAGGCTGGTGCCTCAGAGGTTGCCATATTTGGTGCTGCATCTGAGCTGTTTAGTAAGAAGAACATAAACTGCTCAGTGGATGAGAGTTTACAGCGTTTTGAAGAGGTTATGAAAGCAGCTAAAGAGGCTGGTGTGCCAGTTCGAGGGTAGGATAACACAGTGTCTTTACTGTCAGCCAAACATTAAATCATTTGGCGAACAGTGTTTTCTTTGGGTTTCTGCTTTGTGTAATCCACGTTTTTTTGTCTCCACAGTTATGTGTCATGTGTTCTTGGATGTCCATATGAAGGGAAGGTGGCACCTGAGAAAGTTGCTCATGTGAGTTTTTAATAGATACAAGTTAAAAAAATGCAAATGAAAAAAGACACATTATTATACAACCACAACTGTCTTCTGTCTTGCAGGTGGCAAAACGTCTTTACTCCATGGGTTGCTATGAGATCTCCCTCGGTGACACTATTGGAGTAGGAACTCCGGGTAGCATGACTGAAATGCTAGAAGCAGTGTGCCGAGAAGTACCAGTCGATGCCTTGGCAGTACATTGCCATGATACCTATGGCCAGGCCCTGGCTAACATCCTTGTAGCTTTACAGGTTTGTGTTGACAATTCTTATGCTATCAGTAAAACTGCTGTTCAGGTAGTCTGTTTAAAGTGCTGCAGCCACTTTATTTGGTTGTCAATCTTTCTTTTGCAGAAAGGAATCAGTGTAGTAGACTCTTCTGTAGCTGGACTGGGTGGCTGTCCCTATGCTCAAGGGGCTTCTGGAAATGTTGCCACTGAAGATGTTGTCTATATGCTGCATGGACTTGGGATTCAAACAGTAAATGCCTCTCTTTGGCCTCTTCTGTCTTTTATTTACACTAGTAGCTGCAAATGCAGACTTGTAGTTAAGTCTTTTTTAGTCAGTCATTGACTTGTGATTTTTTTTCCCAACAAAGAAATAGTTGTCCAAATAGTAGTCCCAAATTTGACCCTTTGACCTTTTCTTCCTCTCTCTCAGGGGGTTGACCTGCCAAAGCTTATGGATGCTGGAGCTTTCATCTGTCGCACCCTCAACAGAAAATCCAACTCTAAAGTGGCACAGGCTACTTGTAAACTGTAAACAAGGCAGAAAATCACAGGTTAAACAACCACACATTATAATTTGTCTGCAGGTGAAATTTACGTTAATGTAATCAGATGGTACAGGTAGTGTTTTCTGGTTTGATTACAATATCTAATGAGATAGTTACTACATTAAAATGCAGATGAAAAGTGCCTTATGTTAAGCCACTCTAATCTTACCTGTCACAACCCTTGCTTTCACCTGTCTTTAAAAGTGTGCTTTCATCACTTTTTGGACATTGGAGTTTAGCATAGACTTTGTAACAATGAGTTCACCAGTAAAAATGTCCTGGAGAAAGATAAACTCACTGTCTATGCCATACAGAGACAGATGCATTACTTTTGATTTCTATTATCATTTATCACTATATTTAATTTATTTATCTAATTAGTCAAAGGTGCATCTGAGAAGGCTGTTGGCCTGTAAGAACTTGGGCATCACGTTACCGTGTGAAATCTGTAAATGTGAAGAATGGCACGTACTTCAAAGGTTTGTGAGAGGAAAAGTTTTACTTATATGTTCAAGTATTTAATGGGATATCATTTCTCTAGATTCAGTTTGTACATATTTAACAAGACAGTGACTTTTCAAAATAAAAAGCTAACTCAAAATTGAGTGAAATGCATTGCCTACATTTCTTTTGAGTGGATTTACATCTGATAGCTGCTAAGTTTCAACACTTATGAGAGTCTTTGGCTTTCAAGATTTCACACAAGTTAAGTAGAGATTACAAAGATAAGTGAACATACCAAGCAGAGGGCAAGTATTTCTTGTATGTAAACACACTTGTCTAATGGAGCAGATGCAGGATTAATGATGAGGTCTGTTTACATCCTCTTCAAATTATGATTGTTACCTTTTTATGGAATGTAAGATTTTGGATGTTGAAATCACCTTTACACATTACCATCAGATCTAGAATTTTTCTTCTCCTGTTTTGAAGTTCATACCAAAGAGATGCTTTAAAAAAAGGGTCATCAGCAATCGCCATAGTGATTTTACAGTTTGTGATGAAAATGACTCTGGATAAACAGAAAACTGTTTTCTTTGCCACTCCTTATACAAACCTGATTGACAAGTCCAGCAGGCAGACTGAGATTCTTACTGCAGGCCTTCACGACACCTAAAAACAGGCATCATATGCAACTGAGGCAAGGGAAAACATGTCATAATGAGTCAACAAATTTAAATGGGTAGCTTATGAACAATAGCTAATTGACATGCCCTGGTGACGTGACGGGTAAGAAACGTAGTAATGAGTCAGCAGCGTCGGAAAAATTCTTATCTTTTGTCAAAAGGCATGATGGAATAGTATGGAAAGTATTCACTGCCACATGCCAGTCTTTGGGGTTTATATGGCCAGGGGTTAACTCCAGATATTTTTTCAATGGTAAATAAATCTTAGTCTTTTATAAATGGTACAAAAATCTCAAATGAAATAACACAATCTTTAAATAAGCAGTCTGTACTGTTAAAATAGGAAACAAAACAGATTTATTATATACAATATTAAAATTCATAAAAAATACTTTAACAATAAGTGCAGAAAGATCATTTTCCACATTACATCAATATTAAACCACTTAGGACTTGTACTAATAATACAGTTCAATGAGCCATCTGAATGTCCTTCCCCCTTGTTCACTGTGCTCTGGCTTCCAACAGCAGCATTCCTTGGTCCTTATTTAAATCAACAGTGGTCTTGGATGAGGCAAGTTTGTGTACCAGCATGTCAAAACACAGACACTATGAACAATTTGTGGCTGTGCAGTATAAGAGCAAGCAAATGCCCACCAAGGATTTACTTTAAGAAATATACCAATGATACATGGATTTTGTTGATACCATAAATCTTAATAATGAAGATAAATGCAGTTAGGAAATAAACTCTTTTTGGCCAGTTTGCAAAGCTTCAAGTATGACTCAGCCATAACTCTATGACCCTGGAGTGTTTGCGCTACTTTGCAGAATATTTTTGCTTGAATCATCATCATCTCATCAGTATGGCAAATTATAAAAATAAAGTTATGGTGTCAGTTCAGTTCAACAAAACAAAGATCACTGAAATGTGTATCTAACATTGGATGACGTCAAGGCGCCCTAACACAACACTGTAGACACTGGCAGTGTGGGTGAATACCTCTGCCAGGTGTGTCCTGCCTTCTTGTATTCAGTGTTTTCTTTCCTTCCCCTCCCATGTTAAACCTCCTATCACAAGAGAGACAGACAAACCACACTGGAATGTTTAACACTTGTGAGGGGGTGAAGCTGAAAAGCCACACAAACCTTTATCGTTTTCAAAAAAAGAAACCCACACATCATAAACAAATCAATTTTGGCTCTATCTGACTTGTAAATATTGCTGATGTTGACTTGGAAACAAAACTTTGTTTGCTCAAAAAGAGTCTTAGATGTAGACACAGGGGCCCACAGGATGAATCCAGTACTGATGACTCAACTTCCAGGGTCTGACACCCACAGTCATGTGGCTCATAATTCTGAGTCTGTTTTCCAGGATAAGTCATTGGGATCTTGCCCAAGTACAACACATCTCCTACCCTTTAGTCTGCTTTGTTTTTAATCATGACGTGGAGGATAGATTTGGAGCAGAGGCCCGAATCTTCTCTTCTAGTCTGAGTCCAGAGGGCCTGAATGAAGGTTTGTATGCACTGTTAAAGGATGGTGGCTTTTCTTTTATGTCCACCTTGGACACAGGCAGGTTGCAGTTGTTAAAAGGGTCATCATTGTAGTTTTCATGATGCACAGCCATGTTGCGATTGCGCCTCTTGACCTTGTTTGCACATCTTACAATGCGTTTGGAGATGAGGTAAATTATCTCGCAGATATTCAGGACAATACAGAGGGCCGAAGCTCCAACCATAAAATAGGTAAAGACCTTCTTCTCAGTTGGGTGTCCAATGTAGCAGTCCACCTGGTTGGGGCAGGGCGACACCTCACACTTGACCAGTCTTGGAAGGTAGAAGCTGTCGTAGACATGGTGGAGGATGTAGAGAAAGGAGACTTCAATGCCTGTCTTTACGAAGAGGCTGACCAGATAGGTCCACCACAGACCCCCATGTTTTTTGCCTGTGTTGTTGTACAGCTTGCTGGTATCACCATGCTTGGCCCTGTACTTGCGCTCCCGGTCATCACGGTATGCCACGTGCATAACCACCATGAAGGAGGGGCAAGTGACAAAGATGAGCTGAAGAGCCCACAGACGGATGTGGGAGATGGGAAAGAAGTGGTCGTAGCAGACGTTGGCACAGCCAGGCTGCTTGGTGTTACAGTCAAAGTCCTTCTGCTCATCGCCCCAAACTCTTTCCGCTGCCACCACATACACCATCACCCTAAACACAAACACCACAGACAGCCATACCCGTCCAAATGCTGTGGAGTATTTGTTCACTCCACTGAGCAGGGCTTGGAAGGTCTTCCAGTCCATATTGTTGGCAGGTAGTCAATTATCTTGTCCTCAGAGTTCTTCTCTTGCTTGGGGCAAACCTGGACATGGCAGAAAAAGGAATAGTTAAAATGTTGTTACTTGTTGAGGAACATCTTGAACTTTTAAATCAGTATTTCTTTCAAAACTGTTCAAGTGCAAAAACATCGCTAACAAGTCTTACCGACATACCTACCAGACGCAACCACGGACAATGACATACATGGGTAGGCCTTAAGCCAAACAGTTCCTCAAGCAAACAAGTTAGACCAACATTTCAACACACCCAGAGTCACACTTTCCTTGAGAAGTAAGATTAATATCTTAAAAGTTATAAACTTTTGATATAGGATACAAAGTAAATAGGCAAATATGGCAAATATACACAGATAACCAGAGGGTGACTGGTTCAGAGTCAAACAGCCCTTTACGCACGAACCAAATGCGTAATTATGGCTTATTTTCTTTTCAGTCGTGGCTCTCTACCGACATGTGTGTTCTTTTCAACCCCGGCTGAAAATGTTCGTCTCATAGACCAACATATCCAAGTAAATTATTAAGACTTTTCGAAAACATCCATTTCAGCTTGTCTCGGACTTTACGAAGCTTCTCTTATCAGGAGCGTCCAAAATCCCAACCAAGAGATATTTTACTCACCGAGAGGATTTCTAGTCCATTTTCAGCTGAAAAAACACGTGGTTTAGAGATTTACGGTGGACTTCTTCTTGCTTTATTGTCGTTTTAGTCCTTTAACGCACAGATTTGACTCCCCGCGACAGGTAAAAGAGCGCAGTGTTAGGAAATGCGCCTGTGGGTGTGGTTAAAGAAGAAAGAATGGAGCTACCCCAGATGTTCCTCTTTCCTTCTCTCTCCCTCCCTCCTTCTCTTCCCTCTCTCCCACTCACACGCCAATGCTAGGTGGCAAATCAAATATTTTTGCATAACAGTTGTTTCAGTCTGCACATTCGTGTCCTGGGTCTTTGGATAGGAAAAGGAAGAGGGACCTACACCCATGAACTATCATGTGTGGAAATAATGACAGTCTTAGCAGTTTCAGGACACACATGGTTTTGCTCTGTTACTGGCAACATTAGACGAATAAAAGGGCCTGGTGAGGGTCCAGAGTAGACTAAGATTTAGTTTTGTTTTATGTCTCCACAGCTCAGAAGCATAAATGACATTCTCCACAGAGTGGTTGAATTACATTATAGGCTATTTCATGTATAATACAAATCAAGCCATATCACAAAGGGTTACATAAGGCAAACCATCATTCCAGTTTTGTGTGTAATGGTAAAAGAGTTGGAGATAACTGATTCATTATTTGTGTTCCAAGTTTCCAGGAAGGGACTGTCTCCGTGTCCCAACAAGTTTGTGAGTACTTCACCCATAATACGTAAGTTGACACACCCAGAGGTGAATGCATTTTTTTGTTGTTGTCATGCAGTCTCTTTTTGTTCACAGCTTCCCAAAGCACTTTGAGAGTCAGGCAACATATTGTATGTATTTGAGTGGAGAAGGGGGCCAGAGCGAGGATTTACGTTCATTTGTCACAGAGTTACAATGTTGGCATTAAAACAAAAAAATCCTCTCTCATATTTCTTTGCTGCTCTTTTATATTTTCTTGTTTTACATGACATGTGCAAGAATGCCAAAGTGTATTATGTTTCCTTTATTCTTTTTCCAACTAAACTCTACTCAAATGACACTCATTCAAAGACTCTCCGAGATTTGGGGCTCATCCTCATTGTCACATCAGACTGCAGCTTTTTGTCCCTTCTTTACTTCTCTTTTTTTGGCTATTAACAGATCAGATTCCCAAGTCAAACTATACCACTTGTCTATAGGGAAAAAGACTTATTTGTGATGTTTGTGGATGAATAAAAGTCAAAATATCAAATAACAGCATGATCAAAATCTTGACATGCCACTGCTTGCCAATTCTTGAAGGCCTGTACCAGTATTTATGGGCTATTGAAATCCTGGATTCACCCTTCATAAAAAGGCTTAAAGGCACGTTCATACATCACTGGTTAAGTCAAGTCGTGTGTTTGTTTTTGTGTTGTTTTTAATGGTGCATCGATGGCCTTGTTACAGGCTCACAACAACAGTGTCCCTGAACCAAACCCCCCTGTGACTTCAAAGATGAGGAAGCGCTCATTAAAAGCATTTCCTTCCATTAAACAAAGCAATCAATCCAAAATAGGTTACACTCACATGCTATGAAAAGGCATTAAAAAGTGCTGGCTCAGATTACAAACCTTATATGCTGAATTGCCTTTTTCACTTTGTTAAATTTAGTAAAAAGTAAGATGTGAAACTGAGTCACTGGGCACAATGTGGTTGTCTGGCACTAGGCTGTAACATACTTAACCACAAGTAACTCAGCCAACCCGGAGGTTTCATGAATGCAGATATTGAAGTTTTTCAGTTTTTTAAGGTCAAATTTGTCCAACACTGAGAGTGTAACTTCGCAGGTTACACAGATACTGTAGTCTAGCCTCTCTAAATAAAACACCCCTTTTCAAAGTCTGACAGCTGGGAGCTAAAACTCTCAGAAGATTGTCACAAGGATCAAATCCAGCTGTGCTTTTCAAGAAAGTCATCTACTGCTTGAGAACTCTACATCTGCAACCACATCATTTATAGCAGTTCAGTTCAGAGAATCGAAGTGGGGGAGGGAAAAAAAAGTTGCTTCTTGGCTCCAGATGAAGAACTGGTCCAGGCAGTCTGAGGGACACACCTGGAGGAATGCACCGTGTGACTCAACCTCTGCCAGCAGCAAGTCTCAACAAGATGGACCAACACAACGGGATAAACAAACTGCTTTTCACTGCTAATGCTCAGTGAGGAAGGAAATGTACCAGAGAGCAGAGAAAGCGAGGACGGAGAGAGAAAAACCAGCCCAGAGGAGTTGGGAGGGTCTTAAAATGGGAGTGATTGTTGGCTCATTTGGAGAACCACCCATACAGGCTGGGCAAACACATCCAGAACAAAGAGAAGGGCACAGTCTGAATGTTCCTTATGTTTTGATTGAGCAGATATCAAACTTAAAATATTAGATGAAACACTTAGATGTGGATAGTATTCCTCATATGTGAAAGTTTAATTTAATTCAACCCCTCTTTGGGTTCTGAATTAAGTTTAAACAAAACAAAAATGATTTTTCCACCCTTTTTCCGTGATACCTCTACAATCAGATAACTTCTGAGTATCTGCTGAGGACTCTGATATTTATCTGCAACATATCTGCTGCCAACTTACGACAGCAGAGGTGATTATTTACTTGATTCACAACATGTCTCATCTTGGTTGGCCCAGTTACTGAGACAAACATCCACATACTGCACTTGTTAATCATCATTGAAGCTGCTGTGAATTGAAACAGACTTAAATACTTTCAATCAATCCCTATAAAAGTGCAGCACATCATCCTCTTACTGTTTGTGGACAGTGGTGCTGCTGTTTGAGTTCCTAAAATGTCACTCCATTAGGCTCTGAGAAGGAGAAACAATATTTAGTCTTCTTTGTATAAAGACGGCAGTGGCTGCACAACTTTAAGAGGCAGGTATGTCAGAGAGTGATCTGTAAATACCTGCACAATTCATTACCAGACAGAGGGTGAGAACATTTGTCATTCTTACTCTCACTCACATCTTTTCTCTCAAACACTGCAGAGTAAATACATGAATTATCCATTCACAGGCTACATGGACTGTCAGATTCCAACACAGGGTGGGTCCAATCTTGTCAGCACACTTGAATCAAACCAAGAAGTGGGAGGCTCCTCCTCTACCCTACCAATCAACCTAAACAATGCGGGTGCTGCTCCTGGCAACGGAGCAATTTGTGTGCAAGAGGGGAGGGGGAGCTTTATGAAACACAGAAAAAAAGTAAAGAAGGAAAGAAAGTCTGGGATCTTCATTGAACTAATGAACCTCCTTCCTTCGTCTGCATCATTTGGATGTGTTATGCAAAGAATTCCCATCTTGTGCAGTGAACGTATATGTTCTCAATTAAATAAAACTGCTGCGTATGGGTCTCTCTAAGCTGTACTTCTTCCTCTAAGAAAAGAAAACATCTTTTTTTGAAAGATAAAAAAGATCTTTAATGAAAAAATAAGAATATTATATAAGAATGTGTATCGCCGCTCTAAATATGCACATCTTGAAATCATTCGATCTGTTTACACCACCACATACCAACTTCATCACTCCTCTGTTTGTTTACAGAACACAGTTTGAAACATGCAACATGTTCAACGGCACAGTCTCTCAAATCTTTGGATAAATTATGTATAGTACACTGATGATAAAACTCAAAATGAGTGCAGGGAGAAGACAGAGTGCAGTCTGGGCAGTATGTCTGGAGGTTGAGCAGTGAGCAGAGGGAAAATCTTACACAGAGAACCACATGTGTTTGTAAAACCACGGTCTCCAGGCCTCCGAGTGACTCATGTAATTGCTATCAAGGCTAAATTCAAAACTGAATCCAGAAGAATGTACTTTTGTGTCTTTGCATGGGCTATAAATTTACATCTGTAAAAATCTCCAAACCCACAACAAAAGGTACATTCCAATAACAAGTCTTTCAGTCCAGAATTACAACAAACGCTCTGCCAGTGTACACAGAAACAGTCAAGAACTACATGAACTGTAGTTCAGTCTCTCTGCAGATAAATATCTGCCAATAAGTCTTTGAAGGAAGTGCCCGCAGGTTGAGGTAAGGCACATTTCCTCATCTATGTCTTTGCTTTTCTGAGTCTTTTTTCTCAGGGTCCTCAAGAAATGGCGACACTGTATGAAGGAGCCGGTGTTTTAGGTGTGTTTTCATCTGTGAGTTTAAGCGTGTTTGACTCCATCAAGTTGCTTCCACTGGACAGCGTGTTGGTCATGATGTGGCGAGACTGATGGACAGTGGTGAAACATTCACGACAGCGTTTGCCAACCAGGTAGACGATTTCAAAAACGGAGAGGAGGATGCAGATCAGGCTGGTGACCACCATGAAGAGGGTGAAGATTCTTTTCTCAGTTGGACGAGAGATGAAGCAGTCCACCTTGTTGGGACAGGGTTTCTGTTCACACTTAATGAGTGAGGGGAAGTCATAACCCTCATAGATGTGGTAGAGGAGGTAGACGAAAGTGGCGTCTACACCGATTTTGAAGACCAAAGTCAGGACATAAGTCCACCAAAGACCTCCACGCTTCTTGCCTGTGTTCTGATATAGGCGGCGGCAGTTCTCGCCATACTTGAGTCGGTTTTTTCGTTCCCTGTCTTCCCTGTAGGCCACATGCATCACCACTAGGAGAGACGGGCAGGTGACAAAGATGAGCTGCAGGGCCCACAGCCGAACATGGGACACAGGGAAGAAGTGGTCATAGCAGACATTGTGGCACCCGGGCTGAGCTGTGTTGCATTTGAAGTCCTTTTGCTCATCACCCCATACCTTTTCTGCTGCGACTACAAACACCATAACCCTGAAGAGGAAGACAATCGAAAGCCACACTCGACCAAAGGCAGTGGAGTACTTATTCACCCCGCTAAGGAGGCCCTGGAGGAATGCCCAGTTCATGACTAGGTTTGTTCACAGTCTTTCTTCTCTTCCTGTTGATGGAAGACAGAAGAAGCACTTCTCGTTGAAACGACAGTCAGAGCTGGAAGATCTGTCACTGTAAGACCTAGAAAAACATGGTCATACCACAGAGAGAACAGGATACAGATTAAGACGAGAAAGAAACACATTTAAGCGATGTTGACTTATCAACTCAAGTGCTCATTTATTTTGAAGGAAAGAAAGAGCAAAATAAGTATCTAAAAGTGTCTCAGCCTACTTTTTAATACAAACACTGACACCGAACAGAAACGTCCAAATCCTTCGCTGTCCTTAAACACAGCCCGACAACTCTCGCCCAAATCTGCCGTTCGCTTCCCTAAGACAGAGTTAAACACGCTTCCAAGACTGAACTTTCCGTGCGTAATTACGCGTTTCCAAAATATCCACGTCTACGACTATTCTGATCCTAATAAATCCGACATGTTAGCTTTAATCATGTTTAGTTTGGAACAAAATAATTTGCTTACTTACAGTTTAAACGCCTTTGTTGCGGTTCGGTGTCAGAGCGGAGGAACAGGCTTTGGGATGAACCTCACTGAAGAGAGTCTCGGCAGATTTCTCAACAGTGCGGGAGTGGAGGGGGGTGGAGTTGTCTGGCTGCACACTCTTCTCACCACTAAACCTGCTCAGGTGGGGCAGCACTGTTCCATCAAATATTAGATTACCGATCAGGTGAAAAAAGGAGCGACATTGTTCATGTGTGGGCACAAACTCTAGTCGAACATGTCAACAGATTTTAAACACGGTTATTTTGATGAATATATGACAGTCCCAAAATTCATAAAATCTTTGCTGGAAAGAAAGAATCCCGCTGTAGCAAATAAAAGCAAAAAGTTTAGTTTACAACTTTTTGGAGAAAAATGCAGCTCGAAGATAATCAGATGGTAAACGGAAAAAAAATTAAACCTGTTATTTAACTGGAAATTGTGCAAAGACTAGCTACTAATCACATTTTGAACGAGAAAGGTTGAAATGTTTTATAATATATGCTTAATTAAATTCAAAGCCAACAACAAATGAAAAAGAGAGGACTGATGACAACAAAAAAGGTATTACACTAAAAAAAAATTAAAAGGAAAAATGAACAAATAAATAAATACACTGAAGGAGTACCTTTAAACATTTTGGTCCATCTTGAACCAAAAAATATGACCCCAAAGTGTTAGGCTGCTGAATCCATATATCAAACCAGAGATGGGATATCTCACTTTCTTAAGTCTGGAAAGGTTTTCTTTAAATAAAAAATTCTACAAATGTTGCTAGAAAAAAAAAAACAGATGAGACTTTTCTGAAAAATGTTGCTTGCATTAAAAAAATGATGTATTTGTAAGTTTCAATGAAATATGGAGTTTAGCAGGTTTGCAAACATCTATCAACTTTATAGAGCGCCCAAACCTTTTTAAGGACAGGAGTTTGTTGGTCATCATGTAGTTACAGAGGGTTAAGCAGACAAATCATCGAGTCATTGTGGGGTATAATTTGCAAAAAAAAGTAATCAGACACGGTTTCATTGTTGAAAAACAGTTGTTTATTGAAATATTTACATGACAGATGGGTATTTTAAGTATAAAAAAGACCAGAATCATTCACCTGCTCTGAGACACACTCAAACTAGAACATACTTCAACATCATTCAAACATATTCTCCACAATCAGAGATGATAACTTTCTGCTTTGTCTTGCCGTCCTTTGAGCCCTGAGCCTGCAGAAAGAGAAACAAGAATTACTCACCATAATGAAGCATGACCGTCCTCACTGTCCTGAGAGAAGGCTCCAAACTATAGCTAACTCTTAAGCCAATAAGTGCAATTACTCATAGCATAAATCATTTAAGAGCTGTATTAATCTAGAAATTACAGTTGCTTTTTACTCCTTGTTTCAATTTGCATCCTTGGTGATCTGATCACAAGTGTACAGCTCATTCTGGCAGAAAAACACATCCTCACTTGTGTCTTCAATGACTCCTGGTGATCGTATCTAATTTGCCTATTCTTCCCATAGAATTATGATCACTACCACCATGGTCCCAATAGTGTGTGGGGCCCCTCTTCGAAGGCCAGGGCAAAAATCGCTGATGAGTGATGGACTCCACTAAACCTCCAAAGGTGCACTGTGGTATCTAGCACCGGTATGTCAGCAGCAGACCCTTACGTCCCAAGTTATGAGGTGGGGACCTGCATGGATCTGAGTAATCCTACAAATACTCAGTTGCACTGAGATTCAGGTAATTTGTCAACAGTGTCATGTTTCTTCTCTGTGGACTGATGCTGATGTGTCTATTGTAGGAGCTTTTGGGCTGTAACAGACCAGTACACAGCAAAATGTGATGTGTATTCTGACGGCAGCATTGTGGATGTTAAAAGTTAATTGTGATAAAACAAAGGTCACAGTTTTTGACATTCTTAAGTCTGTATGTAATGGAGACATTTTAGTGATTGTTCATTTCTTTAATTACGTTGTTGTTATCACAAACTACTACAGTTCATTTAAAATGGCCACCGAATAGCTCCATAAGCAAGCTTCCCATGCAATTTTCTGTAAATGTAAAGTTTTATTTTTCTAGTCACGCTAAATCTTTTTGACAAGCATAATTGATCAGTGATGTTATTGCATTTGAAATGGGAGGGTTTGAAAATAAAGATTGGACATAATTTAGTATGATGTACAGGGAGCAAGGAAGACTCTGAACTGCAGTAAAGAAGAGATTTAATTGGTTACTCGGGGAAAATCACAGCAGGTAACGAATCCTTCAAAGTACAATCCAAATATTCTGTTTCATTTTGTTATTGCGATCAGATAAGCCAAAGTCATTTGTAAGTCAGATGTTCCTCTGAAGTATGCCCCTCAATTATTCACTTTATTCTGCTACAGGCACGCCATATGCAATCATTAAGTTATCTGTGCAATATAATCAGTTCCTGCTCCGTATCGTGAAAGCATGTTTTGAGTTATGTTAAATAATTCCCTTTTAAGCACATACAGATTTTTAGGCTTAAGTTATCACTGACAGCACCCTTCATTTTATTTTATTTTAAAGCATACATCTGACACTCAACTACATGTAGAAATTGTTTTGCATCCCAAACCCTTTCGCCTCTTACCTCCATTGCACGGAGCACATCCATCCCTTCAACCAGATCTCCAAACACCACATGTTTACCATCCAGCCAATCGGTTTTATCTGTGGTGATGAAGAACTGAGAGCCGTTTGAGTTTGGCCCAGAATTGGCCATGGACAGCTGCCCTGCAAGTCAGGAACACATGGCAATTGGTCAGTTATTCATGAGATCTTCCTGTAAATATCACACATGAAGCTGATCCACTGAGGAACTACACATCCAAGCATTCCTTTCACAGTTTTGCCTAAACCTTCTCACCTGGGGCTGTGTGTTTGAGGACAAAGTTTTCATCATCAAACTTCCTGCCATAGATGGATTTGCCGCCAGTACCGTTGTGGTTTGTGAAGTCACCGCCTTGGCACATAAATTGAGGAATAATGCGATGGAAGCTGCTGCCCTTGAAGCCGAAGCCCTTCTCATGTGTGCATAAGCAGCGGAAATTCTCTAATGTGGCATAAAAAAGGATTTCAATGTTTGTCAAACCATTTTCCACAACACATTTGAGGTGTTGTTTCATTTCTATATTTTCATTTGTAGCCTGTCTTTATTTTTTAAAGCCAGCAAGGATCATAATGTGTAGCAACCATTTGTGCTGTAATTAATACTTGCGTCTACAATGAAATGTTAATGTAAACACACCTGCAGTCATAGGAACGATGTCTGCTCTGAGAAGGAAACGTAGTCTCCCAGCCGGCTTGTTTCCAATCTTGATGTCCATGTAGACCTGAGGATTAATTCGGCCCTTTTTAGCTGGAGGCTCAGCCTGCAAAAAAAACAAATCATCTCTATGTGACCATCGGACCACGGTTGAGAGTCAGAGGTACCACACACACACACACACACACACACACACACACACACACACACACACACACACACACACACACACACAAAAGTTGCCACACCTCCTGTGCTGCAGTATTAGTAGATTCCCCACCGGCTGCCTCCGCCTCGGCCTCCTCTGTGGTTTTACCAGAAAACTTCTTCAGCCAGTCATCATCCGACCACACTGAAGGAAAATCAGAGTTTAAATCAAACAACAAAATATGCTAATGTCAAGAACTGAGGCTTTAAAAATAAGGTTTTAATCAATCACCAGGTCGGGAAGAGCCTTCTTTGATCCTCATGGGTTTTGCTGTATTGACGCGGATAGTCCGTCCAAAGAGCTCAGACTCATTCTGGCAAAGATAAGGGGAAAGAGTAATCTTTTGAAGAATACACTTACACTCACATAAAATATATCTGACTGATTTTCCACAATATGATCATCTTACCATGTTATCAATAGCTGCTGCAGCATCCTACAGAACACAAGAAGCAATAAACACCATCAATCAAGTACCAGCCACGTTTAATTTAAATAAACAGCTATCAAGTTCAACTGTGGAGAAGATGGTAAATGTCTGTCTATTCATAATCCTGTTAAACATTCTACAATCATCCTCTTGCTTTGCTGTTATGGTGTACACTTATTCAGTGTTTTTTTAAATAAGTGTGTTTCAATACAAATGTGAAGTCTGGAACATGACAGTCAGTCTAGGTTAAGTGTTTGCAACTCCTCAAATTGCTCTTAAAAATGCAGAACACATCTTTTAGTGAGCTGAACTCACTTTGATGGTTATAACGTTACTCATGTTAACTAAGTATGTAATGTAGATCCATGAGGATACCAATACAAAGAAGTGTGTTTGTAATGTGTTGGGATAGTTTCCAAACGCAGTCTTAAAAGGGATATTCCGCTGTAAAATTAAGTTAGCGTCAAACACACCGTAACACCAATTAGACACCCCGTCGAGAGATGAATGTTGCTGACCACTTGCTTCTCTAACTATACCAACTTTAGTAACGACAAACCTCAACCAAAACACCACTCTATAGGCACAAATAATGCTCAGAGCAGCACCTAACTTCATCAACAGTACATATAGGATCCCAGCCATAGTACCAGCCACCAAACATCTTTTTAATTTTGCTTAATTTCCTTAGCAAAGAGACTAAACACAACTTGCCCCCTCTCTTCCAGCAGCCGACTGTTTGTAGTGAGACCTCGGGCCAGTCCATTATGGACTACTGCGGGGTGACACAGCTCAAGGAAGAACATTTATGATTGTTTCTTTATCATTTCCTTGAAGTAATAATCATCACATTAATCATTTTGCACTGCAGACCCGTAGTTCTTCTGCTGTCTCAATCTGATTGCATTTCCATGAAGAAATGATCATTTTTCCTTGGGCTGCGTCACCCAGCCTCGGTCAATGATGGACTGGTCGTGGTCACACTACAAACAAGCGGCTGCTGGAAAAGAGTAGGTGAGTTGTGTTTAGTCTCTTTGCTAAGGAAATTAGGCAAAATTAAAAAGATGTTTGGTGGCTGGTACTATGGCTGGGATCCTATATGTACTGTTGATGAAGTTAGGTGCTATTCTGAGCATTATTTGTGCCTATAGAGTGGTGTTTTAGTTAAGGTTTGTCGTTACTAAAGTTGGTATAGTTAGAGAAGGAAGTGATCAGCAACATCCATCTCTCGAGGGGGTGCCCAAATCGGTTTTACGGTGTTTTTAACCCTAAACTAATTTTACGCCGGAATATCCCTTTAGGCGTGTCAGTTTAATAATCAGTACTTACCTCTGCCAGCTCAAACTCAATGAATGCAAATCCTCTGTGTTTTTCTAGAAGTGAAGTACAAAACATGTCATGAATCTTTAGAGTATGTATTCTAAACACATATTTTGATGTTTATTAAACGCGGTGCAGATAGGATCACACTCAGTAGAAAGTATCCGGTCATACCTGTCTCATAGTCTAAAGGTATCTGGATATCTGTGATGTCTCCAAACGGAATAAAAGCTGCATGTAAGACCTTCTCATCCACCTCTTCTGCCAGTCCTCCTGAGAGAAACACACAGAGAAAACAGAGAAAGTCAGCATCAATAAACTAATAGTTTGATCATGACAGTAGAGCTCCATACTTGATGTATTTGTAAGTATTTTCACAGAATAACAGGCAGAACTGATGGAGTCCCAAACATTTGAGGATAAAGCTTTTACGCTGGATGAGTAGATGTGGCATCATACAGCTTGATGTGAAACATTTAACAGCTGGAGAAATTATCACATTTGTAAATAAACTTTGTTCTGATGCTTTTCAGTGAAGCCTGTTGGTTTAAACCGGAAAAAATTTTACTATCTGCAGACTTCTATGCTATATTTTCAACAAGATTTAACACATCTAGGCCTTATAGCGCTAGTTTTAAAGATGAAACAACCTCTCTCTGCCCTCTTCGAGATAACAGAAACAATCTAGCAAAGATATTTTCATGAAAAGTAGCGTCAACTTACCCACATACAGCACTCGTTTGTTACCCGCCATATTGGATTTAACCTCTCAACTCTGACCCCAACAGCTTGCCATTGGTTGTTGCAGTGAGGGTGGAGCCCGCCTCCCTATGGCCAAATTCAGCTTAGCGCCGCCTGTCGGACGAATCAACCGTCACAGCCATAGACTGTATATAGAGCATAGACTATACAGTCGATGATATAGAGTAGTCATAGCTCATATTTTAGAGCTCATTGCTTGGTATTGTGATATGTGAAAAATGTAGATAACTGTGGGGGGAGATTTGTCCCACAGAAAAAACGACAACAAAAGTCGTGCACTATCTTTTTGGGTTCATCTTTTTTTTTTTTTTTTTTTTTACCATTTAACAAAAACGCACATTTCTAAAAGGATTAATTTTAACTCAAAAGTGTCTTTTTTTTTTCTTTCTTTCCTTTTTTTTTGTTTTTTACCTCTGTAAATATCATGAGTGTTTGCCCGTTTCCTGTCTTAAATATTTGACTGCAGTATGAAAAGCGTTCAAACAAATAAAAATGCACGACAACATCTCCAAAGGACATTCAATTAAAAACAAGAATTTTATTACCATAAGTTTTTATTTTAATGATTGACTGATTAATCATAACACTGTACTAAACCACCAAGGGAGCCCTATTGTTTAGGTGAACCTCTCTTAACGCCACTACTGAATCAACACCACCCCCTTTTCAACCTTGGGACTCCACTTACTCATTTCTGTTTATTTCTTACCTTTTTTTAAAACTCCCTGCTGTTTTAGTGGTTTATTATTCTGCTGGTTTTCGTGCTATTACTGCCCACATTAAAACCTATAAAATAATTTGTTTATTGCAATATTATATTATTCTTGTATACAAAATTTGAAGCATTAAATGATTTATCGCCCTGAGAGCTTAAAATTAAACCATCCAAAAATGATGACAGCATTGGAAGTATCTTTTACTTTTGAATAAGCATATTGAAAATATCCTCTTCTAAGATTGCTTTCATCAATCAAGACAGAAAATCCTAAATTAAAACAAATTTGCACTGACAGGGCTTGTGCCACTCAGTTTATCCTTTATTCCACTTCTGTAGTGTAGAATAAAACATAGACAGTATACCTGAAACTGTCAAAATAAATGTAAAATGTAGACAAGTACCACAAGAGTGATGACCTTGATGTATCATCCCTTTATTAAGAATACCACACACCCATGATAACATGATAGGAAGAAGGAGCTTGTCATTTCAAATCAAACAAATTACTGTCAAGCAAACTAAAAGAACAAAGCTCATATTCCTTTTAGAAAAAAATGTTCCTCTCCTTTGCCACAGGATTAAGGGTCTTTACTTGAAACTCTTCAGATGTATCATTTTTGGTTTGCAGTTCAAAAGAATTACAGCTAGAAAATTATTCAATGTAAATTTTTTTCAAAATTTTGAAGTAGATTTTTAAAATTACATTTTTTTTTATTTTTACATAACTGTCTAGAGGAGTCTCATAAGTTAGTCTCACAAGTCTCTCCCTATTTCTGCAAAGTTTTCTGTGTCCTGAAACAACACAGGGACTTTTCTTATAACTTCAAAGCTTCGATTCTGTGGGTAGCTTGACTGATCATGTCTTCTGAACCTATCTTGCAACAGCTCACAGATTTTAGGATGTGGCAGCAGTGGCAGGGGCAGCCATGCCTCCCACTTTTTGAGTGGCATCTTTCTTTGCTTGGTGGGCTTGTAGCACAGCGACAGCTTCTTCCACCTGTGTGAACATACCATCGAACAGGAATTATTGACAGAATGTAAAATGTGAATAACACAAATATAATTGTGACAAGGTGGCAAATATGAAGGCAGCAGAATACCTTTGATCGCAGGGATTCATGAGACTCCAGCATATGTAGCAGTTCAGAGTTGTCAATCTCTAGCAGCATGCCAGTGATCTTTCCTGCCAGGTTGGCATGCATAGCCTGAATCAGTGGGAACAAACGCTCTCCTGTAGGGTAAAAGGAAGAATAAATCAACACCTCTAAAAGTTAAGAGGCATAACAGTATATGTGTTATGTTTGTGTGATTTGTACCTAACATCTGCTTCTGTTCCTGAGGCGGTGCAGCAGCCAGCATGGAGGCTGTGAGAGGCTCCTGGCCCTGAACGTGAACAGCCGGCTGAGCCTGGAGCACACCAAAAAAGAAAAGAGAAAGTTCATTGTGAAGCTTTGAGGGTTTAAAACTACAGGAACAAAAAATTAGATATGATTGATCTTCCATCCACACCTGCTGTAAAGCAATAGGTTGCACCACCTGGGGGTTGGGGTTACGGACACTGGTGGCATATTTGTAAGGAGGCATGGCACGGGGGCCTGGTACTCCCATTGAGGGACGGGGAGCCATTGCTTGGCCTGCAGCTACAAGAAAAAAATGGAACATAATAAATAGGTGTCTTGCCTACTCTTACTTTGTGTGTAGTTTAAGCTAAATACTAAAATGAAAAGAACAGTTGTTATTGTGAACACACCTCGAGGTCCCTGTGTGCCACTACTAGGTGACATGTGTCTCAGGTTGGCACGAGGTCCTGGCTGGCGTAGTGAGCTGGGTATCCCTTGAAATCCACCTGAAGGTAAAAGAAGCAGAGATACAAACAGTTAGACCCACATTTTTTTACTTCTGAAAACACATCCTGTGGTGTTTATCAATTTTGGGCTTTCTTACCAAGCACCAGGCCGTGTTAAATACTTTATTCTGATTGGTCATAACCCATTCACAATGGTTACGAAGTAAAGAAAGCAATGCCAGAGACAACCAGGTCATTCACATCAGACCAAATCAACAGACAGGAGGCCAGCACGTTTATGAAGTTAAATATCTCACAATCACAAAAATGTTTGATTCCTATCTTTCAGTGTATTATTATTTTAGTGTATAATTATTATTCTCAATTTAATATGTGGCTAATGACTGACCATTTGGCAGCAGAGAAAAGAAGACAAGAGGCGAACAACCATGTAGAACCTTAGCAAGAGGTTATAAAATACACTAGAAGCTTAGTGGAAGAGACATCAACTAAACAGACACAGTTCACGGTGTTACAGTAATGGCTGAGTGGGAAGAAAATGCCAAAGGCAAAGTTGTGGGGAAGGGGACCTCATACAGGTGCTGCAGTTATTTTCTGCATCTGTTGGAAATGCAGCAAAATGCTCTGTTCTGACTTTACTGTGAATGAAAACATTTAGTTTTATGTGGTTTATACCAATAAAGACGGTAAATGTTGAATTATTCACGAGATAATAACCCTAAGCTGCTTTGCACTGGGCTCCTTACCAACCCTGCCAGCTTTTTGTTTCACTCTTTCACCCGCTCACCATATATTATCGCTAACATAACTTCAATGTCAGATAACAAAGGACATATCAAAGGCAGCTGCACTATCACATCTTGACACATGCCTACCTTGACCCCTACCACCTTGTTGCTGCCACCTGGGGTTGGGTCGCATTTGAGCCAGCTGATTGGGAGCGTAGTATGTTGTCCTATTCTGGGCCTGGTGGGTACAGATAAGAAAAAGTTACCATTGTATGGCAGGAGAGGGACAACTCTGATGAATAACCTACTTTGTCTCCTATAAAGTCTGTTGAAATAATTATTGGATGGAAAGCCTTTGAATCACTTGGAAATGCTGAGAATCACAAAAGCTTTCTTGAAAAGTTAAAATAAATAATATGCGTTCACTTGTCTCAAACTTGCATCAACAGATTCTGGTAGACAGTTGTGACTGTAAACACAACACTGACCTATTCACACCTATCCAGGCAAATTCAAAGGCATACCAGGAGCTTATTAACACATTCAGAAGAGACCAAGCCACATGGGTGTTACATTGGAGTTGTGTTTCTGTCAACTTTGCAAAAAGTAATCCAATATTTTCTCACACTAATTATTTAAGCCGCCTAACAGTCCATTTTATGCTAGCAGGGTGATGTTGGTCTGTAGCTTGATGCTTGGGAGCATGAATAAGGTTTTCAGAATTTTTGTGCCAAAATAAAACAAAGCTTATCAAATATAAATAATGTGCAAATATACTTAAAAGCTTCAGTTGTCAAATAATGTAAAATAATACTCTGTAGATATCTTAAAAGCAATGACCCCTTTGACATGACACATCCGTCTGTAAAATATAGACTTTAACATTCTCACACCTGTGGCACGGCTGGCATGAAGTAGCCGCTGGTTGGCTGGAATTGATTAATGATGGCATTGGCAGGCATGGCCCTCATGCCGGCAATACGCTGCATGTACTGATTGGTGAGGTGGGCTTTGCGCTCCTCTTTGCGCTGAGCGAGGGCAACGTAGAGAGGTTTGGATCCAACAATGCGTCCATTCATCTCAGTCACAGCCTTCGTAGCCTCTTCAGGAGAGGAGAAGCAGACAAAACCGAAGCCTTTCGAGCGTCCCTCTTCCAGCATCACCTGAAATATAAACATGTTGTGTCTGAGTAACTTCAGGAATCTGGTACAGGACACTGTTGCCAAATTTACATCCCCCTCACCTTTGCACTTGTGATAGATCCAAATGGAGAGAACTCTTTACGTAGTTTTTCATCATCTATGGTATCATCTAGGTTCTTAATGTATAGATTTACACCCTAAAATCAAAGACACATTGTTAAGATACTACAGAGTAACAATTTCCTTCATTAGATAAGTTTAAAGATAATTTCCTACAGACCTGATAACGACTGATTCTCTCTTGTTTCAGCATCTCAAACTTCCTCTTCAGCTCCGCCTGCCGCTCCATCTTCTTCTGAGCCCGGCCCACAAACACAGTCTTGCCATTGAGTTCTGTGCCATTCATGTCCTCTACAGCCTTTGGTTGAGAGTCATTGTCATCAGAGGGAAGTACTTATAAAACTCACTTGATACATTTCCATGAGACCCAAGTACCTTGTTGGCATCCTCATGTTTCTCGTAGCTAACGAATCCAAAGCCTCTGGATTTGCCGGTTGGGTCTGTCATCACCTTCACACTGAGGGTTTTACCTGCAGAGGTTAAATAACTAAAGGTTAATAACTATGAGACGACAGGACTAGCACACAAAGTTCTGCCTTCGAATGTCGTCAAACTTTACCATATTTGTCAAATAGTTCCTTCAGCCGCTCATCATCCATATCATCTCCAAAGTTCTTGATGTAAACATTGGTGAACTCTTTGGCTTTGGCACCAAGTTCAGCCTCCCGTTCTTTGCGAGATTTGAAACGACCCACAAATCTGAAAAGAGAGCAAAAGAAGCGGCACACACTCCTTTAAAACAGTCCTGACGTGGATAAGATCTCACAACAGCATCCATGTCTTGCTTTTGTGTTTATACAACACTCCTGATGATTTTCCAGGTACAGAAAGATCCAATGACAGAGGAAGACCTGACCAGGGAAGCATGGAAGGTAAAGAATAAATTCTTTTACAAAAAGAGAAAAAGACAGCCACTGAACAGATTTACATCATGTGACTCATCATTCCTGGGGTAAACAACAGAAAACATGAAACTGCTGTTAATATCACCAGAGGCAGGCAGATTTGCTAGCATGCCAAACAACACAGTGACAACCATCTTAATTCTTGGTCCTGACTTGGTGAGGAGGTGGATGGAGAGGGGTGGAGGAACAGAGTCTCACAGTACAAAGGAAAGCTGGGAAGGACCAAATGATCTTGTATACCTGGCTCTGATGACCTCTCTCCTTCCGCCATCCAGTATTGCATTCCTGCATTCGATCCATCACTAAAACACACAAGCGTGGTCATACACACACATACAAACACTCCAAGGCGGATGACCAGTGAGTGGACAAATGAAGCAACAGAAAATGTGTCTGGTAAAAAGGATAAGAGTGGGTATGAGTTTTTAGTTTCATAATGATCTATTAAAAGTTATCTACACACGAAGGTAAAGAGAGGTTAGCTCATTAGTCAGAATATTCACACACAAGCCCAAAGGTTGAAAAAAAAAAAGGTACAAAAAGTCAGTTCACTCAACACCACAGTAGAGTCCAATTTACACCCTGTGACACAAACTAAAACACAGATCCATACACATCAGCAATTACCATAATCAGCATATGTTCAATGAGAACTTCAAACTTACAAACATGAGTGTTAAAACTTCCTGATACTATCTCAACCGATCTAAAATGTAAGACAAATTCTTTAACTCTTTTGAGACATTCTCAGCAGCCAACATTTCTTTGACCCCATTTCCTAGATGATCAGACACTCACACCTTGCGGTCATTCAGGAGCATGCCGTTCATCTTCTCAATGGCACGGTCAGCAGCATCCTGAGTCTCAAAGTGGACAAAGGCGTAGCCCTTGGAGCCATTTTCATCACACACCACCTAGGAGATGAGAGAAAATAAAAGTATTAGGAATACAGTGGAAAAGGCGTCATGACTCATTCAGACCGTTAAGTTCTCTAAATGTGTTGATTAACGAACTTTGCCTATTTGATATTGTTAAAATGTTCACTAAGCTTCCTGGCTGCCTAAACATTTTTGAGTGTCACAGGAGTATGTTGTGGTTTTGTTATAGTTTACTTTCTGCAAAAACAACCTTTTAATTTGATAAAATCCAAGAGCACATCTCACAGTGTGTCACAGTGCGACTGGTTGCAGCTCATGAAAGTAAATAAATGTATTTTTTAAACCAGTATGTGTGAGACTCCATTCCCATTTTCCTACAACAGCTGCATAAAATACCTAAAAAAGCAAAGCCCACGATCACCTCTATAACAAATATACCTTGCAGGAGAGGATGTTTCCAAAGGCAGAGAAGGTATCGTACAAGGCTTTGTTGTCAATGGACTTGTCAAGGTTCTTGATGAACACGTTGCCCACTCCAGACTTCCTGAGGGAGGGATCTCTTTGGGACCACATGATTCTGATTGGTTTGCCCTTTACTACGTCAAAGTTCATGGTGTCCAGGGCTCTTTCAGCTAAAGGGGGGGAGAGGAGGGTGAAAAGTCATGGGTGTTTGTTTTCATGGAGCCATGAGTCTGAAAACATGCAAGTCTCTTAACCAAAATATAATACATCCTACTTTTCTGTTCTACAGATATCAGTCTTGTAATCCAGCTATCCCCTACTACCCAACACCCAACACTATCCTTATAACATCTCAAAGAAATATCATAAAGCCACACAACAGTAGTTCTTTCTGTGTATTGTGAGCCACAGTTGTAATACCAGTGTTGCCAGTCCATTAACAAGCCTCATGTATCATGGTTAAGTTACGGCAGTAGAGCATGTGGCCGATGAGCAGCTGGGATAAGTGTGGGAGCAGCTGCACTGCTGGGAGCACATGGCTGCCCTCTCAAACTCGATGCATGCTGCTTGGCCTAGCCCTCCTTTGGCCAGTTGCATTGGTAGAACAGTAGGCCATTAGATTGTACAAAAAAAAAGTGTTTAGCACAAATGGGGTTTAATTATGGTGTCTTCTTTGGGTGCAGTTCAAACCCTCAATTCATACTTTAACCATAAAATGTTTTTTTATTCTATCAATCTATTATGCCAATCAGTTTAACTGTAATACATGCCTCCATGTCCATGTGGGTACACATGCCAAACATCCCTTTGTTTAGTCACTCCACAGTTACACACACACACACTCTCACACACACACAGGGTGGGCTTTCCAACTAAAAGTGTCTGGTAAACAAAACGGAGCTCCCTTGCGTCTGCTGGCATCAGCAGTTTGGCTCGCAATTGTACTTCACAGCCGTGTGTTCAGATAAGGTGTGTGATCGCTGTCAAACATTAGGACCTCTGGAGGTTCAAAGAGGGAACCTCAGCATAAAAAGGGCAAAGCAATTTAAATAACATTCTAGTTTGTTTGTTTTTTCTTATGGGATGACACTACGAGCCAAACCTAGACGCTTTCAAATGTTCAAAGTGTTTAATTACTTATTGTTAATAATTTGGGTCATGTTAGGAACTCTTAAGTATTACTGACAGGCAAATTCAAGTCTGCTCAAAAAGACTTTCTATATTTAGAGAGGGGTCCTGTGAGGTATGTGCTGGCATGGAGGGAGAGTAGAGTGTTCTCTACCATTGATGGGGATGAGACACATTCAATAAGAACGCTAAGATGAGCAACCCAGGTCTTATATGTTTTCACAGACAGTTACAATTTAGAAAGTCCAATGGAGAAGAAACTCAACTACTGCTTTGCTCTACATTAAATTAGATGTACCAACAAGTTACAATTCTATAACTTTTCCTATTATGAGTTGTTTTTTAAAACGCAGCACACTTCTGCCCCACAGCCTCGTGCAGGGACTCCGAGTAAATACCAAAATGTAGGCCTACCATCCCCCATGTCTTCACCTCCAACAACAAATGGTGTCTTTTCACTGATGGCTCTTATTACATTTACTCAAGAGTGATACTACCTTCCTGGAATGAAGCCATTTGTAACCTATTATTACTCCGGCTTTTAGTCACCAATATGAGCACAGATATATATTGAGACAAGACTTAAATATTGATCAGAAAAAAAACAAAAATCCACTAAATGTAAACGGAACCTCATGGGACAACTGCAATAGCTGTAACTATGACTCAGTGCTTTTAAACCATGGACTGTGGCTCAAAAAGCTTTAACCAAACTCTTTAACATGTTTATACTGACAGTCACTTGGCATAAGACGTACATCTAAGGACAGTTTAGGTGATGAAGCTACAGAAAAATTAAATCATGCATTGAAAACATCCCATAACAAGCTCAGAAATGAGGTTCGACTTAAATCCCAACAGAAACAGGATCAGGTTTGTAACGCAACTGCATGCAAAGAATTACACAGATTTACAGTAGATATGAAGCAGGTTTTGCAGGTTTGTTTATAGCTCAGCCATGCTTGTCCTTTTTTCCTTTGCTTTCAGTAAATGTACCAGCAGAGGGTTGTGGGAATTGGTTTCTCTCCTGGCCCTTTAAATAGGAGCAGAAATGGGTCATTTTGTCCTGAATGTGAGATCTGCAGTAGGCACATACTCCTTAATGCATTGATGTCAATGATATCTATAGTTTGCTGAAAATATATGATTAAATAATAGGAGTGCCGTTATGAGGACATAGCTAAAACTCTATCATAAATCAGCATAGTTCACAGGAACTGGGTTATGGTTATATGGGTCAAATGAGTGCTTCAACCGCTTCAGAACTGCTATGGATGTCCAGTGACATTAATCCATGCAGTGTCATGCTTCTTTTTTCCCAGACCGGTGTTTCTTGAAGTTTGTATTGGACATTTGGACCGATATGACTGGCATATCGGTCACATATGAAAACATATGGTGACATTGTCAAGGATGCATGGACTAACACGTGTATGTGGCATGCTCAAACTGCATGGTGGTCACTTCAATCACTTTGTCTCTTACCGTCAGCTGGCTGGGAGAAGTTCACGTAAGCGTATCCAAGGGATCGCCGGGTGATCATGTCTCTGCATACCCGAATGGAGAGCACCGGTCCGGCGGGGCTGAATTTCTCATACAGCATAGCCTCCGTGATGTCGGGGTGCAGGTCGCCAACGTAGAGAGAAGCCATCGGATAACTCCCCGTCGCTGCTGTGTTCATATCTCGGACTTCACTAAGTGTATGAACGCGAAGCTTCCCTCAAAAAGCGTGAGAAAAATAAGCCGGTATATACTGTTGTCCAGGTCCAAACTGCGCTTCACCTAATAAAGACACTGACAGCTGGCTCCCTGTTCCAGCGCGCTTAGAATGTCAAACCTGAAAATCACCAGATAAATCGGTTTCTTCTGAAGTAGTTCTCCTTTAAAAGACGGAAACTTCGGGTTAAACCCGAGACCTCCTGTTACAAGTGTTTTTTTTAATTATTGTTTTGCTATTTTTTTAATGAACGTTTGTTTTTCTTAAAGTAGTACGGTACTTGTTTTTATGAAGATTTTGTAAATTTTATATTTTTTATTTAATTTTTATATTAAGTTTTTCAAGAACAGTGAGTTCGACACTCACGGTTGTTTTGTGGCCGGGGAAAGAGACTGCGTGAGGACACGCATGGGCACTTTATAGAGACCGGCGGTGCGGAGGAAATAGTGGCGAGGGTCACACTTGGGATAGAAAAAAAAAAAAAGCACACTGAGCATGCGGCGTAAAAGAGAGAGCGCACACTGTACTGCCCCAACTACACAGCCCGGCTCCCTACAGCGACATCTGGGTGGGAAGACATAAGGCTTTTGCAAAAGGAAACAGTGTACTGTGAACCATTCCCAAACTGGCAACCATGATCTGATGATTACTGAGAAAAAATGATTTTTTTTTTTTTAAAAGGAAATGTCATTTTAACTAATTCATAAACCTGCAATGTCCACCAGAAACGATTACAATAAAATGAACAACATAAGAAAATATAGGCCTGAATATATTTTTAAACATTTTATTCACCTGTATGGTATTTAAGAGAGAAGTATAAGGTGGAAGTTATTCTTTGTCAATTCTCCTGAAAGAAAGAGAATAACAAAATTAGTTTTTGTTCATGCAATAATACACCAATATTGACCAAACATAATATTCAAAAAGAAAAAACAAACTTGGAGACCTGAGTAAATCCAGGAAAGCTGAGAACATCCGTCCATGTTTGTGCTCCTGTTGTCCTTTAATTCTGTTCATCCCAAATCTTGTGGTTGTACCCCTCGCCTCCTTATGCTTCACTTCTTCCTCATAACTCACCGTCTGCGAGCCATCAGGGTGTTTGGAAAACTGAAGCTTTGAGCGCACAAATGGTTGGGCATCATTTGCTTCCTCTTGGGCTACTACATCTGCATCTACCTGACTTTCAGTCAACTCATCTTTTTGGTTAAAATCATTCTGGCCAAGGACACCGAGAGTTATCTCAGCTGGCAATTGGATGCCAACATCCTGGGAAGGCTCAGAGTTTAACATCCCAGATCTCCCAAACCACCTCTTTCTTCGAGATTCCTCTGCAATAGCTGCTTCCTCTAGATGTGGGAGACCTACCCATCCATCAACCAGTGTCAGAAAACTCAAACCCTGGTCTCTACTTGATTTTACATTTAAAAGAGGCTCCTGTTCTGTTGTTGAAGGCTGTAGCTCAGGTGTATCACTTGATTTTGTCTCTTTAGGCTCATTACCAAGATCTTTGCTGTTGTCTGGTTCTCTCAACTGTCCAGGTAGCCAAAGGGTCAGTCTTGCGACTGGGTCCTCACTTATGACCATGACCCCCTGGGTGGAAGAGAAAGGCTTGTATCTTGAAAAAGTAGTTCCAGACACAATTGTGTCTTTAGCTGCTGCAGCATCATCAGCCTGCATCAAGTTGGTATCAGGAGCACTCAAGGTTTGTGGTTCAGAGGCTGAAGGCTTAAGACTTGTTGCTACCTCTTTGTCCTCGATGACAAAAGGGCCAGTGCTGACAATAACTCTAGAGTCTGAAATGACATAATTGATCCATTAAATGTGAGCAGATACCGGTTCTTGGGCCAGCTTTTAGGATGGACTTGAGACATACAAATCTCTTACCTTCAGGTACATGCTTAATTGACAGACCTCTGCATTTTGAGCTACAACATTTACACACTTCCTTTCTTCCACTGAGGTCCTCCCATCTGAAATGTAAAATTATCTCATCAAGGTATGAAAACAACAAACAACTACATTTATGTACACAAATACCTTGATTGGAAGACATTGTAGTTGCAGGATTTGGTGCCAAAAGTGACACCCTGGTCCGAGACAAGGACGCTGCAGTGGATGTACAGCTTCAGGAGGAAAAGGGTTCATAGTTTATATTGTGTAGAGAAACAGAAACAAAAAAATAAAAAATAAGAACTTACCTCAGAAATAAGAAAAGATGTGTTTAGAACAAAATTAACCACATCAGGTCTCTTGGAGGCCACAAACTGTACAACAGCATGAGGAGAACCCAATGGGGCTGTGCACCTAGCAAGGAGTGAAGGTTCTGATGAGCACGATTTTAGCATCACAAACTAACTTCATGAGTAGCAGCAGGCTTCTTACCCTTTATTCATTATGACTGCATGTCTGGGTTTAACCTGGGGATCAGGAGATGGTGACACAAAACAGGACTGAAGGTAAAGCTGCTCTTTGGGTCTGGTTCTTGCTGATACTTGTAGGTTGATGTTCTGGCCTCTCTTATACATATTAGACTCAGCAGTGTTGGTCCAAGATGCTGCAGGAAAAAAGAACTTAATTGTGACAGAAAACAATAAACCGCATTGACCAACAGCGTATTTGTGACTTCAGCTATTACTTACGATTCATAGCTTTGATATTGATGGTCTTGCCATTCTCAGAGTTAGCCATTGAAACAATCGAATTTGAATTTTCATCTAACCTGAAAAAGAAAAGTACCCCTCTGTAAGTTTACTAATTATTGATTGCTTTCATATGTTAAAGTAACATCACTGAAGCACCTTTTGGGGATGCAGGAGATGTGCACTGTTGAAGGCATAAGCCACTGGTTGTGGAGAACACTTCTGAGGTTCAAGTGGAGAGAATTGGTGAACACCATGTTGCCATTCTGCAACTGTAAGAGCCTGGTTTAAAAAAAAAATCCAAACCAAAATGTGGATACACAATAATCAGGAGATACTTTAGTCAACTTACCATCTCTGTTGTTCCACACTCATCCAACAGGTAGGTAAAGACAAAGTGGTTTGGTAGCTCTCCACTGCTAGTGCAGCCATTGCCTAACCAGAGCTCTTCTCCAGTCAACATGACTCCATTAGATCGCTTATTAACCAGTACAGTTAATGTGGATTCATCACAAAACACCTCCACTGTGGGAATGTTCATGAAAGGAGGTAGTTCTGAAAGCATTGGAAATTCAGGACTCCAACTTTTCAGTGAGTTGAATAGAGTGTTGGCAAAGAAATCAGAATTTGTCCTAACAGGAAAAGGCCTGATACTGTCCAAAGAGACCAGAAACTCCTCAGCATATGTGGCATCCTGATCTCGATTGATTATCACTGATTGAACAGCAATAACATGTCCAAGAAAAACACAAAGAACTATCTCTATTGTCCCCATTGCTGACGTGAAAGTGGGCCAACCACTCTGAGCACGTTTCTGTTTAGGTGTGTGGTTAATAAGCTGCAGTGCTGTGGAGACACAGGTGTAGGCAATCAGGCTTACAAGGCAGACAGGGAGGAAGTGGTGCAGCAAGTACAACTTTTGAGTTTCCTCCAGAGACAGGGGGCTGCAATGATTTACAGCTGTTACTTCAAACGTGAAATTGTTGTCCCTTATTCATCTCATAGGCAGAAATAAACACTTACATTTTTTTTTATGCAGATGTTTGACGTCTTTGTTAAAACCTAGGGTTTTAGGTAGATCAGTGGTTTTAACACTTTACATATTTAAAGAACTGAAGGGCCAACATGGCTCATTTTATAGGGGAGAGTGGGGTTAGGATGAGCCATTTTTCATATTCGGATCACTACATCAAGGCAATCATAGTTTTGTCCCTAACTAGTGTATCTGCATATATTTCAAGATGTTTTGCATCCCTGCAAACCAACAGAATGAGTGTAAACATAACTGTCTTGATAACATAGCATGCCAAAAAACTTACCACGTGTATGGGGTAAGTTGACCATAGGAGCGGGGTAAGTTGAGCCGTATCCCTACTACCCCCTCACTCTCCACCCCAACCCTCCCTCACCTTCTCGCTCCCTAAATAACAGTCACTTCTTCACAGTCATGTGTATTTTTATCTACTATAAGATATTCAACTAGTACAACAATTCTTTTTTATTATTATTGCATATAACTGCCAAAAAGCTGTTTTGTAAAAAAACAACAACAAAAAAAAACATTTTAACATGACAATGTCTTTAAGTGATTCAGAACATTCACAGCTGTACTTTTAAAAAGAAAGTGACACATTTCAACAATCTGAACTGAAACTCTGATCCTCTCATAAGACTTCTTTACTTTCTCAGTTGGACCACTGGCTCAATTTACACCAGAACTACTATTATGACTTTATTAGCCCTCTAAACTAAAATGGTGGACTTTTATGTCAAGTTTTTGACCTCATGTTGTAGCTGATAGATACCAGAACTGATGTAAAAAATAATTTTTAAACAATCTCTTTTGGACTGGACACAATTCCAATAAAACTTGACTGACTAAATTCACTTTGAAGAGTGAATTTTTATTTTATTTTTTTTGTAAATAAATGTCTAACCCCTTCACCCATGTGCTTCTTACCTTCACAGACTTCATGAATTAATGCCCATCTCCTAAATATTTGGTCACATGATCAATTTCCTTTACCATTTCCAAGCATCACGGGGTGGCTCAACTTACCCCACTCTCCCCTACAGGTAAAGCACAGGTCCCTGTTATAATTAAACTATTGTAAAGGAAATAGGATAGTTATGGACAACATCCATGGGCTGTTATGAACAATAGATCTACAGAAACATTGCAAGAAATTCGAAGAAACCACATGCAGTTCTAGATAGTGGTTTTTGCTGAAAGAAGACCTTGCTGCAAAATTAGTCATACTACTGTCCTAATGTGGACGTGAATGGGGGTGGAGTTTCTACTCCGGTAGGCGGACGGTTGTGTGTGTTTGTCCGCAGGTGAGCGGCTGTTGAGGAAGACAACGACGTATGTGGAGTGGACTACCGAGAAACCGTCCAAAATGGCTCTAATATAACTTTTATTATAGGAATGTGATTTAAGAGGACTCAAAATCCACAATGGTGAATCTAGGTAAGTTAATTTTATTGTATTTCCCCAGAGTTAAAGGATACATGGCTAAGTTGCATACTAAACTTTTTAGGCGTGGTCTGCGCGCACGTTACCTGTACACTCGAAGTAAAAGACCCGCGTGCACTCGCTGATATTTGACTATCGCGATATAGTGCATCTGTAATTTTTATGCTCTATTTTTTCATCGGTAAAGTTCAGCGTGTATTTTCTATTTTGATTAAAATTTCACCCACTTTTGCATCTGCTTGTCTGGGTTCGAATAAAGCCCAGACAGCTCATCCCCAATTCTACACAGGCCTATATAACGTGACATGAAAATTAAATCCAAACTCGGTGAAGCTATCACACATATCCGAATAGATACAAGAGGCACTGCACTGTACCTTAGTATCTAGGCTAACATTTGGTGTCCATACATTCTTTTGAGTTGTTAGGAAAATTTCTTATCACAGTCTTATCTGACATTAGAGGGACAATATGCTAAGAATAAGAAGAACTTTATTAATCCCCAAAGGGATACTCAATGTGATGTGTCTACTGGAATAACAGACAATATTAGATTAACAATATTAAGACCTAAAACATGAGAAGTATTTCCACAACACCCACCCGCAGAAATGAGACAGACCACCTGCAGGAGTCTGTCCCTGGGCCCTTGGGTCATGTAAATGTTGTGTTGGTTGTTTGTAGAACCCCACCCAAAGCTTTGTTTTGCTGGTCAAAAAAGGGGGCTTACCTGGCCTCCGCTGGGTTGTTTCATTTTTTTAGGGAGGACTTCAACATCCCTTTTAAGACTTCATTTTTTAACTGACCCCAAGATCTGAAGCCATCTCAGGGAGTTTAATTTGTGCTAACACAAAAGTGCCAGACAGCTTTTACACTAATTCTTACCATATTTCACGTAAAGCTTTTCTTGTATCTCAATTCAATTCAAAACAAACCTTTTTGTGGATTGTAATCTTCATCTTGTACACTCCACTGGTCCCTGTAAACAACTAATTTACACACAGCTTTTATTTACGAACTCATGCTGCACAGTCTCACAATATGAACCATTGTACAATCGAGCAATGTATTTGTTTACCTCTAAATATTCTCAGAAACCATGTTGCATTGAATTCTTTTTTTTTTGCTTACTCCAGGAGTATGCTGTGCCAGCCTCAAGGATAACAAAACCCTGATGAAGATGGGGCTGGGGCTGGTACTGGTGGGCCATGTCAACTTCCTTCTTGGAGCTCTTGTGCATGGCGCTGTGCTCAGGCACATTAATGTGCACACTCAAGCTAGGACAATGGAGTATGCTATCTCTAATGTCATTGCCATTGTGGCAGGCTTGGTGGTAAGTTAAGGAAACATATTAAACATTGTGAAAATCTGTAAATTATGTCAAGGTATCTTGGTCCTTAGCCTTGATTTTTTAGTTGTAATATTGTCATATTGATCTGTCTTTTTACGGAACATATTGTGCTCCATAGGGAATCATCAGTGGAATAACGGCCATTGTCCTGTCCAAAAACAAGAAAAACAGGATCCTGGTAAATGCTGCTCCCCTCTCTCTGCCACAGTTCCTTCTTTCCCAGTTGAGCACACACAGCTGTCATTTGCCGGCTCCTGTTAGAACTTGCCCGTTGTTTTAGAGTGAGAGTAGGCAAGTGTGTCTGACTAAAAATGCTAGTTTTTCAAACTGGTCAAACTTCTATTCTTGCAAATGTACAAATCATTTTGGTGCTTCAGCATTTTGTGTTCTTTCACTTCTTTTCACCTCTATCAGACATGAGTTTCAATTTTAAGGCTCCTGTCAGGAAATTCTGGATTTCTGAGCCCCTTATTGAAAAAGCTGGATCTCTTTTCTTTGCTGATTTTGTCTTTTGTACATGAAAGTAGTTTTTTTTTCATGAAAAATCCCAACCCTTCTTTCATTTAACTAAGGGTGACCATATTTTAAGTACCAAAAACCGTGACACTCGACCCAGCAATGAGATACTCAAATGATAATTGAAGTTTACTCAGAGATGCCTTTTAATTTCAATACATTTAAAGTATACATGCTCTGTATAGATAGAAAATTTTTATATTACCAAATACTATCTAAAACCAAAGATAGGCTTCTCAGAGGCTACTCAACATGTTTTATTTGGACAAGTTTTATAAATAACAAATGAAATAATGTCTTGCGTATCGATATTAAAAAAATACCGCTGCTATATTAGCAATCCAACTTTAACAAAAAAGCTCTCACAAACTTACAAAAACTAACTACAAGTATCTATATCTTAAAGGGATATTCTGGCTTAAAATTAATTTAGGGTCAAACACACCATAACACCGAGTTAGACACCCTGTCGAGAGATTAATGTTGCCGACCTCCTGCTTCTCTAGTTATACCAATTTTAGTCACGACCGCACAATAGCAATACACAGCAATCTCAGGAGCCATAAACAAACCTCAACCAAAAAGCCACTCTATGGCCATAAACAATGCTCAGAGCAGCACCTAACTTCATCAACAGTATATATAGGGTCCTAGCCATGGCACTAGCCACCAAACATCTTTTTAGCTTTTTAGCCTAATTTCTTTAGCAAAGAGACTAAACACAACTCACCTACTCTCTTCCAGCAGCCGCTTGTTTGTAGCGAGACCTCGGGCCAATCCATTACAGACTGCAGCGGAGTGACGCAGCTCAAGGAAGAACATTTATGATCATTTATTTATCATTTCCTTGAAGTAATAATCATCATATTAATCATTTTGCACTGCAGACATGGTAGTTCTTCTGCCTTAGCGTCTCGGTCTGATTGCATTTCCATGAGGGAATTATCTTAAATGTTTTTCCTTGAGCTTCGCCGCCCCCGCAGCAGTCTGTAATGGTTCGTAACTGGCCCGAGGTCTCGCTACAATCAAGCGGCTGCTGTAAGAGAGTAGGTTAGTTGTGTTTAGTCTCTTTGCTAAAGAAATAAGGCAAAGTTAAAAACATGTTTGGTGGCTAGTGCTACGGCTGGGACCCTACATGTACTGTTGATGAAGTTAGGTGCTGTTCTGAGCATTATTTGTGGCTATAGAGTGGCTTTTTGGTTGAGGTTTGTTTTTAGCTCATGAGGACCACTGTGTATTGCTATCATCTAGTCATTACTAAAGTTGGTATAACTAGAGAAACAAGTGATCAGCAACATTCATCTCTCTACAGGGTGTCAAACTCCGTGTTATGGTGTGTTTGACCCTAAATTAATTTTACGTTCGATTATCCCTTTCAATTTTTGTCTTCATCCTAGTGGCCCAATGAAAAACAATGAAAACCAGAACGTTTTCATGACTTAATGAAAAAAAAAGAAAAAAAAAAAAAACAGGATGGGAAAACAGGACATTTGGTCACCCTATTTTAACTTTGAACTACAGTATAAATCTTTGAGGGGAAAATGCAAACCCATGCTGCACACAGCACAACCTCCAGCAGATGGCAGTGGTATGGAGCATTAAAATGTACATCACAGAAATAACCAGTCCTGTTGTTGATGATATTGCCACCTTTTGTTCCTCATTTGGTAGCATCAATAGCATTTTAAGTATTATGGGTCATGTTTCCTCTTACATACTGAGTCTGTGTTGTTCCTGACAGCAATGGGTCCTGTTGGTCTTCAGCTTCATTGCGGGTCTTCTGGCAGTTGCCTCAATCTTGGGCTTGTCGGTTTCTATAGTGAAAGCCATCATTCACAAAGGATGGAGCCTTCTGACACACTGCAAGTTTTCTGACAAAGATGTCGGCTCTTCCAGCATCACATATGAATGCCCTTTTGACCCCACTCGCATCTATGTAAGTTGAAATAATTATTTTTAATTTCTCTCTGAATTTTTTAAAATCTGGTAATTGATCTGATTTGATCTGCTTATTAATTTTGTATCTTGATTATGTCTGTGTGTTGAACCAGGGGACAACAATCATTCTGTGGGTGCCTCTCATTTTGATGTGTCTGGTAGAAACAGTGTTTTCTTTCCGCTGCTTTGCTGCCTGTACTTCATTCCTCTACCTCTGTCCGTGCAGAAAGAGACCAATTCGGGCCAAAAGGGTGAGTTGCTGCCAAACTATTAACACTGAAAGATAAATACTGATTGTAAAGGACAAGACCTTTCGTACGAAAGAGAGTTGAATATTTTGGTATTTATCTCTGTCACCTTTTTTAAGTAACATCAGTCAGACAGGAGCTTAAAACTGACAAGTGTTACTGGGGTATTTGTTAGAAGAGCAGAAACGTATGTATGTTTACTGTGGAGGAAATAGGTTAGACGCTTCACTTTTAAAACAAACAGAAAATATTCAGTGAAACTCATATTTGTACTTGATAAACAAGTATGTTATTTTACCAGGGAAATCAGCACTTTTCAAGCTGTTTGTTGTTAAAAAAGGCATACTGCACTGTATTGAGTTCATGAGGTTTCACAAGACCCAGCCCATTCAAAGACTTGAGTATAAACATGCATAAAATGTTAAGTTACTAACATTCCAATGTCTTTGCAATAAATTCAGTCTGTGATAAGTAATAATTTTGACTAGAGTGACTAATAACCAGCCCAAAGAACAGACGGCTCTGTGGTCAATTTTTCAGCTGTCAGTTTGTTAAATTCAGGTTTGTATAAAAAAGAATACAGACCCCAGAAGTCAACTCTTTATATGTGACGTAAGGTGCAAGTCCTTTAGAGCAGCCTATCAAGCTCTGACTGAGGTAGCTATCAAGTATAACCCTGAAAATTTAATGCATATTCTTGTCACATTTGGTAAACTGTCAATTTACATGGTGTTTCAATTCTGGCTTTTTATGTGTGTTTATCAAATTAATAGGTACGCATCCAAAGATCTGCTCCAACTTCACCCTCATCTCCACAAGTAGATCCGCCAACAGATGTTGAAGCAGAGCCTGCAGAGCAGGATGAACTGTTGGAGCCCAGCACTGCTGTTGCGCAGAGTGAATGGCTCTGAAGCAAAGAAACCTAATGATAGGTTTAAAACTGTTGGGACCAATTTTTTACAAGGCACTGTCAATTGTGAAGTTGTTGTATTGTTACACATTCAATGTCTAAAGACATCAAGGGCTTCAGCCAGCTACGGCAAAGGCATTTTATTGTACCAATATTATTGTTTTGGGCTACAGAGTGGTTACCTGTTTCTTAGTATTAATATGGTTTGCTTCTGGAGCGAGACACTTTCTTTTCCTGAGAGCAAAATAATCTGGTCATAGTCTGACTTTTGGAAGGCTAATAAAATAAAAATCAAAAAGCTTTGTGACATTTTTAGGGAAGTTTTTTTTATTGGTTTTGAGTGTGTGTTTAAAACACACAAGGGTCAGATTTATAGGACATATGCAAGCTCTCTTGTGGAACACTATTATGTTTCAGAATATAAATATATACAACAAATGAGTTCTGGTATATATCTTGCCTCCAATCTTGCACTGTGTACTACTGGACATATCGCCAAGTTGCCTTGGGAAACCCTCACTTTGTTACTCAGCGGGACTCAACGTCTACAATTTTGTGACGCAGGAGTCAAAGAAACTTGTCAAAGATGTTTATGTGTCAGTCAAGGTTCTACGGAAAAAAAAAACCCTAAACCCTAGAGTATAAGATAAATGAACGTTGACTGCAAAATATGGAAGGTATTAAAGTAAACACAACCCCCTTTACCACATTTGGTGACCTTGGCAGGCAAGACCAGTGACACAGATGTATTAGAGAAAAAGATCTATTGCATAAACATGCTTCAACTACATATTCAAAGACAGAACAAGAGTGTGACCGAAAGACACAACAGAGTAGCCAAAATATCTATGATTTAAATAAATTAAATCCATCAGATATATAAAAGCATACATGTACTAAGCCATTTTTACAGGATTGATGCACAAGGGAAAGGCAAATGACATAGCATAAAAAGACGAAGGATATAAAATGAGAAGCCATACAAAAACAATACTCAGAAACACTGACTGACTTCAGTCCATAAACAGCAAAAGGTTGAAAAGGTGACCTAGAAAATCATGACACCCGTCCTATTTTAAAGGGTGGGAGGGCCTCATTACAAAGGTGAAGTCCTTCATGGATTTCCACAGCAGCAGCCTGGAAAGATGAGTCGCCCAAAAAAAAATTTTGCTTGGAGAAAAAGAAAAGTTCATCCTGATCATTTGCGCTGGTTATCATTGGCTGCTGAGGACCTCAAGGTGTCTTGGACTCTTCTTTTGGCCTACAAAGGGACCCAAGAGCAAAGAAATCATCAAAACTCTCAGCAAGCCAACAGTTAGACAACGTGGTTAGTATGCTGTGCTCTCTCTCTCACTTTGATGTGTCCATTTTCTCCTCCTCTGGCACCTTTTCTTCTTCTTTTACTTCTATAAAAACAAAATATCACAGTTCTCTAAATGACCCGGTTTAAATAGCAACTCAAATTATGGAAGATATCTTATGTCGTTAAGTAACATGAGAATGCAAGGGGGGAAAAAAAGAAAAAGTGAATCGATACCTTTTGTTTCCTCCTCACCTTTCTTCTCCTTTTCTTCTCCCTCTTTCTCTCCTTCAGTTTTGGCCCGTTTGGCTTTCTTGAAGCTTGCCGTGTTTCTGCGGCCACCTTCGCCTTCGTCTTCTGAATCAGAGAACTCCTCCTCACATGCTATCCTCTTGTCATGAGCACGGACTAAAAACAAACAGGACAGGGCAAAATGAAAACAGTGATTTGACTGCTGGACGTGCTGTGCAAAAGTGGAAAACCGGACAATGGGTGATGGTCTTACTGGAGATGCGTTTGTTCGGGTCGTCCTCCTCCTCGTCTCCACTGTCCTCCTGCACGGCATCTTCAGGGATGGCCTGCATCTGGACTCCCGGAGCATGGGGCAGCATACGCAAGTTCTCAAACAAGCGCTGCCTAAAGAACAGGTGAAACATTCATGTCCTTAACATATGAATATAAACTTCTGCTGAAAGAACTGAATTATGACTCAAATAGAGCACCTTACACAACTCACATTTCATAATTTATATTCAGAAAAAAAAAATAAAGGGAAAAGGAAATTCCTGGCTGCTTTATTCACTCACTTGATCTTCTCCAGGTAGTCGTTGGTGTTCTGGTTGGTCATGTTGGAAGGACTAATGTGCAGCTTGAAGTCAGGACCAAAATACTCAAAATAGTCGTTATAAGGGAGCTCTGTCAAGATCAAGACAAGAATTTATAAACATTATAAGATGAATGAAAGGTCATTGAGCTCGTTATGAGGCTGCTAAAAATGCTTTATGTCCACTTTACTTTCTGCTGTTATCATGTTTGCACTGATTTAAGTTCAAATCTATGTATTTATAATGTAAAGTATTTATATTTTGGGGTAAATAGTGAGTCTTAATGGCCTGCAGGTGTGGTTGTCTTTAATATGAGTCCTACAGTAAAATACTCCTGACCTGTCTGGGGTGTACCCACCTTAGCCCCAATGACAGCTTTAATAGTTCCTCACAATCATAAAATTAATATCAAGACTCTGCTTCTCTCTTCAAACTATCTACATTTTTTTTTCACATTTTTGTTTTGTTTCTTTAAACTGCTCATAAGTATTTCTGCTGAGAAGAGTTTACTCAAGAGAGGAGCTTCTTTCATTGAGAGGAAGCAAATCTGAACGACAACATCCAAGTCCAGCAGACATCTAGGGGTGTTTTCATGGTTGCTGTGCCGGTGCAAAAGTGAAGGCAAAGTTGAAGGCGACTAAATGCTATCAGTCATCATGGGAAACGTCAACTCTTTGCCCAACTAAGGTGACCAACTGGAGGTATTGGTGAAGACTGAGAACGCAGTCTCCTGTGTTTTACTGAAACCTGGTTCAATGAAAATAACTTGGACTTCAGTGTGGATCTACCTGGCTTCACTCTCCATACAGAGACGCTAAAGCTAGTTGTAAAAGAAAGGAGGAGATCTGACTTTATTTGTTAACCACAGATGGTGTAACCGTTCACACATAACTGTCAAAAAGAGGATGAGTTGTCCAGATATTGAACTGTTGGCAGTTGCTCTCCGGCCATATTATGTTCCAAGGGAGTTCAGTCATATCATAACAATACTTGTATACATGTATTCTCTATGATAATGTTGCTAGGATACAGACTCAACATCCCAAGCACCTGTAATAATACCAGGAGACTTTATCCATGACACCTGATTGCATTTACACAGTTTGTTAACTGTCCTACCAGACACATTTTTTCATGAGATTCCAGACAAATGAATTTCCCTTTGTGGGTAAATGAAGCTCTTGTGTTGTACTGCTAGTACTGATGTGTTAGCTCTGCAGCATATGATAAAATGTAAGTTTTCCAGTTTTAGTCAAACTACCACAATAAATAGTAGTCCCTCCCACTACTTTACTTTGCACTTCGAGGCAAACAGACTCACCATTGGGGATGGAGGTATCAAGGGCCACAGCAGTCTCATAGGTCCAGCAGCGTGCCACATTACGGATGGTGTATCCTCCTCCACCCAGCATGAGTAGTGGCAGATTGAAGCTCTTCATGTACTCCACACACTTGGCATGCCCTGAGCACACAGCATGAAAATAAATGAGAGAAAAGGGTTATTTTGGGGATTTCTTGATAACTTGAGTTCAAAAATGTGTAGACACTGTTAGTTTTGTTTTTGACAATTTACCTTTAATGGTTAGGTTAAAACAACCAAGCCTGTCTCCTGACAGAGAGTCAGCTCCACACTGCAAAACCACTGCACTGGGCTGGTACATCTCCATCACCTTGGCCATTATCTACAAAAACAATTAACAAAAGAAAACCCCATCAATGGTCCTGTACAGCGAGTAATATCGAAATCACAAAAACATTACAGTCCATATGGACATGTACTTACTGGTTTGAATATGGCTTCATAGGATTCATCATCAATTCCATCCCGAAGTGGGTAATTCACGGCATAATATTTTCCCTTCCCAGCACCAATGTCCTGTACAGAAAAAGGCAAGATTCCATTAACTAAATGAAATTTATTCAACTCCCTTCATCTGTTAAACAATCCCCAAGTTTAGGACACTGGTTTAGAGGTTCAAGTGTGCTTCCTATATGGAGAGGCTACAGTCCTTGTTGCAAGGGTCACTGGTTTGACGCCTGTCCTCTCCACATTTCCTGTCACTTGATAGCTATCGTACCAATAAAAGCAAATACCCCCCAAGAAAAACATAAAACATTGAGGAGTTTCCTTAGCTTACCCTCAGGTCCCCTGTGCCAGGAAAGTACTCCCCATACTTGTGGAATGAAACAGTCATAACACGGTCTGTGGTGTAGAAAGCCTCCTCCACACCATCTCCATGATGAATGTCAATATCTATGTACAGAACTCGTTGATGGTATCTGAAATGAGAGGAAAGAGTCTCTTGGTCCGAAAACGTTTGGATATTTTACATTAGTTAAGAAGCACAGGTGTGAGAGCGAGACAACAAAACAACAAGTCGACAAAGCGCTCATGAATATTCTGACTTTGTTGGCTTTGGATTTTTTTTGTACTCACTTCAGTAACTCCAGGATGGCCAAGACAATGTCATTGACATAGCAAAAGCCTGAGGCCTCAGACTTCTTGGCGTGATGCAAGCCACCGGCCCAGTTGATGGCAATGTCAGTTTGTTGCTTGTTCAACTTCACTGCACCAGCTGGAACACAGTAAGGTGGAGAACATTACCAACCACAGCTCACAGCTTAAAAGGGATACTCCGGCGTAAAATTAATTTGTAACACCAAGTTAGACACCCCCTCGAGATGAAGAGAGATGAATGTTGCCAACCACTTGCTTCTCTAGTTATACCAACTTTAGTCACGACCGCACGCTAGCAATACACAGCCGTCTGAGAAGCCATAAACAAGCCTCAACCAAAAAGCCACTCTATAGCTACAAATAATGCTCAGAACGTATGAAAATGCAATCAGACCGAGGTGCTAAGGCATAACAACTACCGTATCTGCAGTGCAAAATGATTAGTATGGTAATTATTACTTCAAGGAAATGATCATACGTGTTCTTCCTTGAGCTTTGTCACCCCACTGTAGTCTGTAATGGCCTGGCCTGAGGTCTCACTACAAACAAGTGGCTGCTGGAAGCGAATAGGTGAGTTGTATTTAGTCTCTTTGCTAAAGAAATCAGGCAAAGCTAAAAAGATGTTTGGTGGCTGGCCCTGTATGTACTGCTGATGAAGTTAGGTGCTGTTCTGAGCATTATTTGTGGTTATAAAGTGGCGTTTTGGTTGAGGTTTGTTCATAGCTCATGAAACCACTGTGTATTGTTATCCTGCGGTCGTTACTAAAGTTGGTATAACTAGAGAAGCAAGCGGTCGGCAACATTCATCTCTCGAGGGGGTACTAGGTGTTACAGTGTGTTTGACCCTAAATTAATTTTACACCGGAATATCCCTTTAATCAGTCACAGGAGTAACAATAGCACTGTAACTGTCCAAACACTATGCCTGCCTGAGTGATAATTCCTTGAGAGAGGCAACTTACCAATGGAGCCCCCTCCTGAGAGTTGACAGAACTCAAACAAGCCATCAAACACAGGACAGTCCTCTCCCACGTTGACTACAAGACACAGAAGACGCAATGATATTAACTTGGCAAATTTCCCAGGAGTTTTAAAGGAATTGAGGCAAGGAACATGGCCCTCCTCTGTGCTCATACTTACATCTTTGCATTTGTTTGCTGTACTCAGACATGTTGTCCGGCCGAATTGAACGCAGAAACTTGATGTAGTCATCGCTGTGATACTTGGTCATCTCCTCTCCGCTGGCTTTATGTGGACGCTTTGACAAAGAGTGAATTAAATATAGACAAATACAGCAAAAACAATGATAGTAGAGTTAGGGTTAGGGTTTTCAAGGTGATTAAACTTACATAGATTTCCATCTTTCTGTACAGGCCATAATTGAGCAACAGGTTGTGAGTCATGCGAATTCTGTGGGGCTTCATTGGGTGCCCCTGGCCGTAGTAATAGTTCCCAACATCACCTGGATTTAAAACATAAAAAAAATAAATGTTGAATTATTCAATGGTTTCCAAACAGCGAATAGTCCCAAATGTTACATGACATTTACATAAAAAAGTCAACAAGTCTACATGCAGCACCAAAAAGGAAGAGGAAATCTGAGGGTAACAGTATGCATGGCTGTAATGATGCTGCGATCTAACCGTTGAAACGACAACTTCAACAGTTTATCAAGTCTGGGCTGAAAAAACTCCACTAATGTCCCCAGCTACACTAACAGGATGGCGCTTTTTTAGACATAGTGACAACCGTCGACCGAGTTATCGATTCACGCCGAACTACCCGGCATTAGACGGCAGCGAGATGGCCCGTCTGAATGTTAGCTCTGCGTTAGCGTTAATTGAGGCGACAATGAAGTACTAGTATCCCCTTTGTTAGCGCTCTAGCTAGTAACCTCAACTAAGCCTACCTAAGTACTAATATCTGGAAGATACGCGGGTGAAACGGTGTCCAAAGGCAAACGGCACATTTAACTGAACTGAGTGCACCATTTTTGGGCAGTAATACTCTATAATGACTTCGCGACACGCTATTAGACTGAGATGAAGACCGCCGCCTGCGACTCAAGCTAGCTAGGTTAGCTAACGTGCCAGGTTAGCAAGAGGTGAAATAAACTGCAGCCTTTGTTGGTGCAAAGTCGCAGTTTTCATTCATCTGTGCAACCGTCAGTAACAAAACAGGTACACAAAGCACTCACCGTCATAGTAGTAGCAAACTTTTTTCTTTGTTCCTTGAGAAGTAAGCGCCATTTTAGTGCTCTTTGGCTGGCTTCACCGCACACCGCAGGAGACAACAGCGACAAGAGGCGGATAGTTTGTTTCACAGCCAATCAATGAGATGTAATGTGTGCTGCCTCCAACAGGGGGAGACAGAGTTTATGTTTTTACGCAGCTGAGCTTCTACAGCTGTGGCCAAAAGTTTGGAGAATGACACAAATATTAATTTTCACAAAGTCTGCTGCCTCAGGGTTTTTAGATCTTTTTGTCAGATGTTTCTATGTTATATTTAAGTATAACTACAAGCATTTCACAAGTGTACATTTGTAAGTTTTTGTTTGTCCCCACTGAGCATTTGTTGGTCTAAAGAGGTCTGATAGACGTCTTAATGTAGCCTAGATTGACTGGTCTAAAATCTGGCTACCACAGGTCTAAAAATGAAAGGTTTTTTAGACGTCTAAGTTCAGAACAAGTCTAAATCTGGGCCACATCTATACTACACTGTATACTGCTCAACGGTTATCATAATTATTTTTGGTTAAGTACTTGGAGATCAGTTATGCAGCTCACAGTTGCTTTTTGAAATAAACTGTTATCGAATAATGGGTTAAAGTGCAACGTCTAAATTCTGTCTGAAAATATACAGAATCTAGACGGTTGAAATTAAGTCTGAAAAAGGATTGACTCTCTATGGGATTAAGGTCTGGGGAAGTTACTGCCACCCTGAGTCCTTCTTCATGACAATTGAACCTCTCTTCTTGAAGTTATTGATGATCTGATAAATGATTGTTTTAGGTGCAGCAATATCCTTCCCTGTGAAGCCCTTTTCGTGCAAAGCAATAATGACTGCACGTGTTTCCATGCAGAGGTAACCATGGTTAACAGAAGAAGAACAATGATTTCGAGCACCACTCTCCTTTTAAAGCATCCAGTCTGTTATTCTTATTCAGTCAGTATGACAGACTGATCTCTAGCCTTGTCCTCATCAACACTTTCACCTGTGTTAACCAGAGAATTGCTAAAATTATGTCAGCTGATCCTTTTAAGACAGGGCTTAAATGCAGCTGAAATGTTTTTGGGGGGATTTTCATGGCAAAGAGGGACTTCGCAATTAAGTGCATTTCAGCTGATGACTGCTCATAAAATTCTGGATTATATGCACATTGCCATCATAAAGGCTGAAGCAACAGACTTTGTGAAAATTAATATTTGTGTCATTCTCAAATCTTTTGGCCACGTGTGTAGAGCACTTCAGTCTATGCTCCTGACCATCTTACCAACTTGAAAAGTATTACTTTTCACTTTTAACAGCTGCACCTTCTGAGGTCGAAGTCTGTATTCAAAACGTATTGTTTAAGAAGCCTAAGCAAGCTATTAACAACATTTTATACAGTACTAACAATCCTCATGTGCTGAATGTTTTTAGTAACACATTTTGAATCAGCCTCTATGAGTTTTAGATTGCCCAAACGTGATGCATTAGTAATACCGTAGCCCAGTGCCATCCAAAGAATTTGTTCAATGATTTCAAGTGACTGTCATTTTTTCAGCCTATAGAAACATCAACCAACAGCACAGGTTAGAATTACAGTCTCCATTAAAGCAGATTTAATGGGTTTTATAGTTGTTTCTCAACCATGCTGGTTAAACTTACTCTATTTTCTCAAATTATCCAAAAGAAAAATAACAACTATAAAGTTGATGATGGAACTCTGGTTCAGGATGGGTCCTTCTTTAGTAAATACAACAATGAATAAAAAGGTTTGTGGAAAAAAAGAATTACATTTATTATACAACAGAGATGACAAACAAGTAAAGCAGTTTAAAAATATGAACACATTAAAAATCAGCACCAGGTGATCAGCTGCTCGCTATGCCACATTTGAAAGTTCCCAGTTTCTTCAAGCAGGATAATAAGCTCTCCTTTCTGCGGTTGGCTTTGTAACGGTCCAGCTTAGTTTTGGGTCCACAGCTTCAAATGACACTGTTATTTCTGTAAGCCTACTTGAGAAAAAGACTGATGCAGAAACTGAGTATTTTAGCTTGTGAAATATCAGTGTGTACTGATCAAGACAAAGGCATAGAAAGTCCAACAACAAAAGAAAATAGCATCCAGCTTCACAACCTGTGCCTTTAGTTTGTTTTTTGTTTTTTATTGCATGTCTATGAGTCTCCACTTTCAGAGCTAGTCCTGGTACTGCCTCTCTGTGGCAGTAAAGAAATCCTCAAGAACACTCCTCAGGTACTCAAAGGTGGGCCTGTCATCAGGGCTTTCCCTCCAGCACAAACACATGATGTTATAAAGCCCATCAGAACAGTTTTCTGGCCTTGGCATCCTGTAGCCCCTCTCAAGGTTCTGGATTACCTCTGGGTTGGACATACCTGAACACAGAATTAGATGTTAAAAAGCAGCCCATTTAAATATATATTTTTTTCAGCAGCTTCAATCCATGGTAGACTTGTAACTTGGTAATCAGTGTGATGAATGGTTGCTTACCAGGGTAAGGTATTCGTCCATATGTCACAATTTCTGTTAGGAGGATCCCAAATGACCACACATCTGATTTTATGGAGAAAGTGCCATAGTTAATGGCCTCTGGGGCAGTCCATTTGATGGGGAACTTTGCTCCTGTGCAAAAAAAGAGGAAACTTTTTTTATTTATTTTTTCAAATTAATATTTTTTTACAGGAAAAAAAGCAACAGATACATAAAATGAGGTTACACCCATATCACATTTTCCTGTTTCCCTATTTTGTTCCCCTTTCTTCCCATTTCGACCCCAAACTCCCAAAACAAACTCAGGTCCTCACAAGACACTCGGGCAGTGGTCTCCATGAGCCATAGAGAAATGGATGGAGGTTTGGGGGATTTCCATGAGAGATGGATACAACGTCTCACCAAGAGAGATGTAAAGGCTAGGACACCTGACTGTATGGGGTTGATAAAAGAGGAGTCAACCGAGAGACCAAATATAACCCATAACAATGTTTTTCTCCAGAACCCTCTGCATGATCATAGAATAATTATCCCCAAATTTCTGTAAGACAGGACAGGAGAAAAACAGGGATTACAGGGAGAGCCATGGCATCTATCACATAGGTCGGGAACATTTGGATAGATTTCAGACAACCTGGACTTCAAGAAATGGGCTCTATGTAGCACTTTGAACTGAATAAGTCCTCGTCTAGCACAGGGTGTGATGTTTCGTACAGTGTGGATGGCTTTATCCCACAGCTCATCAGTCAAGTCCAGACCCAACTCCCATGACCAACTAACTCGAGCATTAATCACAGAGCGCCCATCAAATGTCATTAATCTTGCATAAATCTTAGATATAAGAGATTTCTGATCGAGTTTCAAAGTCAAGAGATCATCCCACGGTTGGTCAACAGGGAGGGAAAGGAAGCTAGGGAACAAAGAAGAGGCACAATGTCAGATTTGGAAATACTGAAACAAATGGGAGGCAGGAAAATCAAAATCTGACCTCAAATCGTAAAACTTAGAAAATACACCATCCTTATAAAGATCCCTGAAATGATCAGTGCCTCGATGATGCATATCATTACAGCAGAGTCAATCAGCGATGGGGGAAATAGATAATTTTTAGTCACAGAAATTTGGGTGGATGGCAACACAAATCCAAAATGCCGCCTGAACTGAAACCAAATCTTAAGGCAAGAGAGCAACACGGGGTTACTTGCAAAGCTAGAGGGGTTCAGCAGAAGAGAAGAAGAGAGTAAGGCCAGGAAAGAAGACGAAGAGAGTGACTAAACTTCTATCTACACCACAACAGCCCCGGAGACCGAAGCCGGTATATGAATTTGTGAATATGCGCTGACCAGTAATTAAGTAGAAAATTGGGTAGTGCAAGATCCCCATTAAATTTAAACTTCTGCAGAAGTGAATACCGCAGCCTGGGAGCCTTACCGCCCCACAAAAAAGTGGTAATAGTTTGGTCAAGTGACCTAAAAAACTTATTTAGCAGAAACACAGGAGCATATTGGAACAAAAAAAAAATAGGCAATACAGTCATCTTAAATGCATTAACCCTACCCACCAGTGACAGTGGTAAGGAGTCTGTCTTCACCTGATTAATCAGTGTGAGAAAATTAGCTGTGTAAAGGGCTGGAAGAGTGCAGGTCATGTTATGTCCTAAATATCTAAACCCGACTGGCTAAGTTTGAAGGGAAGTTCAGATTGTTTGAGCAGCAAAGCAGAGGCATTTATGGGGTAACATTCACTCTTAAGAAGATTGACTTTATAACCAGAGAAGGCACCATAATTCTGCAACAGAGTATTGACGGTATGCAGGTGAGTGGATCGGACACATACAAAAGCAGGTCATCTGCATAAAGCCACAACTTGAGTTCAACATCAACAACATTTGCGAAACAAAGGAAGAGATTTCAGCGCAATCGACAAAGGTTCAATGGCCAAGGCAAAAAGTGAAGGGGAAAGAGGACACCCGTATGGTGCTACATGATAATGTAAAATAACTAGAGTGGGTGTCATTGGTGTGGACGCTAGCCTTGGGGGGGAAGTGTCAAGAAGTCTAATCCAAGATATAAGTCTATCACCAAATCCAAATTTATAAAGTGCAGCAAAAAGATTATTCCATTTCACTCGGTCGAAAGCTTTTTCGGCATCGATTGAGACCACAACTTCAGGGAGTGGAGAGGGGCTTTTGGAGAAAATCACATTCAAAAGTATGCCAATATTGTAAAAGAGCTGACGTCCCTGGACAAAACCATTTTGTTCTTCTGATATGACAGTGGGAAGAATCTTCTCTAGACGAATTGCTAACACTTTGGCCAAAATTTTGACATCCACATTCAACAAGAACAAAGGTCTGTAAGGAGTGCAAAGTTCAAAGTCCTTGCCTTAATTAAGAGAGGGGATATGGACGCCGGGGTTAAAATTGGAGGCAATGATGCGTGCTGAAAAGACTCATTATACACTGAGATCTCATCTCAGCTGCGTCAGGTGGAGATTCCGATTCATAGAGAGACGAGTGATAGGATTTCAGTATTGTATTGATGGTAGTCAGATCGATGGCAAGCGAACCAGTGGAATCTCCAATACTAGGAATCAGTCTAGATAAAGCTAGTGCTTGAATTGATGAGCCAATAATCTACTCGATTTATCACCTTGTTCATAATAAGTAACGCAGAAGTGTAACAGGAGTCGTTCTGCATCTGCCATTGCTATAAAGTCAAATTCTGATTGTAAATTAAGCTGTTGTTTCAGCAGGTTTGGGATTGGGCTAGCTGAACTGAGTTGGTCCACTTCTAAAACTTTCGACATAAGGTCCCGTAGCTTTGCCCTGCTAGCTTTATTAGAGGAAGCCTAATAAGAGATTATGAGCCCACACAAATATGCTTTGAGGGATTTCCACAATAAGGAAAAACTGGTAGAGTCATTCTTCTTTAGAGCAACAAAATCATCTGTCCAGGAAGATGACGAGACTGTAAATGTTTTTTTTTTTTTCACCAACAATACTGGGTTGGAATTCAGAGTGCCCACAGCAATCAGAAATCTGCCCCTTTTATCATATATTGTCTTAGAGACGGAGAAATGAACTCTCTTATTGACCAAAATTGCCACACCCCTGGATTTGGAATCAAAATTTGAATGAATATTACCATGGCCGTCGGAGTATGAAATGATCTTTAGTGCGCAATGGGTTTCTTGAAGGAAGACTATATCGGTGTCAAAACGTTTAAGTTGTGAGAATATCTTTGAACGTTTGATTGGAGTATTCACACCTTTGACATTCCAGCTCAAGAATCTAATGCTAGGTGCGGTGACAGGGTCACTTAAACTTTATTTTTAAAGAAAATATAAAGTTCATATGATTTCATAACAAATGCATTCAACAAGTAAATGTCGTAAGGGTACTAGATTCTACAGAAGGTACAACCTAAAAGACCAGAAAGAACATCTGATACAAGTGGTATTTTCAAAGTCCTTTTACCCTCTCTTGCTGTGTACTCGTTATCTTCAATCAGTCGTGCCAATCCAAAGTCAGCAATCTTGCAGATGAGTTCATGAGACACCAGAATATTGGCTGCTCTCAGGTCTCGATGAATGTAATTTCTCTGCTCAATAAAGGCCATACCATCAGCAACCTGCAGAGGACAGCACACCATCAGTCACACACATGGCCAATGTACATGCAGAATGAATGGAAACACAAGTGACCTGTGCATGTGTTGATATTGTGTCAATTTGTGTGCTTTGGAAAGATGAACAGAATGATTCCCAACACAGGGAGTATACCACTTCCCAAGGTCAGTTCCTTTTTACCTCTGTACTCCACCCAGGTACACCACCGTGCCTGCCCTACTTCCTGAAACTAAGAGCTGCAGCTCTGACTCTTTACTTAACTACAGACAGATAATGATAATGAACATCTCTGATTCAACAAAAAGTGAGTCATTTCCTCTCTGTAGGACCTTAGAGGAACTGAGGTGCTACATTTAATGTACATGACAACTGATGAGTGCAGTAACCTCAATTTCCTCAGAATTTGACATCTATACTTAGTGAAAGTATGTGTCTGCAATGTCAGTGTCTGACAATGTTTCCAGAATTCTAACCATCTCTGTTTACGGGGTCAGTGGTGTATATTTCAGACGTAAGAATCTATCACATAGGTCCCATTGGCCTGGGGGTCTTGCCAGACATGTGAGATCTACGTAATACCTGTGTGTTTTATCTACCTCCGCTGCTGTCATGACTACTTCATGCCTCTTTACTCTTTGTTCCACTTATTTGAAACTTGAAACCTTTAGTGATACATGCTTTATATGCCTTTAAGTCAAATTCATTGAGGTTAAATCTTTTGCTCCTCTGATCTCATACATGATAACGTATACATTTTGGACAGTGGAGAGCATTGAGTAATGCAAGGAGAGCTTGATCATCTTGAATTTTCATGGTTGTTCACAAAAGTATAACACTTTTACCTTAAAAGCAGAGCAAGCCAAGTGGAGAAAAAGCATTGCTATATATAAAAAAAAAAAAAAAAAACGTTCACCACAACACCATCTAAACTCTTGCACTCAGCATAAAGCCCTAAGATGTCGGCGAAGTACATGCGTGATGAATCTTGATGAAATTGAAACTTAAGTATGTCTTCCTGTGGTTGCTTTTTTCCATTCCCACACCCTTTAAAACAGTCACACTTCCTTCTCATGCATTATTCTAAGAAGTGTGTGGGCATTATTAGAAGATGAAATTTTGGGGAATACTCTTTATCACACATAAAAAACAATTCCACTCTCGTTTATATACATTAGTCATGCGGTTGTACCTTCAAATAAAAAAATAAAAAAACTCTTTTTTTCCCCTAACTCATGGCGTAAGACCGCCGTAAACCTAACATTCTTTGTTTCACTTATAGCTGAAACTCTTTCGATCCAGCTTTGATGTAATGAGGTCTTGAATTTTTTAGCTATCAAAGTTTTTGTTGTGGAAACATTAAGGTGTGTACTGTTCATATTAATTAATGGTAAACAATGATTATCAGTCTGGCAGAGCAACAAACTGTAGGATCATAAAAGCCAGCAAGACTAATTCAGAAACCTACACAGGAAGTTGGCATCAAATAAGCTACAGTCTGTCACGATTATGTCTGTCTGAGTCAGCACCATATTGAACAGATGTACCACTGGGTATGATCAAGTGTAGTAGGCGTTTTCCTGCATGTTTATCATATTCACAGAGCAGAAAGTTCAAAATTGAACCACAGAGGATCTTGTTTTTTTAGTTAAAGGGGTACAGTGATGAGATCAGCTTCATTAATGACTTGCCTGAGATGCCATGTCTATCAGAGTGTTCATGGGTAAATTGCTTCCCTCTGTTGTTTTCAGGTAATCCACAAGGCTGCCTGAAAATGACAATAAAGTTATGTTGCATTAGAAAATAAAATACTGATGTTTTTTTAAGAATCCAGATTTGTCCTAATGTTTGTTGATATTTCCCTCTGTTATTAACACTTTTATCCCTCAGAAATATAAATAGACAGAGGTGAACTAGAATAGCAGATCAAATCAGAGAACTATGAAGGAAGTACGCAGAGTATCGGTCAACATGATGCATGGTTTCCGACAGTTGACTGTGGGTTGAATTTGATTACAAAGAACAATACATCTGCAGATCAGCCAACCAAGTCAAACCAAAGGAAACACTTTAAGAGGAATGACCGTGCCAGGAAAGAGGAGGCCTTTGCTCCTCTGCTTAAGTCCGGAAGAGTACTTTTGAAGTCTGAGAGCCAGGAACGCTCTTTTCAAGGTCACAAAGGGAAGCTGGACCGACACGCCTGTTATTTTCTATCTTTGTTGTCTTCTCTCATAAAAAAAGGACGAATTGAAAAGATGGGAACTCCAAGCCATCTTTTCTCTTGACAAACAGAGGCTGCAATTGTGTCCTGTCCACACGTGGATCCCAGACAAAGAGACAGCCTCATGTAGGGCCACTGCTGGTGGTTTACAGGCCACACATACATCACCACACAAAGGCACTCCAGTCTGTGGTCAGCTGGATGGTGGCTGCTGTGTTTGTGACAGCATCTTTCTGTGCGTTTTGTGAGGTTCTTCTTTGTGAAAAATAATTACAAAGACTATAAGGGTAAAATGAAAACTACAGAGTATCCCTTCCATATGACTTTTGGTTAAGAGTATGAATTGTGCAGGGTGTATTTCCACAATGATTTGTCGTAATAAAACAATAATGAGAGAAATATCCACTTGCAATATACTGAACACACTGCTATTGTTAAAGACTGTTTACAACCACGACCTTATCGTGTTCAGGTATTTGTGCCCTGTGCATGTGACTGTGCATGTGTTTGTGAGCGTCTGTGGATGCATGTGCGTAATAAAGACACTGGAAAGGAGCCAAGCGTCATCAGGAGTGAACAATAAACTAGTGAGTCACCCTCTGCTGTTTTTACACCTCCCTGTCCTAGATGGGCCAGATTCAGACTTCCCCTCTGTGAGTAAACACCAGAAGCCTGTCTGGAGGGTTTCTGGAAAAGAAGTGAAAGTTCATGTTTGCTTTGAAATATTTTAGTGGAGTGGTGAATCCAGGAGGGTCATGTGGAGACGCTTAAAATAGCCTATCAGACGGCAGGCCACTTCAGCAGAGTAACATGCTTTGAGAGGCCGAGCTCATGTCTTAACTCCTCTGTTAGTTTAGCACTACTGCTTTCATCTACAATTACAAGAGAGGAGTATACTATAAAATTCAACCTTTTATTCTTTTACTTATAAAGCACTAATACATAGAGAGGCAGCCGTGGTTATGGGATGATTCAGCAGAGTCAAAGACACAAAAAACAAGTCTGAAAACATCACAACTTAGAGTTTTGTTTAACAGATCAACATGTTTGATCCTGAACATCTCTGGCATTGACTATGATACACCCTCTTTTTTATTTGCTCTGGGCACTGAGTTTGCCTTTTTTCTTTGGTGTTCAAGGTAATGGAGCAGAAGACTAAGGAAGAGGCTCAGTCTGACAAGTTAGGACATATTTCAGGTGATGAAACTGATCTACAATATGCTGGCGTGATTACACAAGAGTTAGTTTGTCTCACCTCATGGAGATACCCTCTTCCCTCAGCATTATACAGAGCCCTCCTTTGACTGTCTGCATCATGAACAAAATTCCCCAAGCAGGTGACACAGACCTTTCAGTCACTCTACCTACCATTTTCCATGTACTCTGTGACGATGTAGATTGGCTCCTGGGTAACAACAGCAAAGAGGCGCACAAGGCGTGGATGCTGCAGGTTTTTCATCATGTTGGCCTCTGCCAAGAAAGCCTCCACCGACATTGTGCCCATTTTAAGATTCTTGATTGCCACCCTTCTGTCATTATTGTAGATACCTGAAAGTAAATAAAATAAATAACAGGATTTCTATTAGGTTTTAATTTGAACAAGAGTCTTCGCAGCTTTGTTGATGCCTTACTAAGATCAAATAGTGTCTAATAGTGGAAAACGCAGACATAATCTAGACACCTGTACTCACATACTGATGTTTTAGAGCATTAGAGATGCAATAAGCATGTTACACTAATTGTTAAAGTGACATGGATGTGGCTGTAGAGGAAATGTTAGAGCTTAAAAAAATAATTAAAATTAAACCTTAGGAACATACTTCCCATAAAACCCAATATGTTACTGTGAAGGAGTGAATCTCAAAGTCACGTTATCAACAAAAAAAGTAGAATTCTTTTCTCAAAACAATGAACAATTAAACTGTTTCAACATTTGTCCAAGTTTAGATATAAAAGTATATTTTGGAGCTCCAAGGAGCTGAACTGCTGGTATGACAAAACATGTTTTGAAATGATTCTCACTTTTTGTCTCATGTAAAAGTGAACCAGGAGGAGCTTTCATCTCTGCTTGGTTGAGTTGTTGTTGGTCGTGATTAAATATGTGCTAAACTAACAACTGTTTCACATGACTGTCACACAACCAGGATATCATTCCAGCTCTGTTACAATAAAATCCACTTGTGTCAGCCAAATTTATACCATGCACCAAGCATTTCACACCATGAATGAAGGGAGAAATGATGGAGTCAAATGATACATTTCCTCATCTCATTTATCTGCTGTGGAAATCTCCTCGCCATTAAGGATGGTTATCATTTCTTTTCTATTCCAACCAAAAAATCACAACATTACCAGGCACATGACAGCCACTCACGATATTCAAGTTTGTTCTTGTTTGTATAATCCGAGAGAAACAAATACAGTGCCCAGAATACCTGCATTAAGATTCTGTAAACAGATAGAGTCTGTGAAAAGATCACAAGTTCCTTGGTCAGCTGTACAACAGTTGTGTATTTGTTGTATTGACTTGTGGCACAGTTTATTTCAACTGATACCCCTGTGATCAAAATATTATGCCCTCTTGTTTAACTTTATACTCTACAATAACAAAAGACAGTGTTGTAAATACAATACGAGTTGGATCTGTGACCTAACAGGAAGTAAAGATCCTTGTGGTTTGAGTGGTGTAGGATAACAGAGATATTACTTCAAATCAGTCTCCAGTGAACCAGCTCATACAAGCCTACAATTATAGTTTATTAAAAGAAGCTGTTCAGCAGGCATGGCAGAAAATGTCCCTAAATGCTTTGTAGCAGACAGTTTGGCCCACAATGTGACTCAGCAACTGGGTTTGTACATGTGAGGCACTTTTACAAAACAAGTTCCAACACTCATTTACAAAAAGCTTCAGTGTTTTTTTTTATATAATTTAAGAAATCAATGATATCCAATAACCTCCTTCCTCTAATTCTGATGATTTTATTCGTTTGTCTCCGCTGTCACTCACCCATCCAGACTTCCCCAAATTGTCCCGCTCCAAGTCTGCGCTCCAACTTCAGAGACTCTCGGGGGATCTCCCATTCATCCTGCCACCAAGGCTTCTGTGGCGCCCTGGATTGGCATGGCTTGGACAGCTTTGTGCACAACCCATCTGCATCGCCTGAATGACAGAGAGAGGAGGGACTGGGTTAAATTGATTCAAAGGAACACTTTAATGGCAATGTGCAAAACTGATCAAGAGGCTGTACACACGTGAGTGATGCTGCACAAGCTCTTTCAGCGAGTTAAAGGATATCTTGGCTGTGATGTAGAAGCCCCCATTGTCCATGTTGCGGATTCTGTAGTGCTTGACTCCCTCACCAGTATTGTGGTCCAAGTCCCTGATTGATAAGGAGTATGAACCTGGAACATTGAATAGAATGTGAAGTGATGAAGGTTTCTCCAAATATGGCAGAAAATTAAATACAATGCTCTGCAAATACTACAATTTTTCACTTAAGAGCTGAAAAGTCCAAAGGCACACTGTTAATTCTGATTGATCAGTCTGTTTAATTTCTTTTAGGATACCATACATCTAGCAATGAAGGGATTCCACTGTCTGTGCCATATTTCTAACAGGATCAATGGAATGAAAAAATATGTATTAACACATCCTAGAATTGGAGTGAAAAAGCAAAAGTGAAATCAAATGTAGACAAAGGGAGTCGGGGAACAGGAAGGGGGTTGTGTGTACTGTGTCTCATTTTTACAACTCTACCCTAGAGAGCAAGACGAAGTGTTATAATGGGTAAAAGTCATATTTGCATTTCCTGTCTTCTTAAGCAGATATGTTGTTAAAAAACGGTACATGAGAGCACCTCTAAACCAGCATATCAAACCATATCCAGACACAGTGATAAAAAAAAAAAACAACAACCTTGTCAAATTTAAACTTGGATCATGTGTAAAATGTTTAACATGACTGAAAGAGGATTTCACCTGGGGTTGTTTCGCTCTCTCGAATCAGGAAGGAGCCCTGTGTATTCCCAGGAGCGAGAAGGAGCCTCATTGCTTCATTTCTAGAAATGTTCTTAAAGAACCACCTGCAGCACAAACATACAACATGCTTCATACTGTGAGCTAACCACTTCCCTTCCTCCAGCGACACACCATGCTGTTTAAAATGGTTCTGAGGTTGTGTAACATGGAGGTAAGAGATATGTGTGCATGTTTCCTGTATGACGTACGGTTCAGTCTCCACTGTGGTCATTGCAACAAAGTTGTATGGGATGTATCCCTGCTGGCCCGTGGTGAGAGATTCTGCCAAATACCACTCGGGATCATCCCTGGGTGTCAGAAAAGACAAGTAAGTTAACATGTCTGTGATGCTTCAAAGCAGTAGACCTTTTTGGATGAATTAGTGCACCTTCAGAGGGCAGTTTCAAGGAGACAGATAGCTGCTTTGCAATAAAAACAAAAAATAAAAAAACATTAAAAAAAACAAACAAGTTATTAGTGTCAGGTCAGAATTATCAGAAGACCTGCTCATTGATTAATTAAAATAATAATAAAAGCAATACATCCTACATTGCTTGTTTAACCTCAGATCCCCTGAAAATAGCATCATTTAATACCAGGTTTTTTAGGGTTTAATAAGGATTTTATCAACATTATTCTTCATTTAGAAAACAGCATCTAAAAGGGAAATTGTTGTAAAAGCACCAAACAAATGGGCAATTTTCTGAGCATTTAACTAAATGTCACATAAAAATGTTACCATGTAATTAGTATATTCTTCCATTTGCATTTATTTACACATATCTGCCACCCTAAAAAAACATTTTATTAAAAAATATTGAAATCAACCAAAACATGAACAGAAAACAAACAAACAAACAAATTAATTATTATTATTATTATAAAAATAATAATGATAATAATAATAATTCCCTCCTAAAACTTAAGGGTTTTTATGGTCATGACATGGTCAAATTTCCAGAAAACCCTATCTGCCAAAACCGTGATTGATCGATTAAAGTAAAATCCCATTTGAGCTTGCATTGCTGCACAATCAACTAATCTCCTCTCTAAGATTTTCTTATTTTAGAGTAATCATTTTTTGTTTTATTTGTTGGTAAAACCTTAATACCATTAGAGTGTTATTTAACTGAACGCAACATACATCTGAGAACAACATGAGCAAATCTCTAAACAGAAGGCATGAAGTAGCTAAATGGCAAAAACCACTTAATTCTTTTTTCATGTATCAATATATGACATTTTTTACTTTTGACTTTTAAGGGACAGGAAACACTTGGTATGATCGGGGGCGTGTAATCTCCCCAGTCAGATATGTCCTAGCATGCTTGTGTGTCAGACCACTGGCTCACATAAGAGATTCAGGTTTTGTTCCTAAAGCTGCAGGTGACAGTTAGCATGGAGAGTAAAGATGCAGAGGGGTTCTCTGCACTCAAGAGAGTTTAACACACACAATGAAAGGCCTGAAATAAATGAATACACTATGTTCAACAAAATTTTAACTATATACAGCTGATATGTAGGACACCTGTGTGTCAAGGGATAAAAAATCCCCTAAAAAGCACATTAGAAATGGTGATTGCATGCAAACTTTGCACTATCCTCACATATTTAAATCTGCAGGTGCACCAGAAGCTCAGCTGCTGTTTGAAATCTGCATCTGAACTGGAGTATTTGTTTTTTACTGTAGAAGAAGAGAGTTAATTACAACAAAACTACTCAAAACTGTAATTTCACTCTGTTACTAGGAGACCAGAACCCCCTCTCCCCAATTATACTGTAGATCTAAAAATAAATTTGCGGCTACAAACTGTGTTCAGGCTGGAGTAAGATTAAATTGAACATAATAGCAGAATCGCAGTAATAAAGCTGTGTGTGTGTTTGTCGAAATCTCTTGTCTAGTTTGCCCCGTCAATGTTTCAGCCCCGCCCATCGTCAGCAACAACAAGCTGTGTTCACCGCCTGCCTCCATATTCTGCTTCACACAGCTCCGACAGCTGGTATGATTTAATTTTTAATTTTAATTCCCTTGAGGGAACATCCCCAAAAGGATGAATTAAGTTTATCTAATCTAATCTAATGGTTAGCAGCTTACTTGTTGAGAATTTTGAGTTTGTCTCCCTTCTCAAAGCCCAGGTCACCATCATGGTTGGGTTCATAACTGTATATGGCCACCACAAGGTTGTCTGCAAGAAGACATAGACATAGTTTTAGGATTTAAAGTAGAGCACATTGAAGGTGTCATTTACAAATAAAACAATGCATCTACATATCTTAAGACAAGTTCAGTTATTGTGCTATAGGCTGTGAATGAAATAACATTTTAAGAGAGTAGACGTGTACTGGAAAGCCTTTGTAAATTTGTGTTGGTTGTGATAACAACTAAATCTGATTATGGTTTTGTCAAACTTAGTTTGTTTTATTCAATAAAGTACACTAAACAGTTCAAGAACACCATAATATTCATACACTCATACAATATCTTGCAAGCAATACAGGAAATTGGAAATGTTCCGAAGGAACGGACATGGAAAATGCCTAATGGTAAATTTTACGACTGTAGAAAAAAAAATTATACTTGGAGGATTTAAGCTAAACCACTATGATGACAAAGATTTTCAGCTTGCAAAGCCAATGGCTCAAATTAGGATAATAAGAATTAGAAAAAATTCATGACCATGGATTGAACTAAAGTTAATCTAACTTAAGTTAAAGGGAAAAAAAATACAGATCTGTTTCCTTGTGTCTTAAACATAATTCTCCTATCAAGAAGACAAGTCAACATTAAAACAATAGGTAGATTGAATAAACACTTTTTTCTTGATATTATACTTTTGTATTCTTTTTTTGCAAGTGTAGAAACTAAAATCACATTTTCTATTTTCCCAGAATTTTATCTGTGGAAATATAAATGCAGTGACACTTGTATCTTTGACACATTCAAACATATTTAGGAAAATAAAATGAATTCCATCACCTGGTAGAGGAGATGTAGGAGGGGAATACTGTGCTGGCATTAACTGGGCTGTGTACTGTGAAGAAAAACAAGATCAGACCTGCACTTAAAGTTCAGCTTTCCAAAGAACCATAGCAGATTAAAAGAAAAAAAAAGGCAGTATCGCATTTCCTATTCACAGTAAAGAACCTTTCTGGATTATTACGCAGATTTACCAATGGAAAGTATTTTTTTGTTCTTAGACACAATGTCTAAATGTACTGTGATGCCCACATGTGGTTTTCTCCTTTATTTCTTATCCGTCCGGACATCATACTTCCAAAGAGGAAACAACAACAATAAGAGAAGAATTACACATCATTTATTTCAGCTCGTACAATTTCCTCTGCAGTTTTAACACATATCGAGACTCTGTTCCATGATTGCATTTCCTAGTTTTCTTGGTAATGGCTGTGTAACAAAAATAACATGAAATGAATTGGGGGAGCTTGTGTAATGCTGACACCCCCCTCACTTGTGACAGAATGTTTTTTTTTTTTCTCCAAGTGGTCAGTCACATTCAGCCACAGAGGAAACCCAAATCTATTCATGTCAAGCTCATTGACTTTGCCATCAATGTAAGCATCCAAACTGTTACAAATGTCTATGTAAACAGTTGAAAATATAAATGTAAATGAAATACCTTGAAACTTACTTGATTGCATGACTGTGGTGGTATGGGACAGTTGCAGTGCTCACAGATTTCATCCAAGTTCTCGATCCAGTCGCTGTCCGAATAGTCCGAACTACAGTTACATCCCATCTTTTCTGCAAAGCACAGCGGCAATCTATTTTGAAAGATGTTCTTCAGGCACCAGAGCACTCAGTAAATAATGAACCTTTATTTCTTTAAAGGCTAATGTAAAGGCATTTTTCACCTGCATCTTGAACAAATATCGTGTACCTGAATTAACTTCTCAACAACTCTGTTTCAAAACAAAGTGTACTGCAGTAGAAATTACAGTAAATCAAATAATAATAATAATAATAATAATAATAATAATAATAATAATAATAATAATAATAATAATAATAACTTTATTTGTGTAGCACTTTAAAAAACAGATGTTTACAAAGTGATTTGACCTGTAGTCATAGAGCACATGGAAAAAGACGAATAAAAACAAAAAGCTCAGTAAAAACGGAATTGAAGGCCATTTTCATGTCATAAGAAACCCAGACAATACAAGAGCCATGCAACATAAAATGTGACCATGCAATACTGTGATAAAACAAAATCTAAAATTTAGGCGATGATTTTTGAATTTCAGCTCTATTTTGAATGACAGTAACCGGAGATACTAAGTTATATTTTCCAAAAAGTGCTCTTTCCGGAAATGACTGAAGGCTTCGCCTCAAAATGGAAGCTCCGTGATGAAACCCAGAACCCCACAAATATAGACGCTTGTGTATTACAGTCTTTTTTTATTCCATAAGTATTCATACTAGGTCAATAGAATTGAATATATTTCATCCACAATTGTTACAAATGACATATCAAATGCATTCATTCCCATTCCGTTTTAGAAATGAAAAGCAAGCTTACGGAAACCGTGCAAATTCTAATCTAATGTAATCCATCGTTTGCACGTGCTCTGCATTGGGGTCTACTGTGGTGTACAAACCAGCTTTCTCAAGCTCACTTGGCTCCCACTGGAACTCTCATGGAACAGGGTCAGTGGGCTAATCACAGCAGCCGTCTGTCCCAAAGGCTCAGAGCCGTGAGAAAAATCTGTGGACGCCTGACCCGGCAATAACAACCCACCACTGTACTGAAACCCCGAGGAACCAATAACAGCAGGATCACTGGGGTATGAGGAGCTTTCTTTATTTTTCAATGATCATCGCTGCTACGCCTACTGGTCAGCTCTCAGGGAGTCACACAGAGTCAGCATTTTCCATTGAGGGGCTGCCCTCTGCTTTTTATGATCTGCTGCTGAAGGCCTCTCCAAAAGACTGCAAACCATTGTTGTCATTTGCAAAGTATTATGGGTATGTAGATGGTGGAACTGATCTGAAAGAGTAACTGAGGACATTTGGCATTTTTTAATAAATTTTTGATGGCAGTAAAAGAAAGTGGACATGCGCTTTTGAGCCTTTGTGAGTTAAATTTGAGTTGGTTGTAACATTAAAAAGACACAGTTCTGTGAGTTGTTTCACTCATGTGCATCAAACTGTTTTCTATCATTACTGTGAAACATAAAAGGAGCTCTCTAAAGCTCAAGACATTGGATTTAGATTTTTTTTATGGGCTGCTACTGAAGGTCTCTCCAAAAGAGTGCTAACCATTGTTGTCATTTTTTTAAGTATTATGGATATATAAAGATGAACTTGATCCTTTTAGAGGAGAAAAGAAACATCTCTTACATATCTCTTACAACTCAATACTTTTATGGGTTGCAGTGGAACCACAACAATGTCTCATATCCCAGTGTCTTGATAGAGAACGTATTTAAACTTTACTTATCTTCATTAACATTAGGTCAGGAACAAGGACATGTTTGTGTCAACTGTGTTTTAACAAATCCTTCATCAGTGGAAATTTGGTTTTAATTTTATGCAAAATGAATAATAATATCAAGTATATTAAAATCTTTGATATATATCTTTTGAAATACTTTTATACTGACCGTATTTTACCATGACAATGCAATCTTAAAAAAGAAAAGGTTGTGAGTATCTGTTTTTAAATCATAAACAAAAGGTATACAAAAAAAATACACTCAATATTTGAAGCTGGCGAATACATTTAGATGTCAATTTTAATATTGTCCATTTATTAGTTCACTTCCAGAGTAAAGTTTGTTCAACAAAGATGTCAAAAGATTTTACCCAACAACATTAAACGATCTCTCTGATTCACAAAGCATAGTATATACAACACTGATAATGAAGAAATGAACTTTTTCTATATACTGTCACCTTTTCTTCAACATTACTTTCTCGTTCTATGTCTCACAAAGGGTTAAACTTACCTCTATAAATGTGAAATGTCACTTCAATCATCCAGTAACATCAGTTTTTAAATGCTGCCATCCAAATGTTCTTTATCTAAAAGTTATTTCCCTTAAAGAGGCTGTGAAGATCATCGTCTGCAGCTATTATCATGACCAACTCAACGCCACAATGCTGGTGTGTGACTATACACACACACATGCAAACACACAGTTTTAGAGGAGCTGAGGTGAGCAACCCAGTGAGTTTCCTGTCGTTGAAAGGTTGAGGGTTGCTCTATAGGCTTCCAACAGGTGCTTTACCATGCAGCTGTGTGTGAGCAGGGGAAGCGTTAGTCAGTTAGCACCTTTCCCAAAGTGGGAGCTTAGATGCAAATGTTCCAAAACAGTTCCACGACAGTGGCAAGCTTATGTTTGTATAAATTTGTGCCACTTTTGTGTTAAAACATCTGTGAGTTGGTAACCTTTGAGAAGATAAAGCCTATAACCAGCATACACACCAGCATATAAAAGATTTAAGACAGATTTATTCTCTATTTAGCTGTATAGGATGAGGCTATTTTTGTAAGTTTAAAATGTGGTTTGGGTGCTAGTGACCAACAAACTATTTTTAAGAGACCTCAGCCTCAATTTTATCAACAAAACACGTGGGTGAAAAAAGAACAGAATTGATGTCAAAGGGGAAAAAAGAAAAGATCTCTGTCAATTAATTAACCATTTGACTTGTTGGTATCTTTACCAAACCTCTTTCTTAAATGAGGTCTGCAGTACGCTCGCATACAAACAAGCCACTAGGATTGGTGACACACTCTAAGCCTATGCTGCTGCGTTTTCTGCCTGTGGGCCAAATTGCTTCACTTGTGGTGAACAGCTGCTGCAGCAGAGCATGCATGGGCAGGAAGTTAGTCCAAACCTTACAGGAAGTGCACAGAGATGTGTACACAGAAGACTACTGCAGTACGGATCAAGTGTCATCTGCAATAAAACCACCTTGGCTCAGTCTTTTTCCATTTACATGTATATGAGTTTGTCAGTCTTGAAGGGTGTCTAAGTAGTTTCACTTTTATCTTTTAATGTGATATAAGTAGGTTATCCTTTTCAAAAGAACAAAAGAGAAACACAACATTTATTTGATTTCTGAAGGCAAAATCAAATCAAATTCTTCATTCATAAGAATAGTTCCACCGTCTTTTGACAGACTTTTACAGGGTATTCCTAGTTCCCTTTAAGGCCAAACTGTTACTACCCCCAAAGTGGTTGGAAATCACATTCTATTGTGCAACCATTACGCATTCAAACACAGATGTTATCAAAATGCATAGTTTTCCAACCCTTTTACCCCTCCTACCACCAGCTCCACAATGCAGGTGCTGGCCTCCATAAAGTATTCAAGTGCAGTGTAGGTTTCCTTTTCTTCTTTTGCTCTCTTCTTTTTTGCTGATGCGTGTTCATCCACTACAGTGAAGTCTTGAAACAAACCAGATACCAGTTCAGTCTCAAAGCAAACTGGGTATACATTTGCTTTATGTACACTCCTCCATCAGTTTCTGCTCATATGACATGTGATACGACGATACAGGGGAAAGGTTGAGGGAAAGTATCTGCAGGGCAGAGTGGAGTGGTATGAGAAACAATAGTCTGCAGTGTTTAATGATAAAAGCTCTCACTGGATAAAGCCTGAAGTTATTAAACTATGCCTCTTAGCATTTCCCACAAGATACTTGCTTCAACGATAAAAGCCTGACAGCACCTATGAGGTCACCCATGTCCTGAAGTGTGTCACATTGTGAGCGTCTCAGCACTTCTAGTTGTGCTCTGGTTTCACGCAGCGACTGCACTCTGCTAAAGCATATTTGGTTTCGTGTTCGACTAATTATGTCGAACAATGTGTTTCTTCACAGCCTTCCAGGACCTCATTCATATGTTTAGATTTCACACCAGGTCGTGGATGTTTTGTGGACAAAAGAAGAGACTATTGTACAGGATGGCCTCAAGACTAAGGGCAGATAATGGTTTAGTCTATTTAGTCTAAATTGGAACAAGGTTGATATTGGTTTGAGCTTAAACATAGGATCAATCAATAAACACACATCTGTAAGCAAAATTATGAATGAAATGAGATTTGTTAGTGGTATAAAGTGAAGTTTCTTTACTATTGTTTTGCAATTTACATTTAAAAGCATTGTTCGTATTCACTTGTCATGCAGACATGTTAAATTTACAGTAACATTGTTTGAATATATACACAGTGACAAAAAACGTATAGATGTTTGTTTCTGTTAATTACTAATTAAACAGTAACAATAAATGTAAAATAAAAATCTTTTAAAAATTGGCTCCCCCTCCTATCATTGCCTCTGTAAAGTTGAATTATTAGGCATTTCACTTGTCTTGCAGTGGACCATAGAGCTTTAAAATACACTTGGTCAACATCCAGCCTTACATGGTTACTAATCTTTACTCTGTAGCATCTAAACGTGGTCATGGAAAACACAATAAATCAGGTATTACCTCCTGGATCCTGTTATAGCAGTGACAAGGCTGAGGGGATATTTTTGGTTCATGAAGAGGTGCAAAAAAACAGAGTAAACCCACACTCAATCAACCAAGTATACATATATATTTTTACAGTGTATTCTCTTTAACTGACAGCAAGAAATGCCATTTCCATATTTATGACACATGCCAGATTTCCATATGATGCAAAGTATCCAAACATTTGTACACCTTATGATATCTCAAGAATGGATGGATGTCTCCTTGCAGCCCCTTGTGAGATTTGTTTGAACTTTTAACCATATTTAATTTTATCCTGATCATTTCTTCATCGTGGAATCCCCTTCAACCAAACTAAAAAGTTACCTTCTGTAACCAGGAATCTCTCTCTTCCAAAGTAAGCTGCCTCTCATTTCTGAATCAATTTCCTGTCTCTTTTGTACATAAAATACATGTAAATCTTTGTTTTCATACCAAACCTGTTGGTGTCTAACAGTAAACATCACACCCTTCTCATCCGTCTCAAGATTTAATCTCCTTAGTCCCTCTTGACAGCCAGCAGAAGAGAAGAGCAGGTCAGGTCCACCATATAGGTGTGTTGATGTTAGGGGTGTGTTTCCCAAAAGGTTTGCACACTACCTCTTTCTTGTGTATCTACATCAAGCCAAGGTGAACATTGAAGGAGTATTTTATTTGCATTTGAGGCACCAATAGCCTCAAATGTTCATTCTATTGCCTAAATGTCAAGAAAAGAGAGATGAAACACAATGTGTTGTACGCAAAGACTGGGGTCTCAACACAAGGAGAAGCGCCTGGAGTTAATGTTCATCTTGGTAAGGCCCAGATGTTTGAGTGGGGTGGACAGAGCGAAGGCGGCCTTCATGGGGATGTCACACAGCAGGTCTGACTCCTCGTCACACTCCTCCAGCTCATACGTTGCATCATCCAGCATCTCTTTGTGGCGATGGCACACCTGCTCTATTTTCAAGCGGTGGATCTCCCCACGTAGGCTGATCAGCTGACGGGCCAGATGGTTGTCCTGGACCTGCATGTCCCGCTGAGGAGCAGAAGCAAGGAAAGGGGGTATGGATGGAAAGTTAAGGAGAAGTTCAGTGAGATGCCAGAAAATGTTTGGAGGTCTAGATTAGGATATTCCAACTCTACATTTGTTAAACAGATGACAGTTCATCCAAGTGTGCAGTAAGCTGGCTTGTGTAAAATAAGCACTCAAACCTGATATGTCAGGATCATCACACTTGAATAAACTGTGTTAAGTCAGTGCACTATAACTAAGTCAGACATTCATGGAGAGCAGATAAAGAAGAGTGGCATCTAGCCTCTCTTATCCAAGTGGAGGTGTTTGAGGAAGAGAAAGATCATTTTCATGTGACGTTATCAACGCTTTCTGCATAGAAACATAGAAACAGAAACTTTTTTCAAAGAGATCTTTCATTGACAAAAAAATAAAAAAATAAAAAAGGGGTTACTTACCAGCTCTTTTCTCAGGAAGTCCAAAGCATCATCAATAGTGTCAAAGCCACAAATGTTGCGGACAACCAACTCGGAGTTCTCATTCCTCAGAGTCGCGGGAATAGAAACAGGTTTTCCTCCAGATCCCTCGCTGTCTGCGGAATAACTCTCCTTCCATGATCGACTCTGCACCCGCTCCTGCCACTCCAGATAGGACGGTCTGCGGGTCTGCAGCTTTAGCTTCTCTGTAAGTGCTTTCACGCTGTCCAGGTCCTCTGTCTCCCCTTCTTCGGAAGACTCCCCTCCGAGCTCTTTAAAATCCATCGGCGCCGTGATGGGAACAGTCCTTAGAAATGCGCCGAGGTTGGCTCGGTGGATTGGCAGCTGAGCCGTGAGAGCGCAACAGGTCTTCACCTCCTTTATATGGAGATGAGACGCAGTGACCGCCCATCCTGCAGGGGACATAGAGGCTGGATATTAATTCAAGCCATTAGATGACAGATATCAAGGTAGCCTACTCTAGTTTCTTATCATTGAGCTCTAAAGTCTCACATTGGAGATGAAAAGTCACGCAAAATGAAGTCACAAGTTGAGATGAGATAGCTAAATTTGTGAAATAAAAAGAAATAGTGATACTTTGAGACACAATTCGAGGAAAAAATTGTTAACTTTTGACTTTTAACCCCATAACTTATAATTTTGATCTCCTTTTCAGACTTTAAGATGTCATGGTGTCAACATTTTTTTTTAAATCTCAAAACTTTTAATAATTTCCTTGTAATTTGGGCATTTTATCTTATTGTCCTGAGTAACTAATACACGTTCAATGTTTTATTTACATAGACTTTTATCTCTTAGACTTCTTATGTCATAATAATGATTTCACATTGTGGATTTTCTAGACTAAAGCCACTTCTCAAGTGTTTATTTATCTAGTTTTTTTTTTTTTTTAAATGTTGGTGGAAATGTTTTTTTCTTGTGATAAAAAGAAGTGAATGAATGATATCATATGACAATTCTGCTCAATAGAGACACATTACAGTGTGGGTCCTGTCATCTCATCAGAGGTTCAAGGTCATGGAAGACTCTTTCTAATATGATGATGGTTAACATCTCTCGTACCCATGTGGGTAATTAGCTAATCTGAATATTTTGGCACTTGCATTCATTTACAAAGGCTTTGTTCAGGACAAAAAAAGTCAGGGTGTCTCCTGACCCTGTTGAGGTGCTGATGATTCAGGATGCTCTTCATCTTTACTCTGCAGACCGTTGCTCTTAATTTGTCCATCCGTATTTAATAGAGCACATTAAAGACCCAAATCTTTTTACCCTGCTCATCCTTTCAGAGATGCCGTTATGGTTTGGGTTGTTTTTCTCATGACACCAAATAGAGCAGCTCATACGCAGACAGAAATAGGCCTACTTAAGGACTTTCAAATATCCATAAGCCTCTGCAAACTTGAATTTTAATTTCTCTATAAAACTTACCCTGAATGAAAACTTGAGCTAAATGCACAGATGCCAGATAGCAAATTTACATAAAATTGTTAACACAGGCAACTCTAAACCACTTTAACGGTATTATTAACCAGTTGCAGCAAGGCTCTGAAGTCATTGTTTTCTTAAGTTATCTGTAGGCTTGGAGGATAAAACCCATTCATGTTTCTTCTCACGGGGTCCTGCGTCAAGATGGAGCTAGATTGGTGTGCTCATGGGGACAGACTAAAAATTTGAACAAAAATTAAGCAATACAACAAATTTTCAAGAGTAAGGAGAACAAAACATTCAAAACTATCTCTAATTTCCTTGATCCCCTCTCAAGTATGGAGATTTCAGACTCATGTAGTAGAAAAGTCGTGTGAATTTTTCAAATGGAAATGAGGATTTGAACTGATTATGAAGGAAAAATGTAACTACAGCTGTGATCCTGTGAGGAAATAATTGGCTTTAAGGCAAGATCGCCTCACACCAGAGGTTATGCAATAGCCTTTGCCCTTCATACCCTTATATGAGTTAAATATAACCCTTTGTCTACAGTGTACCAACAGAAAAAATAATATTAGTGCAAAACCATTTGCATTGTTTTTTGGATTGGTTTGTATTATTATTATTATTATTATTATTATTATTACTATTATTTTGTTATCTGATTAGTTTTAAAGATTTTACCCCTCGGTTTAATCAAGAGAATGGGACAAGCATTGAAAAACAACTTATTTTGTTGAGAGGGGAAAAGGTCATCCCATTAAATTCTTGCAGTTTAATTTTGTCTTTTTTTTTCATTCTTGTGAGGAAAAATAAGTTTCCTCAATATCATCGGTATATTTAATAAAAAGACGGGAAAACACTCAAACCTATACCTCTGGTGTCTCATAACTTCCTGCAGAGATTGTGTCAAATGAATGCCTGGCGTAATTTTAAAAGCGTTGGACGCCATCTAGCGGACAGGCGCCACATTGCATCTAGATTTGCGGGATCAATAACGTATAATATCTGTCACGGAGGCACGAGTCTCCCTAACTTTGAAGAAAATATTGAATTTTGTCCAAGTGGTACGAGTAGCCTAGCTATTATTCATTTCTCTTTTTTGTCTTGTTAAAAATAATAATAATGAAGTATAAATATGTAAAAAGCAGTTAAAAGTTGCATTTATTTGGCGTGATAGTAGCCCACATTTAGGTCAGCAGAATAAAAAACGAGAACAGAAGCTGTTGTTATGTAGCTCGGTAAACTTCTGAGGCTATTAACAAGGAAATTGTAGTTTCGTTTCTCTTACCTGTCCTAGAAAAAAAAAAAAGAATCTCAAACGCTGATGAATGTGTTGCCATCTGGTGGTCATTATTTTACACTGCAGAATAAATGCCACTGTTTCCTCTCACTCTCTGAAGGGCGCAAAACTTTCACAAACGATTTGTGACACAATTCAGAGTTGCTCTTTTTCAGGAAACGTACACTTCCGCCCTCTGTCTCCTGGGTTAACGCTTCTCGGGTGAAGCCAGGTCCCCGTTTGAGAGTGGGTTTAGCTTTCTCGATGTCTGTTTTTGTTCAGAAAATGGAAATCTAATTATAGACACTTTATCGTTGAACAAACAGTGCACAAGTGCGCTGTGTGTTGCCTTCTCACAGACCACCGAGGAGGTTTTTCTTTCTTTTTTTCTTTTTTTTCATTTCATGAAAGGCAAAGACGAGATCAACTGTGCTTTTATACTTCTGTGCAGGCTCACTTGTGCTGCCAAGGGATTTGCTTAGTGACGGGGAGTTGATGGAGTTTTCTGAACACATCAAAACCGCTAATTTGGAGGATGTTGTCCTCCGACAGCCGCTGCACCCTCCGAGTAGAGGCACCCTGTGCATCACCGGCCACCACCTGCTCTTCTCGGACAGAGAGGAGGGCTGCTCCCGGCAAGTTTTACTGCTCCTCAAGAACATCGATGCCATTGAGAAAAGGTGAGAGTGGAGAGCTGTGCATCTCTCTAGTAAAAAAGACGATTAACCCTAGAAGACTATCGCTAAAATTAGTAACACCATTACTATCACCGGGTGATTTTTCCATAGATATACCCAACAAAAAGTACTTTTCATCAAAATATATTCAAATAGGACAACACATGACAAATTAAAGTAGTTTTCTTTTATTTTTAACTGTGCAATGTCCAAAGGAAGGAAAAAGTGCGATAAAAATGCAACAAAATAACTGAAATAAGGCATTCAAGAACAAAAAATTACAAAAAAATATAGAAACTGTAAACTTAGTTTCTTTTCCACCCATTCCTGGAGCATGTGAGTCTTCCCTGGTGAAGACTCAGGGTCCTTGGCACAATAACAGCTGCAGGAGAGAGAGTGAGTAAAAATGACCAGCTGACTAAAATATTTCTTATCACAATATGAACTCCCTTGAATATGACTACTTTGTGATAGTGATTCATAACACCTGCGCTAAATAAAGATAGCATGCAAATTCCAGGACCACTACTGACCTTATTCGCCTACATACTGCTATTAAATCCACACAAACCTACTTTACCCTCCATCACTATTGCCGGGTGAAAAAACACCCGAACACATGCCTGTAGGAAAAAAGCAAAACAAATATGCCTTCAAAGATGTCAAAGGCAATGCTGAAGCTACCCAGGGACCCATGATACTCAGACAAATGCAACATAATGAAAATCACATAAACATGTTTGGTCGGGTGAAAATCTCCCAGCGATGGTGTTCTAGGGTTAACAACTAAATAAATGGAGATAACAATGACAATCATCATCATCATAAAATCATTTCACATGATTTCTCCAACATTTTTCATGGTCTCATTTTTTCTCTTACTTGGACCTGACTTAATCAATGATCCCCCTGATCTGATCAACATTAATGAAGTCTGTTCTGTTCCTGTTTATTCTCCCATGTCTGGTTGTATAATGTCTAACTCCCATGTTCCCCAAATCTTTTTGACCAGTGTGGAAAATCTTTCGGCCTATTCCGGCCTCTTCTCTAATGCAGACTGCAGTAAAAGGTTGGATATACTTTGTGTTGCTGTGTTTCCGTTGTTTGCTGCTTTTATGTCTGAAGGAGATCTAACATTTGTCCCCAAGACCCCAGAACCACCTTGTATCTCAACACCGTCCACACATACATGCTGTTCTGTGTTGCTTGCTTCTAACAACTACTTCTTTCAGCCTCAGCATTGCAGGCCACTTGATATGTCTTTGTCAACAGTTGACGGTTTCACAGAGAGAAAAAGCCACAGCATAGCTGACTGGGTTTGCCTGTCTTTGTGCAAGTCACACATTCTGCACTGTCAAAATGTGTAGTGGACATTGTGGTGTGTTTTTGTTTTCTTTTGTTTTGGACAAGAGTCGTGATGAAGTTTGTTTTTCAGCACATCTGGATCTTCAGGGACTATAACCATCAAGTGTAAAGACTTGCGTGTGCTCCAGCTTGACATCCCAGGCATGGAGCAGTGTCTAAACATTGCATACTCTATTGAGGTATTAATAACCTTCCTAGGCCTGTAAACACAGATAAAAACAGTATTTCTCTTTTCACAATACTCAATACATTTGCTGTTTTTCTCCTTGCCTCTAAGTAGGTTTTACATCTAATAAAGTTTTCTTTCTCTAGACCCTGTCCTGTCTGGACTGTGCCACCGAGATGTATCCTTTCTTTTACAGACCGTCTGACTTTGGCCTGCAGGAGCAGTGGGGTCTCTCTTCCCCTGAAAAGTACTACAGTCAAATGAAGGAGCTTGTAAGTAAGACATGAATCTGTGTATCCGGTAAACCTGTTTCTACTGTGCAGGAATGTGACCCAACACACATAAAACATGCATGAACTGAGCTCGCAGTCACAGTCGCACTCGCACAGGCAGCGTGTCCTAACAATCATATGACAGAAAAATGTCAGGAAAACAAAAAAGTAGGGGTGAGGATCCAGGATATCCTCGTTGCTTGGCTTGTATTTGTTTTGCCTGAACTCCAGAATGTGCTGCACTCAGCTTATATCGTTACTTCATAGACATATGCCTTCCTTTTGAAAATAGCGTGTTGCTATGGTGAAAGGTCGACCCCAGGGGTTGCTCTGTTCTGTGTTTTATGGACTTCGTGTTCCCAGTGCAAGCTGTCCAAAGCTGAAGTTGTTAGTCCTTAGCTCTGAAGAACCTGCATGGAGCTTAAACTATCAATATCTACCATTGATTTGTAACAGTCAATACTTATTAAAGATTGCATACTAGCTTCTCCAGAGATTACTCAAGAACATCTTGTCTTTTTGTTTGATTCGGGCCTGTTGAATGATTTTCTTTTAGAAAGGACATATTTTAAAGGATGGATCTGAAGTGATGTATCCCCCAATATAACACAGCTTTTACATTTTCCCAGAGAAATGTCAGAGAGGTGTTCAGAGAGTTTACTTTTAATTGTTTTGCCAGATTTCCATTAGTCTTGATGACATGCGAAATCTGGATAGACGTATGTTGACTGTGTTGTAGATGAGGTATAGGAAGTGTTACAGTGTGTATGTTTCTGATGATCGCATTCCCCTGTAAACATAGGTCTAGGAGAGGTGAGGACAGAGAACACACCAAACAGCATACCAAAAAAATGGGGTGAAGACATAAAGACACAAAAAGTGACAGTGTGAGATATGAGGAGCATTTAAGATCCTGCGTCTAGTCTTTGTTCCTTTTCAGTCTTGCAAAAGTTTACACAATCAGTAGAGCCAAAGATTCAGTTCATGGTCTCTGAGAAATTGCTTGGTCATTTATTACAAAATTGATATCTTCTGTTTTTTAGAAAAGCACCATAGGCATCAGTGGTCCAGACTTTTACAGTTTTCTGACACTAACTTGTACAATTCTCTGTAGGACCTGTAAACCAAGGAATTCTAATTCTAAGAGAAGAACATTGTTGTTTAGATTATTATCAATAGAATAATTAAACACCCTCATGCATTCAACACCTCTTTTATGTATTTATACTCCCTCAAATCTGGTTTTCTTTCTTTCAATCATTCAATCTTTTTATACAATGGAGTAGCACAAAGTGCTGTACACATGGAAGAATACAAAAGTAAGAAGAATACCCAACCCTACCCCACCCCATCCCAACCTCACAAACTGAACACAACAGTGGGAAGTTAAAAAGTGCATTGAGTGGTCCGATAAGAGAGCTGTACGAGTTCAAATTTGGTTATCAGGTCTATTTTGTGAAAGCAGGAATATGCACACTGAGTAAATGCCATCTTAAAATTCAAAATGAGGAAACACTGGCAGTCAGTTTAAAATCTAATTTAAAATGAAATTTAAGAAACAGCAAATTTAAGTGAAATAAAAAAGAAGAAAGAAAGATATGAAGATAAGAGCGCCTAAACCGCTCAGTAAAACTGTATACAATAAGTCTAATACACATAAAGAGAATAGGATAAAATGCTAAAAGACAATTCTAAGATTTAATCTAGAGAGAGATAAAAGCTAAAACACTCAAACACAATTCAGTTAATGAAACAAATTTTGTTGAAGGACAGAATAAAGAGGTAGGTCTTGAGTTGGCGTCTAAATGTTTGTGTTGAAAATGAAGTTTTGACGTCTGTGTCTCAGCAAGAAAATAAATGCAACCCTCAAATACAAAACTCTTTTTAAACTCCCCATTCAGTCATTTCTTAGGTGAAGTTTACTCTTGTACTTGAGTGTGAGCACTTCTAATCATATGAAATAACAAACCATGAAGATGAATCATGAAAACTGTTCATTTGCACACTAGAAAGTTAGACTAACCAAAGGAAGATCTGCCTCCTGTAACTCCGGTGTCTCTACTTGAGCTGTAGTGAACAATCCAAAGTTTTGAAGGCAGTATTGAATCATCCTCAGACATCATTTATGTGTCCCTGTTAATTCTTTTCATGATTTTCCATCTACTCTATTTGCAGCATGACAAATGGAGACTAAGCACTGTGAACAGGGACTATTCAGTGTGTCCCTCTTACCCTCCAGCTGTCATTGTCCCCAAGAGCATAAATGATGACTCCCTAAAGAAGGTGGCTAAGTTCAGGCAAGGAGGACGCTTCCCTGTCATCTGCTATTACCACAGGAAGAATGGCATGGCAAGTCTCTTTTGAATGAAACTCAACCACAAGGCTACAATTCATACAAACAGATTATTAACTCCCATCAAACTTTAACTTTTCAGGTCATAATGCGCAGCAGTCAGCCACTGCCAGGAGCTAATAGGAAGCGCTGCAAAGAGGACGAGGACCTCCTCCAGGCTGTGATTCATGATTCAGACAAAGGTTATATTATTGACACACGCTCCAGTCAGCAGGCGATGCAGGCTTTGATGACAGGTGGAGGATTTGAATCCAAATCATGTTATAGCCGCTGGAAGAGACTGCACAGACAAATAGAAAGGTGTGTTTTTGTGAAATCTGACTTACAGAATGCTGGTCTCCTCATCAAACTAACATCAGTCACCTTATTTTCTTCCTTTGCATTTGCAGAGGTAAAGCACTGCAGGAGAGCTTGATTAAGCTGGTCGAGGCCTGTGGTGATGAGTCCCATAACATGGATCGTTGGCTCAGTAAACTTGAGAATTCAAAGTGGTTGTCTCATGTTCAAGCTGCTTTGTCGACTGCTGGCCTGCTGGCAGAGTGTGTGGAGAGGTAGGAACTCAAATCTCTCTGTGGTACTCTGGTACCACAGATAGTGTGCACTTATGTTTTGATTCTGTATGATTAGAAATATATGCAGGGATAAAGGCACTTTTGTGTACCTTCATTTTTAGGTCAGTAATTTCCAAGGAAAGTCAATCCAGAATTGTTTTAAAATGTAACTTACTTCTATGATGATTGCTTAAATTTTAAAAAAGGGGAAACAACAACTTCACATCTAAATGGTATCTTCTAGAGAGACCTGAAAAAGGCACTGTTTGCATCCTGATGTAAACAGAAGTGGACAGGAAAATTTTTAAAAAAGCAACACATAGTAAGATATTAGCTCAAATAGCCAAGTCAAGACATGCATGAGGAAACCATGAGAAAAAGATGGCTTAAACATTAAAAACGTGTCTGTATCACTCAAAAATAAATGCTTTTAAGTCATTCACAGCAGAGGATCAAAATCTATCTATTTGTCGTGTTGGCCAGGGACGGACATTCAGTTCTGGTTCATGGCTCCAAAGGGACAGACGCCACTCTTCTCATCAGCACTCTGGCTCAGCTCATCATGGACCCATGCTGCCGTTCACTGGAGGGTTTCCTGGCTTTGCTGGAGAGGGAGTGGGTGCAGGTGAGTGTGTAGGTGTGTCAAAAAGTTTAGACTGTAAAGCATTATAATTCAAATCTTTTTGTTGACTTTACTGTTAAAAATCACAGGAAAAAAGTCTTTTTAGCACAGCCTCACATGTGGTTATTACTAAATCTCAGTTTTACGGATATTGCCCCACAGTTTACCCAAATCAGGAAATGCCATGAGAAAAAAAGTCACATTCAGTCTGCTGCATAAAGTAGTCAAAGATTTTACAAATCATGTGTCTTTTTCACAACGTTTCCCTTGTATACATTTAGGGTAAATGGCATCACAAGGTATGGACAAATGTGCTTTTTTTCACCATTTGACTATTATCCCTCAATTTGTTCTATATGAACAATTGAGTTTGTCAAAAGCCATTAGATATCCTTTTAATAGTCTTAGAATTAGATTTCAACAAAAAATAGTAAAGAGGATGAGGGCAACAGACAGTGAAGTTGGTTTGGCTTTGTAAGAAAACCATTAACAAATTTAACTGAACAAGCTAATCAATAAAGTGAGTTCTGCATATTTTCCTGCAGGGGTGTGTCAACTTATCTCCAACTTGAGATGAAAAAGAACTTGGTAAACTACAGCGGATACAAGTACAGCTAAAATCAGCGAATAATTAGCCTAAAGAGCAACTAGCTAACCATAAGGTGACCAGATTTTCACCTTCTCAGTTTCCCCGGATTGGGAGGGGGGTGCATGGGCTGCGTGATCACAGACAACATCTCGGTACTATTCAGTAGCAGCGCACGCCCCTTGTAATAACCCCCATAAGAACTGTTGTTCAGGACTGCTTACTTGTGCTTCCTACCCTTTCGGCTACTGTAATAACCATTGTTCTAGCCTACATGCAACATTTTTCTTCTCATTCATGAAACGCTTAAATCGGGGACATTTTCTGGGACAGCTTTTGCCAGGGACAGGTCATCCATTTCGGCGGGGACTGTCCCCGGAAATCGGGGACGTCTGGTCACCTTAGCTAACCAGCTTTCTGGGAGGAAATACAAACAGAAATACTGCCTCACCAATTTACCTAACCTACAAAACCAAACTTTAAATGGAGCAGCTCCCCACCTATCACCTGTTGGTGATGTAGAGTGCCCCTAAGTATGCTTGTGAAGTTTCAAAGATTTGAATAGGACAGACATTAGTCCGCTCATTGTACCTTGTATATGTTTACAGTCAGTATTAACTGTTGTTTTGAGACCTAGCTTCAGAAACAGTTTAGCTGGCTGAGTTGTGGCAGGCCCTCAGTCCCAAACTTCATTTCTAGATCGTCAGACCGGCTGCAACATGAAGCAGGATCATTCAGGCAACAGCCGTATGTGGATCAGATATCTGGCTCTGGAAGGATATGCTCAACACAAATACACCCAGTAGCATTCAAATGGATTAGGTGCATACCACATAAGTTTGGTTGTTCATACAGGTCACCGTTCTTTTCTCCAGGCAGGACACCCATTCATGCAGCGATGTGCCCACTCTGCCTTCTCCCACGCCCGTCCACAGCAGGAGTCCCCGGTCTTCCTGCTGCTACTGGATTGTGTGTGGCAGCTGTGGCGTCAGTTCCCACTAGCAATGGGTTTCTCTGAGGCTCTGCTACTGAGGCTGGCGACTGAAGCCTATGCATCTAACTTTGGCACCTTCCTGTGTAACAGCCATCAGGAAAGGTTAGTGGTATTCCTCCTTAGGATTGGGGGTCTGGAATGAATGATTGTCACAAAAGTGGTTAAATCCTACAGGATTCATTTATTCTTTATAGCCAAGGTGTTAGTTAACTTCAGTCTTGCTCTTCTACCTCAGGTGGGCTCAAGGCGTGATAAAGAAGACCCACTGTTTGTTCCAAACTCTGCTGAGGCCTGGAGAGAGGGACCAATACTGTAACCCACTATATGAGTCAACTGAGCTTGCAATCTGGCCCTCTGTTCACCCTCAGTCCCTGCAGCTTTGGAGAGGTAAGCTTTAATCAGTCAGACTTGTATTTGTATCCTGCTGAACCAGAAACAGAGCATGTTCTTTTGAGCAGTCCAACCATCCATTTGTCACATTTGTTAGCCTTTTTTATTTACATTTAAAAGTTCTTAGAAGCTTATTGATTCTTATTGAAGCTTATTGACTAAATTGAACATTTAGTAGTTCAGACCAAACAAATTCAGTCTGTTTTTTTATTTATTTACCAGTTTATTAGTATTGAGTAGTGAAAGATTTCCCTGCTATAGGTCTCAGGTGTTTGCTCACACTCTGCTATCATGGAATGGGTCCAATTTGTAGAAAAAAGCAGAGAAGGGGTTGTTGGATGATACTTAAAGGTATATAAATTAAGTTAGGGTCAAACACACCATAACACCAAGTTAGACACCCCGTCGAGAGATAAATGTTGCCGACCGCTTGCTTCTCTAGTTATACCAACTTTAGTAACAACTGCAGATAGCAATACACAGGGCCACACGCTCAACCAAAAAGCCACTCTATAACCACAAATAACGCTCAGAACAGCACCTAGCTTCATCATCAGTACATATAGGGTCCCAGCCATAGTACTAGCCTCCAAACATCTTTTTAGCTTTGCCTGATTTCTTTAGCAAAGAGACTAAACACAACTCACCCACTCTCTTCCAGCAGCTACTTGTTTGTACAGAGACCTCTGGGCGAGTCCATCGACTGCAGCTGGGGTGACGCTGCTCAAGGAAGAACATTTATGATCATTACTTCATGGTTATTACTTCAAGGACATGATAAAGTAACGTTCATAAATGTTCTTCCCTGAGCTGCGTCACCCTGCTGCAGTCGATGGTCTCACCTGGAGGTCTCCGTACAAACAAGTGGCTGCTGGAGGAGAGTGGGTAAGTTGTGTTTAGTCTCTTTGCTTAACAAATTAGGCAAAGCTAAGAAGATGTTTGGTGGCTAGTGCTATGACTGGGACCCTATGTATATATGTATATATGTATATATTATGTGTGGTTAGAGAGTGGCTTTTTGGTTGAGCATGTGGCTCTGTGTATTGCTATCTGCAGTCGTTACTAAAGTTGGTATAACTAGAGAAGCAAGCGGTCGGCAACATTTATCTCTCGACAGGGTGTCTAACTTGGCGTTATGGTGTGTTTGACGCTAACTTAATTTTACGCCGGAATATCCCTTTAATCCTATGACTGTGGTATGATCCCTTGTGTGTTACATGGGCCCATGTTGTTCCCTTCACATTGGCATAATAGAGTTGACTGGTGAGTAATACTGGCTCTGATGCTGATTTGATATATGATCAGTTGATTATTTTGATATGAGCTCACAACCTTGCTATCCTTCATAATTCTCAGAACTAATTCAAGTATTGGTGCTGGTTGTCAGGTTTCTTTCTGAGGTGGACCCAGCAGACTCATCACCTTGCAGAGACTCAGGAGAAGATGCGGGACATGGTCATTAAGTGGGAAAAACTGGCGCTCAGCTGAGTCCTTTTCAGAACATGAACAATTAGAGATTTTCAGTGTGAACATGTGGAGCATGTTCAAGACGGAAGGTTACCAGGGTGCAGTGTCTTTCTTTGTGGTGTGATTTTTAAAATCTGCTGTGTTTTTATATGTTGGATTGCTTTTTTATTCCTGTATAAAATATGTGTTTATTTATTGTATGATGTGTCTTTTGAGACTTTGTCACACTTCCTAAAAATGCTGAAAAGTGCTGTCTTTTCTCAAAATCTTGCATAATTGAGATAAGTTGAACCTTTATTTATCCCAAGGTGAGGAAATTTGCAGTGTTAACATCAAACATAGAAGAATAGGTAGACTTTCATCATGCACACAGTGTACAGATAATTATAAAAGTTAACTTAGATCTTAAGAAAAAAAGAAAAAACATTAACAAGCAGTTATCTTGTTATGTCACAGATTCACTCATAAATATAACCAAAAGAGGAAGGCTGTATAACTGACACACCTCCCAGTCCTGTTAAGCTCAGCTAAACACTCTTCACAATACAAATCCCTGTGCACAGCAAGTCAGCATGTTTGCACACATGGAGCTTTGCAAGCTGGAGACTGTAGTCCATTTCAGTCAAGAGCCACAAGCCGGTGATTATAGTAAGTGGACGAGAACCACATAGCCCAGCATGACTTTCTTTGCCTGCTTATTTATCCAGTGGTTGATAGGTGTAATGAAACTAGGGACCATTTGGAAGGTAATCTTTTAATTCCTACTTTTTAATGCCTGGAAAACTGCTTTTGTTGCTCTTCTTTTATAACCTGCTATAGAATATTAGTTTTGGAATTTCTACATTATATCAACTGGTTTTGGACCAAGACTCATCTGTTGGGGTTTTCAATTTTGCCAGCACACAGGTAAAAAATATTTTCAGTCTCCTACCATAATTTTACTTCTTTATTTGTCAATATTGTTTGTTGAACAAAATGCTAAACGTGTGTGGAATCAGTCGTCTCGAGAAATGTTTGTTTCATTTTAAAGGCTGCCACTGGACATGCAACCAGGTGTGCGGGTCTGTGTGCCCACTGCGAGTGTGCTGGGCCTGTTCTGCAGCGGCTGTTGGAGCAAGGTGCTGAGTTTGCCTGGTCGTAGTTTTAGCTGTTTTCCCAGGCAGATGAGCAGATGGAACAGTCAGGAGACCCTTGCCCCTCCACCCAGAGAGGAAAATCCTCGTGTCCTCATCACTGGTAAAAAAAAAAAAATTATTATCATTCCTTTGGAAAGAGTTACTAACAACACAACTGCCTTCTTTTAACATTTATCCATTCAGGTAAAGGTGTGTTTTTACACCTAACCCAAACGCTGCACCTGTGAAGCTGCTATTGTTTTCTACTACTTTCAAAGCCAACTATTTTGTTCTGTGTCTGCAGAGGAAATACAATAGGGGTTGTGTGCCTCCTATAGAAAACTTCTCGTGGAGTTTGTAGAATAACCCTCCCCCTTCTAAGCAGATAAAATGTTAACATCAAACAAACTAGTGTTTATATTAAAGATTCATTGTGTTGTGTTAACGGTGTTAGTGGAATACTATGGAATATGGCGTGTTTTGTTTTTCTTTTTGAGTTGTTTTCACTCTGCACCAACAGCAGGACCCCATTTAGTCACATCACAATAGGGTACACACACACAGACAGTGCTTGTGATTTTAAAGAGCCAATAGGTGACGTGGAGAGAATAATAGCCCACTGTCACTGTTTGTCCCATGATTAAGCTTTTGGAAAGACAAAGAGCTGAAGGACAGTGTACCCAAACATTGGTCATTTCATTTTCATTCTAAACTCTAAACATAATCTTGTATGTATGCATGTATGTATGTGCTGACTAACTATTAAACTTTTTCTCTGCAGGTGGTCTAGGACAGTTAGGTGTAGGACTCGCACAGATGCTGAGGTTTGATATGCACAAATTCTTAAGACATTTAAGTCTATCAAAGGATCAGAAATCTGTTATCACCATTTCTATGTCATTGTCTAGGAAACAGTTTGGAAGAGAGAATGTAATCCTGTCAGACATTAAGAAGCCTCCACCCCACGTTCTCAGCAGTGGTATGCAAAAATGCTGTTAAGTTTTTCTTTTATGCTTTTCTTTTTCCTTTTTCTTCTTTCTTTTCTTTTTTCTTTTTAAACAGCTCCCTTTTTAAACAATGAAAATGTGAAATAATGCACTTTATATCGTTTTTGAATTTGAATTTGTTTTGCTGTAAAAGTTTTCATTTTTTATCTGAATCTTTTTAATTAACTGTGCAACCAATTGACTGTACCTTCTTGGGTTATTTATAAAGACGCCTTGACCCTCAGACTTCATCTTTTTCCATTAGGTCCATTTGTATACGCTGATGTGTTGGACTACAAACACCTCAGAGAACTGGTTGTAAATCACCGTATCACTTGGCTAGTCCACTATAGTGCTCTGCTCAGCGCCGTGGGCGAGGCTAATGTGGCTTTGGCTCGCAAGATCAACATTACAGGTTGGCTAAATACAAACCTTATTTACATGAATTGCCTTTAAATGGGGGGGTATTATTTTATTTTTGGATCTCCTGTTGTGTATCTAGGTCTCCATAATGTGCTGGACTTGGCCCTAGAGAACTGCCTGCGCCTCTTTGTCCCCAGCACCATTGGAGCATTTGGTCCCTCTTCTCCTCGTGACCCAGCTCCTGACCTCTGTGTCCAAAGACCTCGGACCATCTATGGTGTGTCAAAAGTACACGGAGAGCTGATGGGGGAGGTGGGTCAATCTGGAAATGGTCTATGACAGAAAAATATACATGCACCTTGGGAAACATGGTTTCATCTCAATATTTTCTGCCTCATTTTCTTTAGTATCTTCATCATAAATATGGTCTGGACTTCCGCTGCCTACGTTACCCAGGTGTTATATCAGTTAACACATCTCCTGGAGGGGGTACAACAGGTAGTGCATCAATTAATATCTTCACGTCACACAAACTCATTAGCGACTAGACAACATGATTTAAGCTTGCCATGCCTCTATCTTCCTAGACTATGCAGTGCAGATCTTCCATGATGCTCTCAGTACAGGTCATCATGAGTGCTATCTGCGTCCTGACACCCGTCTTCCTATGATGCATATCTCTGACTGCCACCGTGCTACAGTAGAGTTCATGCAGGCCCCAGAATGCCAACTGTCTTTGCGGACATATAACATTGCCGCAATGAGCTTCACTCCAGAAGAGGTGGCCCAAGAAATCCGCAAGCACCTCCCTCACCTCAAGGTTACCTACAATCCTGACTCTGTGCGCCAGACCATTGGTATGACTAAACACAATTAGTATACCAATATATGTTAATTACGTATGTGTGGGATATTATATCTTTTTCATATACAGTCAATTTAAAAATAGAAGTACCTGTCAAAATTTGGGATACAGGCAAAAAAAATCCCTCTTTAAAACCTAGGTTGATTGAAAATGGAGGTTTAAGTTGATCTTTTCATGTATTACACTATATAACCACTGAGAGATCATAAAAGCATGCGATGGTTTGTGATTGTCTTGTGTGGCAAAAAGCAATATTGTTGTTTCACCGCTTTAGAATTTTTCACTTCGGTTTCATTTTCAGACATTTTCAGCAAAATTAACATAAGTAAGACTGTAGAGACGAAACGTTTTTAAAGTTTTTATATGGAAAACATTTTGTTTTGTTTGGAAGTCTTTTTATGATTAGTATTGCTATTTTTGATAAACGTTATTGAATAAAAGTCATGTGATCATCTCGTTTGTCACTTTACAGCAGACAGTTGGCCTGTGAGGTTTGATGACTCAAACGCTCGGAGAGACTGGGGTTGGGCACCAGCGTTCGGGCTTGAGGAGCTGGTGGCGGACATGCTGCGCTCCATTCGAGACATGAGGACCAATGAGGGTTTACCAGTTAGCTAGCAAAACCTGCTGTAACCAATTCCCTTCTCCTGACTTCTACTCTGTTATTATTTCCCAACAATATACTTCTTTCCACTTCACTTTCACAACTTGATAACCTGTATTCTCTGTTATTTTACATGACAAAAATAAGCCAGGGGCTGATTGTAAAGAAGCAATTCTAAGTCAAATTCTCTACATTATATGTTGTAAAGTATGACATATGTGCAACTCACATTTCAGTCTTTTTCAGGGAACCATATACTGTCAAAGTCAGAGCTTTGTTTGATATGTGTTGTTATAATTGTTATAATAATGAAGGCACATGGGAATGATGGTTTAGATGGAACAGAGTACTACTTTTTCATAATTTTTACAGATTTACAACTGTCATGTGAATCACATCCATGAACTCTAAAGTCTGTTACACTGTCTAATAAAATGTTTGTCATGATATGGAGCAATTGTAGATTAGAATTAACAATTATACAAAACATATTGATTGCTGAATCACCTGTTATAGCAAACTTAGTTGACACTTAGTCTACTGTAATTACCCTTTATTTATTTTGGCTATTTTAAATGCATTCTTCAATGTAATAGTTACTAAAGTTAAAATACACACTGCTCCACTACCTTTGCTGTGGCATCAAATTGGTAACCCTTATGTTTTTGTTTTTTTCAGCTGTGTGATTCCGGTCATCAAGGAGTATAAAAGCAAATAAAGTCTTAATTACTATAATAGCCTTTGAAAACATTTATTTGTAAATGCAGTGTACTTTGACTCAGACCTTGGATATTAAAGTAAAAAGATATATATTCTTAACCAAACTGAAGTGAATTTGTAGAGGCTTATTCTCCCTTTTCAACATGTTGAATAAAGGGTTTTTGCCACTGAGTGGATCAAAATAATGTTACTGTTGGTGCTGATGGGGCCAATGAGGAGGGGCCAATGGGCTCACAGCTCCACTCCTTCCTGAATTTAAGGCAGCTCCTTCCTTTCCTGTCTTACATTACCGGACAAACTGATTAATCCAGGTGTGACTGATCAATGTGATTACTCATGCACACCTGGATGAATCAGTTTGTCCAAGAATGTAAGAAAAGAAATGAAGGAGCTGCCTTAAATTCAGGAAGTAGTGGATCAGTGCATAGAGCCCATTGAGTATGCTGGCTATACAGTTTGGAGGTAGTGAAATTTTAGGTATATTAATTCTTAGCTGATTAACACTCACTTCCACATAATTTCAGCAAAGTACATGTCTATCTCTGCAAAACATATTAAACAATGATCAATGACAATGATCAACTTTGGTTTTTTTTTTTTAAAACAGGGTGACAAAGTGCTTTACAGATGTAGTTACTGCTCTAAAATATCGATATGATAGGAGTATATATAGACTATTTTTAGTAGCCTTCTAAAGAAAATCGACTGAATTTAATTGAAGTAAAGGCTTCAGTGGAATTTATAATGAAACACAAAGTTTCCAGTTTTTGTTGGGTTACCTGTGAGACATAGGCCTACTTAGCTATAGTTTTCAAAACGTTGTCGTTTTGTACCGAAATAAGGAAGGTTTTTAAATTAAAATGCTTTTAAACTCTTAAACTAGTTGACGAAAAATAACCTCCACTTTACTTCAAGAGATATTTATATTCCGTTGAGATTAAAGTAAATTAAAGATAATATTAAACTTTTAGATATAACCTACCAGTGTAAGGGTTTTTCTAAAGTAAACAGCATTTTAAATCTCCGTGGTAACCTGTAACGATGTAAAAACTTATAATAATTACAAGAGAGCGGTCATTTCTGAAGATCAAATCTGAAGAGAACAGCACGAAAAACTTAAGCGGCTCACGAACTTACAACTTTTGACGGCTTCATTGTAAATAAAACCTCACCAGACGACTAAGGACTCGGACAAACACCTCTAGCCAACACCTGAACAGAAAGGACAACATCTACGATATGGAGACAGTAAGATTTCATGACAATACTAGAAAAATTGCATTTCCTTGCAGGAAATGCGTGGAAATGCTAAGTGCTGAATTCTGAAAAAGCCATGCAAAACTGCTAAAAAAACACAGGAAGGTTTAAATGTAAAATTGATTAAAGAGCTGGAGAAAGAGAAGTAGAAGTTAGATGAAAGTGAAAATTGCTGAAGTACAAATAGTATGAATGTGGTTCATAAATTAAAATTGCATTCATGCTGAATAAGGCTAGAAAGACTGTCTGAAATTGCAAAAAAATGGATAAGGAAGAAAATTACCTTAAAACATAGAAAAGTGAGAAGTGGCATAAGTTTAAGTTGTAGTACTAGAAGTAGTTTGATAATAGGTACTTGTACTAGTGATATTAGTAGTCATGTAAGCAGTAGAAGTAGTTTTAGAATATAAGAAGTAGAAGTGGAGGTAGAAGTGAAGATACAAGTTAAAGTGATATAAGTAGTAATTGTAGTGGTAGAACTGGGATTTTGTTTGAAGAATTAAAAAATACATAAATAATGAGAATGATTTTGAAATGGGAAAAATTTTTAAATAATTAGAAGTCCTAAAGTGTTAAACAGGTTTGAAGTATCAGAAAGGTTTGAATCAGTTTGGATGAGTTTGGATTTTTCTGAAGAATTTAATAATGCATGAATAATGAGAATAATTTTAAAGTGGGGAAAATTAAATGAATAAAAATCCTGAGTACACCCCATAATGTCCTCAATGAGCCGGATTTTTGGAGCCCTGAATGGTTTCTGTAGCTCAAAGTTTGTGGGAGGAGATAGGGGCTGAATATTTTCAGGTGCTCTGGTGAAGGGCTTAAATGTAACACTCAGTGCTCTGTGTACTGAGCCTGGCTTCACGTGTCTCATATGGCCATTAGAAGCAGCTTTCCAGTCAGCTGTGTGTCTCCAGGTGCACAAATTGGTTGCTATGGGGACCGTAGATGCAGGAGAAAGGAGCCTTGAAGCTGAGGAAACAAAATCCCAGACCATGCTCATCCTCTGTAACAGCTATATTCATGATAAGGAGGTTGTGAGAGCCGCAAGAGTCTACTGAACACATTGATACAATTTATTAATAAAATCTTAAATACACCCCATAATGTCCTCAATGAGCTGAATTTTTGGAGCCCTGAATGGTTTCTGTAGCTCAAAGTTTGTGGGAGAAGATAGGGGCCGAAGATGGCAAGCGAAGTGAAGGGTTTTAAATGTAACACTCAGTGCTCTGTGTACTAAGCCTGGTTTCATGTGTCTCATATGGCCGTTAGAAGCAGCTTTCCAGCCAGCTGTGTGTCTCCAGGTGCACTAATTGGTTGCCATGGCGAAGCAAGATGTAACACTGCAGCAGGAGAGAGGAGGCTTGAAGCTGAGGAAATGACTCTCCAGCTAGGCCCTGATGGTCAACCTCTGTATATATTCATGATAAGGAGCTTGTGAGAACCCCACGACTCTGCTGAACATATTGATACAATTAATTAACAAAATCCTAAATACACCCCATAATGTCCTCAATGAGCTGAATTTTTGAAGCCGAGAATGGTTTCTGTGGGTGGGGATAGGTGGTGATGCAGACACGTATTAACTGTGTGTACATGTAGATTATTAGACAGAGACACACACGCACACACATTGTCAGACTGTGTGTGTGTGTCTCGTTAATGACAGCTGTGAGATCAAAGGCATTAACTGGCCTACTGTTTGAATGAGAAGCAGCTGAACTGCAGTGAATGACATAAATGAAGAGAAAAATACAATAAAATAAATAAAAGGCCTAAAAGGTTAAATAAGAAAAGATTATAAGTAAAACAAAGGCTTAAAGGACGATAAGTCTAAATAAGATTGAGGTAAAAGAAATAAAAGATAAAGGAAAAAGAGCAAAGACTGCAAGGAGGTGCTCTGCATCAGTAAGTACATAGCTGTGAGTTTCTTTATTGTGGATTACATAGTTCTTTTTACAGTACTGCATTTTCTTCACTCACAATTCACCTCTGGTCTTGGAATCTTAATGTGCAATCGCACTGATAAATAAATGTAGATAGTTGGATTACCATCCAAATTTTAAAATGCTACTTAATATGTTAACACTTATTCATGTTAGACATTAACGTGTTATTTCTGCCGTGATACCAGGAAATTAAAAGTAAGAAATGTTAAGAATTACTGAGGAAAGATATCCTGTAACACTTATTATATCTGAACATTTTAGAACCATTCAAACTTCCTTATCTTCGCTTTTTTTAAGGGCTGCTTTATCAAACAACTCATATTATGTGTTACAGGTGGTGACCAACACAATGCTCTAAAAAAGTTTTTTTGGAAAGAATGAAGCAAACACAGCCTGAGATTGGTGTTAAATCAGGAAAAATCAGACCTGCAAAGCAAGAGCTGCATCCTTAAAGTGGCCTTTTGTGGTCATCTACCTGTCTGGCTGCAATGAATACCACAAAACATACCACATTATGACACACTGGTAAGAGCAATGGAGTGCAAAATTCACAAATACTGTATGTATACCCAAAAAGTTTTTCTCATTAATAATCATTAACAAGCAAAAGAAAGCATGTGCAGTGATTCTGCTCCCTGTCTGTATTTTATTTTTTAAAAAATAACATTTTACAAGGTTTCAAAGCAGTGCCCTGTTGCCTCACAACAAGAACTTTCTTGGTTAGAATCTACACCGGACAGGGTCACAGGAACATTTGACATTAGAAACAGAAGCAGAGATTCTTCTGTTTAAAAAAATTCAACTGTAATCTACAAATGTTTTTTTCCCATGTTCCCTTCTCTAACCATATTGACATGTAACAAACAGATAAATACAATTTATTTAGCATTGCCTCAGTGGTTGCTCCAACATGCAATGAGTCAGTCAAAACAACAATGGTTGTCTTCATATTTAAAAAAAACAAAAAAAAAAAAACAAGGTGCTGTAACAAAGAGTTTGGTAAATAAGACTGAGCTTACAGCTTTGTTTGTTTTTTTTCTGTTCAAGCACTTTGTAAATGTCTGTTTTTAAAGGTGCTATATAAATAAAGTTATTGTTATTAAAATGATCTTTTTATCCTTTCTTTTTTGATGGATAGCAGGCACCTGAATCAAACTGAATTAAAATCTTACTTTGGGAGACTTTGTGATTTGTCAAATATTGTAGTATTGTTGGCATGGGATTGCTGTTTAATTTTGGTGGTTTCTTCACTTCCTCTGTGTCTCATTATCATCTTGTTTAGGGATAAAATTAACCATTAATAAGCTCTCTGCTTTAGGTCTCAAACAAGAACCCTGCTGCTATATTCTCAACTATTTCTCCTAGTGAATTTTAGGAGAAACAAAAAAGCAACAACTGAGAAAAAATTTGATGAATAAAAAAACTGAGTAAAAAAATCCTGACTGAGGGTATCACAATTCACAATTCACAATTCAAGGATAAGGGCAAAGCTTTCATAAAAATAAAATTAAAAAAAAAACCTCAGAACTTAATGATTCATATATATAAAAACATACATTTGTGTACAACAAATGTATTTTTGCACAACTATAAATTCTTAGAGCTGCACACATACATTAGTTCTGACAGCTTTTGTACACAACAACCACATGTCAATCATTCACGTGGTTGATTCTAGAAGTCCCGCCCCTGCTTAATTCTGATTGGTCACGATAGATGGCAAGCCCAAAGGTAATTGTGATGTCATCGGAATCCAAATTGTAAATGGAATATGATGATGTCATAGGAATCAAAGTAAATGCATTGTGACATCACTTCGCTTTGATGATGTCATTAATCCTCAGACCAATTTGAAGTGAAGACAAATGTAGTAGAACGAGTTTTTAGAGTTCAGAAATTAGCAGAAGTACACAGCCTCGGTACCGACATTGACTTTATTTTACCGTAACATCAAAATAACGTCAAAATGTCGCAGATTGCATGGGCCCAAGAACAGATCCGAGAACAGCAGAGAAAGGAGGCCAAGGAAGCTGAAGAAAAGCAAGCAAAAGCTTTAGCTGCTGAGGACAAAGAGTTCAAAGATTATGCTGAGCGTGAATTACAAAAGGCCCGGTGCTCTGGACGAATTATTCTTGACACAAATAAGGCGCCTTCAAGGCTGGAGAAAAAATGTAAGGATGATCGGCCACAGAGCTTTCTCCCACCTATCAACTCATTGCCACCTCCTGCAGACATACACTGCGAATCTGCTGGAGCAAAGTGCAGAGAAGCTTTGCCTAAAACTAAGGCCAAAGTCACTCCACATATTGTCAACCTTACCTTAGGTACTCCCAAGGCAAATGGAGTACCAGCAAGGCTGACATGTAACAAACTGGAGTTGACCAATGACCTGAAGCCCAGTCCCCCACCCCAGCCCAGACAAAAAACGGAAGCATTCAGACACATGGACGGACCTACAGCTGCTGATACAGAGGAACCCTTACTGAGGTGTCGTATGGATCCAGTTCTCCCACCTATCAACTCATTGCCACCTCCTGCAGACATACACTGTGAATCTGCTGGAGCAAAGTGCAGAGAAGCTTTGCCTAAAACTAAGGCCAAAGTCACTCCACATATTGTCAACCTTACCTTAGGTACTCCCAAGGCAAATGGAGTACCAGCAAGGCTGACATGTAACAAACTGGAGTTGACCAATGACCTGAAGCCCAGTCCCCCACCCCAGCCCAGACAAAAAACGGAAGCATTCAGACACATGGACGGACCTACAGCTGCTGATACAGAGGAACCCTTACTGAGGTGTCGTATGGATCCAGTTCTCCCACCTATCAACTCATCGCCACCTCCTGCAGACATACACTGTGAATCTGCTGGAGCAAAGTGCAGAGAAGCTTTGCCTAAAACTAAGGCCAAAGTCACTCCACATATTGTCAACCTTACCTTAGGTACTCCCAAGGCAAATGGAGTACCAGCAAGGCTGACATGTAACAAACTGGAGTTGACCAATGACCTGAAGCCCAGTCCCCCACCCCAGCCCAGACAAAAAACGGAAGCATTCAGACACATGGACGGACCTACAGCTGCTGATACAGAGGAACCCTTACTGAGGTGTCGTATGGATCCAGTTCTCCCACCTATCAACTCATTGCCACCTCCTGCAGACATACACTGTGAATCTGCTGGAGCAAAGTGCAGAGAAGCTTTGCCTAAAACTAAGGCCAAAGTCACTCCACATATTGTCAACCTTACCTTAGGTACTCCCAAGGCAAATGGAGTACCAGCAAGGCTGACATGTAACAAACTGGAGTTGACCAATGACCTGAAGCCCAGTCCCCCACCCCAGCCCAGACAAAAAACGGAAGCATTCAGACACATGGACGGACCTACAGCTGCTGATACAGAGGAACCCTTACTGAGGTGTCGTATGGATCCAGTTCTCCCACCTATCAACTCATTGCCACCTCCTGCAGACATACACTGTGAATCTGCTGGAGCAAAGTGCAGAGAAGCTTTGCCTAAAACTAAGGCCAAAGTCACTCCACATATTGTCAACCTTACCTTAGGTACTCCCAAGGCAAATGGAGTACCAGCAAGGCTGACATGTAACAAACTGGAGTTGACCAATGACCTGAAGCCCAGTCCCCCACCCCAGCCCAGACAAAAAACGGAAGCATTCAGACACATGGACGGACCTACAGCTGCTGATACAGAGGAACCCTTACTGAGGTGTCGTATGGATCCAGTTCTCCCACCTATCAACTCATTGCCACCTCCTGCAGACATACACTGTGAATCTGCTGGAGCAAAGTGCAGAGAAGCTTTGCCTAAAACTAAGGCCAAAGTCACTCCACATATTGTCAACCTTACCTTAGGTACTCCCAAGGCAAATGGAGTACCAGCAAGGCTGACATGTAACAAACTGGAGTTGACCAATGACCTGAAGCCCAGTCCCCCACCCCAGCCCAGACAAAAAACGGAAGCATTCAGACACATGGACGGACCTACAGCTGCTGATACAGAGGAACCCTTACTGAGGTGTCGTATGGATCCAGTTCTCCCACCTATCAACTCATTGCCACCTCCTGCAGACATACACTGTGAATCTGCTGGAGCAAAGTGCAGAGAAGCTTTGCCTAAAACTAAGGCCAAAGTCACTCCACATATTGTCAATCTTACCTTAGGTACTCCCAAGGCAAATGGAGTACCAGCAAGGCTGACATGTAACAAACTGGAGTTGACCAATGACCTGAAGCCCAGTCCCCCACCCCAGCCCAGACAAAAAATGGAAGCATTCAGACACATGGACGGACCTAGAGCTGCTGATACAGAGGAACCCTTACCGAGGTATAGTACGCCGGAAACCCGTCGAATCAGACGAAAACAGGATAGCCGTGTTTTACTCTTTTAAAGATGTCTCCGTAAGCTCTGCCCCATACAGGGGGGGCTTATTCTGTACGGTTTTCTCCTGGTTGCTCAGGTTTTTCCCACAACCAAGTCACACACACACACATATGTTTATATTTACATATGTGTGTATGTTTGACTGAAAAGTTGAACCCCCCCCCATCAGTTTAAACATTGAAAAAATAAGCACAAAAAAGCACAAGCATAAAACCACGGCCCGCCCTCAGGACATCCACAGCAGTGCAGCATCAGCTGTGCTAGACCCCAAGTCCAGCTCATAACATTATTCTCCGAGTTTTCTCCTGGTGCTCAGGTTTCTTCCCACAATCAACTCACATATACACTTGTATGTTTTTATTTGCATATGTGTGTATGTTTGACTGAAAAGTTGAACCCCCCCCCCCCATCAGTTTAAACATTGAAAAAATAAGCACAAAAAAGCACAAGCATAAAACCACGGCCCGCCCTCAGGACATCCACAGCAGTGCAGCATCAGCTGTGCTAGACCCCAAGTCCAGCTCATAACATTATTCTCCGAGTTTTCTCCTGGTGCTCAGGTTTCTTCCCACAATCAACTCACATATACACTTGTATGTTTTTATGTGTATGTGTGACTAAAAAGATTTTAAAAAATAAACAACAACAACAAAAAAAAAAAAAAACATTAATTAAATGTATATTATCCCCTCCTCGAGCTACCACCTTACCGTGGTGGAGGGGTCTGTGCATCCCAGTGATCCCAGGACCTAAGTTGTCGTGGCCTTTATGCCTCTGGTAGGGTCACCCATGGCAAACAGATCCTGGGGAAGGGATCAGACAAAGGGTAGCTCAAATAGACCCCTCCTGAGGGATGAAATAATTGGTATCAATTTTCCCTTGCCCAGATGTGGGTCAATACTGAATTTTTCGTGACTTACAAGTTTTGAAGTTTTTCAAATGTCTACTGCTCTGTCCTTTTTCTTGTATGAATAAATACTTAAAAAATGATTTTTGTTGTAGGTGTGCTCCTTGTAGGTATAATATCACAATGTTACTGGTATTATTTGAAGTCTCTGAAGAATGTAATCATAACTTAACACCCTGGTAGCAGCCTCCCGCAGCCCTTTCAAATTTTTAAATTTTCTAGTTGATTATGTTGTGCAGGGTTGATGGACTAGATACCTACTGTATGTTTGCTTTGAGTTTTTAAAGAAGAGCAGATAGTTGCGATGATGTCTTTTCTTTTTATTTCTATCTATTTTCTATTGATTTACCAAGAAGGTGCTGCATCAGGGTGCCTCAGTACTTTACTCTTGCGTACTTAACATCATATTCAGGACCATGATCCACCTCCTGTCTATATGCATACTCATCAAACTGTGATGAGTATGCATATAGACGGAAGTGGATCAGCTGCTCTTCTGGTGCAGTCAGAACCATCTGGAGCTCAACCCATTCAAGATGGTGGAGATGACAGTGGACTTAAAGTGGCGCTCTCCTGCACTCCTCCCCCCCTCAGAATCCTGGACAGCACACCACTGTCACATTTCAGGGTAAAGCAAAAGAAGGGAGGACCCAAAATGCAGAACAAAAACAGATTTATGTAAAAAGGAACTAAAACAACAAAAACTAACTTCTAAATGTCCAACTCAAAAATCCCAAATCCAAAAACCATCAGTATAAGGGAGAGATACACGCACAATTGCATCAAAATACCCCCTCAGCACTGATAGCTATCCAACCTGCAGGGTTGGAGCAAAGACGAAGATTTAGAGACAAAGCAGTTAACACAGCAGTTATCCAGCTGGTGACTGAAATGGACAGAAGAAACTCTGGAAGGAGAGCAGCCATGTTGACACGGAGGCTGCACCACATTTTGCACATGCAAATAAATTGTGACATTATTGTTTAAACCATGTCTTAAGTTGTGTTTTCGAAAGATGAAAGTTCTTGAACCCTTTGCACACACTTACAGCCTTACTCCTCACAGCATTTTAAATTATTTGTATTGGATGCCATATAATATGTGCAGAGAAGAAGAAAACAAGTTCAGAAAAACACAAGATTTGTAAAATATTAAGACTTATGAGGCTGTAAAACCAAGTTCATTTCCCCAAGGAAATCTCACTCTAGGCTTAGTTCAAAACTTGAGAGCCCTGTAAATATAGTAAGCGAATAATATACCAGGGATCAAGGATCCGGCAAAATAGCCTATCCAGAAATGTATTTGGTGGTTTTATAACCCCAACATCCACAAGTTGAATAACTGCCCCTAAAACATTAATGCATCAGTCGTTATGAATGGATGGAATATTGCATTATCCTCAGAAAACTTAAATTGGACATAATGAAGGCATGTTACAGATTATATTGATATAACGTAATTGTTTTGGTCTCTGTGTTTCTTTTCATTAAAAAAATGTGTTGTTATTGTTAAGTCCACCCTCAAGATGATGACCGCAATGCTTGCTGCTTCCTGTGGGGACGCACGTTTCATCCGGCAAGCTTCTGTAAATTTCACCGGAGACACACGTCGTTCTGCACAGCGCCCGTAAAAAACCATTTTCCGACAATGGACGCGGGATTCTTCCGCGTAAGACATTTTATACCTATTTCTAGACTTATTTCTTAAGTTGTGTTATCATTTTGTCCACAGCTCGAACTTAAATTTACAATATGAATTCAGGTGAAAGGCCATAGTCGGAGACGGCACGGTTAGAAAATTCCGACAAGAACTATGTTCTAACTTTGCTAATACCAGACTGCACATGTCCTTTTCAAAGTAATGTATGTGCCACTAACACCTTCTGTTGTGCCTCATTCCTTAATTTTTTTGCTGTCATATATTCATTTGATGATTGAAATCTTTTCAGAAAATAGACAAGCTAGTCATGCTAGCTTGCTACGGCTAAGTCGTTAGCATTGACTAAAGATGGCGTCCCGGGCTTCTGTCTCTGTGAGGTAGTCACGACCACTGCTATGCTAATGCAAGCTAATATTGGTAGATTCAAACTCGTATCAGGTTGCGAGACTAAAATTACTTAAAAAAAACTGAATTAAAGCCATAGGCTGTAGAAGGCAGCATGTGGCTAACAAAAGCCTTTCGTGTCCTCTTGCAGGATTAGTCCAGCTGTTAGCTGTACTACCCTGAGCTGGTCTGACATGTTCAACTGTTCAAATAAGTCACTGCGTAATGAAGACAGTCACGTGCGCTTTGGTTAACCAGCGGGTGAATTTCTAACATGATATCATGTGTGAACATGGCAGTATAGTTTCTGACAACTGCAGAGATTGGTTTTCGATGCATGACCTGTTGTAAAATACATTGACTGAAACACTGAAATAGCTTAAACTCTTAATTTCCTGTCAGTAACTGAAAGAGTGATGTTCAGCATGCTAAGATTTCATTGTTGATGTTTCTTCAGGGCACAAGTGCGGAGCAAGACAATCGATTCAGCAACAAGCAGAAGAAACTATTGAAGCAGCTGAAATTTGCAGAATGTCTGGACAAGAAGGTATTAACGATCATCCACGTTAACTCTCATTTTCCCTCCACTTTTGTAACGCTTTGCCCTGCTCCAAATTAAATGTTGTTTGAAAAAACTGTCATGGTTATGTTGGTGTTGGTCAGTGTTGCATGTCATCACCCTATTAAAATAGTGGCCTATGTCATTTTTTGATGAAAATTAGTTTTTGGCCTATATCATCACTTGATAATGCTGGCCATCCCCTGTAAAATCGCCTAAATCCTTAGTTGAAAGGATCCTTTCACTATATATACACTACATATAGACTATATATACTATGGACAATTTGGTACCGCCTTCCGCCAGTATACAGATTTGAAGCCAAAAAGCTCCTGGTAATTCCACGCCTTTTCTCCATTTCCTGAAACCAACATTGCGCAGTAGCGTTGTACGCATATGGTGGGAGAGTCGCTGTGATGACGCTCAGCTCAAACAGCGTATCCCCTGGGTGAGCAACGAAATTCTTGTATGCCCTTAGGCTGTATCAAGTGTCAATCATAGAAAGCACGAACCCCCTAATAACTTTTAAAAACTGAGCTGAACAGAAAAAGAGGACTTTAGCACAAACCTGTCTTACCGTAACTACACGTCAACATCACAAGCAGGGGGGGGAAAATTATGGTCTGTGTAATAAATTTCTAAAGTTTGTCCACAGCCCCATAAGCTTTGCTGGCGGAGGCGGGATTTATGACTTAAACTGTCGTCCATCGCCAAAGGGTGCTGATCTCGGGGTGGCTTCACCCAACGCCGAGGCAGACGCTGTCCATTCTATATACAGTCTATAAGCATTATCAAGAGATGATTTAGGCCAAAAAATCATTTTGGTCAAAAAATGACATAGGCCATTATTTTAATAGGATGACGATGTGAAATGATTGTTTTGCATAATCGTTCAAACCAACAATTTCCTATAAATGTGGAAGCTTGCGTTTTTTTTGTTGTTGTCTGACTGGGGGTCTTGACTGCCTGTTTCACAATTAGGTGGACATGACCAAAGTGAACCTAGAAGTCATCAAACCTTGGATTACTCAGCGAGTGACAGAGATTCTTGGATTTGAGGATGACGTCGTCATAGAGTTCATATTTAACCAGCTTGAGGAGAAGGTAATGTCTTGAATGGTGTTTATTTATGTTTTATTTTGTGAGAGCTGTCATAAATTTGAGGGCATGATTCAGTCAGTAAGCTCAACTATAGGCAGTTGATTGCCCTTTCTAGTCAAATTTGAAATTGAATGGGTTTACTAGCAATTGGTAACAAACTGATATATCATGACATAACCATGTTTTGCTGTTCTGTGACAAAGTGACTTTCATCAGCAGTCTTCTAATGATGATGTGATTTATGATTTAAAAGGCCTGAACCAATATGGATGTTATACCTTGCATCAGAAGTATAGCACCAACACCTAATTAGCTCTCTCCTGAGCACAAAGTCTCTGAGCCCAACTCTCCCTTCATGATGCAGTGTGTGGTTTGAGGTGAGTTGTATGCAGGGCTTACCAATATCATGTCAGTAAAGAAAAACTGAATAATACCATGATTATAATCACCAGAGATATTTTTTTAGTGTATAACGTAGCTACCAAAAGCATTTGAAGTTAAGTGGAACCACAGGTTGAAGCCAGGCAAGGCTTAGTAATGTGCTGCAGCCACATTTTAAAGAATTATGTGAACTTTTAGCATAAACTTCTTGCTATTGTTCTAAGAGTAACTTAAGGAGAAATAACATTAAGCTCACAAGTAGTGTTCACTGAAAAACCCTGATGACAAGTTTCACGTTTTTTGCACCCTGTAGGATGTGGACAGAAGTGTTTTGCTTTGCACAAGTAAGCACATATTACAGTGATGTTGGGGTGCCTTGAACACAACTTGATGTATCTGAACATCACGGAAGACGCTTAAGAAGCTCAATCACTTAAAATCAGCAAAAACATAGTTTTTCAGCAGTTATTTAGACAATATTCAACAGTTATTCGATACCCCTGACTTCATTCATTAACTGTAAGATGCAGTTAGATGTCTAGAATTTTATTTTATTGTTAAGTTAAATCATTTGGAGTCTAGATTTATATATGTTGGTCATTTTCAGGCCCACACAACATCATTCCTGCCAGTAGGGCTGTAAAGCTAATCCCTACAGACATTATTAGTTCTACTTATAATGTAATTCAATACAAATTGAAAGTTTTTAAAATCTCTTTTGCTATCTGACTTGAAATGTACAGACCTTTTTTTCTTAGAAAATCAACAACTACAAAAAAAAAAAAAAAAGTTACTGCGTGCCCCAAAGGTGTTTCAACTGACTTAAAATGGAACTGGGGGCGGCATTTATGCATAGCACTGTGCATTAGACAAATTCAAGGATAAATCCCATAGAGTACTTTCAGGCAAGTCTGGTATGTATGGTATCTCTTCAAGGATGCTAAAATCCTGTTTGAATATTCAGACATGCTTTACGTAACAACACAACCATTAAAATTTTTTGTTTTTAGCTTTTCATTTAATCATCTGCTTGCCATAGGTTTTGTGAATGAGGTGGGCTGTTAAAGCTAAGATCATATGTTACTGGTTGATTGTTGTAATTAAAGTGAGATTAAGTTTCTTAAAAATATAAGTGTTGAAAAAAATCCTCTTTTTTTGTGTAACTGTGTACTCATTATTGCTTGTTCGTCTCTTGCAATTTAGATAAATGATATAACATTAAGCTCAAGGTGGTTGAGTCTCAAGCAGTAGGGAGGCGGAAGCAAGCCAAGGGAGCTCCGTGCCCACTGATCCCACGGGACTCACTGAAGACACCGGAACTGTACTTGCAGTCTTGGGTTTTAAAGCACTCTGTATTGTGGCTTTTGTTTAACTCCTGAATGTAGACTGTGGGGAGACTGGAGAACAAGGGGTGGGTAGGGACGCAGACATGTAAACTAGTGGGTATAGCACTAAGAAATACAATTAATGACAAAACCTATTTGTTTATTGGAGTTTGTTTTGATATGTCTGAGGATTACATCAGAAATGGGGATGACATCAGGATTGCATGCAGTTGTATTTTACTAGATATGTCTCCCCTCAGTTAGCTGGAATTCTCAGTTTGAAGGGTTTGTGAGTATATCAAACACTTCTACTTTGATAGGCTGATAGACCAAGATGTGTAAAAATATTTTAGTCCGTCTTACATGTTTTTGATATGGATAACTACATAGCTACAAATATAGTTGATGAGGACTAGAGGGTAGGTAGCCCCTTTTGTGGGATCCTACCTCCTTTCAATATGTTGCCATTCAGTCTTTCAATGGCCATATGGTCTCTTCTCTCCCCCCTTCATGTGTGTGTTACAGCACCCAGATAGCAAGATGATGCAGATCAACCTGACAGGCTTCTTAAATGGGAAGAATGCACGGGAGTTCATGAAAGACCTTTGGCCCCTGTTGCTCAGTGCCCAGGAGAACATTGCTGGCATCCCCTCGGCTTTTCTGGAACAGAAGAAAGAGGAAATTAAACAGAGACAGGTAGGCTTGTCCTTAAACGACACTTTGGGAAAGTTTAGATGATGGTTTATGAGGAATTGTGGCCTATGTTAAAACTATTGAAAACAATTTCCCAATATCTTTGTAAAATCGTCCCCAGCTACTTGAAAAATGCTACATGAATTGTTTGATGTAACCATTATTATAAGTAACAGGCAGCAGTTTTGATGACAACATAAGATGAATATGTACACTATTAATATATTATAAAAGTGTTGTTTTTGTTATCTAATTGTGGCATTTTTATAGATAGAGCAGGAGAAGCTCGCTTCTCTGAAAAAGGTTGATGAGGATAAGAAGGACAATAGAGAGAGGGCTCAATCAAAAAGCCCAAGGAGGTAAGAACAAAATGTTTTCTATATTTGAGTTCAGTGAAAGTTGTTTTGTATTTATCTCAGTGCATGAAAAGTAAGTATGTTTATTCCTTCACTGGATAGGCGGAAGACAAGATCCCCATCACCGCGGCGAAGGTCACCAGTAAAGCGAGAGAGGAAGCGCAGTGCATCCCGCTCCCCAAGACGTAGACTCAGCCCAGTTGGCAACAGTTCACCACCTCCACCCCTGATGCAGCTGCCCACAAAGCCTTTAGAGCAGCTTGTGGAGTCGGAAACATCAGAAAGAGCCATGCCAGAACAAGTCATACAAGATGCAACTCCCACTTGGTTAGTGGAAAGCTTTACTAACATCTCTAAATTTTGTACTGGATTTGAGTTGTGCTTTTATTCTTTTTTTCTTTTTCATGTTGTATTCAGTTGAGAATGCTTTGAAGTGTAGTCTTGAGTATTTTTTGAATATTCAATCCTTTGGAAAAGCATATAGTTTTTACTTGTTGTGTAGAGCTGTTGTGATAGTTAGTGGGCTTGACAGAAACTGACATTAATATGGAGTTATTTGAGATACAAAACAGGTAGGGTAGTGAATGTAAAAATATTATTTTTTAAGTTATAAAAAATCAAAGCTTATGCTCTATTTTCTCTGGTCTGCAGTGACACAGTTGTGGAGGTGTTGAGAGCAGACCCTGTGACTGAAATCAAAGAACCCTCACCTGAGAAAGTTCACAAGAAAGAAGAAAGGCCCAGGTCCAGGGAAAGGGAAAAGGACAAGGACAGCAGGCGGGAAAGACCACACCGCCGTTCTCGTTCCCGTTCCCATTCTCGCTCTCGCCGGCGACGTACTCGCTCTAGGTAATTTCTAACATTCTTGATGTCCTCTCAGGTTTGAAAAAGACAAAAAAAAGTTTGTGGATGCCTAATATATCTAGAATTAAATCACTGAAGGTTTTTTTTATTTTCTTTCCTTAACCATTTTAGATCATACTCCCCACGCAGAAGACCAAGTCCCCGGAGGAGAATGTCTCCCCGTCGAAGGAGTCCCCCAAGACGTGGCCCCACTGGTTCTAGACATAGACACAGACGCTCCCCTGTCCGCAGGTAAGTGACTTGTGAAAGAAACAGTATTTAAATGTTATGATCTTTGATCCTTTATTTCCTCTCCTAATCTTATTTATATTGCATGGTGTAGACCAGCTCTTATTTTAAGTGTCTTGAGATTACGTTTTATTATGATTTGCGGCTATATTAATAAAGATTGATGGATTCATTGTTTTATCTAGTAACTTGGACCAGATACCTCTGGCAAAAAGATGTAGGACAAAAATGTACCCTTTTGAGAATTAACCTGAAATGCCATTGTACTTATCTCCTGCAGGAGGCGCTCTCGTTCAGCTTCATCCTCTGGCAGTAGCTCTTCAGGCTCTCGCTCCCCTAAAAAGGCATTAAAAAGAATATCTAGCACACCACCTCGAAAGCAGGCACATCATCCTGACACATCCATCAGCCCTGCGGGGAAGGATAGACGGTCTCCATCTCCACGGGCCAGAAGAGGCAGAGGCTCTGCATCACCAGCCAGATCATCTGGTATGATCTAAATGACCCGTTTTTGTCCTTTGAAATTTGTACAGGCCTTTTTTATTTTCCAGAACTACATCGCATCTTCCAATTAACAGCTCCTTCCAGGTCTTAGATTGAAATCTGTATTTAATATCTTGTGATTCTTAAAATCTGGTTAATCCTCTAATCGAGAGCCAAACAGTTCCTGAGGATTCAATGTGTGTATCAATACAGGACTAAACTGTTATTTCAAAAGCAGTATACGAGGATAATCGTGTCAGTAATGCATCGATAATTCTTGGTGTCTTGTGTTTTAGGACTCAAGCGAAAACAAGGAGGAAGGGCAGATTCATCTTCTGATAATGCCAAGCCTAGACCTTCCGAGGGGTCTGAATCAGGTAAGAGCGATATTAAGACTGCTCAACATGTGTGTTCGTTAAGAGCCTTAATGGACCCCTGCTGACAAACAAGGATTAACAGTGAAGGTCTTGACACTTGGGGTCTTTGGAAGCGGACACATTTGCCTTGATTGTTTGCAGAAGGAACAATGTTGCCCAACATTTACTTGCTAAGACATTGTACAAAGTCTGAACTAATAAACTTATTTCAATGTTGAAAACTGGTAACAAGCCAAATTCAGAATGTCAGTTTCCCACCCAAATTATGTCCATCCACAAATCAACTATTTTTCTAGAGCATAAATGTGAACATTGATAATCTATGTTCTTATTGCAGTTTGCTTATCTCACTGCCCTGGGTGATTACCATGAGTGTCTTGTTTAGACCATCACCACACACACACAAAAAAAGTTACCAACTGTGTGGGGGGGTTGTGCATGACTGATGGGGGAGCACAATTTTAAAAGTTGGTTCAGCATAAAAAAAAAAACAAGCTAAAATGTAGTTTGACTGAGGTGAGGCACATTGTCAAACTGCATCCACTACAAGTGCTTTATTTTACCTCTGATAGGCTCAGATTGTTATTACAAGTCCTCTGATGTGGTCACACAGCGTGGTGTGTCTGAGGTATTACCCCAGGACACATCAACGTCACTGACATTCGGCATCAGCAGGTCCCACTCATCACAACACAGACATTCTTCCTCTGTGGACACAGGATCACAACACCCACAGGAACACCATCACTCTCCAGAGCTTTGTGGAACAGCTGGTTCACCCTGCTCTGCTTGTTGACCTCTCTTTCCTTGTATTCTCATCAACTTGTTGGAGATCTTTACTGGTATACTATGGCTCAAATAAATATGGTTGGCCACTGTATTCAAAGACCTTATCCAAATGGCCAAGGCTGAAAAATACCAAAGTACCCCTTTAATTCAAAACTTTATGTAGCTTGAAACTGTGTCCAGGCAGTCTGTTGCACTAATTTTACAAACAATGATTATTGCTCTACATTTCAGAGGAGGATAAAAATGATAAAGGGGCAACGGCAGATTCTGTGCAGCAACGTCGTCAGTATCGCAGACAGAATCGCCAGTCTTCTTCAGGTTAGAACTGTTTCTATCTTCTTTTGAATCTTTGCCCCAGCTGTAACCATAGTGATTTGTCACAATCACATATAGTTCAGCTTAAACAAAACAGTTGTTGATGTCCTTTTGTTTCATTTCAGATACAGGGTCATCCTCATCAGATGATGAAGGCCCCAAAAGGTCAAAGGCAGGGCCAGGTGCCAGAAATGGTGAAGTCAGGAGGAGGCGCAGCCACACCCCTTCTCCACGGAGGCGTCACAGGGATGTTTCTCCGAGGTCTGACGCAGTTTTTGTATATTTTTATAAGAATGCTCTGGCTTGATGTTAGATGAACCTCCAAATTGTTCACTACAGTCTGATGTGTAAGGCTTTTTGGTGTGGATTTGTAACCCTACAGGAAAAGACGTTCCCCATCTCCTGCGCGCAGACGTCGCTCCCCCTCTCCCCCACGTCGCCGCAGGTCTCCTTCTCCTCCCAGACGGAGGTAAAGAAATGTTTATCAAGTGTTTGACTATTAGAAATTGAAATATCATGAGGGTTTTACATTCCAATTGGTTCTCCCCAGGTCTCCTTCCCCACCTCCCCGCCGCCGCTCTCCATCACCTCGACGTTATTCTCCTCCTATTCAGCGCCGCTACAGCCCTGCACCTTTGCCCCCACAGAAGAGGAGGATGTCTATGTCTCCTGCAAGGCGCTCCTCTCCAGGGGCCAAGCGACGGCTCTCCAGGTCCCCTAAGCGTAGAAGTCCTCCTCCTCAAAGGAGACGCGCATCTCCGTCTTCCTTGTCTCCACCCCGACACAGGAGGAGCCCAGTTAGGCCAAGCAGGGACACACGATCCCCTGTTGCCTCAGCCAGTCGTCTCTCCCCATCTCCTGCCAATCGCAGTCGCACTGTCAGAGGTTCATCCAGTCCACAGGGACCTTATGATAGGCCCAGCACGTCTCCGTCTAACCAGCGGAGACAGCAGTCCCCTTCACATACTGGGAAACCCATCCGTAGAGTGTCCCACACACCAGAACCACGCAACAACCAGAGGTAATCAGAGCAGCTGCCACTTATTGTGATTGCAGTGTCAGAATAATTCTGTTCCACCCTCATAGACATAACATAAACTGTTGCCCTCATGCCTGCCATGTCACATCTGTGCTTTCTATAGACCGTCTCCAAGTCCACAGCCAATGAGAAGAGCATCCTCAAGATCCAGATCACCTTCCCCTCAACAGGAGGCTCAAAAACGTCCAGCCCCAGCATCTGCCTCTCCCTCACCATGTCACTCAGCCAGTGGTTCTCCGCCACCAGCAAAAAAACCTAGCAGCGGCTCAGGCAGTCAGTCCCCAAGCAAGGTTTGATATTTCAGCTTATTTGCTCATAAGATAACTAAGAATCATCTGTCTACAAGTATGGTCATAAGTAGAGTCTCAACAAACCTAAGATGGTATACTAAAAGTGAAAAATGCCAGTTTTGCTGACGTACATGTGCCTCCCAGTGTTCTGCGGCATTTTAAATGTAGGCAATGTCTTTGTATAAGGTTGAAGTAAAAGTATACTGATACCTTACATTGTTTAAGCCATCTTTATACAACCATATTCCCCAATGTTATCTTCTTTTCAAACATCATCATATAGTTATATCATTCAATTGAAAAAGAAGAGATTGCCAAATTCTAAAGTTGGGAGTTCAAATATAATCATGAAGGTGACAAATAATTTCTGAAATTATTCCCATGATCGGTGTGTGTGTGTGTGTGTGTAGCAGAAATAATGTGTCAATATTTTTGCGCAGAATTCAGATGTTGATGCCAGTGGCAAGAAAAAGAAGAAGAAGAAGGAAAAGAAACATAAGAAAGAGAAGAAACACAAGAAGCACAAGAAACACAAGAAGAAGGCCAGTGGCACTGTGACAGGAGATGGACAAGACCACCCGGGCTTGGAGGAGGATGGCGAGTCCAGAAAGGTTAAACCTGTTTTTGGTTTTTGTTTTAAGCCTCTAAACTCTCTCTCTCTCTCTCTCTCTCTCTATGTTGATGCAGATTAATCCTTCATCATTATTGATCTGATTTTAAAAATTTTAACACAATCAACCCATCTGCAGCACAGAATGACTCAAAATCCCTGGCAATGCATTTCAAGCACTTTGTCCAAGTAGTGTTACCGTCGCACATGTGCAAATGGGCAGTTGTTTCGGTAGTGACAGGCTGCAGAACCAAGCAACTCAATATTGAAGACGTGAAAGAGCACGTTGGCCCTCTCGATGGGACATTTGAGTACAAAAAAATCCATGACGGAATAGTCAACAGACAAAGTATTATGCACACTCTGCAGGAAGGAGTTTTTTCATTTGAGCACTTGTAGCTTAAAATCCCTAATTAACATGAAGCCTATGTTAGTCAGGGTTTCAGCCAGCACTTTGGGTTTCTTGGGTCTCTTTTATATAGATTTATTTAATGAAACGTCATCCTGTTATTTGTTTCATAGTATCTAAATTGTAGATTTTTGTGTATTTCATGCTCTCTGTCTTTTAGGAATCAGACAGTGAAGTAGAGGACAGCTTGGATGACCTGGAAAAACATCTTCGAGAGAAGGCCCTGCGCTCCATGAGGAAGGCCCAGATGTCTCCATCACATACGTCCTGAAACAAGGGGCTTTGTCACTGTTTTTTTTTTTTTTTTTTTTTTTCAACTATCTTGTTTGTTAACCTGTTTCAGCTTTAGAATGTACAAATTGTGAAATCTTGAGGGTTTTTTGTTTCCTTTTTACCGGTTTGGTACGTTCTATAATGTGTCTCAGTAAGAGCTTGCTTTGTCAGTCAGTGTTTTCTCTACACTGTAAACAAGCTTGTGTTTTTCATTATTTTAAATTGTTTAGCTGGGGAACGGTTAAGGCACAGAGATGTGCATTAGGCAGCATCAAACCTACAGTAAATTCCACTGAGAAGTGATTGCATGTGCATAGAAAGTCTCTGATGTGCATGAACCACCAAATTTTTAACTGTAGACGAAAAAAACGCCATTCAGTGACACCATTACTAATGCCTTTGATTGGTGGAAGCAGTTTTCAAGCTGTCAACTATTACTGGCATTAACAGAAAAAGTCTAATCCCATATTGTAACTGAATGGAGCTGTATGGCAGTGTTGAAAATGCTGTTTTCTAATTTAGAAATGGTCTTGTTTGAAGATCATAGCAGTCTGAAGTGATTAAAATTCTGCTTTAATTTTTTCTAATGAATTGATATGCAGTTTTATTTTGACACCCTGCATCAAGCTAATCTCTGTTGGACTCTGATTTGTAATTAGTACCCCTGGCTTTTGTCATCTTGTCATCCTTTCAAAAATAAACCTTTTTGTAGGAAGTATGCTCTCCTAATTTCAAGATTGTCACCTGTGTTTTAAGTTGGATTTGCGAAAGTAAAACTTGATTTAAGGTGATTGAGAAACATATTACAGTTTTTACAAAGCTCAACTATAGATGAATCCAACTTTTTCAGAAGGAGCATTGGCTTATCAGACTTAAATCTCCTATTTTAGATTTTTTTTTTTTTTCCTTTTGCAAATGTTTTTGCCACCACTTGGAGATTTGAGGCCACTGCTGTAAAAAAGAATGCAAAAGAAAAAAAAGAAGTCACAATGGAAGTTACTGATGGGGGAAAAAAAGGAATCTAAGTTCCCTGCAAATAAAAGAAATGGTGCAGATAAAAAAAAAAGGAAAAAGACAAGTTAATGACACAAAAAAAGTAGTGATGGACAAAAAAAAAAGTTACCAACTGCAAAATATAAGGATGCAAATAAAAAAAAGTGGCGGTTCTCAGGCCACCGTACATAAAGCTCGGAAAAACTACCAGTCACATAAGTAGATGCTTTGTCGCGTCATTTGTAGTTATAAAGTTGGCTTTGGTCATCCCCACGGTGCCTCCTCCCAGGCGCCACCCCGGATCCCTCCCACATTTCTCCATGCTTGCGCCTCTGGTGACATCACAGTTTTAAGTATTCCCGTTGCTTCTTCTCCTTCCTCCACCCGTCCTCCTCCTCATCACCGCTACTCTACCAGCGTAAAAACCCTTACAGTCCGGGGATGCTTTTGGAGCTTTTAGCTTAGCTGGTTATAAGTTCTGCAGCCACTCTGTGATATCAGGCAGTTTCGACTGCTGTCTTGTCGACTGTGCCAAATCGGACTTCAGTGCAGCTGGCACTAGATTCTACTTCGGGTAAAGAGGAAAAAAAGCGCCCACTGGGCTTCGCTGAGGAAAAAAAGAGGTGGAGAAGAGGACTAAACTGAATCCGGGCGTGGTAGCTAGAGAGAGAAACCTAACCTTTGTTAGCTTAACTTAAGGTAGTAGCAACAACAATGTCGTTGTCGGTACCGCAGAACGGAGTGAAGGCGGACAACGAGCCCGTTATCGAGCTGTTCGTGAAGGTAAGACTGCAACAGAATTAGTTTTGGAGAAAAAAAAGTTTTTACATTTGGAGTTTCTTTGTTACTCTGACTAAACCAATATGAGTGAGCGGTGATGATGTGGGAATCAGGACCATAATTATGTCCGATTTAGAAATGGAATATATTCTGGACACGCATGAACATTGTATTTCAACAAAGCTATGGCCAATAGCGATAACCTTGCACTGATGTTAAACCCGTATGGTTTCCTACATTGGTTGAAAGGATTATCTCGGTCGTCTTTGGGGAAATAGGTTGGGATTCTCAACCCTCCACGTTACTCTGACCATGTGTAGCCCGCAGTGTGACACGCAGGGCGGATACTGGAGTGTGGTGAGGGGAGCGACTGCCATGCTGGAACGATGGGGGCTAATTCGCTAACAAAAGCCCTGTAGCGTGAATGTGGTCTGCAGCAGCCACTTTTATACATCTAACAATTTCCCCTCTTTGCCATTGCCTTTTTGATACGTGTGAACTAATTTGTATAACACTAAGTATCCCAAAAATGACGGATTATGGCTCTACAGGACGTTTCAATGTTAAGTTTCATTCTTGGATATCCGTTTAGTCTGAGATACCTGAGAGTTTATTGCGATGGACAGTTTTCAGTCAAACACATTTACACTATTGGACAATGAGGGAGATTAGGCGATTAGTACCCTAAGGGAGTGCTTTTTTTTGTTGTGAGTTGTGTCGTTTTTGTCGTTTCCTTTAAGCACAGCTTAGCTTTTCGATACTGTGATTGATTAAGAAGCTTAATAGTTGGACCTTGCAGGAAGCCTTTATTTTTTAAGTTCTACAAATCTCTATCAAACGACCCCTGTCCCAGCAGTAATAATGTGAAAGTTTGAAGGGTCTCGAAAGGCTGTTTGCCCCTCTTCTTTTGCCTGTTCTCCAGGCGGGAAAATGGCAGAGAGGGGAAAAAAGGGGGGGCTTTGGGGGTCCTCCTTTGACAAGCAGAGGGTGTGTGATGGCGTCACTGGCTGGGACATGAGGCAAGGTTATAGTTAAGGGGAGAAAAAACCTGCACGCACGATATGTAGTATAGACTAGATTTGTATTCCTTAAATCAAATCTTGAATTTGTTCCATTTAGTACTTTATGTCCATTCTGACCTGTTACAGCCAGCTCAGAGTGAGGTTTTGTATTCAGGTACTGTAGCTAGGGCTGGGCGATAAAACAATTATGATATATATCGAAAATTAATTTCCCTCGATATCAATGTAAAACATAGTCAATATGCTTTTCAATAGTCGGCTTCTGCCTTGTTTTGGTAGACTATAAGAATAGCCAATGAAAAGGGGAGTTGCTCCGGGTCCGTTTCGTGCTGAACCAATCATGTGCTGAATTAGAACCAAGTAGCAAACAACTGCGTAGTAGCAGGCAGCAGCTACACGCAATCAATCATAACACGCAAAGCCGACAGCACTGTTGGGGAGAAAAAAAGATAATGAGTGTTACCCCCAGCAGAAATGCAGACGACGGCTTAACAGATGACGATATCGTCAACAACATTGGCACGAAAACGTCAGTAGTGTGGAGGTATTATGTTTTTTTGAGGTCGGACATGAAGCAGAGTACATGTTCTCGCAAAGTCGGGGGATACCTCAAATCTTTTTCACCACCTGACATGGCAGAGCATGCACAATTCTAAAGATTACAAACTTCGAGCGGAGCAAGGAGCCCATGGCGCCTGTGCAGCCGAAACAGCTGACCATTCAGTCTGCTCTCTTTAGCGCAATGCCTTACAACAAAACGTCAAAGAGACACAAAGACCTCACAGATGCAGGAGCTTATTGTACTGCAAAACACATGCTACCAATAAGCACTGTTAAATTTCATCTTTTATATTGTGATATATATTGATATCAACTGATGTAAAAAAAAAAAAAAATATATATATATATATATATATATATCGTGATAAACTTTTCCCATATCGCCCAGCCCTAACTGTAGCTATAAATTGGGGTGACTTTTCTGTTACTTTTTTTTTACAGATTTAACAGGAACACAAACACTCCTGTCTGACTTTTCAGGGATAGGGTATAGTCGCATGGTATTGATGAAGCTAAGAAGCGGGCCCCTTGCGTAGAAGAGGCAGGGTTAATGGAAACTAACTCTGAACCATTTCGAAGTCTACGGCCTAAAGGAGAGGTTACATCATTCCCTGGCCTGGAAAGGTTATACATGTGGCCAACTCGTCCTCTTTCACTCCTCCGTCCTTGGTCTGCCTGTGTAGCCTGTTGTGTACAGAACAGGCACTTCTTCCACTGTGACTTTAGCCTAGTGTGCTGTCTTAACAACTTCCACAGCTCTGTGTTATGTGCTAGTGTCGGACATGTCTACATCTATTATTGATGCTGCTGTTCTCACCCTGCTGCAGTAAACACAGTCATGGGAGACAATGAAAAGCACACAGGTTGCCATTGGCGCATGCTGTGAGCCAGGCCTCTGGAAACAGCTGATAACAAACTGTGTGAGCTCTCCACTCACAACAGTGTTAGATCTGCCGAGGCACTGCTACCCATCAATGCTGACTTATTGTTTTACCTAGAATGCTAGTTAACAGTGTTTGAATGTTCAGACTAAGCAATTTTACCCCACTAGATTATAGCTGACTGGTCCAGTTCAGAGATTCTTTGATTATGCAACTTGACAGACCTGGGTGGTTTTTTAGCAGCTGTTTTCACGTTGCCATGGACAACGGTCATCCTCAAGGCAGGGCATGGATGTTAGGTTTGTCTGTCGGCTTTACTGCTGTCATTTGCAAATGAACATGGTGTAATGGCTTTGAAATAGGGAGGATGGACCTTTGACCTCATAACTGCACAGCAGTTTAGATATTGTTTTGCTGATATGAGAGGTATTTTGTGCCAGTGTGGTGTACAGGATGACTTCTACGCATCCACCCCTTTACTGTTCGACTACTTTGTAACAAACGTGTTAGAGCTGAGGCAGTAATATGAAAACCTAAATCTACTGTATTTATGTTCTTTGATGGTAGAGGGCGTATCACTGTTTATAAAGCAAGAAAGATTACAGAGAGCAAATGCATATAATGACATTGATTTAGAGTTGAATATTATAAATGTCCTTATCCACTCTTTTCCTTTTTGTTAAGTCTTGTTTCGTGTAAATATGTCATACAAACTTGAAGCTGTTCGGACATTAGAGGTTGTCTACTTCTAATATCTCCAGATGATACTGTATTTTCCTATCACTAGCAAAATTATCAGGTTTTGTTTCGTTTTTGATTTAGTTTCACAGTTTTTACTATTCCACTCTAAATTCATTCAGACATGCCAGTGAGTCATCCATGCCGGAGTGTGACCTGACTGTACTGTGGTGAACAGAATGTAAATGAGTCTAGAGGAACAGGCAGGCTTTATCTCTACTCGTGTTTGCATCTATTGGCTGCAAGTGTGCCAAGATCACACCACTGGTTGTGAAGCCTTGTGCTGCTTCCAGACTTCAATGCTGCAGCCAGCAGCAACAGCAGAGCCATTGGGCATGTTTGAGAAGTGCTCTTGAGTCTGGTTGGCATGAGAGCCTGTCTATGTTTATGTTAGTTCCTCAGGACAATACCGTAGAAACCATGGTGACGGAATGCAAGAGAGATGCAAGAGAGAGACCAGGACTTGCATTGTCTTCTATCTTACAAATATGTAGAAGCAGTTATCAGTGCACAACAAAAGGCCTTTTCAGGTTTTAATCTTTTTAGAAATTATGTTTCAGTCTGTGTATTCCTCCATATATTTTGGTGTACCAGGCTCTGGGTCTTCTAAGTCCACTCAAAAGGCTTATTTCATATTGCGCTATCAGTGGCAACATGTGACTTATGCCTTGTGATTGGCTGTTTAATGAAACACAATGACCTTGTTCAACACTGAGACTGCTTCAGTCAAGGCTGCTGCTCGAAATTACATACATGGTTGGAGTAAACATGGGTAACTAGTGTACACCACAGTTGTTTAAAGGGTTATCCCCTGTGGCAGATGGTCAACAAAGGTTTGTATTGAATTGGTCCAGTTTCTGTTTAGTTCAAGAATAATAAGTCAATAAAGTAGTTTATTTCCTGCAAGCAAATAGCATTGCTGCTGTTGGCATGAAACTTTGGGGTACAATAGTTGATAGGTTGTTGCAGACCTCTTTGCTGTTTTTTTCACTGCAGGGTTAATTTGCCTCTCAGTCTCTGACCTGATCACTCTGGCAGTTTTGTTACAATCTGAAGAGGGGTTCTCCTGTTTTTTTTTGGAAAAAGTGTTTTGAAAAGTCGGTTTGCGTTTGAAATGTGTAGCCTGGCTTGCTGTGTATTGTGCTGTCCAGCTTAGTGCAATGTGTCTCAAAAAGGAAGAGCTTGTCTCATTTGTGCTAATTGCTAATGAGGTATTTACCCTACATGCCCAAGAAAAGGATTTATCGCCACTCCTGAACAACATGGATCAGGGGATGTAGAGATTTAATCATTCAAATCATATAAACAGCTTCTTTTTGGTTGTTGTTTTTTTTCTTTTTTTACTACAGATGACTGCATCTGTTTTAACCCACAGATCAGAACACAGAAGAAAACAAGTCTTTCTTTTCCTCTGCCTTTTGTTACTTCATCTTCATTGCCAGAAAAGCAGCATGATACCTTTTTAAAGGGGCAGGATTTCTCCAGTTGCCTCACTTGTAACTCAATCAGTCTCAACATGATACAGTCTGCTTGTGTTTCTCGTGCTGTGCTCAAAGTGTATGTAATCCAAAGAGTGTTGCTATCTGTCTTTTAAAGGTGGGCTGACAAGCACTTTTCTGAAATAATCATCGCTCCATTAAGATGCGCTGAGTGCTCCAAATGTCAATCTAGGCTTAAATTCTTCACATCTTCATCTGGGGACCAAAGAGCTAAAAATGAAGATTTCAAACTTAGTTTACTATGCCCGTTGATATAATATAATATAATCTGGATAAATCATGCCTTTCCAGAAGTGTGTTTAGACTTTATCATTTATATGTAAGACTTGATTCTGAAAAAGATACTATATATGTAAAACTAGATCAAAGTGAAGAGTGGCAAGCAGATAGTCTGCTTGGAATCGCAGATGAGGCCAGTGTTAGCGTGGCCACAGTGCAGGCATTTGCTGCCATGACTATCTGCCATATGTGTTGTAACAGCATACTGGTATTGTGTTGGTGCCAAAGGCTGGCTCACAGCTGTCTACCAGCCATTTGTCTGCAGGGGTCATTTGGGTCAGATATGAATGTTTTTAGTCCTGTACAGGATTTTAATATGTTTTTGTAAATGAGTGTGGACTAGTCTTAATGTTTGCTTCTGTACAAATGTGAGGGAAAACAAGTGTCGATGTTGTATATAATGAATGCAAATAGTCTGCTCTAGTCATCCATCTCAGGGTGACTCCCACATGACTGTGTGCTCATCTTTTCCATCATTTTGGATCGGTATTAAATGTCACCAAACAGCTGTCTTGTTCCTTTTGAGAATCCTGAAATAGGTTTTTTTCTTATCTGTGCTTCACTGAGGCTTAATTTATTATTTTAATATGATTAAGTTCACGTATTATTGCTGTATCACCATTACACAAACACACTTTTTTTTTTCGGCCTCAGTCTCCAACTTTCCACAGAAGCTGGAGGCTCTCCACGGCCCTTGTGCGCTAACACAGAAGGCCTGTGTCTAACTGGAAGTCTTAATGTTTCCACAGACTGAAGTCAGCCTGAGTCAGAGCCACACCAGGGATGTGATGGCATTTCCATTTTCTGGTTAGATCTGACTCCTCTGTACACTCATCTGTCTGAAGCTGGTTACACGCTGCAACTCAACTCTTATTACACACACCCAGTCTAGCATGGGGCATAGAGTCTTAGTGCTACTTTGGCTATGGTCAACATCTACTCTGTAAACTGAAGGCTGGCATTAGATGTCTTCTTGACTTATACTCTTAGATAGTTTTTGTTTGTCCTGTATGCGACTGTGTAAATGTCAGTAATTTGATGATTTGATTTGTTGGATTAAAACAAGGGTTTGGAGTTGTGAGATTTCTAGCTGGTAGTCTGACATACCAAGTAATTGAGTTGTCCGGCTATAAAACTTTAATTATGTTTAAGCAGCTTGAGTGATAGCCTGAACAAACTCCCTTTTTTTATACTTCTGACAAGTAGGAAATGCCCAGGTAATTCTATCTTGGTAAACTGGCTTGCTGTGAGTTTGTCTGTGTTGGTATGGTTACAATCCCAACCCTCGCCCAGTCTGTGTGCTTGTCCGGCTAACAGGGAGAGGCGTTGCTATGAGGTTACCATGACTGCCTGCTTTCAAACGGACATTCCTGCTGTGTGTCATGGCAGAAGGAGGGGAGCTGCTTGATACATTGTTAGTTCCTTATTCGGTCAAAGTGTGGCTTGAACTCGCTAAGCAGCAGCCCACCCAATTTAGAAAATGAAGTGTGTTGGGGAGGGGAAGGAGCAGGCCTCCATGATTCTAAAATTAGACCGTGAGCTGAGACTGGGAGGACCGTGTCCAGTCAGAACAGCATCCATTGTCCCTCAGTACTGACTGTTTTAACTGTAAATCCACAACACCAGGCAACATCAAGGAAAACTGTATCTTAGATATTAATGAGAGTATGTATAAAGTGGTGAAGCTTGATATGATTTCCTAGTGAGTAATTTTGCTTCAACATTATACATACTAGTGCTGGGCGATAGGACGATAGATATCGTGGGCACGATAGAAAATGTCTATCGTGCCATTTCTATTTTTATCGTTTCGGGCGATAGGCTGTATTTTATCCATAGGGCTTGTGCCATCAGATGATTCATAGTAACAACAACAATAATTGCACATTCAGTAAGTGTATTTGGTGTCAAACGGGAAAGAAAACAATATTTTCTTACAAAGAAAAGGATGCTTTGACATGTAGGCTCGCATTTCTCTTTCGATTTTACGACATGACGCCGCTTTACGTGCCCTCTTCGTGTCCAGCGTCTCCCGCCGTTGCGGGTTACCTGGGTTACACACGTGAGGGGATCATTGTAAGCAGTGCTTAATTTGTGCCGGAGCAAGTCGGAGTGCGCTCCGGGACCTCTTTTGATCGGATCCGGGACCTATTTCAGCCGCTCCGGCACCTGTTTCATCTGCTCCGGGACCTTCCCTGTAGAGGATGACGTTTGTCGGGAATTCCCGTGGGTCACGTGATTCCCGCGGGAATCCCACGGAATGGGAGTCATTTTTTTATTAATCCCTTGATCGGGATGGGACGGGAAAAAAAGCAACGGGAGTGGGCAGGAGCGGGAACAACATTAATAGATGATAATTTTCAGCCGTGTTAAACAACCAGATGAACAGGTGCGTCCATTTTTGTAGTCATCTCTCAGTGAGAGCCAACACTCTTGACCGCGCTAGCAACACAAAAGAACTACAACAGTGGTTTGACTTCCTGTCAGCTGGGAGCGCGGCTGCGCATTTCTACCCTTCGAGCCAGGGGCGGGGAAACGTAATTTTGTGACATTCTGTAGTTTTTCAATCAATTCTGGAGTCGTGGCGAATCAAATCACCTTACCTGACTGCCCCTGATAGATGAATAAAGCGCTCGAATTCATGCTCGGGTCTTGCTACGTGCTTCAAGAGTAAAGTAAACAATGATGGAGGCAGAGAGCAGCTTTGGAGGAGAAACATCCAGCAGTGTGAACAACCTCTTCAAAAGAGCCCTAAAGACCTACCTTTTTAATGAAGCCTTAGGTTAGCTTTCCTTTATTCTTTTACTACCTTGCCTCTTACATTGCAACTCTTTTATTCGTTTATGCCTTTTTTTATGCCAATCTGTGACTGTCATTCTATTGCTTTTTTTATTGTTGCTGCTCTTTTTTTACTGTGTACTGTAGCACTTTGAGATTTTTTGTAAATGTAAAGTGCATTACAAATTAAATTTATTATTATTATTATTATGGAGTGCTTTGGCTCACACTATCGGCGTTTTCTGTGAGTGTTGCATAACTTTGGGTGAGCACAGACATGAACGCACTTCAGCCACGTATTTATTTATTCATTTTTCTAGTTTTAAGCGCTGGTCTTGTACTGGCACTGTACTAGGGCAGCTGTATACACTTTAATTTTTCATAGAACTGAAAGCATACCATAGCTATATCGTGATATATATCGTTACCGTGATATAAAATGATCCATATCGTGATATACATTTTTTTCCATATCGCCCAGCACTAATACATACTTACTACTACTCAACTTTTTATATAGACTCTTTTAGCAGTGACCCAAGTTAAGACTGCTGATGCATAATGTTACAAGCACAGTATCAAAATTCAAAAAGTCAGTAAGAGGTATTGGCAGATGTGAACATTTCTGATGCCAGTATTTATCAATAGACAAAAATTGATGCATCAAATATGTGCATGCAATAACAGCTCGTAGGGAAGTATCTGTAAGTATCAGGAACATAGCAGACACATTACTGTGTCTATGTGTAAAGAAAGTGTGAATTTTCTGTAGAATCAGGTGTTTTGGTTGTTTTTAATTTCTGTTTCTGAACCAAATAGAATATCACAAGAAGAGTAGCAGGTAAACTCTATTACAGGAGAGTCTTCACATTGAACAAAAGGAGTGTATTTATTTAGGGGTGGGAATCACCAGTGGCCCCACGATACGATATTATCACAATACTTGGGCCACAATACAATATTATTGCGATTTTTAACATTTTGCAATACAGTGAGTATTGCAAAACAATATATTGCAATTTATAAAATTTTTCAGCTGTTTAGCTAATTTAGCATTCGGCTTTACTGTATGTTTATCTTATTTACGCTGTAATTTATTTTCATGTAGCACATCTTGCAAACCTTTTATGTATTTGTTGTTCTTTCTCCTGCTCTATAATGTCACCTCTGCCAACCTCACTAGACAAACAGTTGATTTTATTTTTCCATTATCATAGATTTTAATTCATATTAGCAATTAATTTGAAAAATCGAAACTTGGTAAATGAGACGATACGATATATCACCAGACAAAATATCGCGATTCTATGCGGAATCGATTTTTTTTCCCCCACTCCTAGTATTTATTGGTATATGGTTGTCTGCAACCTATCAAAAGATATTGGCACAACAGTAAAAGTTTAATGCTGTGCATGCCTAGTGAGGACCTAGCATCAGCTGAGTGTGTCACGTTGGCCATTAAACCAGTGGTTTATCTGTGATTATAAAAGAAGATGGATGGAGTGATGACTGTGTGTTTTGAGAAGAGACAGTGTTTACAAGGCATCAGCGCCCCTTTGCTGACTGAGGACCCATTGTCCTGTTACGGGACCATGCTGTCCTGGACACTGACTCCTAGATAGCATCCGATTGGAGCATGACTCACACCCTCCACTGAGCAGCTGTGTGTGTGTTTGGCGTTAAATAAACAGGCATCTGTTGACTCGTGTCAATCCATTGAGCCTAAATAAAGCACCAGATTGTGTTAGCAGAAGTCAGCTCTTCCCACTCATGTGGCATAGTTGTTACTTCACATCTGGGTAAACTGTATCCTGTACCCCTTAAAAGGATGGTGTGACCTTCTGCAACAGGAGTTGAAATAGCAGGCTGGTAACTGGGAACCATTAAGTGTTGCTTTGAACCCTGCTTGCATTTGCATGTTAACTTCTTGGACGCCGTTTTTTTAGATGATCGGCTATTCCTTATAAGGGCACATTTGCAAAGACTTCTCACCTCCCTGGTGGGATTTTATTGCTGTTTTTTCCCTCCCCAATGCTCACTGGTAACTGGTCTGTAACTCTACAAACAATAAGCGCCTTGTGTCAACGCTGTATGAGAGTTTCTCCAGAAGCCCTTTTGTGAATGTCACACCCGAATATTGGCACTCTGGAAAGTGATAGGAGATAACAACAGCACAGCCGTCATTAACCCCTTCAAAGTAGCGAAGTACCAGGAGCTTAATTTATTTCAAAATCTAGTTTTCTTCTCTTGAATTAGTCTCAGGTGCTGCTTGAAAATGGTTATACGTTCATTTATTGCCTTTCAGAGCACCTTAGTTGGGAACAACTAAGTGAAATGTTGAAGAGAAACGTCCCAAAAGTGAAGCAGTTAAGAAAGTGGAAATAGAGATCAACAGCATCATCAGGTAAACTAAACAAAGCACCCTCTCGGTGGAAGTTACAGGACATTTCTGGAATAGTTTCTTCCTCCTCCCCAAATGCCCAACCCAACCAGTTACTCCACAGAGGGGCCCAGGAAAAGGGGAAAGGGATAAAGAAGGAAGAATCCCAAGAATCAACACAGAATCCAAAGCTCCTCTCAAAGCATCTATTACCACTTGTTGCATGTTGTGTCCATTAGCATTACTGTAGTCCCTACTTCGCTCACTGTTTCCTGTAAAACCTCTTTAGCTGTCTTTCTCTGTAGCAGAACTGTGCCGTCAGTGCGGTCTTTGACAAAGCAGGAGTCTGCTCTGCTTCAGAGGGTGAGGCTCAGCTTCCAAGAAGAGACTAAAAGAGAACGAAGAGTGTGAAATGTCTTCCTCAGCTGCTGTGACCTTCTTCTAGGCCACTTGAGAGACAGAACTAAAGATGAACCCAGATTTAAATCAGCTTGTTATGGCGAAGCTCAGAAAACATCATTTTATTTAACAAATAGCAGTACTTCAGTTGAGAGCTAGTGTCAGATAGTCTACCTGCAAATAGGAAATCCTCTCCATGCTGTCTGTTCTTCTCTTTCCATGTCATATGTGTCTGGCTATTGCCATGGGAACTGTTGCCGTGGTGCACTACCACCCTTGATCCAGATGGTTTCTTTGTAGTTGTAGTGCTGTGTGAAAAATAGAAGTTTTTCAGCAGCTGTTTCTTGTCTAACCAGGTGACAGTCATAATACCTGCAAATTTAATTTACCTAAGCTCTGTTTTAGAATTTAATCAAGTTTATCTAAAGGGGGGCCTCGATTTGAAGAACAAAAGCAGTTTTCTAATCTAAGCTTTTCAGATCTTGAATGTGTGGGGGGGTGGGGGGTTAAGCAGGGGAGGGCACAGTACAATGAGAGCCAGCAGGCAGATCAAACGGAGCCATCCTACTGGGCATCGCACAGAGGACAACAGCAGCCAGGCTGTCCACACCAGCATGAATCTGCTGGACTCTCTGAGTGCTTGAGAACAAAGTCCACTATTCAAGGCAGTTCTGATATCAAGAATATACTTGAAAGGTGATTGTTAAGCTATAACTGATTTGACCAAACCTGACAGAATGTAAAAAGATGCATCTCTTTGTCCTCTGTATTATTAGGAGGCACACTCTGCATGTCTAAACAGATACCAAGGACAGAATGCTGCTTTGAGTGGTAAGAGAAGAGTGAGTTAGAACAGGAGAGGCAGTCAAAGCTGAAAAAGGTTTAACAGAGACCCTTCAAAAGTAAAATGCTGAATGAAATGCTGTTTTCCAGAGACACTGGGGATACTCGACCTTCATGCTTGACCGTGTGAAAAACAATAAGAGGCAGTCTCTTTAAGCCTTTATGTCTGGAAAATGGTGTATCTCAACAGACTCACTCTCAGAGCTACAAAGCCCTGCTTTAAGTTGTGATTAAGATTTTTCTTTGGAAATGTCTTTAAAGTAAAAATCTTTATTTTAAAAGGAGTCCATGTGGACCAAACTGATTTGTCTTTCATAGTGATGACTCTCAGTTTTGCTAGGAAGTGGTTGGAATAGAAGTTTGTCTCTCTTGGAGCAGGGCCCGAGTTGGCGTATCTGATTTCATTAAGATGTTGCAGCAAGCTCCGTTGAATAAAGATTCTAAATCCAAATCACATTTTTGTCCTTTGCTTCACTTTCCACAAGCCATAAAAGGCAAAGATTTGATCTGAACACAGTGAAGGGTAATTTAGGTTTAGACAGAGAGTGCTTGATAAAGATAGATGATGTTGGAAAAATAGATCACAGAACCCCACTCTGTGCATTTCTGTCACGCACCTTTGGTGTAAAATCCATTACCTTTTCCCAGCCTCCATGGAGTGTCCAATCGTTTTGTTGTTAAATCTCTGAAACTCATTCTAAAACTCATCCTGTTGTACGTCCGCTACTTATGAATGGGTTTTAATTTGCCAGGCACATCACTGACACCCCACCCCTGCTGCCATCTTCATATGTGTTTGTGCAGTGTAGACCAAGAGGCCTGGCTATTCTTGATCGCACCAGAAGTCTCCTCTACAGCACTTGTACAGGGCGAGTGTGCCAAAGCTTTAAAATCAAGGATATCTGCTCTTTACTCTTTCCTTCCTTCTTGAGCCTTTTTTGAGGAGGGCAGCATAAAAGAGTCCTTGTCTGAAATGGTCCCTCTGTGGCTGGGTGCAGTAAACTGCTCTAGTTCATAAATTGTGTAACAAAGATGTGATCTCTATCATGACTGTCTAGACCATTTTGGATTTGCTCTTATCTTGGGGCCAAGAGCTATCAGTCGAAGACACCCATTACAGACCCTTTAAAGATTTAGTGTTTTATGCTTGCAACCATTACATCTGAAACAGTTCCACCTTTGCTTACTGGACCCCATAAGATAAAAACAGGTGGCATCATTTGCTCACTCAGTCTTCAGGTATGGGGCCTAGAGTATATTGTTTCTAGTTAAAGTGTTTACTATTCTAACCTATATTTATTTCTTTGTCTAAGGCGGGGAGTGATGGGGAAAGCATTGGGAATTGTCCCTTCTCCCAGAGGCTCTTCATGATCCTTTGGCTCAAAGGAGTTGTCTTCAATGTCACCACAGTGGACTTAAAAAGGTGGGTCCTTTTCTCATTATTATTATTATTATTATTATTATTATTATTTTGTAATCTCATCCTCCTTCTCTTTAGTTTTGGCTTCATAATAGGGCTGGGCGATAAACCGTAAATTTACCAATACCAAAATTTACGACAATAACCGACAGCAATAAATTTGGTGCCAAAAAAAATGAAATAAAAGTTGGTTTCAGATGTGTGTAGGTAGGCTATAATCTCATGTCTCTTTTAAGATGCTGTCCTACGTCAGAGACGTGACTCCACCCCATCTAGTCTGTAACAAAGAGGGAAAGACAAGTGAGGAGATGGAGGATGGTTCAAAAGTTGTTGTGGCTGGAGCGGCGGCTGAAGTAGACAAAGTTAATGTGGTAGGGGGTGAGCAGCTTGTGGAGTAGTTATCGTCTATTTATTGTTATCGAGGTGAACTTCTCAATATAACGTGAAATTGATTTGAGGCCGTATCGCCCAGCCCTACTATATAACCAGTATATGAAAAGATATTCGTCTTCTTTTCCTCTTCTGTGTTTTCATATAACCTTCTGAGGTGGTTTGATCCAACACCACCTCAAATGTGCTCATTGCTTCCCTGCTGCTTATTTGGTTTTCCCATGACCCTTTCCCAGGCTGTAGAAGATTAGAGTCAAATAAACATCCAGACTTTGGAGGCTATTTAAGGTTCTTCACTTGCTTACTTCCTGCTTAAATCTTAGTGGGGAACATGTTATTTTTCAGCCCTGGGATCAGAAAAACTCACTACCCTCTACAATTTTCAATGCACCATAACTTTTTCCTCCCAGCTGCAGAAGCCAACTTGCCTTTCACATGTGGACACCAGAAGCACTTTACCAAACCCACTATGTTTTCTGCGTGTATGATTCATCTAAATGCCCTTCTAATGTTTTTTCCACTAATACAGCTCATGCACATTCCAGGTTATTTTCAGGTTTGGTCAGTAACTTGTTTTTTATATGGTCATCCTCATCATGTGTCTGTGATTTTGAGTTGTTAGATTAGAGCCTTCTCCTCTGAAGACCACCGCTAGTTCTGAAAATATGATCTGGATTGAACAAATGTGGCATTTTAAACCGCTAAAAAGAAGAAAGCAGCCTGTGTTGGAGTAGACATTTGCTTTTACCTCTGCGAGCACATTAAAAGTTAGGGCGGGCGTGGTCTGGGGTATATTTGCATGGATTGTGTATTTGCATTTCCCTGGCAGAGGCCCTTTGACTTAAAACAGTGCTTGCTGATATCCTGTAAAAGGCAATGGAGGATGTCCGCCCACTTGGAACTGTTTACCCCTCGTCTCTTCGTTCAGCCCTCTGTTTTTTTCTTTCTACAGTAAAAGGGGGTTCAGACTTTGGAGTTTCTCATTCTAACTAGTGTCTGTAGTCTCATGTGAACATAAAGAGCAACTGTGCATTACAGTATAAGGCGTGTGTTTGCTATATTTATGGCTCTTTTATGGTTGTATTGAAATAGGAGAACACGTGCCTGTCATAAGACATGGAAATAACACCCCTGCCTTAAGTTGTTGTAAAGATCACTGAGCCTCTCTTAGGTCAGGGCTTTTGTTTTAGTCCTTATTTTTTGAAAGTCAGTGATTCTCAAGGCAAAATGCTATCTCCTCCATGATGTCACTGAATGAGGGTGCCACTTCCCTTTTGCATGCCAGAGAGTTGAAGTTATTTCCTGTTTTATGCGCCCTCAGATGCCTTGTCCCAAACTTCTGATTCAGCTGGACTAAGAGAGTCTCTGTGACCGCTGTTTATAGCAATGAGTGAATTTATGCTGTCTGCTGGTTTGTTAAGATGCTGCTGTGTTGACTGGATATCAACTGTCTACAGATTTATTAAGTTCACACTTCTCATCAAGCACATGCTCATTTTTGTTTTAATGTGTCAGTGGCATCTGCCTGTAAGAGACATCTGGTACAAAATGTGCTGGTTTGGAGGCCATGCTGAGAAACAAAACACCGAAGCATGCTCATGGAGACAAACACTTTGTTAAAGAGAGAGAGCATTGTCTTTGTTATTCTTGTTCATAGTACTTTTATGTTATACTTGAATGTGGTGCTACATAAGTTTTATTTTCATACATCTATACCCATTGATTATAAAAACATTGCACACTTGTTTGACTCAGTTTTGTTTTCTTCGGTGACTAAAGTGAATCCACTTGTCTTTCAGGAAACCAGCAGATCTCCAGAACCTGGCCCCAGGCACACACCCACCCTTCATCACCTTTAATGGGGAAGTCAAAACTGATGTCAACAAGATTGAGGAGTTCCTTGAAGATGTCCTCTGCCCACCTAAGTAAGTGCTTATAGTTTTTACGGCAAAGTTAATGAGCACATGTTGATAGGTAGTGGCCTTATACGGGTTTCTGTTGCTATAAATTGTTTAAGAATTGCATTGTTGTATAATTTTTTTACTGTTAAGAAACACCTCCAAGACCAAAAACAAACACCTGTCACTCTATAAGTTAAAAACGTAATAGTTATATAACATGAAGTGTATAAACAAACACGTGAAATAGTTATAGAATACAGAAGTGAAAGGTGGGTTTATGTTGGTCTATGAACATTGAGAGATAAACTGTAGACTCTGAAGTTACTGTTTCACCCACCTTTATTTACATAAAGTATCTGTTGTGTTGTCTTTGTTCTCACCTGCAGGTTTATCAAACTTGGTGCAAGACACCCTGAGTCAAACACAGCTGGTATGGACATCTTTGCCAAGTTTTCAGCATTCATCAAGAACTCCAAACCAGAAGGAAATGAGGGTAATTACATTTATCTGTCTTTAATATAAACACACACACGACTGGACACACAAGTTATGAACCTAGAGACCTTTCTAGTTGTTTAAGCGAAGTTCTCCGGTTGCTCAGGGACATTGTAAGCCCTGTCCTGATTGGTACATTACAGCCACAGTGAGTCACACAGAGCTTTTGTTCAGCTGCTATTCCTGCCTTCATGCTCACCGTCTCACCTGGTGGAGCTCTCCAAAAATACAGAGCAGCTAAATCAGGGAACAGACAAGTGCTTTGTTTCTTACCTTTATGGTTTTAAACTTTGTTGTGTTGACCCGTCTCTAAAAAGGTCAGCGAAGGGTCCACAGCTTTGATTTATAGTACAAAGAATGTGTTGACTTTTATTCAATTTCAGTTGTAGAACTTGCACAACTGATTTTACAGAGAAAAGTGTATAATACTTTAAAAATACCAAGACTTTGCATCATGTTTTGGTTGGCTGTTCTCCACCCTGGGAAAATATTGAACCATGGTGAGCTGGATGTGAAAGCCAAGGCTGTGTCAACAATCTGAGGCTGAATGATAAGTGTTCTCCAAAGTCCCAGCAAAATCTATAATGAAACAACCAAATCAAGTTTTCAGGACATTCAGGTCATATTTTACTACAATAGAAGGAGAGGTTTATGAATAATCTCCTAATAGATAAGGGAAATGTGTCTTATTTACATTCCACCACTATACTCCACTGAAATGTGTTGTTGTTTTATGAGCTTTTAAATATGGTATTTAAGCAGTGTGTTAAACTCAATGTATTTATGTATATTGTTAAAATGATAGATTAATTTAAAATAGTTTGTATTAGATTTTCTTGTCTTTTAAATGGAAGTTTCCAGCTCAAATGCTGCACACACGGCTGGATTTTGGTCAATTGCTGCCCTCATGTGGTTGATCATCATACTAGTTTAGTGAAGCTGCATAGGATGACCCCAGAAAAGCCATGATTCAATATAGTTGTGAGCAAATAATAAGTATACATTGAATATGTTGTTAGACTTGCATTAAAACAGTTTCTAAAGAAGTATGTCCTGTGTCTTTTTGCAGCTCTGGAGCGTGGACTTCTCAAGACACTGCAAAAACTGGACGAGTATCTGCGTTCACCACTGCCTGATGAGATCGACCACAACAGCATGGAGGATGTCAAGGTGTCCAACCGCAACTTCCTGGATGGTGACGAAATGACCCTGGCTGACTGTAACCTGCTGCCAAAGTTACACATAGTCAAGGTGAGACACGAGACTTCATCTCTGTGGGGAACCACAACATGTGACGAAATTTACTCAAAAATCCATTTTTTTTGTCATTGATTTTCTGTTAATGGACTAACTTATAAATGTGAAGTACATGGCTGTCAATGAATATTCTAAATTCAAATATATTAAAAAAATAGATTCAAATGTGAAAATTAATATTCAAATATTAAATAAACAGCAAGAGAAAAAAAATAGAGTAGGGAGAAAAAAAGAAAAAACAACGGACTGCTTTGCGAGTGAGTGCACTGTAACGACAGGTCAGGGACAGGTCACAGGAGCTGCACCTGCAGTGAGACTCGACAAAAACCGTCCTTGGCACATGCAAAGAGAGATGTCGGGTTGTTTGGAGCCAAACTCGGAGAGAATGGTCTGGACTCCAACGAACTTTAGATGCTCTGTTTAGAAATTCTTCGGATTTTGGGCAGACACGGTAGACGGAAAGAATGCTGAGCAAGATAAAGTTATATGCAAGCTGTGTAAGCTAGATATTCGAATATGTTGTTATTTGTTATTGTTGTTATGTGTTACTTTTCAGAACGAATATTCAAACGTAATTTTAGAGCAATTTTGACAGCCCTAGTGAAGTACAAGTGTGTCTTACTGTACCCATAGTATGCAGTTTAACCTGTGGCCCTGTGAGAAAGAACATCACTCAGATTTGGTTAATCGTTCAACCCTCCTCCTCCTCCTCCAGGTTGTGGCCAAGAAGTACAGAGGCTTTGACATCCCCAAAGAGATGACTGCAGTCTGGAAGTACCTCAACAACGCCTACACACGCGAGGAGTTCACCAACACATGCCCCAGTGACAAAGAAATTGAGATTGCTTACGGGGATGTAGCCAAGAGGCTGGTCAAATGAGCTCATCCTTCCCTGATCTCTCCACCTGTAATCCACTCTATGTATCCCCCCTCTCCTCCCCCTTCCTCCCAAGCACTGGACTGATGTGCTTATTTACGAGAAAGAAAAACAAACTCTGGACTTATTTTCCTTCTCTCTTCATCCAGAGCAATGCATGAACCCTTGCCAGCGTTATTTTCCTTTTCCACGATATTTACAAAGATTCAGCAAAGGTCAACCTTGGTTAACTCCTTCAATGTTAAATGCTTTTGTTTGTCACTTACTGATCAGTGTGAGATGATGAAGCAGCCATGCGTGTATCAGAGCTTATCAATGTTGGGACTGCCTGATAAGTGACCTTCAAGTGGACCTTCTCTCTACATGCAGGCAGAGGGTACATGTTAGTTTTCTGTTTGTTATTGACAAAGCTCTTTCTAGGATTTCTATAAAACAACACTGAGAAGCATTTTTTCTGTTTTGAGCGTTGAAGCTTCAGTGTTTTAGACTTTAGTTTTTGTCAGGTTGAAGAAGAAGTCGAAGCTGATCCAAATTTGAGTGGTTGACATATCACATGAGAGAGACTTTATTTTACTATTGAGATGTCAAACAGCAGGTAAATCTACCTGGCACCATGCTTTGAGTTTCTCATTGCCTCATATATGTACTCAAAAGTTCAGTAGCTTAGCTCAGCAGAGTTGTAGGGAATATCCTGTTCTGGCTGCATATCTTACAGCTCAGGAATAATCTACCCTGAGGTCTTAGATATATTCAACAGTATGTAGCTGATAAATCCTCAAGCATATGAAGGTATTCAGACATATGTTAATATTCAGACATATGTTAATCACCATGTTGCCATAAAGATAGGAAGACATTGAGTGGCTCTAAATGGCTTTCTTTATTGATGAAGTGTGAAGGCTTGGTCATGATGGCTGTAGCAGTTTGGATTACACATTTTTCTTGTCTATTAACTGCAGCTATATGAACCACCACCAAAAGAAATCGCATGTTATAGTTTTCTTCTCCATAATTTACAGAATGAAGGACACTAACACACAAATATTTATGACATAACAATTCAGAAAGAGTAGCAACGATCTAAATGCCTGGTTCACTTTCATGCTGTCTTCAGTACGTAGACCTGTCTCTAAGGTAGTGAATGTATGTAATGAAACAGTAGCTCCAATAGTGCTTTAGTGCAGATAAAGCAAAGCCTGTTTATGATTTCTGTTGATAGCCAAGTTTTCAACTTCGTTATGAAAAAAAAAAAAAGATTGATAAAAGGAATTGTAAATATTTTTGTTTTGGCTTCTTGGAGTTTAATGTAGAAGTTGATTTTTTTTTTTTTTTTACATTTCATCAAAATTGTAAGGAAAATGGGCTATTTCTTAAGCACTTGGGATCAAGCCAAGGTAAACCATTTCCACGTTGCCTTACTAGTGTTCTCAGCCGAAGTTTTGCAAGAGGTTTTCTTTAAGATCACTAAGTTACAGCATGGGCGTGTAAAAAAAACAAAACAAAAAGATATCCACGCTGTGTCATGGCTTTTTTTAACTGCATTGACTGAGCTGAAATAAACTTCTTATTGGCTAACTGTCTTGTGTTATTCTGGGGCTCCAAAGAGATTGGTCCTTAAAGACCATTTTTATATCCTCTCCTTTAACAAGTTAGCTCTTCAAATTTGACCCAGCATGAATGTGTACTCGCAAAGGACACTCATTTGTTGAATATATTTTCAGTTTTCTGTTTCTAGGTCTTTAATTTCTGTGTATTTTAGGGTGGAGGTAATTTTCTTGATCAGTTTTGTTTTTGTTTTTTTTCATGCAAGATTTTGAAAGCTTTGATTCACATGTTACAACTACACCAGCTGGATAAATAATGATTTAAGGCTCTTCTTTGTTATGAACATTGAGTGATTCATTCCCTTTTTGACAATTAAATCAGTCTGGATTTTCTGGGCAGAAGAGGTGATCTGTGAATTTACGACTGAGCATTTGGGCCACTTTGATTTAAAAAAAAAAAGAAAAAAACTCTTTAAAGACTTAGAGAATAAAGTCATAAATTAAGAATAAAAATAAAGTCAAGAAAATTCACTCTGGGGAAGATGAAAGAGCCATGGGGGTTGTGCTGGGGTGTGTACATTGTGATGAGATTTTTCTGAAATGTCAAATAATTAGTACTAGTAGCATTGTGATATTATATACAAAAACAAACCTATAACAATCATTTCTTTTTCAAGTATTATTTTATACAATTAAAGGAAGAAGAAAAAAAGAAAACGGGCCGCGGCAGTAGAGGTTTAAAAAACTTAAATAATTGCTCTTTTTTTTTTTTTTTTGCTTGTCCCATTGACTTCATCGCTATTTCTTTTTCATGTATGTAACACAGTGGTAGTCATTAAATGTTAAACCAACAATACCACCAGGGGACTTGCACCATAGGATGTAGATTACACCAGAGTCTGAACAACTCTTAAAAAGGCACACAGGAACGGCAGCAAATATGTCAAGGATTTTATTTAACAAATCAAAAAAATAATCCTAGCAAATTAGAACTGTGGGAGAGGAGAGTCAGTGAGAAACCATACAAGAAAATTGGTTAAAGGAAGTTAAAATTATCCTTTTATTTTAACAGTTGCTAAAAAAAAAGGCCCATACAAAAGCTGAAACCACTTAAAACTTCAAATGCCCCAAAATAAGCAGCACAATAGAAAACTACTAATTACTTAAGCAAAACTAAGCTAAGGCCACCAGTAGACAAGCAGACTACACAAGGAAAATGTGGGGGTGCTTACCAAAAGAATACTCACCACAAGTGAAGCACAGTAACACCACTACAATCCTTCAACACTATGGTGCAGCCTACTGGTGACCCAGTGCACTAAACTTTCATGCAAAGGTGGAGGGCCCACACCTTCCCTACTGAGTGACCAAAGCCTCTGAAAGAAAGAAACAGAATTAACCCACAAAATAAAACTGAGGATGATGAATAGCCTCCACAACTGCATCAGACATTTCTTTATTGAAGACGTGTGGCTTGGTGTAACAGAAAACTCAGACTATTCCCAGTGAGTAACAACAGTGTGACAGTGAGCAGACAGCATTTTCCACTGGGATCCTAAACCTGGAGCAGCTAAAAAGACTTTTGCCAGCATTTATTTTATTGTGTATGTACTTCTCTTACGCACTATAGCATATTAGAATGTCTCTGAGATCTATTGCGGTTATTTATCCACGTCACAAATGGAAACATAAGAGAAGAGGATACAATTTTTCTTCTGTTGTATACCCTCTCTTTCAATTTCAAAGTTATTTTTTTTGTCACTCTTTAGATGTGAAATTCACAGAGAAGTGGAAGTTAAATCAAAATTTAAGTATGTTTTGGGAAGATTTGCATTTTTAACTCTGTCTGGAAAATATCTCAGTACCATTTGATTTATTTTCAAAAGCTTTTTATAGACTTGAGGCCACTGGTACAGAAACCCTGAACTAAAGCATGTTTGTTTACAGCTCTCTATCTCCATGGAATGTCTCATGTGGGTGTCCACCCTCTTCGGGCTCCACCTCCCACTGAAGACACCCTGCGGCTGTCAGCTTGATGATGTTTTGCAGCCAATTCTCTACTGTTCTGAGGCAACAAACAAGTCTATTCTGCAGAGCTGATTGTGACCAAAGTTTTGCAAGAGAAGAAGAAAAACGTGGTGTGGGGGTGTACAGTTTTTTGGATGTAGTCCACATCATTAAAGTGTCAAGTTTCAGCCCCACACATTACTCCCTTCTCCCTCACTGCTGAAGTCTCCACTTGTAACTCACAGGGAGGAAATTCACCCAGACCCAAACAGAGACAGACAGTGTGTGTGTGTCTCTGTATGTGCGTGTGTGCTTATTAGAGAGAGAGGGAGAGAGAGAGAGCGAGAGAGAGAGAGTGAGTATGTGTTTTTTAAGTGGGGAGAGATATCAACATATCAAGGCTGGCTATCATTCAGACCACACAGTCATTACAACCAGGATGAGTGTATTAGTGTAATTGGGTAATGAAGGTGAAGTAAGGAGGGGCCACCTTTGTTTCTCAAACATGTAAGAATGTGTGTGTGTGTGTGTGTGTGTGTGTGTGTGTGTGTGTGTGTGTGTGTGTGTGTGTGTGTGTGTGTGTGTTTGGAAATAGCAGAGCTATACAACACACCATGAGAGGGAGCCAACTACTCAGTGAAGCATCTAAGCATGCCATAGCCAAAGTTGTTTCATGTTTTAGGATAGTTTTCAGTCTTTCTTGTCTGGAGTGGCATTACTATGTGTTGCCTAGAGGACAGAGCGGTTTTACCTTAAAGTTGATTTTGACTGTGAACTTTTCTTTTTCAGGCAATTTGGAACTCAATGCCTAATTATATAAAAAAATTAAAAGCACAGGTTTTATTTACAAAAAACTTAAAACAACACCTGATGTGATTAAGCCAAACAGTATTCCTCTCAAGATGGCTGCCATGCCTTTTTTCTGAGTCCTTTGCTCTTTGCAAACAACAAAAATCTGATTAATCGCACATTGGACCACTAGATCAACTTTGACATCTGGTCAATACAGAAGTCTGGAGTGTATAAAGTGTATTCTGAGAAAGTTTGTGCTGTAAGGAACTCTGTAAATTGCAATACTGTAAACCACAGATTGGAGGCTTCTGGGCCTGCTAGGCCTGAGACCCACTCCTTATCCTCACATGAACATCTGCCTTTGTACAGTACAGGCCAAAAGTTTGGACACACCTTCTCATTCAATGTCTTTTCTTTATTTTTTTATATGACTATTTACATTGTAGATTATTACTGAAGGCATTAAAACTATGAATGAACACATGTAGAATTTTGTACTTATAAAGAAAGTGTGAAATAACCGAAAACCTGTTTTATATTCTAGTTTCTTTAAAATAGCCACCCTTTGCTCTTGATGACAGAAGTACCTTGTCAGGGTTACTTCAGGCACTCCTGTGAAGTAAAAACCATTTCAGGTGACTACCTCATGAAGCTCATTGA